TTGAAAAAAATATTTTTCTGTGAATCGTTATAAAATACAAAAAAAATTTGATTTAGCTCAGATTTGATGGTAATCACTAATCACTCAAACTTTTCAAATCATAATACCGGTATTCTATTGTGTAACTATTCCATTATATTTTCACTTTTTATAATCAATCAGAGAGTTCAGTTGAGGAATATGCTTTGATGGAGATACTACAGCTCCCTTGAAGGGGCATATGGTAATCGACGCGAATCGCGCTGAAAACTGGTGTTGCTTTGTGCTAGATTTTAATAGAATTTTGGATCTTTTCAAGGAATACAAATACTTTTATGTAGAATATTGGGGAAAGTATTTGTCCCAAATGATGCCGCAATGAAACATACAAGCCAATGCTGACTGTATCCAATACACGGATGGTAGAAAAGTCGCAAATCGAAAACGAAGTTAATTTGATTTTTTTTTTCTTAAAAGTTAGGGTACAGATAAAATACGTTCAAGTATGTTCAGCGCCGTAGTTAGCATGGTTATATTCATTTTAGTTTCGAACTTATGGGTCGGAACGCGAACGATAGCATCTGTAACTATTATTGGACGCACAGTGTGGCCGGTGGATCGTTTTGTTATTATGTTGCTGTTGATCTTGTTGATAGTATTTTCTTCTCGTGGTTAAAGATTGTATTTGTCGCTAGAAGGCTATTTTACTTACCGTATCTAATAACTGGGCTATATGGGATTCATTTTTTGTGTTCGATGACGTCAGCAAAAATAAAATTGCGCATCTTGTGGCAGTTCCGCATTCACATTGGTTGCTTTCTGGTTGGTAGGGGAAGTCGTGAATACTGCGATACTGGCGGTCTACTGTAAAAGATCTCATATCCGTACTACCTCGTCTTGGCTTTTGTGTCCACATATTTGAGCATTTCTCTTTTGTTTACAAAATATAGTGGAAATTAAATTTCAACTAGATGTTAAATTGACTGTGTCGGAGTCGAAGTGCATTTTCAGATGTTTGTATCAATATACTGTTTGTCGTTCTAAATGGCAAATACAAAGCAATATGTTTCTTGGGTGATAAACAAATTGTTCCCAGTCTCTTAACAATGATCCCATTTGTGACCTTTGGCCATTACTAGACTAAGGCTATTTCTGGTTGGTTTGAGTTGTTTACACCGTGTAAAAATATCATTCTATTGAATATTTTTGTATCCAAGCCAACACGATATCAGGAACATAATTAGGTACGCTTGTGAATAGATCACGTCTATAGCGACGCACGCCAGCGTAACGGGAAGATCCGTATTTTTATTAGCGTTCATTAAGTTCATTGTTATGATCAACATTATAGTAAATACACAGATTACTAGAAGGTTAGTTGGTGGTCGCTAGGCATTAGAAAAAGAATTACATGCTGTAAATGAATTTGCAAAATAAATAAAGTATCATAAAGTGAATGCAAGGCGATAGAAGACAATCCATTGTATACCCCAATAACAAGTCGGAATCGCAAGGTTCCAAAATGTTGAATATTGAACAAAAAAACAGCGCAGTGTATGTTTCAATGTTGAGGTTATTTCAAATTTATAGAGAAATGTATTTGACAACGTATGCCTACTACATCCATTGACCCGCCAATTGTTCGTTAAATATTTTTCCTGGCATTGAGTCCACCTCGCCAATACTTTCTTTACATAACATTCCTTTTCATGTATTTACAGCACCAAGTGAAGAATTCAATAATCCACGACTCATGGTTTGCGAACCAATCTAGCCTAGTTCGTTATCCTTAGCTTTATCCCCTAATTCCCCAATTAATCTTTCAAATTGAGGACGTCAATTTAGCTGCAATAAAAACTCATAAATAGCATTGGAATTTGCAGTAATGTGATCTAACTATAAAATTCCATAGCAATCTATTCATGCCAGGCAAGAAAGAGAAGCGGAAGTGAGAGAAGTGGAAATTGAGTGCAAGGCGCGATCATCTGATACTCGCGGTTGTTAAAGCTTAATTCCATTACATAGTAAACTAGGTATATTTTACTATTTTTGTAACAGGGTATTAAGCTTTTGGATCAGGATTAGGATCAGTGTTTTGTTAGTTTTTGAACTAATGAATGTTTACTAGGAAGGAATGGTCGGAGGTATTACTACTAAGTCTACACTATTCAGGAAGAGACGACTGGTACCGTCATGTTGACTAGAAACTGAAATATGAGGCCGCTTATACAATGCTATGTTCTAGTGACAATAGATCATAAATGACAGAGAGTTACTTAGAAAGAATTACTTGAACGTTGTCGCATATACACTAACACAGACCTCAATACTGTAGTATACAAAATAGTACGCTAGTTTTTAATTAATGTTTGTATAGGATGATGGCAATTGGGTTCATTTCAAGCTTTCTTAAGTTCAGATAGCCTTACGTTACATAGCAATCATATATAATTGTTTAATTCTAACCTATAACCAGCGGTTTATAAAACCCTGTTACTGAAATGTGAATTTATTTAACAATTGCACAAAACGAGCATTTTCAGTATATTGCAAGGATAGTTCATTCGTCAACAGTAACAATATTCTAATCGTTGTTTGTTATGCATCAAAAAAACACCAACTGATTTCTAATAATAAAATACCATTGAAGATTGGTGTTATTTGCGCGAATTTTTTTGAGGGACACGCTCACTAGATGTGCGACCAAGACGATTTGCGCGAACGTAGGTTTGCGAAAGCAAAAAGTAGTAATTTCGGACGGCCAATAGGAAGTAAACTCGCAATAGATGATGCAATAGAATGAATATATTAAACTCAAATCTAATCTTCTATTTTGCGTCGCTTCATTTCCTGCATCAACTACAACATACCAACATTTTATTAATCAAACGCAAACAAACAAACTAATATCAATATCGACTCGACTGCTTAGGCTTCGACGAAGATTTACGATTATCAAGATGAAGTGTATACGGTGGAGGATTAAGCAAATATTATTTGTTTGAATGAAACAAAATGAGTAAACTGAATTCCGGACATTGATATGGAAATATTCAAATATTAATTCATGTCTATAACTTGAAAAATTTCGTTCATTAGGTGTAATGAGAATTACTCTTGGGCATTAGGCAGGACATTAGGGCAAATACGTACGACTCGTCCAACACGAGTGCATTTTATTTGGGATATTACTATTAACTTGTAAAAATGAATAATGTTAACCTGAATATTACAGTAATTCATTTTTCAACGTTGAAATAGGTCCCTACACGACAATGCGAAACCGTGGCGCTTGGCAGCACGGAAAGGCACATATTACATTAACGGTATGGAGTTGGGGTAGGCCACGAATGAATAATTAGGTTTTAGCAGAATCCAATCACATAATGCCACAGAATATACAAAACCGATTTCGTTTCTACGTGGGAATATACATGTACTTAATATATAATGCTTGGTAACAGGTATTTTAATGAGCATAATAAACACGGAGTATCACAGGTAGCGATAGTTACTGGTTGCTACGATTTGATCGATTCATTTACTATTGCGTACCACAAGCAATTTATCTGTACAAAACAACGAAACGGTTAGGCATACAACATTTGAGTGGTTGAAGCCTAATCAAATCAAACATAGTTTTGGGTCGTAAATCATAACAAAGATAAATAAATACCATAAATCTTAGGTAAATGATTTACAGGGTCATATTTCAGAAAGTAACAAATTCTCTCGCACAGAAGCGACGAGAGAGAGAGAGAAACTAAATCAAATTCTCACGCTAGAGCTCATGGCGCCATGCGTACCATTTTCGCGCGAAACGCGGAGAGGCATACGAGGAAAGACGCGTGCTCGGGGTGGCATATATAGATGCTGGTTGAATATACAAAGAAAATATTCAAGTGAAACATCGCGTAGTAAACAAACTATAAAATTTATCAAATAAGAATTAGTATATATATACTGTAATTGATAAAAAGATAAATGGGAGTACACCAAAAGATGCGCAAGGTGGGTCTATGTGAGGAAGCTTGAAATAATCATATTTCTCCAAGTAGAAGAGTAAGAGAAAGCCAATAGTCAAGGTATATATATGATTGACGTGATGTGTGCATTTTATTCGCGGTCTATATAGTGCTTGGTTGCACTAGTCAAAATGGACTGAACTGTTGAATACATAAAACGTGTTAGTATACGAGATTTTGTTCTCGATTACCATAATAAGGGGAAACATTGAAAACGGAAATGTTATTCGTGCGATAACGCAGACAAAATACAATCGAAAAATTGACGTCTTTATTGTTGAATTTCATACAAAAATAAAGAGCTTAACTGTACTCATGGATATTGTTATGCAAATATGGAATTTGTTCGCTCGAAAACGAAACTGTTATTAGTGCGATAACGCAGACGAAATATAATCGAAAAACTTTTGCGTCTTAACTGTTGAATTTCATACAAAAATAAACAGCTTAACTGCAATTATGGATATTCACGATTCTGGAGGCTGAAATTGAAATTGTACAAAAGTTGCTTTATTGAAAATATTCCCAGAAATGATTTTAAAATTTCATATACTTATCCACCATGTTTGACTGCTGAACAAAATTAACGGAATTGATTAGATTAATTATATGGATTAGGATTAAATCGTCGCCTGCTTGCACTTAGTTTTATAGGCAATTATACCGTATAATCTTCTACTTTAATAATAGTAGAGCCTTAGCTTAAAAGGTAGAATTATGATACATATGACTATCCATACTAACTGGACGTAAATGAGTAATTGGCTTGTCGATTAATTCAAATTAGGTAGCAATATGGTTTTGGGCCTTCAGGTTGTTGAGCAAATATAGAATTGTTCAAAACAGTGAATGATAAATACTTGATGACGTTGTATCAGGAACTTCCATTTTTTTGAACAACATCAAATTACCAAGTGAACAAGGTGACTAAGGCACTACACGCAAACGCAAATTTGAAACACATAACATTACGGAAGTTACAATCTATGAACGGAGAAATTTGAAGCAGTTTAGTTCTATAACAGACAAATGAGCATTATGACACAATATTTAAATAAAAGTTTCGCAAAAATCGTCTTTCTCCTATAAATATTGTTTAGGCGCCGATTTTTCATCGAAGTAGAGTGTGGCAGATAGTTGCGTAACGTATCTTAATCGAGAGTATCATGTTTGGTCAATTTGAGTCATTTTTCGATAAAAACGTCGGCTGCGATCAATTACATCGCAGATCTAGATCGCGATAGTAGCGGAATTTTTTTCACCAGACGACCAAAAGTCATTTCATAAATGCCCGAAGGGAATAATTGAGACCATAATTTTCTTGATAAAATATGGTATTGGTTACATTTTGCGATTATGGCAGGGTGATATTACAGACTTTCGATAGCTAGTGAACGTTATTATAAAATAATGTGTTTAGACTTGGAAACTTTAATATACAAGATTTGGAATAAATAGAATAATTGAGTCAATAATTTTCTTGAGGTAAAATCGTATCAGTATATTTGATGTGGCTATGACAGCATGACAATTTCGAATCTTAGGTTATTTTCAAAGTGTGTTCAGGATTGAAAATAAATTTGCCAAAAAGCAGAAAAGACGCAGAAAAGACGCCTTACTCAAGTAAGGCAGAATCAAATAGGCTATGTTACTGTTAAAATAGTATATTTTAGACATGAAGTCGAAACAAAATTCAGTTCAATTCGAAACAGCTTGATTTGTATCAAAACAATGTTCGGATGGATATGAATCATTTTTGAGAATGAATAAATAATTAGTCGCATTCAGGCATCTCGAGCCAATACACGGAATTCATGGGAACACGGTTGAGTTATAAAAAAATGGACAGAGACTAAACTTTCCGCCAGCCTGGATTGGTAATTGGCCAATTTCAGGTTTCTTATCGAACATTTCTTCATTACCAGCTACTAAATCGAACAGAGTAGCTTATTTCGTAGTTGAAGCATTCAGTAAGTACATTTGACGAAAATAAAACGAACTTCGCTATTCAATCGATCGCTTGAATTGTATCATGAAGGCCAAAATATCACATACGAAATTCAAAATCGATCCCCAAATTTAGCAGCAACCATATTCGGATAAACCGGCGATTTTGGTTAAATTGAAAAAAAAAAAAAATGACTAACATTTTGTAAGACTGTCGTAATCTCGTTAGTACTCGATTTTGCAAAATCATTCGGTCGAGAAACAAATTACCACTATTAAATGCGACTGTTCCGAAGCAGAAACACAATTTCAAGGCTTATTCTGTGGAGCAAAGAGACTACCGTTGTAAACTTTGCGAACAATTATAAACACCATTAATAATTAATACTGTACTTACAGGATACATTCGATGTTGCAACATCACGCAGCACATTTAAAATTTAGCCCAAACCGGCAGATCAGGAAAACATCAAATTTTACAAAAACTTGAAGTAATCGCATTTCTGCTGTAAAAAAGCGGGGACAGACAGCCGTCAACTAATAGGTAACTGTATTACAGCTCAATTGTTTTTTTTAGTACTAATAAATAACATTCTTTTAATTGGCTTTGCAGCATAATAATAGTAATAAAGGAGGGATTACTCAGAAATAAAGGAGACATGTCGGGGTGGCATTTCAAGTAAGTCGAACCTTAGTTGTTTGTTTCTGTTCAATAATGAAAATTGCAAGATAACTTGTGGTCGCTGGACGAGGAAGCCGATGACAGAAGATTGGAAATCTGTATAAACTGCGGTTTTAAATGTGTCAGAGAAACGGCTGTGACTGTCTATTCTGAAAACAATCTGAAACTTTTTTAGAAACCTGAAGTATTTACAGATATATTAGAGTGAAAAAATGGCGAAGACATAAGAATATCATACAGGGCGACACGAATAAAACAGAGCCAATAAATTTTTTTACCTACTTTTACGAAAATGGAAAAAAAATTTTTTTTACACGTTTTGTATGATAGTAAGCAAAAGTCTCAGTAATCTAGCACGCTTTGTACAAAGTTATGTTATCTATGAATATTGTTCCAAACGACCTGGATGCTGTGTTTTGTTTCACCCTGTATTCTGAAATGAGAGCGTGGCTCTTTGAATAAATTTCCAATTCCGCCGCCATTTTATGAATATAAGATACAAATATTTAACTGTAAGTCATACACAATAATGGGTACTCCCGTAGTGTGTGTACCAGGTTAGGGTTAGGCCATAATTTTATTCTGATTTTCCTTATTTTAGTTCTATAATGAGTTCGAGGACTGTCTGTGTTAGCCAAGTGAATATACCCCCTGCCCATAGCCTTCCGTCCATTTACACAACTTGATGTAAAGTAGGCCAGCAAATTAGTTACCTACATATAGGTACATACATTTCTGGAGCGCCCAATAATGTCATATATCTATTGCATCTATAACACGATTTCACCATCTGAAATCCGTTTAGTAAGAATTGTAAATTTAAGTGTCGTTGAACGAAGATGAAAAATCACGATAAAACTAGCCTTGTAAAATGACGCGCGTTTGTCGACAAAAATATTACGACATGAATATTGCATATAGCATGAGAGTGTAATACAACTAAAAACAAGTTTTGGCTAAACTAATAAATTGCTTTTCCAATGATTGAACTGTCTGTCCGTGTTAAAATATATTTGACTGTCACTGTCAATGTACATAAAGAGTATGGTACAGTAGTAGTATACAGTACAGTACACCGATATTAAGAATGCCTTATGACCATGAAATAACGGGAGAAATCGCATGCTAAAAAAATTGCTTATCGAATTGATAATGAGCATTACCTACTCGATTCCAAATAAACTAAACCGCAACAAATTGAATGATAATACTACAACGAAATTCGAACTTTAGACATAATCAAAGCTACACCCAAGACGTGAAAAATTTATCAAACATCAGTAAACTGCTGTGAACTTCGAAATTTGCATGGATTGAGAAACACATCAAAAATGTGAAATATTCACACAGGATATAAGCAAACTTTGTCGCATACATTGTTTACCTTAAACCCCAAAACCTCATTCTAACAATCGCTTCGTACTGTAGTTTTAATAATTTTTTCGCCGGACATTCGAGATATTTTGTAAAATACTATTCAAATGATATATTAGAATGTTATAAAACGTATGGAAGCAATATATACTACCATATTCATCGAAATTTGGTAATTCATGCCTTCGCAAGGTAATACGGTAAAATTCTTCTGCCGAATTTCAATGTTGTCGAAAAAAAAAATCATAAAATAGGAGGTCGAATTTTCTTATTTACTGGGGGTCGAATACACCAAGTGATTTGCGGGATTAAATTTAATAAAAGAAAATTCAATTTATGTGAGAGTAAACACACATGCATGTAATGAAGTCATAATATGACGTCGTAGGTTTATTTAACATACGAAATTATACTTTGTAATGTGTCATTTTTTTTCAATTTTAGACGGAGAGCGTTTGTTTGCCTGTTGTCTACGGTGTTCTTTGTAACTATTGGCCTTCATACCGTCATAACCTTTGATTGGACGAGAACACAATTTACAGGTTGGTACAATTCACTATTTATTGTTGACAAGGACGCCAATTTGCTACAGTACTGGGTTATAGAAAATCATCTATGTGTTTGTCAAATAGAAAAAAAAATCAATATATGAACCGCGGTCGAAATTCTCCCGATACATTGTAAAGATGTCCATCTCAAAAGTAAATTTACATTGAGGGAGATACACTGAACATCAGTATCAGTTTGTTACACCAAGTTTCGAATCATTTCGAAATTGCCGTCTCGTAAACATAGGGATACACCATAGAATCAAATACTTTTCATTTCTAAGATGGTATTTCAAATACTCATTATATAATCCATTCGACTGACCGTGTCCAGTTGCATTTCATAAAAAACGATTAAGTTGTCACTCACAAACCGGTAGGCAAGAGCTCGAATTGCAAATTCAGAAATGCCGAAGAAACGCATATGGCGTTCGCCAACAATCAAATGTAGTTGGGAAAAAATATCATATGCAGCAATAAATAAACAAAACAATTTTTTATTTAAGTTGAATTAAAAAGTCAACCCAACAATATGATACCGGCAACTCCTAAAAAATCCAATATTTGACAGGTCCGGAGGAATTTCTATTACGGGAAGGGCGAAAGGCTTCAGAAAACAATATGGTAAGGGGAATTTTTCTAAACTAAATCACCAGCATTATGGGATAACGTTATAACATAATAGCATTTTGTTTAACAATAGGGAACATTCCTTGCATTCAAATTTTTATAAATGCTTCCGATTTCAACTTTGTATGATTATGAGCTATATGTTCCTGTATAATTCACGCCTCGTATAGTATACCGGTATATAATTTAACTATGCAATTCAAGAGTCTTGCTGCACACAAATGTGTTAGTGTGCAGCAGGAGTTTTGAATAGCGTAGAATGGTCATGTTTATTCCTGCTACAGTGCTACAGCATCCTTGCATTATACAAATACCAATCCACTATAGCGCAAAGGCATTGAGGAAGGATTGGGAGTTAGTCTCGCGTAACCTCTCCTGGTAGTTATACATAATTTGTTTTAATTTGTTTAGAACAATGCCAGGCAGTTGGCATCATACGATAATCTCAGTCCAGAAGAACCGCTGGATGATTACAGAAACGAGGGAACGCTGGAGAACGCGAAAATTCAAGACCTGGTAAGTATGGCCACACATTTCGGATTTCTAAGATTAGAAAAGTGCAAAATTTGGGTTACCGAAATTCTTCATTAAAGGTTCTCTTACAAGTAAGACTTCCTTTTTCCCATTTTTGGTACGAACTCATTCTTAATGTCGAGGCATTTGTATCAAATGGAATTTTGCAGCAAAACAGTCCCATTTAAAACATATTATATTGAAATAACGCCTTGGTCATATTTGAAGTCCATATGTTAGTTATTTCTCAACAACCGAGGCGAATCGAACAAATAAATCCAAACGATAATTTCAGTTAGAGAAACAAGTCACAACGCGAGAACAGCGCTTATAAGTCGCAGGGCTAGGGTAAAACTATTGGCTTTCAGGTATATTTGGTCAGGGTGGCGACGTTATTTTTTGTTGGGAAATACAAAAGAATAATTTGAAATATCCGGCATCGAGTCAGCTATACTGACAGGTCAAATTTTACGTATAATAATAAAATGCGACCTATTCAATCTTCGAATAAAACAATTTGAAGGGGTAGGCGTGTTTGACAACTGTTGGGTGACGAAAACAAATCAATGGTACATGAATAAGAGGGAGAAAGTACATATAGGCAAGATTTGAGTTATAAACATAAATTCTTTGGCTCAGAAAAATGACTAGAAAAAAAAGCTGTTGAAAGTAATTTTTATTTGGAATGAAATTTTAAAATTTTCAACTAAACAAACTAAAGCAATACCGCATCGAAATTTAAGTTTTATTTAGTGCCACAAAGTACCTGTATCTGGCGGTTAGGACGCGTCCTTGATTTCTTCTATTATCTGTTATATTATATGAGAATAGTACACGTGTGTTTTTCTCCGCAAGCGGACGAAATATCGACCAATATTTGAATAGATACACGAGGTGCAACCCGATTCATCAATAATGAAATGACACCGACTAGCACAAGATAACAAATGTATACGAATGTTTTGTTTTAATAACAAGCGTTACTCCAGTCTATGTTTAATCGGTTTATAATTAACAAGTTTTAATAAGTTCCTCAAGTTGTTGCGCAAAATGATACAGGACCATTCCGTCAAAAAACGATAATGATTTATTCATAAAAGTTTTCAAATTTTATCAAATTCGAGTATTGTCTGAAGTCTGAACACCCCTGTGTCGTGGCGTAACATTGAAAAAAGACCAATTTTCTTTTAGATCCCTCCAAATAAAGTCAAGGAACCGCCAAAGCTACCACTCGGCCCTATGCATCGACCAGGTCCAGTGTTGCAAGACATTAAAGGAACGTATGTACAACTGAAAGACGACCAAGACGACGAAGTTGAATTTCATGCTTGTAACGCTAGGGGAACGTTAGATATGAGAGCATATCCGTTTGTTGACGCAAGAAGAATATATTGTGGAGATTCAAAAGGGATGTATGGATTATTGAAACCGCCAGGAGCGATACCGTTGGATATATTGGAAAATGAACTGAAAACGAATAAATCGAATGCTTCGTCTGGCGGAACGGTAAGCTAGCTTCATAATGTTATCGCATGCAAACGATTAGAAAATGAAAGTCAAATCCGTAATATTGAAACATTGAAATAGTGAACAAAGATAGTCTGGAGCGATATTTCAGTTCAAATGGTATTGTAAACTGAAGATGCTCCAATAATGTGTTTTTAATTAAAATTCAGACATAGGGATTAGTGAATTTAAACGAAGAAAATCCATGACAAAATTGCTGACCTGACAATGATAATAAATTACACTAACTAAACAATGAAACCAAATAGAATTTTAGAATATCATCAATTCTGAATATGTAATACCCCTGCCACCAAATGCAAAAGATAGGGAAAATTGGACAAAATCAAAATTGAGATGTAAAATACCATGAGCCACTTGAAACAAAAATTCTACATAGCACAATTACTTGACGAAATTCTTCAAGAATTGAAAATAGCACAGAACGAACTTTATACATACTTTATATATTCGAGTAATGTATACGAAAATTGGATCTGGCATTCAAAGTGGAAAATGTATAAAGCAAACCTTCGAAAACTAATATGCAAAAATACTAGGAATGTGAGGAATTATCAAAAATTATTCTTCCCGTCACGAGAGGTTAAACGTGTATACCGGGATAAGTGAAATTTTTTTTAACAAACAATTAATATGCTGATTCGATATTACACCAGATGTACCGTAGTGGTCACTGGTCAGTATGTCGGTCATTATATGTATAATATAGTAAGTCAGCAAAAAGTCAAATACATACCTTGTATTACATGGGCGAAAGGACATCATAATAGAAAAAAATGACTAATGTATTGAAAAAAAATGAATTTTTATCATTTTCAGATTTCAAAGCTCGACATCGTCGTGGACCCTCCAATGGCATTGGATGGCATTTCAGTATCAGGAGTCGGTAACGTGATAAAAGCCAAACAATTTTCCATTTCCAAGAACGGAAATATCGCTCACACGAGAACTAATAGAACAATATTATCTGCAAGCGGAAAAACGTACTACACGAACTCTATATTATTTTTTCCACCTATTTTATCAGAGCAATGGGTACTTATGGCTTTTTTAAGAACGTTGTACACCGAATGTTCAGTTACTTCAAGGTTTACTGCGGTGACTGTTAACCACGCTTCGGTACATGGAAAGAGCGTAACCGCTCCGTTTTGCGTTTTCCTAAACACATTCGGAGGTGGGATTAAAAATGCTTACGTTTTATGGGAAGGTGACTGCAAAACGAATCCTTTGCCGAAAAGGCTAACAAAATGTAAAGTAAGCGACGCTAGTATATAGCACAGATCTTACAACCATATATTATCGGCTCAGGGAATACAAATTTAACTGAAAGTACCTTTTTCTTTTTTTGACCGACATATTGAATTGTAATAATGTCGAATACCTGAATTTTGTTCAATTCATATTTGTTAGTTGCAAGCAACTTTTTCTAAACTGAGTTCTACTTGCCAAATATTATGGGTTGTATTACTGGGGGAATGAAAGCGTATTATAAGTCCCGCAAAATAATTTACTATTAGACTCTATAACCAAAAAGGTATGATCCGACCCATCCACTGTCACAAAACGCCATTTTCGTTTTTGTAGTTAATTCCGTACAATGGATATAATTAGGATAATCTCTTAAAAAGTCACACCACAGGTGTTTAAAGTTCATATGAAAGACAAGTGCATTAAACTTCAAGTTGGTTCGCATTCTCAAAAATTATTCAAATGTGTGATAGCCTAGCACTGATTAGATTAGGGCAAACAATATACTTATGGGCTACGGCAATATTATAAAAGTACTGTTCTTCGTCACTGTGTTACTGCTGCTATATATTTTATTAAACTTCGAAAAAATATCTGTTAACGTCTTGTATAGTAGGTTGAATTACGGGGAACGCTCTTGGAGACAGTATAGAAAATGGTTCGTAGAAGTATATCAGCTATCGGAATGCTATTCAGGGCAGTGTTTTATCTAGATAGCGGGCCTGAGGATTTTTGAAATGAGCCTGGAGTTCTTTCTCAATGGGAAGGAATACAGTAGGTCCCAGGAAAAATGTTATGGTTTTGTACCAAGATTTGAAAGTTCAACTTGACAATCTAATAAAGAGGCACAAGGATTAGTTTGGCCATTGACAATTTTACTTTATTGTTGATATTTATATCGTGTTTATTCGAAATTTTTATCAAAGCTTTTGTTGACCTTAATTTTTTTTTGACACTGAAAATGAGCCACAGGAGAATAAGGGTTGATAACCACAACTTTAGGGCATCATTGAAATGTAGGCTTACTTAAGACTGAGCACAATCGGCTGGAAACGAAAAATTTTCTATACAAAAATTGTCATCGCGCATTAACTCTGCTTAGGCTAATTAAAATTGTCCAAACTCTGACGTTGTATGTACTTTGTACATGCGTAAGTACATTTGTAAGTTTATGATGAAGAATACAGTGCTTAGTAAAACGTATCTAGGGTTTCAAGAGGAATGGGTCAATATTGGAAGATTTCAGTAGAGTCAAGAAGATCTAAATTTTCGTAATAGATAAAATCACTCTTGAATATTATTATTGATTGAAGTTGGTTCACGTTAATACATTGTCGTTTCAATTTGCCTAACGATTATGTGAAAGATTTTAAAACCAGTCGAGAAGAGTTAAATTTTCATTCTCATCAAGACATCCCTTAAATAATATTGATTTGGAAGATGTAGAAAAAATTTAAAATACGTCAATGTATTCTATTAAAGTAAGGAACGCAGATTAAGTTTAACAGACAGTGCATGTGATAGAATTGAAAATCGATGCAAATTCATTAAAATGGCGTGAAAAACGGTGGCATGCGTTTTAAAAATACGGATACTACATAAAACTGTTGGTTGTAAATAGTCGTTCTTATAAACAGCTCGCGATCGAGTTGTCCAGAATAAGCATTGTTAGGAAACATAGTTGGTACTGATTATCATAGAACTCAACACCACTATCCTATTAAATTAGCAATCAAATTACCGTTGATCAAATACGCTTGTAGGGGTGAGAAATACCAGTCCAAGAAGAACATAAAATGTAAAAAGAAACCAATATCTACATATCCCCACAAAAACATTCTGATGTAAATATGTAATCGAGAGACTCTCGATTAAAACTATCATCTGTAATATAGTTTGAAATTTTTTACCCCAGTACGCAATTTTCTATATTGTACAGGTATATCATTTGAAGCAAACAAAAATATAAAATTGTGTTATTTTTTATTTCCTACCATCTGGCGGTCTATTGTAATTATCGATTAGAACTTAGAAGGTGCTCAAGAAGTGTGTGTAGTTTGTGTACCAATATGAAGGTAACCAATGTTCGCCTACTTACATCAAGTTGTGTAAAGAGACTGAAACCTATGGGCAGGGGGTATATTCACTTGGCTAACACAGACAGTCACCGAACTCGTAAATAAGTAATAGAACTAAAATGAGGAAAATCGGAATAAAATTATGGCCCAACCCAAACTTGGTACACACACTACGGGAGTACCGGTTAGAATGCCTAACGTAATGATAACAACCTATGCAATTCCCGATTAATTTTTATTTTCAAGTGCCTCCATCAATACTTGAGACAATGAGAAGTAAAGTAAACAAGGGGATAACAGCAAGTGTAAATTTGAACAATTACCAAGAACTACCACTTGTAAATCAACGCTACTCTCATTAGTCACTAGCACACTTGTTATGTGATTCTTCTTGGTATAGTATTAATAACTCTGCAGAAATCTTACACAGTTCTGCATTATAAAATGGTATGGTAATAAAAACATTGATATTGAAATTTTAAATTCCAATTGAATTCGAGCATTTTCACTCTTGTTATTACTCACAATATCAATTGAATCAAGGGCAAATTATATTTCAAACTGTGACCAAAATCTACTAAAAAACATAAAATTCCACTAGATTTTACTGGAATTTTCTTTGCTAATTTTAAAATAAGATTACCTGATGTTCAAAATTTTCCTCCTGTTGCTCTTTCCATAATTCAAGTTCCATTGCTGTTCGGTATTCTGCACTTTCTCGGGGCTCTTCCACAGCGACTCGGGCTGATGCAGCAGATTGTTGTGGAACTTTGTTTTGTTTCATTTGATCGCGCTGTCAATATGTTAAATGAGAAAATTGGTACATAATAATATGATTTTAATTAAACAATGTGGCAGACGTAGAATGAAAACTTTTACAAAAGACGTTGATAAAATATGACTAAAGGCGCAAACTACTTCTCGCACATCCGCAGAAAAACATTAGTTTTCCAATTGTTTCAATCAGTAAAGAATTACATTAACTTTGTGGTAGGAGTGTATAAAATTGACAGATTTAGATTTTGAAATTTTCTGAATGACCAATTACGTGGAGTGTTACAGGTAATATCAACAAACTTTTCTGTTCAATTCCAAAAATCAAATTATCACACTTTACATTCCTAACTTAAATATAATTGTATTGAAATATCCAGAGAATGGTGCATATACCAGAACAGATGGTCGGTCAAATACGTAACACAGTACAGTTTATGAATTAAAAATAGTTTTATCGCTAATAGCAAAATATTAACCACCCCCTAGAGCAGGGCTGGGCAATTATTTTTGGTATCGGGCCACATTGAATATTCAAAATGCAGTGGCGGGCCGGACTAAGTAGAGTCAATTGCGCGTTTTTATTGTATGTTATTACAGATTTAAATACGTACTATATATAAGTAAGTATATAAATAAGTACTATATCTATTGTACTTTGTTAGAATTTTTATTCAAAGCGCATTTAATAAAACTAGTTTAAAACATAAATCTGGCGATTTCGAGACAATACATTGGATCAGAGAAACGGAACGCTTACATAACAATGTCGAATTTTGTCACTAATGGTGGAAAGTGAGTAACAATGCGAAATTAGGACCATGCCTTCGGTGGCCAAACATCGTGATTCATATAACTTTGCTGTCATCATAGCATTTTTAAGGTGAACAAGGTTCGAGGTAATTTTAATGCATTGGAAGGCGTTGCGAGCTTAAAAGTCTGCTTTAAAATACCACGGCTATCTGCGGATTTAAAAATGTGAGATATACTTTATATACTATATCTATTTTTGCGATACGGATATATTTAAAATGCATTGATACGGGCACATTGAAATGTCTTGTTTTCAACCTGACCCGCGGCTGGTTTGATAAAATATAAGCATTACAATTCTGAAATACCACCGCATTCCGCCGACATTAAAATGTAAGGTAACGTGCCAGATTATTACTTAAAAAATCGATTGAGTTTACCTTACATTAATTATCTTATAAATCAGGCCCCGTCGGTAGTTTTAGAATTGACCAAAAGGTACATCGCACCCACGAAAGCTACGCCATTAAAATTAAAAATCTGGCACCAGAAATTTTTTAGTTCCCATTTTCACAAAAGCGTTTTTAATCTGTCGCGAGCTGTTTGAATCAAAACTTGTTTCTGTTCAATTTTTATCATTTTATATTGCCGCTCTAAATCTAGATTTAGGTTGCTTGCAGATTCACTCCTTTATTTATCTTTAGCATCTCGTCGTCGATGATTATATAATAACTCATTTTTTTCAATGGGTTCACAGTTCCGTATACAAGACATATATATGTTGAGAAAAATTTGTGACTTGAGGAGAATAATCCCTGACGTAAAGGTGTTCTACGTTCTAAATAACACCTCGAGATGACAAAAACAATCGGCGATTTAAAGGTGTTATGTGTTATTGAATGTGGGATCGACTTTTTGATTGTCTTAAAAATTCTTTTGTTCGCAATCAAAGTATATTTTATATGTAAATAAAAAAGTGTCTAAATATAGAAACTTGCTCACGGGCCAGATAAAACGTTGCCGCGGGCCGGATGTGGCCCGCGGGCCGCAACTTGCCCAGGCTTGCCCTAGAGTGAAAAGCTGGGGAGCATACTGGGTACACGCGAAGCAGATGAATAAAAGATAATCAACTAACCTGTTTTTGTTGTTGTTGTGGAATTAGTAGCTTCTGTTCTCTGACAGTGCCATAATCTTCCAGTGTCAAGGCAAGATTAAGATCAGCTACTTTTTTATTGGGTCTGTAGATACAGAGAAATTTACTAAAAGTACTTGGCTATTTATTTAGGATTTACATATTTATCCAAAGGGAAGAGGAAAGCCGATAAGACAGCTTAATAATAGGGCGAACCATGGCCTATCTTTAGATTACCATTCCACGTCGGGTATGGAAACAGGAGTTCAGCAATCCTCTTATATCCTTATCGCCCAAAGGATTTAAATCTACAAAACCCAAGCAGGGTGATCAGAAGTGGAGTGAAGAGGGTATTCGTAACGCACAGCCTGATGTACCACACTACCGAGCCAATTTTCAATTCAATCAATTTGGTTCCAGTCAGGTCTTGCAACAAATTTATTTAGCAGAAATAATTTTTAACAATGAGAAGAAAATGATATACACATGAATTAAAAGTAGTGAGAGCAAAGTTGTTCGAAACTGGATTAGATCAGCGGTTGACACAAAACTCAAAATATTTCTAGTTATACTGTGAAGGAAAAAGTCAATAAAAATTGTGCAAGGTCTGACCACACAATGCACTTCACTTACCCCTGAACAGACATCATGTGTACCATTGATGAATACGACCATCTTATGCCTTGCTTTCCTTGTTTTACATTTCCTGTGCCTTCCCCAGGACTGATAAACTGCACAGGATCTTGCGTCATCAATACGGGCAAAGGTACAGCAACAGCTCCAATCAACATGTCACTACTCTCTTTGTCTCGATGCCACAATTCAGCAATCAATGGAACACTGAAAAACAATAAGAAAATAGCCAGGTTCATCTTTTTAAAATAACAAGATGAATATAAGTGACTGTGGTAGGCATACAATTTTGAAAGTATCCATATGAAATTTATAATTGGAACATAGAATATATTCACAATAGTGTGAATCAGATTCTCCAACGACAAGAATTAATTTCATCTTAAATTGTGTTAAATATGGTATAAAATTTGGAAAAAACAGGCAACTTTATTTGGATGATCTGAAAAAATGTCAAAAAAAAAGTTATTTGCCCAACCATTAATAACTTTTACAAGATAATGAAAATAAATGCTGTGTTGACAAAACTTCAAACAAAAAAGGCAACCGCAACATTTCCCCCTTGGGATACAAACATCAGGGCACTCCCTATAAATAAATAAAGAGCAAATGGGCAAACATAGTTAACATAGTGATATAGATGCTACTGTTAAAAACGATATATTATTGAGACTTGAACAATATAAAAAATGAAAAAATGCATTACATTTTGTGGTAATTCATAATTATCACAAACAAAATAAAAACTTATTGTCACGAGTTTCTATTTGAAATCACTAAATATATTTAACAGGATCACAAAAATTCTTACTTTTCATTCACGAAAGGAGCACATTAAAAGAAACTTAAGGTTCCTCACTTATAAGTGAGGAATTCCACATGGTTGAGAATAAAACAAACATTTAGAAAAACTGGATTACCCTAATCCAATAACAATAAATTACTATGCATCATGTACTGTGAAAAGCATATTATTTTGTCTTAAACATACAATTTTCAATATTAGTTGACTTTGAAAATAAATTTTCCAAATTCTCATCTTTTTCTTTTAATCAGTATTCCAACAATTTTATTTGAACAAATAAAAATATAGACAGCGGACAAAATTTTTTATTTCTGGTATTTTAATTATGTTGTGACTCAACTTGACTATGACTATAAAACCTGGCAATAAAAATTCTCCACTCAAAACCTATACGGTAACAGTCAAACAAAAAAGTTTAATAACGCTGATTCACACTGTACACAATGTAGTTTATGAAACTGTCTTTATCAGATTTTATTCATGATAACTTGTGATTACAAAGGATGTGGTAATCTTTATTAGATATTGAATAAAATTATATTTCTGCGTTATATCCAAATTCATTGTTTGCATTACCCCTGGTCTACTTTTAATATTTTACTCACTAAATTTACATTAACAACAAGCACATGGCATAATATCGTCAATAACACTAAATAGCGCCACCTACAAGCATATAAATAACAAATTAGATATTATGATTTGAATTCCTCCTGGCAAATAAAAGATATAGGTTTAAAAGAGGAAGACTGATTATCAGGTCGTACTGGGTAGTCAGATTATATTTTCCACTGCAAAGACTGGGTTGGCAGTAGATACTAGCAACCCAAATCAAACAGTAATCAGTACAACAGTCAAGAAATCCTCTCATAAATTAAAAGCCGTGTGGTTGAAATTTGAATATTCCGAAGAGTCAAAAGTGAGAATTTCAAAGTCAATTATATTTGTTTTCAATCATGATTCAGATTTGAAATATTATTCACCCCAGAGCTGAATGAAGATCGTAAAACTTTCCGTACTGAACATCCCTGGGTACATTTTCATGCTGATCAGAAACACACACAGTACATTTTCATGTTAATCAAGAACACACACAGTGTTATCAGTAGTACAATGGAATAATGGTCCCATCCTACCATTTATTATTCAGTTGACTCGAGGGCCCCAAAATTCAGAATAAAACAAACAGTGACTGGAAGTGTTTTCTTTTTTCTTTTCCAAGTCTGTTTTATCTACTGCGGAAATAAACTTTTTTCATATTCCCCAACCTATTCCAATGCTTTTTAGTTTAGTATAGTGACTTTTCCATACTTTACAGTCATTATTTGACAAAGTCAAAATTGACTGGACAATTCGCTAAGCCTCAGGACTATGCTTGCCAACACACCACTAAATACCCTTTGCAAGTTTGCAGCTTTGAATTAATTCCGAAACGAATTGCTAACTGTTCCAATGTCCGACATGGACTGATAACCGGCCGAGTCGCTTCAGTTTGCTGTCTGATCGAGTCATCTTATCGATTTTCCTCTTCCCCGGAATAAGTAGAAAAATTCTATACTGTCACTGAATATGCAAACACATCTTAGGGTAGTAAAATCTCGGAATCTGAACATTACCTGTTAAATGTATTGTGCAATAATGGAGCAGTACATGCAAAATCAAATGTACATAAAGATCGAGGTAGAGTTGTCTGAATATTTCTTGGAATTTCAACAGGTGGGTTCGTCAATACAGGAGCAGCACTTCCAAAGAATGGATATGTGTATCTGAAAATTTGCAAAGCTATATAACGTGAAAATGAACAAAAATTGTTCCTATTTGGACTTGAAAGACAAATTTGAAATACAATTCAGGGCACCTTCGACTAGTGGTTAAATTAAAACGTTAGATTTTCCATGATGGCATCGCAAGTTAAAATCTCGGCTTTAACTCCATGCCCATCATCTAAACTAGGGTCTAATAAGTTGGGTAGACAATGAAAAACAGAAAAGATTCCAGCCATTCCAAATTTTAGAAGCTTTTTATCTAGCAGTTGCTGCTTGTGCACAGCCTTGTTTGGAGTGATAGGTGTAAAAGGAACTATTTTCATACAGATTTTTTACTTACTGGATGTAGCTGTGATAGAGTGTTTCACTCTTTGCTAGATAAGAGTGGATTCCTATTTAGACTCAATTGAGTTGAGAGGTAATATAAAAAGCCGGTTTTTGAAAATGATAGACAGGAAAATATCATACAAAAATTGTCTAAAGAGATTTTCTTTAAAATCAAAAACAAGAAAAAAAAATTATTGGAAATTTTGATCCATTATTTGTTTAATGAGAATATTGGTAAGAATGGATGTCTCTCAGAGTGTCAACTCCCTTATTTGGTTCAGTAATACTAGCAGCCATGTTTCTGCAGAAATCAGAGTCTCGAAAAAGCTATGGTAGACTAGTATAGAGTTGGCTATCAGTACTCTTGAATGGCAAGCGGTTAATAAATATTTAGAAACAAAATGATGGTTATGAACATGTTAACCAGTTTATAAGTGCCAAGTCAAAAGTCAAAAAAAATTCTCAAAAGAAGCATCAAAAATGTTGCAATGGTAAAGTATTTTCTGTGGTCAAGTTGGGGGAACATCCATTGAAATGAATAATTTCATTACTCCAAACCAATTGTATATGTTCAATCAGGTCCAAAGAAAACAATACTCACTTGATAAATGCGTTGCAAGTAAATGGTAAATCTAGATCAGCAATACTTTTCAAATGAAGAGAAAACCTATAATGTCTTGCTTGTGGTGGTACAACAGGATGTGTTGCTGTTGTTGTTAATCCACTACTCTCTGTCACGCTTATAGGATCTTGTGTCGAAACAGCGGATACTAAAAAATTACCAAATTCACAATTATTATCTAAGAAACTTGACAAAAGTGTTTTCTGTCAGGTGCGAGGTAATTGAAACATTATACGAACAAACTATGGCTAGTTTGAAACTGACTTCTGATTTGCAAACCATTTCACACAATAAAAATATGGGTAGTCTTTACTTATTTTGTAATTTTTGAAGACAACTTTGATTAACACTGTTTAACTTATCACACCACCTTAAGTTCCATGGTGAAAGTGTTTTTATCCAGAACATTTGACTTTCACAATTCTTACTTACAAGCCAAGTCAACATTGACTAACATCATATTACATATAAGAACTACGGTATATCACAAAGAAATGATGAGAAAAAATAGGGGTTGTTTATGGAGTTACTTGTGACAGATTACAAATACCATCGTTAATAATCAGGCTATACATGTGACATTGGGATAGGACTTGAAGATCATTTGGGCATGGCAAAAGTTATTTCTTGAATAAATACATGAAATTGGCTAGAACACATGGGCCCTGTAGGCATTTGATAGTGTAAAGCGACAGTGTTTTTAAACCTTTGTTATTTGAAATATGGTAATATGTCGTAATATTAAAATCCATACCTGGCTTCCTCTCAACTTTCCTTTGTTCCTTCTTATCTTTCGCAATTCTTTTGACGTTGGTCTCAGAATCATTATGGATACTATCAGCTTCATCATCGGTATCCAAAGTAAACGATTTCATTTCAGGCAAGGGCGGTGTAGGAGTTGATGTTCTCTGACCCACCTGAAAAAAATTCATTTACTAATTTACTGACCACACATAACTGGTGGGCAAACCCCATCCCTAATAGCATTCTTTGTGCATGAAATTGTAAATAAAAGTTCATGCTATAAGCAAAGAAAATAATTTTACAAATGCAATCTTCCGATTTGGTGCAAATGTTACAGTTACAAGGTGAGATGAGATTGAAGAGCCCTTAAAGTATTCGGTTTAGTATCAGAACCCAAATAACGGAAATAAGTAAAACCTACAGAAGAATATAGAGCTCTAAGTATAGCATATTTGTTGGCTGTATTCCTTAGAATATGACTGTCTGTAAGACTTAAAAACAGGATTCTTGACTTAGAAGTGGAATTACCTAAGACACTAACTAAAAACGCACTAGATACAGCCTCTGCATATGCTCATGTTTTTCGTGGCAAGACAGCTAGCTTCACAGCCGACGATGGTCACATCAATGTGAGCAGTACAGTTCTCCAAATATAACTACCCCTAACAATACCTCAGTTTCAGGAGAAAGAGGTTTTCTTGGCATTTCAGAAGTTTCTCCTGCCTTTTTCGGTTTCGTTTCCTTGCTCACTTTTTTTGGTTTTTGTTTATCAGGAAGAACATCTCTTTCAGGTACATCTTGTGGAGCTGCATCGTCACTCGATAATAAATGTCCTGTTGTCAAAACATCACCTTGTTGACCAGTTTTGGTTGGAACTGGTGGTATGGAGTCATCAATAAATGGCGTCTTAAACAATGCAATATAATATTATTATTCCTGGATAGTTTCTTTATTGTGTCAATTTGTGGCAACATCACAGAAATTCAAATATGACATTATCTACAACAGTGGTTCCCAACCGCCGGTCCGCGAAGCTTTTTTGCCGGTCCGCAAGAAATTTCGTTGTTTTTATGCCGTCTCAATCGCTTTGCCGAAAACTGAGGTTGCGTTTGTTTATTGCGCAATTTCTCTTTCACCGTCATATTGCGACATCTTGCGACGTCTTTCGCGACATATTGGCGCCGAGTAATCACACTTTTCGCTTTATCGGCTGCGATTTGTCGCTCCATCAAATCTCGCAAGATTCAGAAACCTAAAAATCGGCAGGCGTGCTTTTTCTGTTCTGCATGCTTTTCCTGATTAATATGACAATCCATATAAAACGTTATGCATATTTCTTTGTTCGAACCAGAAAACAGAAAAGAACAGTATAATATCCCAGTAAGATATGAACTTGTTGCGACCCTACAGGTGGTCACGAGACGCGCAAAAAAGCATGGGCCGCTGAGATTTTTTCCAGTATTTTGAACAGACATTGGGCCTGGTGCCAAGTTACCGACGACTTTGTCATTGTAATGTAAATTCATTTCGTTTGAGGCGTCGGTCAACTACAGAGTGATTAATATTATGAACCCGATGAAAAAGAAAAAGCTTGATTAAAATTGGGATTTTACTTTACAGTCCAGATTTAAAAAATAATCACTGTCACAATTTTGGATATCTCTTGATACGGATACCAATGAGCATATATACACTACACATTGCGAATACCCATCGCTAAGTAATAGAGCAATCAAACTGTTGTCCGTATTTTCAACCAGTTACTTATGCGTTATGCAAAAAAACATTATCATCCCTAGCATTAATTAAAACGGAGCAAAGAAATCAACTTTACGCTGCTGCAGAGCCACGTGTTGCAGAAACTTCTTTGAGGCCCCGTTTGCAATCCTATATTGAGAACGAAACAGCAGCAAAATTCTCACTAGAGTTAACTGTGTTTTTACATGATTTGGCATGTACGTGTTTTTATGTGAGATATTTTATGTATGCCATTCTTACGCATAATGGGTGCCCAACACTGCATTTCATTACGCAAATATATGGTATTATTTTATGTTTCACCCGTTTCAATTTTTGGCCGGCACATTTTTTGATAGTTTTTCTTCGTGTGAAATGTTTTCAAGTGTGCCTTTTTTGTCTAGAAGCATATTGAGTGTCCGACGTTGCATTATATTAGGCACATATATGTTATTCTTTTCTGTCCCGGTCATTCCAATTTTTGCCGGTCCGCGAGTACATTTAATTTAATTTTACCGGTCTGCCAGGGTAAAAAGGTTGGGAACCACTGATCTACAAGTTCCAAAAGATAATGCCATATTTAGATTACCACGTTGCCACAATTTGGCGCTACCATTGTCAAATTTTATTTATGTTGTTATTCCCCTAGGTTTCTCTAATGGAGCCCTGAGGCTCTGTATGGAGCACTTTGATTCATTTTGCATGTATACTTTTGTTTAAAAATTATCAAAAATTGGCATGCTAAAGTATCTCCTCTTTTACTTGTGATCAGTGATAACCTCACTGGAAAAATTATTGATTAAAAAAACTTATTAAAAATAATTTGGAATATGAAATATATTGGAAATATTTCCATGCCACGGAGTTCTCCAACATCAATTTATATTTATGTGATTGAATTTGATTTCACATAAACGCTGGGCTCTAACACATTTGAATCGATTATTACACATATTGTTATCATAAGTTCAATGTTCCATATTTTTGACTAATCCTTCAAATGGCAATTACAAGAAAATATTATTATATTATTCTCAAAGTAGATAATATATTATATAGAATACAATTGATTCCTAATAATCTTCAAATGGCAATTACAAGAAATTATTATTTTATTATTCTTAAAGTAAAGAATATATTATATAGAATACAATTGATTCCTAATGTATATTATTATTATTTAAACTGTTTTATATCTTCTCGTCGGCGAAGGGATTGTACAAGACCATTTGGTACAACAGGTAAGGTTAACCCACAAAGTCGATCACAAATTCTGAACACATAACAAAGCAACACATCTTACACAACAGATAATTATTTTCAGTACCTGTACAGAATCTGAAGATATTTCTTCCCTTCGTAAACTTATTGACACGCCAACTTTCGCCTCCACGTTTCCTTCTAATTGCTGTCGCATAAGATTGGGAGGGCAGAGTGTAAACGCTCCTTCTGTTATGACTGGTTTAATTTCAATTTCTTTGCTTCCTTTTTTAAGTAATGCATTGAGTGGGATTTCAGCACTTCCCAAAGATTGATCGCCGGAACACAGATGAACTTGCAAACCAGACTGAAAAAGGAATAACTGAATATTGGAGTTTTAAGTTTGGGTCAAAATTAATATTATAAACTTTTTTGCTGTCAGAAGTTGGAATTATGAACATCTGGAGTTGAAATCGAAAATTCAGCGACGTCGTGAGGTTTGTAAATTAATGCCGAAATATGGTTATCTTGTAGTTACAAGTCTACGTCAAATTTTTTCAACCCATATTCAGAGTCAAAATATGAGTCAACCTGAAATTGTTAAGAGGCGGTTGGTTTTTCAAATAGGTAGATAAGGGAATTTCATGTGGTCAAAGCCAAAAATGAAATGCGGTTTTGCTTATAAACTCATATTATTTCATGACAATTAAAAATTATGATGGTAGATTTGCCTAGTAGTAATCAATGATACGACTAAATTAGGAAAGCAAAAAATGACTCCCATCCTCATCATGTCCTAGTTAGGGCATGTGTACAAACCATAGCTGGGTGCCAGAGTGGAATCCTGGAACCATGGAGCCCTGACATTCTGATGGGGCTGGAGCTCAGCTTAACCTATTTTATGGAGCTGGAGCCGGACCTGCCAGAAATTTTAATGGCTCCAGCTCCTGACATGATTATTTCGTGACATTTATATTTTTCTGATATCTAATATAAATAATGAAAACTATCCTTTTCTGCTTATAAATTTCAATTCATAATAATAATTTTAAAGTTTGAAGTTGAATTTAGGTGCTCCAGAAGTATGCGTACCAAGACATCACACAACCTGAATCCTAACCGGTACACACCTACTATGTTCAGGTTGTGCAATGTTCTTGGTGCACATACTTCTGGAGGTCCTGAATTTATATATTTGAACGTCTTATTTTAAAATGTTATACCCTTATATCACAATTTTGAGTACCGCTTAAGCGAAACCGCATTCAGGCTGATGTGTCATGTTAGTGATCAAACACAAACGCCTATAGAGCCGGGGACCAGCTCTGACATAAAAATTGGAGCTTTGAATCCATAGCTCGAACCACAGTTTGAATATACTGTGATTCTGGAACTAGAGCCACTGTGATTTCGAACGGCTACCGAGCCCTGGTACAAACATACCCAGGGTAAAATAATTATTGACATGCTGGAAGACACACATGGTTGTGTTAATATGTATATGATGGTTGAGCTTGGTATAAACAAATTCTATAAACAAAGTTACCTGAGATGCGAGATACAATCTAAGAATATTAACGGAACTCCTAATTCTGACTGAAGCTCTTTCAGGAACAAATTCAGGATTCAAAAGATCGGGAAATGGATCATTAGCCACATCATTTCCCAACAGTGTGTAATAAAAAAAATATCCTGCATTGCCGGCAGCATTTATTCTCTTGTCCGAAGGAATTAGCTGAAATATGGAGTACTGATATTACCAAAGTTTTTAATAATTTTCATTCAACCTAAATGAAAAAATTAAACAGGGTGGACCCAAAAAAACAGACTTAATCGTATGGCGAACCAGGGCATCTCATCCGGTTACCAGTCCATGTTGGGTATGAGATTAGTTAACCAGTTATAAATTATGTTTTCAGATGCATGGACTTGTTGGCCATTGTCGTCCTATGGATACGTTACCCACTCTATATATTTACAGAAGTTTAAAAATCACAAAAATAAATTTTCTAGCTAGCTAAGTGGCTTATTTTATCAAAGGAGCCTAGTAGCCTACTAAAGATTCATCCTTTTGGGGGAAAGCCCTCCATTGTTCAATGAAACTCCTCACTCAGTGACTAATTGGCCAACTCATCGAACAATCGATTTTTGCATAAAATAAACTAAGAACAATTGATGTATATGATGAAAAAAATCCCTCACTTGCTCCAAGTTAGCAGCAAATGCGATTGTCACAGACAAAACAAACATATCGTAACAGTTGTCAGAAGGACCAATCTGAAAATAACCTTCTTCTTCATTTAATTTTGCAACTAATTCTTTTTCAAGATCACCAGCAGATGAAACAACTGAAATATAAAATTGTATTTTAATTGTACGTTACTAAGACCAATTTAAACTGTTCTGTTTAAAATATTCATTATTGCATCACATAAAATACAGTCATCATATCACAAGGGACAGATACAGCCATATATATGAATATGATCATCAAAGTCAAGAAGAAGAATATAAAACGGTTGTATATTTTTAAAGGCTCTGATAATATTACATTCTGAGGAGAAATTTTTGATTTTGGCTAAAGTTAAGGCGAACAGTATATGCATGCATGCCTATCAGATATATTTAATTACAAATTCAAATAGTGATTGCATAGTGGAGTATAATTGTAAAAAGCTGTATACATTTATACACTATAAAAAGTATTCAAAATGTATATGCAAGGCCAAAAACACCTTTTCCTGGTCTTGGTGGGGCATCACGAGCCTTGAATGTATTGTCTTGAGTTGGTTGATCATCTTCCAAAGCCATTCCTATTTTGATGGCAGGTTTCAGTCGAGAGTATTTGCTACTTAGTAAGTTGTACCATTTTGGAGCCTGTGAATATAAGAAAAAATGTAATAATAGTATGATGTTTCACTTCCAATGCAGTAGGTATCATAGTACAATGTCATGATGAAACATTTTGAGAAATATCACACAGAACTTGATATTAAATCCAAAAAATTAGCAGCTACAAAAGTTACCGGTATCCATATATCTCAGCCTTGATATGAAGAACGGAGAGCCAGATATGGAGTCAGAACAACCAGAAATTTTGGTGGCTCACAATATTTTATCACAAATTTATTCTTACAGCCTAAAATATATATTTTCAATATTTAATTTATAATATTAATTTAGAGGTTTTGAAAATAAAATTTTATAAAGTATAGTTTTAAAATATGAAACAACTATATTATGGGTTTGATCCCCACTGACGGGAAACTGTATTTGAGTTGATGTTTTATCGTAATGATCCGTGGTGTAAAAATGAAGCTCGCACACTCAACATAATGTTATAGAATGAATAATATTCCATTTTTTAAGACATTTGTATTCAAATAAGAGTTTATCAAATTATGAACACAATACCCTTCTTCTATGATATATTTTATACCAATGTTTTTGATGAACATTTCAAGCACACCCAAAAAAAAACCCAGGTCATTTGGAACATAGTCTAGAAAGAACATGAATTACTGGAATTTTTGAGTACAATCCTACACAATTATAAGATCAATGGTGAAATAAGTTCTTCATTTTTGTGGGAAGAATTAAGAAAACTATGTTTTTTTTTCTTCTGAGTCACTTCATAAATCAATTCCTAAATTTATTACTAGGCTTGAGAAAGAAACAACAGAAAAAGTATTTTAAAAGTTTCAATTACAATTAGTTATTCTGATATACTATACCTGTGGATTTTGTTGAGCTAGTCGAAGATCTAACAGCACATATCCAATCTGTTCCCGAACTCCGTTAGTTGTGTTTACAGCATAACACTGAAGTTTTATAGGTGTGCGTTGCATTCTTAGAAAAAGAAACAAACATGAGACAACTTTGAGAACTATGCATAAATATTGAGAATCTTAGAAAAATCAATAGTAACAATTATTGGGCAAAATAGGAAGCCGATTAAAAAATAAAAAATCTGCAGAGCAATGCGAACATGATATTCCTGAATGACATCAATTAGGATTTGGATCAAGTCAAATCAAAGACTATAATAGCTGGTGAACTGTGGCCAATACCTTTCTTTTTTCAAGACTTCAATCTACCGTAAGCTAGCTTTTAAGTTCTATTGAAAAAAATATGGCAAAATAAACATCATGTATGAATGTATATGAACATTTGACTAATTTTTAAACAGTTCATCCAAATTACAAGTATATTTGCAATCTCAAATTGAAATAGACTAGAAAAAATAAATCTTTCTAATGGAACACTTTTCATCAAACTTGAAAACTTACCAAGAAAGCTTGACAAAGTTTAAACAGGCATTAATGAAGCCATGGATGGTACGTTACCAAGATTTGCTTTAGATATCTGGTTAGTTGACTTTTTTCATAATAGATTAGGGTCGATAAATTGACTTGTTATACCCATCATTAGTAATGAGAAGTGAATGGCAGTCATGGCCATAGCAGCAACAGGTATATAAGTTAATATTTTTCACATTATGAGCTTTCATTGATCTAATGGTAATTTTCGTTGATTTTCATGAGGCTAATTATTTGACATTGATGTACCAAAGATAATGATGGGAAAGAAAGTGTTGTTAAGGAATAGTTAGAAGAACAGAATAATATCAAGGACTAACAACTAGATATATACAGTGATTAATAATAATAGCTTATTATATCTTTTGCAACTGTAAAATAAAGATTTCGTTCGTTGATTATCACCAAGAAAACAAGTTTGTACCTGTGCTGATGGAGAGCCTTCTTATCAAGTTCCCAAGCGAGTTCAGTAGTGAAGTCTGGTGTATCTGCATGGTCGATAGGATCAGTAGAAAGTTGCTCCCCATCAAATTTGCACTCCACTAAAAGTTGATGTTTCGGCCTTTTAGGAAAGTTACGGCCTGAAAAATATTAAAAAATAAGTTAAAAATTTATTCATACAAACTGACTAGAACACTGGTTCTCAACCAGTGGGCCATGGCCCACAGAACTATTAAAAATGACACTTTTTATTTCTGATCGACCTGACTTATGCTGAATAATTAATACATCTGCTTAAAATATGGCACGATGTTGAAGACAAGCCAATTGTGCATATCAATATTTTCTTTGGATAATACTGGAATAAGAACAAGCCAATTGTTTATCTCAATATTTCAGTACAGCAGTATTTGGAATACGGTACTACAAAGTCAAAAGTTCAGAGGTTGGGGTCTAAAGTTAGTGGATTAGCCACTTATAGGTTTCAAAAATATTTTTTTGCAAATTAACAAAAATGAAATGAATGAGATGAATTTACCTTCCAATATTGACACCACAACTAGATAAACCTCCTTTTGCATTTTGTTTTCAAAAAATATTGCAGTATTGACTTTCTGTCAGGATTTCAAGTCCAACAGATCTAACTTTGCTATGCTTCTCCCTTTGAAAAGTTTTCGTCTAACAGCAGCAAACTTCAAAAATAATATATAAACGAGTCGTTTACAAGCGACAGAATGAGTTCAAAATCTCGGCTGAAACCGTAAAATAGCAGATTTGCACAAAAATTCCTCTTTGACTTGAGCGGTTATTTTGTTCGTTACGCATGATGTCGTTAGGTGCGTCATCTAACGGATAATTTTTTAGCTTCGAGCATTCAGGCTTACACAGATATAGATTTCCGCGAGCATCGATTCCCTTGCTTCTTTCCGTAACAATGACCAATTAGCAAAATGTCAACGATGGCGTAATAATTGTAATTTTTACATCCGCTCAGACACCTTGTTCGCTCAGACAAATATTCAAGCATTGTTGTGGACACTGCCTCATTTTCGCGGTTTTCAATGTCATTAGTCAGATTTCAGTTGTGTTTCCAAAAATTAGTTGTGAGTGAAGCATTTTAATTGTCATTATGTTTTCCGATGAGCTTTAGATTAAATAATAAAAATTAGTTCCCGAAAATCTGCGATAGACCTGGCTGAAATGAACTATCAGTACCTGTAATCGGCGCGTGGTTGTATATTTAATTAAAACTAATGGTTTTGAGCATGTAAATCAGATTGTGAGTTGGAAGAAGCCGTAACCAACCAGTGGTTACCTAAACCACTCTACGGCGGCGAGGAGTCCAGCAATTCTCTCGCACATAACCATCCCGCGTGTAATTCGAAGCCATTCAGGGTAATCAAACGTGCGGTGGCGAGCGTATTCCCAACGCTTAGCATGATGCGCATCTTCTTCTACTCAAAACGTCTACGTCGGCATAATTTTTCCATTTATGGAAAGTTATTCTTGATAAAATCCTCTTTTCAGAAGCTTGGTTTCGTACCCAGATGCAACCAATTATTGCCGCCGCTAGGGATTTGTTCAAAAAGAATTGTTTCAAAACACTTGTTTTGAAGGAAGTTTTTTTGCCCGTTTTGCTCAAAATGGCTGTACTATTTGATTTTTGTATAAAATATGTTGAAGAAAAATGGATGTAAAAACTTGCCAAGCGCTTCTTATTTGCAATAAAATCTTCAAATCCTCATAAATATCGATAGAGGCTCATACTCACCAAAGTGACTTTTTGATACACACGTTCTAAAGCTGTTGTTCAGTGGTTTGCGCAGTAAGCCGCAACCGATAAGCCATTACGTTAAAGACCCTGCTACGACGAAACCACTTTGCGAAAACTGAAATGCGATCGAATAAATCAGATTGTATTGTAGTATTATATATTTACGATTGTATAACCTTGAAAAACTCTATCACTTCAACCTTAAAAACAAAGTATGCTAAGCGTAAATTAACTGAACAGTATTAACCGTAATAATGCCTTCATTTTATGAGAAAAATGCCAATACATGAACTCGAAATCCATATTATGCGTCATAACAGATTGATTGTGGCGTCTTTGCATCAGAAGATTCTTACAATTAGCATAGGCTAGGCCAGGGTGTCTCATCGTTTATATCAGTAAATTACTGCCGATGTAAGCTTATTTTTATTATCGCAACCTACTCGTTTTGCCGAAGGCTGCCATTGATCTAATTGCTTTTGTAGTAGTCTCGTGAGCTAAGTTTAATGTATTTCTTCACTCAAGACGTCTCTCTGATATCTCGGATAAACATTTCGGTTGAAACCTTATGACTTTGTTAGTGATACAAACTTTGCGATAAATGTACGCAATAGAAGTAAAAGTCAAAATAGGTATTTTTACTTACATTTTTGAAATTATAATTCCGGCTACGTGTGCAGTCGCCAGAATGCAACGTTTTGGCGTAGTTTCGCGGCGATGCAAGGGATATTTCAATAAAAAATACTGAAAAAAAATGATTTAAAACAAGCTCTTGTTTTAAAACACGATGTTTTTTTCAGAATTGATAAACAACAAAACCCTAGCCGCCGCATCTCATTATAGATCAGTTAGGGTCGTCACATATGAAAGAGCTCTTCTCTTTTTAGTTAATGAAAAATTATTTTGAATGACATTCATTTTCAACAAGCCAACAATCAACCATCAAGTCAATGTGCTGTATAAGTTTGTTTAAAACTTTGCTAATTTTATTTACAAATTGTTTCACATATTTATTGCGTGATGTTCTGTACAATATTCGAGATTTTCCTATATATATGGCCGAGGGTTCCATTACATTTGAACCCACGACAATTGCACGTACATATTATTGCACCTATGAAATTTTTTTTTATTTTACGGATATTTGTGCCCATACTAATCCTAACCCATAGGTTTTAGCACCCGCATATAGATTGACCCGCGGATATACACATGGGTTCAAATGTACGGTCACCGTGGCCGAGTAATGCCGATTGACAAGTGATCTTCGGTACCAAATTAAATTATAGTTTCGTAACTACGTGAGGTCATGCCTGTAACTAGACAGGAATGAAACAAAGTTTTGTTGGAACGTCCGTTTCCGAACTCTCTGCATATTCAGATGGTAAAAATCAACACAAATTATTCTATCAATGTATTCCTTTTGCTCCGCAATTTCGTTTCCTAGTTCGACCATTGACTTTTAATTAATACAGACGGCCCGACGAGGATTTTTTTCGTAAAGCCAGAAATCTTTAGACTACGGAAATTTTAAGATATATGTAGTAGAGATGTACAGATACCTGTCATTCGCCAATACCAATACGCCGATATTTGACATTGCAGATATCCCGATATTTCAATAATACGTAATTAATATCAATCTATATGTAATGTTATTAAGTGTACAAAACTAACGGAATTGTCGATTCGGCCAGTTCTTTGTTTTCTGTGTTATTCGCACATTTTACTTCAGAATTGACTTTTGGCCGCCGATCTGTATCAGTTCCCTATTTTCTGCACATAAAACTTTTTCATCTTCAGATGAGACAGGCTGTTGCGGATCAGTCAATTCACATTTTCTCGGGTCGTTATCATTATCTCCAATATCGAATAGTTAAAATCTGGAGCAATAATTCGCCGCATATCGGTTATGCTGGACGGAACGCAGAACAAATGTGGAATTCTTACATTCCCTCTGGGCATAATATACCAAAAGAAAACCTATCCATAGGGTCATCTCTTTCTTTCCAAATTGAAATGAAATCTAGGATGAAAAATCGCTTTCAATGATATCTATTTTCAACAAGTCAACAATCAATTAGCGAGTCAAAAAATTTTGTTAATTTCATTTACAAACTGTTGCACATTTTTATTACGCCACAATCCGGAAAATCTCCGAGCATTTCCTCCTATGTGGTCGCGCGGGGCCGATTGAGAAGTGATCTCTAGTACCAAATTTCAAACTACAATTTTGTAAATACGTGACGCCACCATATACTGACGTCATGCGTTAAGTTCTTCAATCTCTTAATCGCAGCGTCAGTTTGAGCTCTTTACTCTGGTCAATGAGCATATGCTCATTGCTCTGGTTTAAGAAAACGAAAACACTGTACTGCTGTAACATCAGAGTTTACTGAGATCAGAAGATTGCGTAGGCCTACTGGCTGATGGGGTCATGTTCGCAACGCGACGTACGTAGGCTACTTCTAGTTGGCGTGGAACAGTCATTTTTGCATATGTTATTCCTAAACCCTGAGCTTATAGCAACTAACCCCCAAATGTACCCCATTTCATGTTAAAAATATGAAAACAAAGTTAATTTTTCCCAAAATTCGAACAAAGACTTTCGTAGGAATCAAATTACACCAGGTTTAAGAACATAACAGGTTCCATCCAGTCATTATCAAATTAAAATCTATATTCTCAAGACCTTTGGCACTGATTGAAATAATTATCTCTAAGTTCCCATCCGTACGATGTACCTAATTACCCTTATTGAGATAATAGGAGTTTCTGTTAAAACGTGAATCTCGAGCTCACGTTTACAGCATTTAATTGGATTTATGATCAACGTATAAATACGACTCCGATATCTTTCGATAGAGAGAAGACGATGTAAATTGTAAACCATTCAAAGCTAGTGTGGATAAATGTTTTAAGATTAGTATTCTGTGTGTTGTGGAAATTTACGAATAAAAACATATAGAGATTTTTAACGCATCTTCATTCACGTGGGCGCTGAAGCTGAAGGGTGAACGAGTGACTTACAAGTCAGGGACAATCTACAAATTAGCAACATACGGTAACATCACATTCATCTAACAATCATATATGCTATAAGCTGACTACTTCATTCAAAAATTACGTCACCCCAACAGTCCCTAACCACCCGTCCACTCCAAGTCATCCAAGACGCGCACACGATTACGCGAAATCGAGCAAGCTCTTTCTCTCGTTTTCTCGCCCTAACGATCCCGATATGAGAGAGATCGCTGGCGTTGATGAGTTCTTCATCGTTTTGCGAAGATGTCATTTCAGGCAATCGTAACTATGCTATATCTACTTCGCCAAGCTGGTTAAAGGGATTTTGAGGTCGTAGTGACGTAATATTTTGATGGCGAAGCCAGGTGGGTGTTAGGAATACCATATGCAAAAATGATTGTGACACGAATATTAACTTAAGTAGTTTAGTGAACATGCCCCAGCTATTATTCAGATGGAGAGGAGTAAATCAGTAAATAGAGTGGAACAGCAGTTCTGTCGTTGTTTTATTTTAGTATTGGGCGCGACGGTGTGGCTCAACGGGCTAAGCGTTAGGAATACGCTCGCCACCGCACCTCTAATTACTCTGCGTGGGTTCGCAGGCTCGAATCCCATGCAGGGATGGTTATGTGCGAGAGGATTGCTGGACTCCTCGCCGTCGTTGGGTGGTTCACGTAACCGCTGGTCGGTTACGGCTTACTCCACCACCAAGTCCATGTTTCCGAAAACAAACAATACAGTAAAACTAATCCCATACCCGACTTGGAATGGTAACCGGACGAGAGGCCGTGGTTCGCCATATGGATAAGCCGTCTTATCGGCTTTCCTCTCCCCCGGGATAAATATGTAAATCCTATCCTATCCTTGATCACTTATGTCTGTATGTAAAAAAGCTTCACAGTCACCTACAAATTACGTATAACTGTATAATCCTCGGTATCGATGCATTGAAAATTGTATTGTCTTATATCAGTTCTCTCATCTGAAATGTGGCATTATCAGTTGGGGAGATACTAATAAAACGACACTATAACCACTAGTCTGCTAGTAATTCTGCATAACAAGGCAATTCGCTGCATGCTATTTGCAGAATCACAGCATGTTCATAACTCACTTTTATACAAGTAGTGTGGAGTATTACAACTGAAAGCTATCTATTCTGAAATTTGCCAAATTTATGTATCGCTTCGAAAATCATATGCTACCCCCAATATTTCATAACTTTTATACTAAAAAATCCAACCGTTCATAGCCATGCCACAATGAGTGTTACAAAAAAGACTTATTTCATGCATCGATGCTTATTTCCATTAGCAAAAAAGTTGCTCGAAACAGAAGGCATTCTAACTTGGGGAAAAAATTCCGTCTAATATTAAAGAAAACTCACTTGCAACATTCAGTGAGCGATTAAAGATTCATCTACTTGATGACTATGGGTAAATGAAAAAAAAAAAAAAAGTTAATTTCCTTACGAATTTAAGTTATATTAATATTGTATTGCTGCTATGTTCATGCATGCTCTATAATTTTTGATCAAATCCTAATTCACTTGAATAACAATTTCTCTTGTATAATGATGAATTTTGCCACTAGTGCCCAATCAGAAAAAACAGCCCCTTAACATTCAAAATATAAAAAGAATTGCCCCCCCCTCTGTAAACAATTGCTCAACGCATTTGTTTTTATTGTTCATCTGATTATAACAGTAGTACTTCGGGTGTCGCTGCTCGATAACCAGCTTTGGTTCCCCGCGACTTGCATTCCCCAGTAAAACTGTACATTATCATTTTCTCGTAATTTGTGCTCGTGATATTTATTTTTTTTTTACTGGTCAGAAAAATTAAACTTGACTTGAGACTTACCGTACCATATTTAGTTTTATTTCTGCATTTGCTAACAGCTGGTACTGCGGTAGTGGTCAGATGGGAATTATAAATCATAGCCTAACTACAGAACTATGGAAATACAATGAGGACAAGTTATCTACTTGTAGTGTGTTTGCTGTGTCATATTAAGATTTCAGGAGCCTATTTAGGTAACTTCGAAACTTTTATACAATTTTTATTATGTTAGGAAATTTTCACAGGACCTTATGTCTGTTGTGTGAAGTTTATCTGTTATCATTGTACAGCTGTATCACTTCAATACATACAATTGAAAATTAAATTAATTAACAAACCACTGTCATAGCGTAAGATTCGTAAATAATTTTCAGTCACTCTAGTTGAATTTTGACTAATTGAATTTGATATTTGGTATAGCCCATTGCTGTACTGCTGTATGACTGTATGATACAGAGATATGTACCAGATTTCATTTTCTCTATTTTATTGTTCTATCAAATATATGTAATAGCTTCATCGATTTTTTTTGATATTATTCTTCAGCTTCATTTCATGGAGACAGTTTTCTTTTCCAATCTCTGAATTCTCGGCCTCTTGATACGACAACCGTTTCGCTAAGATTTCAAACCAGCTCGGCGGATGGATTACTTTTTCTGGCACTTGGGCAATCCCAATATCTCATTGTTGAATTAGTCAATGGTAAATTAGAGGTATGATGTTATTTTTTTCATGGAACACCATATTCTCATATTGGGCAAAAAAAGACAATAGGGGATAACAAAATGAATGGACGATAGTGCATTCTCAAAAAGTCAGAATTATCGCTTAAAACTTGACTTACTTATACATTGTACCAGAACAAATTGAATTATGAAGGCAAATGTCATTTTGAAATGATGATAATGTGGGAAGAGAATTATTTTTAAGTAACTTTTTGGAGACATTTATGAGTGAAACCTTTATATCGATTATTTATACATCTTTTATATGGATAATGGAAATAACGGTACAGGAGTATAAGATAAGTTTATTTCGACTCCATAATCAGCATGAAAGGCGATAAAATGATTGATAAAAACAAATAAATAAAAACTGATTATGAAATCAGGAGAGTAAACAGAACCTTGGATAAGATTTAAAACGTTCAGAATATAAGATGAAAGGTATTGCCGAAAAGAAGTAATAGGCTACGTGTTCACTGATCACTCATCTAAAATTCTTGAATCAATTCATACACACTCGCACGCACACACACACCCACAGGGCTATAATAGAATTAGAAAAAAGAGAGGAGCTTTAGATACGCATACTGAGAAAATTTCCTATTAGGGAAGTATATTCTAATTTTTTTACCCAGGTCAAAATAGATCTTGGATATGGGGAAGAGGTACTATCAACATCTGACAGAGATTCCTTAAATAATTTGATTTGGCATCAGTTCAAAGTTGTCAGATCTGGCAGCAATATCAAACTAGTACTTAATGGACGAGATGTGACGTCTGGACAAATTAATGTGCCGAATCCCAGGAGGGCAAAACTTGCTACAGACTTCGGAATATTTCTTGGTGGCTTAGGTAAATATTTGATCAAATTTTATTGTATTATCAGATATTTATTTATCAAAAGATCAAAGGAAGTTTTCCTGACCTCTGACCCCAGAAAACTTCCTCCTATACTTCCCATACAATTGCAAAATTTTTGATACTCTGTGTTTCTGGAAGTTGGCACATACAAACTTGTTTTACAAGTTTATAACCATCATTTTGATTTAAACAATTAAAATTCAAATTGACAAGATGGTTAAAAAAAACTGAAAACAAACTAATGTTTACAACCATATCTGAAATCTGTCTGAATAAAAAAAATATTTCTAACCGACTTCAAAAATTTCGATTGTTACATCACTGTCACTTCTTACTGATTAGTCAATGTATGAATGTAATCAAATAATTTGATGTTTGGGTTCATGATCAAAGCATTTTCTGATCACTAGTTATTCCTTTTAATATATCAAAGTCTGATTACTGTTTTCAGTTAGGTACTATTACCATCAAGACTCATGATTTTTATTCACGATCAAACTCTATTTTGAGGAATATATATTACGATGTCCAAAATTAAATTTGTTTTTTCATTGTTTATCTTATTTTCAGGTGGAAATATAACATTACCTAATGGAGGAAGGCCGGGAAAATATTTTCGTGGTTGTTTATTGGAAGCCGAGTTCAACGGAAAGGACCTACTAACGCCGCTGAAAAATGTTGGAAATGAAAGGATCTTATATCATGTTGTTTCGGGTAAGACAATTCAATATTATGTTATGAGAATATTAATGGATAGTTTTATTGTAATATATTGCAAGTTTCTACAAGCTCTTGTGATCCGATATTCTGGTAGATTAAAATTAGTTGAATGAGTTAAAAGCAACCCCCCTACCAAAGTAGACGGAAAGTAGACAAAAGCAGATGGAAAAGTGCAGTACTTCAACTTCAATATTTTTGGAATTTATAGGGTGTCCTAAGATCTTCAGAGCAAGTCGATCTGAATCAATAACTTTTGACTCGCCATCATCTTATGTTGCCTTGAATCGTTGGACTGTACAAGATGAAGGGACATTTGAATGCATGTTAAAAACATCCGCACGAAGTGGTATTATTTTATATAATGCTGGTCGTGGAAGGTGAGTGTGAGTGCTTTATTCGAGTGTGAGTAAAATTTTATTTCGAACACATTATACCAAAATTGCTAAATACATTGTGAAGTAAATTAGGTAGACCATACAGTCCTTCATCCAAATACCTTTTCAAGCAATGAAAAAATGAATTTTTGAAACTGATATTGATATACAATGGTACTAAATTTAACATCTGCATATATTAGATTTTCTGTAGCTGTATTTTCACATATCTTATTTTTTGACGGTTTAATGCTTATTTTTTTGTTCTGTGACTGTGATAACCATTACTTTTAATTTTCAAATTTAGAGGTGAATTCATTGGGCTTGAAATGGTTGATGGAGTTGTTGGTGCTTCGGTGAATAAAGGTGGTGGGGGCGGCGTTGTTGCTTTACATACAACATCACCTATCAATGACGGAGCATGGCACTCTGTTAGGTACAGTACATGTTTTTATGTTTTTTTTTGTCATTTCTAACTGGGGTAAGCCATGGGGACTAAAATCAGCATTGTACTATTCTATGATGCTTGAATATATTGGGTGAAACCAAACTTCATCATTTAGTCACTTTAATTATTGACCTATCACCAGTAACAGTATTTTTAACAAGGATAATGATAAAATGCTAATAAATTAATGATATACCGGTAATGCCAAAACTTTCAAAATTTTCAATTCATCTCACTTATTGAGTTTCAATGAGACTATAACCCATTAAAAAATTGGGACCCCCAGAAGTATGCGCACCAAGATGGCGCACAACCTGAACATAGTATGTGTGTACTGGTTAGGATTCAGGTTGTGCGACATCTTTGTGTGCATACTTCTGGAGCACCAAAAATTGACTAAAACTTTTTCGTCCCGTGGCTCTGTTTTTAAAAATTGGAACTTAGGAACAGGAAGAAACACGCCTTGGTTACTTTAGGACTTCTAAGGACTTTAGAATTCAAAATTTTAATTTCCACTCTTGACCTTTTATTATATTTTGGCCCCAACTATTTGGATTTTCTAATAATAGCAAAAATTCGGCCATAAGCTCCACAATGTTAGTTTTTAGGCGTTATAAAGGCTTTTATCATTCTGTACATAGTTTGATAGTTAAAATCATCTTAGTATGGTACATTGCAGATTTGCTTTCTAAAAATGTAGTAAATTCTACAAGCAAATTACTGTAAATAGCAATAATTTTGTAATAGGGTAAATACCATTGGTAATTTCATTTTGTATGTTATTATTCAGATTTAGTTTCAGTCCATCCTACTTAGACATAAGAGTTGATGGGAAACGCACAAAGGCATTTGTTGAGCAAACATCACCAGAATTAAAAGGAACTGTAATAGGAGAAAGACACCATAATCTTGATTTGACTGGACATTTGTATATTGGAGGGGTACCTGGAAATTTATTGCAAAATGATGCTGTGCCACACAGCCTTGTTTCATTAGGCAGCAGTGATGGAACAGGAACAGTCAGTGGTGCGTTTCCAGGATGCATGAAGAATTTGAGAGTTAATCACAGGTATGGATAACTTAAATGTGTACTATAGGATAGGATTCTCTTACAAACTTACAAAGTTATAATATGCTTCACGGTAATCTACTGTGAGTCACTCCTCTTATAATATTGAGGTTGTCAAAAACCTCCTGGTCATATTACTCGTATATCATTAATTTAAACGATTGTTTTATTTATATAATTGATTATTTATGCTCTAAAGCAGTGGTTCCCAACCGCCGGTCCGTGGACCGGCACCGGTCCGCGAAGCTTTCTTGCCGGTCCGCGAAAGATTTCGTCATTTTTCATTTTCTGCCGTCTCGAATCGATTTACTGATACCAAAAAGATGGAGTAGCGTTGATTTATTACGCAATTTCTCTTCCGCCGTCATATTGCTGTTTGATAAGTGTGACCTGGCGACGTCATGGCGTCGTGTAATCACACTTTTCGTTCTTCCCTGTTTCGCCGATTCATCGTGAAAGCGCTCCGTCAAATCTCGCAAGAATCCGAAATCCAGAAAATCAGCATGTGGGCTTTCTCTTTTCTGCATGCTTTTCTTGATTAATAAGACGAAGATACATTGGTTTATTGTGCAATTTCACGTTCGTCGTTATATTGCTGTTTGACAAGTTCGGTATTAATGGCCTGGCGACGTCTTGGCGACAAGTAATCACACTTTTCGGTTACGATTCATCGCGAAAGCGCTCCGTCGAATCTCGCAAGATTCAGAAACCTGAAAATCAACATGAGTGCTTTTTCCGTTCTGCATGCTTTTCTTGATTAATATTGCCATCCAATTAAAAGATTATGAATATTTATTTGTTTGAACCAGAAAACTGTCAAGAACAGTATAATATTCCAGAGCTTCCCCTTGACAACCAGCGAGATATGAACTTCTTGCGACCATGCAGATGGTGACAAGACGCACAATAGAAGCACCGGCCGCTGAGACTTTTTCCTAGTCATGCACAGCAGGATTTTGAGCCTGGTGCAAGTTAGCAACGACTTTATAATTACAATATAAATTCATTTTGTTTGGGGCGTCGATCCACTGCAGAAAAATTGATATGATGAACCCGATTAAACTTCTACTTTACATGCCAGATTTATAAAGGAATCATTGTCACGATTTATTCTTGAGCTCTCTTGATAACGAATACCCATTGCTAAGTAACCGAGCATTGTTGTCCGAATTATCAACCAGTTACTTCTAGCTTTAATTAAAACGAAGCAAATAAATCAACTGTTAGCCGCTGCAGAGCTAAGTGTTACAAAGCCCCGTTTGATGACCCGTTTGCAATTCTGTATTGGAAACGAAACAGTAGCAAAATTCTCACTGGAGATCATTATGTTTGTACATGATTTGACATGTATATACAAGTTTTTTAAGTGAGATTTGGGCCTTTTTTACGCATGATGGGTGCCCAGCACTGCATTTCACCACGCAAATATAGGGTATTATTTTATATTCCACCCATTTCAATTTTGGTGGACATATCATTGATAGTTTTTCCTCATTTGAAATGTTTTAAGTGTGCCTTTTTTTCTAAAAGCATAGTAATTGCTCGACATTACGCAAAAATATGTTATTATTTGCTGTTCAACTCATTTCAATTTTTGCCGGTCCGCGATTACATATTATTTAATTTTACCGGTCCGCCAGGGTAGAAAGGTTGGGAACCACTGCTCTAAAGCAGTGATTATCATGGTCATGGCATAAGCTAACTAATTGCATGATGTTGGTGCTGCGTTTCAGTTATTTATCAATTCTGGTATTGTTACCACCTTCTTTTGGTTCATTTATTGAAGTTTTTTAAAACATTTTCTGTAAGATTACATATTTTTGTCTCTGTGGACTTAAAGATAAGCAGGTCGGTCCATGGTACTATTTATCAAGTTTTTCATATATTTTCATTTTGTTTCTTCTAACAGGAGAAAAGGTTTTTCAGATTTTTTATTATCGAGGCATGTTTCCGCTGGATGCAAGAAAATTGTAAATTTTGATCGATCGAAAAAAAATACGCCCATTGATGATTTTAATGAAGCTAACTCAGCTGTATCAACAATGTTTGCAATCTACAATTCCAAGAAATCCAAATCAAGGTTATCAACAACAGCTAGGACCACTACAACCACTATACCAACCACAACCACTCCAGCATTTGTTGTACCTGTGGTCAATTTAACAATTCATCCTTTGATGGTTTTGGAGGGTCAAAGTTCAAAGCTCACCAGTGAACAACTGTCATTGTCAGTCCAAGGATTTGAAAAACAAGACACTAAGGAAGATATTTTGTTTGTAATTTCAAATCCTCCTTCCCATGGTTTTCTATTAAACTCTCAAGATTGTTCATCACTGGCAACACTATTTGAATTTTCCGCCATAGATCTAGCGGACGAAAAACTCTACTTTTGTCATGATGCTTCAGAAACTACTCATGATTATATCAATTTTACCGTAGTTTGGAACTTGGAACATAAAAGCTTAAATGAACGCAAACATATCATAAGAAATTTCCCAGGGAAACCTGAATTTGTCAGCACTGGAATAGTTCTTAATGATAGAGCTGTTTTTTCTTTGAACATAATTGTTGAACCAGTTAACGACCCACCAACATTACACATCCCTGTACAATATCTATTTCGTCCAGTTAAAAGCACGTCCACGCATCTACCTCAAGATATCTTAAATGCAACTGATCCTGACAGCCCTCCTTCTGAAATAATTTACACGATATTGGGAAATCAGAGAGGTGGTTTTCATATTGAAAATGAGAAAAATTTAGGGAAATCAATAATAGAATTCTCTCAGGAAGATATCAACTCAGGAAATATAGTGTTTGTGGATGAAGGAGAAGTTGAAAATGCAAGGCTTGTTATGAGAGTCTCAAACACTCTTTCTCAATCTACCTCAACTGCTGTGTTGAGAATTGCAACTATTTCGTTGAATATTTCAGGTATTGATGATCATTTTATAATACCTTACCCTTCAAAGCTTCCATATGCTTGATGGGACCCAGATATATCACCCAAAAATTTGCTGTTTTACTTTAATTAAATCGGAATACTTTTTATTTATAGGACCCAATCTTTCGCCCTAAGTTTTAATTTTTTTAACCCATTGTACTTGAACGCTTTCGTCACACTTGTCCGCATAATTTTTCAGCAAATTGTGGGCTGTTGAATCCTACCATAACGGTACCGATGCCCAACCTTTGAGCTTTGATTTGTTTATTTTTATCATGTTATTCACTGAAAATGTCATTCTCACTTTTACTGTTATGTGGCTATTGTCATCTATGCTCATTTATAAAAGGTCAATAAAGAAGTGAATGGGACGGGGTATTTTCATGAGGCTGTATACTATAGATATATTAACACCTTTCTGTTTTCTGATTTCCAATATGTTTTCGATTCAGTTGAACTTATTTTTATTAATCTTCAACTGCCAATTTGTGGTTGGTGGTAATTTGTAGGTACTCTTTTATTTCTATTTCTGTTATTACAATCTATAGTGACAACAAGAGAAATTACACTTTTGGAGAAAAGCAGTTTCATATTCACAATTGAACAACTAGCTGTAACATCAAATGCAGAACCTGGTTCTGTAAATCTTCTTTTTCAAATAAAGGAAAATCCATCTTTAGGTGAAATGCAAGTGAGTTCATTAGAAATCAATCCCAAAGCAATTTTGCAAACAGTTTGAATATTGTTGCATCGCTGTCATTTTATAATGTTACAATGGATATATGGTTTTATTTGTCAAGTATGATTTGTTGATAGGGTCATTGATGTCTATGAGGGTATCAGATGTCATTGCAATAATATATTTATCGAAATAAGAGATACAGAGATAATGCAAGAATAGATACTTAAACTTTGCTTCTTTTAATAGTTCAATAAGTATAATTTTAAATACTCAAAACTAATAAAAATTTTGGATATAATATGTTCTTTTAAAATCTCATCTGAACTCAAACCAAGGACTTAAAGCCTCAAATAAATGTAGTATTGATAGAAGAGTTGCAAGAGATGACCAATGTTCTACCACTGACTTGTGGGCCAAATCCGGCTTGTTGGGTAATTCAATCTGGCCCGCCTGACGCTACCACGAACAAACTAAAACCATATTTGATGTTTCAGTTAAAAATAGCTCAAGAAATTTGTTGAGATTGCGATTACATCGTTCTGGCAGGAGGCTTAATATTATCCACTTTTGCTTTTGTAACACTATAAATATTATTGATATAATGTAACTTTTTACGTCACACTTACATGAGTCCAGGTGGGCCATATTTTTGGCCCCTGGTCCAAAACTGTGCTGCCCACTCCTGTCTTAACTTTTTAAATGAAAAGATCTCAAATCTTGCATTTGCACTTACAGCTTAAGGTTCATGCTCCAGCAACAGAGGTGTCATTGAATAACTTGAAATAATTTTCGTCAAAACGACCTAGGATATAGCTACATTTAGAAATATTATGAATAATAAAATATTTTTTAGACATTCAATCATGAAATTGGCGATGATAATTTAAGGGAAGAAAGTTGGATAAGATCATCTAATTTCACAGAAAAACAATTATCGGAAGGCTATGTTCGGTATCATAATTTAAAAACTTCATCGTCAGTTGTTGAGGATACTGAAAAAGACCGGTATGAGTTTATTTGTACTTTAATTCTGACTCTGTCATATTTTTAAAACCTGAAGTAGAAAATAAGATTATAGTAGTTTTTGGGAACATGTAATATTTCGAAATTTTTCACATGTAACTTTTTATATTGAATTTGAATTATGGCCAGTTTTGCATTCCACAATTTTGATCGTCAAAATTGAAAATTATAATATCTAAAGATTTTGTATAATCAGAAATAAATCTTTTTAACGATTTTTTGTACCAGTGTTGCGAAGATTAAGTTCAAAATTGACATTATATTATAATGCTGCTTCTTAGTGGGGGATAGTTTGAATTTTGATTAAATTTTGATGTGATTAAATTTAAAATAAGAAAACTATAGGGCTATGTGAAATTTTTCAACTTAGTGATCAACTTATCTTTTCCCATTTCCAAAATTTTACACTCAAGACTATGAAACAATTTTTTTTGGCATTATTTTTTAAATATGCATTATATTTAGGTAACTTTTGTATTTCAGATTTACCTTCACTGTGTCAGGAGCTAATGTCGAAACACCGGTTATAACCTGTGTAATAAATGTTCAAAAAGTCAGAGTAATTTTGTCTATAAATAAATTGCTTTTGACTGATGGGATTCAAGAAAAGAAACTAACAGCTGATTTTTTGCAAGTCAACATAACCCATGTTCATGTTAGCAACAATCAAATACAGATTAGACTGGAAAATCCTATTCAACATGCTGAATTGTTCTACAAGTAAGATTTGCAATTTTACATTTTGCGAAGTCTTAATTTATTTGCTGTTTGTTGAAACTCTCTAAACAAGGTTTCCATAAAATAAGTAAAATGTCTGAACATGTAGGGGGAATGGTCTCGGGCCGGCATTCATTTTTGAAAAGAAGTCGACTGTCTTATTTTAAATCTCCTTGTCTAGTGTTGAACAAAAAATTTCATTATTGAAAAAATATAAGAAAATTTATCTGGTAGTTTGAGTCAAATGTTTGTGCCCAGAGTTGGGAGCAGAATGAAGTACTGTTTTTTCAAACAGCGCAAATTTTGAGTCAATGGGACTTTTTGCTAATATATGCACAGTTCTGGAGAGAGTGTTACATCCAAGATTTGCTAAGAGAGCTATAATATTTGTTGAGTGTGGCAGAGAGATATTATGTATTTATAGGTTGGAAGTCTTAAATATTTTAGTGAAAACTGTTGGGAGAAGGTAGGAAGTTTTTGAGAATTATTTTCGCTTAAGCAGCCCTTTGCTGGGAACGGAGCTAGGACTTCCCATTTAGAACAAACATGAATATTAATTATTGTATACATACATAACCGTTATATACGAATTCTTGAACTTTTTTTACATTCTAAAACTAACACATCATACTTTATAAGAGCATATTATACACTGCAAACTTATTTTTTTATATTTTCTCCATCACAGTGATAATGGATTGGCCATATCAAATGGTGATGCTTTCACATTAGAAGAGTTAAAAACTGGACGAATTTCTATCAAAGTGAAACCAAAACATGCTTCTCGTGCTTTCAATGAAATGATTCCATTTGTTGCTGTTATTAAGAAGTTATATCATTCCGATAAAATACGACTCAATGTTACATATGTTCCGGATTTAGATAGGATTTTGGTGAGATGATTTATGTGTTACCCCTCATTTGTTGACAATGTGTTTTATCAATTTAGATATTTTGATTAATGCATTTTGTTTTGAATTTTTGGATGTTCCTTTTAAGTTAAGTGCTTCCCTTGACCGAGCAAACTTATCCTGGTCTTTCTAAACCAGGGTTCTCAACTAGGGTTATTCACCCCTAAAATGGTCAATTTGATCTGCATTGGGGTAAACCACATGCTAGATTGTAACATTGTGGTCTGTTGTACAATAGATTTTATTTTGCTCTCACTGCTGAGGCTCTATCCACTTTGTGAATGTGACATTCCAATATATAGTTCATTTTTTCATTTGCAGTTAGTGAACAAAGGTTTGCAACTACAAGAAGGTCAAAAACAAGTCATCAATGTTAGATTTTTGAAAGTTTCTCTTCCACCAAGTCAAATAAATGACAATGTTGATAGATTTCGTTTCAACATAACTCGTAATCCACAACATGGAATACTTGGACGTGTGAAGGATGAAAGTAAAGTTGTAATAGTAAGTGGCTAGTATTCTTTTGCTAATTGCTTGTTGTGTTGTGCCTCATTTTTTCAGATTTTGTAATAGAAAATACAGACTAAAAACAAAAAAGTAGATTATAACATGTGTGGTCTATTAGGGAAATCCAAAGCCAAATTACCTCATTGCTTTTTGTACAACTTTTTTTCAAGCACATCCAATTATATCTCAATCCCGTATACCTTCATCCACTTCAAAGCTAAGATAAGATATTAGAATAACTTTTGTTTACTATTTTACTATACTATTCTATATTATTCAGGATACAGAAGAGGCATCTGACAGTATTACTGAATTTACAATGCAAGATATCATTGATCAAAAAATATATTACAAGTAAGCAAATATTATGTCAGATGTAATATCAAAGTTATTGTAATTTTGCAACCTGTTTGTCTTTAATTTTATGTTTTTCCTATGGCTTTGTATTATATGGTGTACCTTGTCCTCTTGTCTGGTTACTTCGTCATGTTTGGTGTGGGAATTGTTATCCAGTAATTCGATTCAGATACTTAGACTTGGTTTTGGAGGAAGATGGACCAGTTCTGTGAATCCCCTTATTGCAATCAGGTGTCCATCAATCCTCCCACACATAATTAACCCCCTCGCAGGATTTTAACTTGCAAATACGCACATGGTAATCAGATGTGCGATGGCAAGTGTAAAGCTTTTTAAGTCCTCTGTTTGAACTATGTCAGCGAGGAGACAACAAAAACAATATATCATTGTGTTTGGATGTTATGGTATTTATATAAAGTCTGGCTATGATTCACCACCTTAATATTATACACCTATTATGTTTCAGACCTGTAGGAAACCACATCTAGTTAAGTACTTGTATATATTTACATGGCTGTCCTTTGGTTCATCCTAGACTAATCGGATTTCATTTCTGAGTGCAGTTTCTGTATTAGGAGTTCATGTATGAACGAATATAACTCAATAGAATTCTAGACCATAATAATATCAGATTGCTATTATGTTGACTGATAAAATCTTGATTACTGTGGATAATGGGGCTATTTGTTAAATCACAGACAATCATGACTGGCCATGTGCTGATATGCTGAGTTTGTGTTTATGATTATTTTTAGGTGTCTTTAGGTCAGTGTCCATATAATTGACAATGTATTTTACAATATTATGTTTGATTTATCAATTATCTATTTGGCACGTAGACCTTCAGAATCCAACAAAACTTAATTGTATTGATTGGGTTGTCGTTTCCAAATGTTTAGTATTCTAAAATTCTGCCCTACAATGAATTTTAATTTCAGATAACTAATCTGTATTAACTTAAAAGTATAATATAGTATATTATGAAATTGTATTAAATTTGGCATATAATGTGATGATGGATTTTAAATATTTAGTATATTTCGAAAAAGCTGTCTATTTAAAATATTTGTAAAATACTTCTATTTCCTAGTGTAGAAGTCGTAATCTAAATTTACATTGCATTTCATGTTTTCATTTATTAATTTCCATTTCGTTTAATTTAGACATGATGATTCAGAAAACGAATCTGATTACTTCAGCTTTCGTGTTGTTCCAATATTAGATGGAGAATTACCAAAGACAATTGCAAAACTATCAAATGTGCATCTGGACGGCAATTTCACTATCTCAATACAGTTAGGTTGGTGTATAATTTTGATTTTTAAATTAAAAAAAGTAATGGCAATGATATAATTTTATCCAAATCTTACCTGTCTAAATTTCTAAACAAAGGGAGTATTTTGTCTTACATGTTAATATTATGTGTCTGGGAATAATTGGCCATCATCATATAACTTCATTTTTAACTGAAGATATTCCACTTTATCTTTTTTCTGTGGCACAATGGCATTCCGTCAATGGCATTATGGGAAAAAGATTTCCACATTGCACATTTTGCGTGCTTGTTCAATTCCAGTGTAACTACCCCTTCCTTCAAGATAAACGTTTCCTGGCTGCACCCCTGGCTTTGAATACCAGGTATTAGGTACTCAATGCCACATTGTTTTATTTTTTATTTTCTGGGATATATACTTTTGTTCTATTAGCTGATCTCAGTTGTACTTCGATATAAGACAACTGTGACAATTAACCCAGTAAAATGCAGAATAGTAGAAAGTAATAATAATTGAGTGAGTGCTTCACGTTCCTAATTGTCTTGACTCTTGAGTCTTCAGTCTTGTTTGTAGAGAATACTAAATATGAATAATTGTTTCAGTAACTGATACGACGAAATTGTATTAGTTTTTCTTGCGAGCCTATCTAACTCAAGTTCCTAAGTAAACAGACTGTTAATATAATGACTAAATTATGAATATATCAATAAAACCGATCGATACTTCAGGAAATGATATGAGCAATCCATTATTTCAAGTACATCCGATATGTATATATTTCGAGCACATTATTATTAATTAATTATTGACAATATGGAATGCCTACAAATCATTACAAGTACATTTATTAATGTCATCATAAACAAGTTAGAAAACGTTTTTGATGTCTGTATTTTTTGCATGATCCAAGAAGAATAAAAAAACTATTTTAGTTCTATATTGTAACATCTTTCTAGTCATAATTTTCGAGTAATATTCTTCATCCGTGGCAGATATGGAGGAAATCATTAATACTGTTCAGTGTTCATCCATATACAAAAATATTTAGGGATAGATTGGTCCAAAATATTGAAATCGTATTTGTTTGCCCATGTCTTCAATCTTATTAGTAAAATAAGACATAAGCCAAATTAGTGTTTACAGCCTTTTCCTATTGATCAAATTGCTTTGAAATTTTCACTAGTTTAAGCTTGTATTTTCGCTAGAAGACTTACTTTTCTTTGTCTCAAAAATTACTGTGTGCAATATAGATGGGATTCCTTTTTGGTATGCAGTGACATATCAAAAATTGCGCACATTGTGACGGTTCCACATTTGCGTTAGTTTCACTGATTAAAATAATCGAAAGTTTACAGGAGTTCACCTCCTTGTAATGTTTTGCGCATACCCCTACTACTTCGTTTTGGACTTGCGTCCATATATTTGAGCATCGCTCTCTTGTTTTCTGGTGCCATATTTTTCTATTTTGCCAGTCATTTACAGATCTACCTATTATACCTCTGTTTTATGCAGGCTGCATACTTTGCTTTGATTTATACTATGTTAGACTAGAACAACTCAAACATTTTTTCTTATGACATACTATTTTATTTTTATTCTAGTAAACGATCAGAGACCAGTAAGAGTTATAAGTCAGCCATTTCAAGTAGTTCGAAATGGTGAAAGACTTCTTACTAAGGACGACTTATGGTATACTGATGCAGATACAAATTTCAGTGATCTGGATTTAGTATACACAAGACGGGGTATTGCAGATGGAGACATACTTAATGCTACCAGCAGAAGACACGAAAAGGTAATGATGTAATGTGGTTGAATTTTGTAATTTAAGAATATAGGGCAAGAAGTGGATCTTGGATCGTTTGGATCGATGTTGGTTTTGTTGTGCTACTGACTGTATACATACTTTTCTGACCGCAAGATAGTTTGAGTTATGATTTTGTTTTACAGTCGCCTTGGGGGTTGTTCAATAATATAAATTTGGGCATAGTTAGGGCTAGGGGGTTTAGAGGGTGGGGTTGTGCCATGTTGCAGATTACCGGAATTTGTTGCTACTGTGGTGAATAAATATCTGTAAATCCTCGTATTTATATAATATTATTTGTAAAAATCCCTCAAGGCAACTGAAAGCAAAGTTATAACTCCGGTCGTCTTACGTAACCTAGTGCCATGAAAATCCTGTACTACTTATCCTCCTCAAATGCTTTTTCACTATCCATAGAATGGGAGAAAGCTGTAGCAAGATTGAGGACAGCTATTTCAACCGATTCAAGAGTCGGTCTTCATGCTAACACAAATATATTTCTGTAACGTTTCATCGGACTAAGTTCAAGTAGTTGAATTATACATGCCTGGAGAAGCCTGTCCTTGGTCAGACAAAACTTTACAGTGTCAAACTGGACTATTGAATGTGAATCACTTTCGAGAAAATTTATTCTGTCGAAAAAAAAAGTCTATTTTGCTGCACCATTTCTCTCCTTGTATATTCTTCCTAACAGCTAATATAGCTTTATAAATCATTGTTAATGTGTCCCATTTTATATTTTTAACCCTTAGATATTCAAGTTTACCCAGCGACAAATAGTCAATGGAGAAGTTTTGTTAAAACATGAAGGAAATGATTTTGGTCGATTTGTGTTTTGGGTCAGAGATGGAAAACATTATGCTACAGGTTTGCTGAATAGAGAATTCCATTTTAATTCAGTTTTTGTCAATGGTTTGGTGAATACTCTTTTGGGTATCATTTTTTCCCCAGAATAAGGGAAAAAATATTTTTCCTGACGACAGACAGTGGCACAGCCAAGGATATATTAGATTAGTAATGCTTTCATTTTGTTGTAAGTCGTTGCAACCTCGAGTTCCGTCAAGCACAATTAAATTAAAATAGAAAAAACTTTCATAATGAACTATTTTATTATCAAACGTGCAATTTTGGGCTATGGCGACGCAGAAGCCCTTGCATAGAAATTTCTGCTTCCGACTTTGAACTTTAAAAAATCCCAGCTGCGCCCCTGTCTGACGACATCCTTTTATCTTTGTTTTCATTATTGATGTAGTGCTTTTATGCTGATTATGGAGTCAGATTAAACTTATTACTTATGCTTAACTTATTCATTATACAATCATTGAGGAATTATGCTATGCTTTTTAGTTAGACATAACGATTAGTATAAATTGATTTTTGTAAACCAATTTTATAAAAACTTTAAAATTTTAGGTTTATTCGTTATATCTGCATCAGATCCTTTTGTGAGAATCGTAAACTCTTCTGAACTGACTGTTATCAAAGGAAGAGAAATCGCAATAACATCTGAAAATCTATGGTGTTCTACAAATGTTAAAGGCTTAAAGAAAGACATTACTTACAGGCATGCTTTTTTTTAAATGATTTTTTATTTCAGATTTTAAATACTATTGGCAATTATCTACTTTGATCAAATTTCAATTAACTTTGCGCAGATGAAGTACTATTCGAATATTTGTTGTAAACTAGTTGTTTAAAAACGGTTATAGATCAGGGGTGGACAAATTACGGCCGGATCTCATTTATGTCTGCTAAAATTATGACTATAGTTTTATGGATATAGATTTCTGTTAAAAATATTGTTGAAAATACCTTCATAATGACCCTGATTGTTACATTAAGCTTCTTATTATTATTATATAAACGTTTGCCTTGCTGTTGGACTGGCTGATGTAAATGAACTGTTTTTTATTCATAGTTTTTTATGCTTCTGACTGACCCACTAACTAAGTATATTATATTTGTCTGGCCCATACAGAAAAGTAATTGCTCACCCTTGTTATAGATCAATGTAATCGTAAATATACATTCTAAGTCGATGTAAAGTTATTCAAATTTAAACATATTCAGAATCAATTACTCACCCCAAAAGAACTGTTGAACAATTTAGGCTATTTTGTTTGCATTTTTTTCATAAATTACATCATAGATTTGATTAGATTGGCAGAGCTTCAAGCAAAGTATTGCTTCTAGGCGAATTCTGACTTCTACTGAATAAATAATCGAAGGTTAAATAATTAATTTGATTTACAGGATCACCAAAGCTCCTAGTAATGGACTATTGTACCTTAATAATTCTTCAGAAGATGTTCAACCAATATCAATTAAATCCTTCACCCAACAGGATATTTTTGATGAAATTGTTGTTTATGAACATAGTGGCTCACCAGTAATGGAAGATAGCATTGATTTCCAAGTATCTGCTGGAGAAATTTCCAAGCATGGAAATGTAAGAACATTTCAAATTCACTATAGGTTTTATTCACTGAGTGTGCAGTGGGAATGTTTTGATCTAAATAGCATGGTAATCACCTAAATCAGAATTTTTTTTTAAATTGGAAATTTTACCAGAAGATTACCTATTTAACTTTATTTTAGATTTTGATTCTGAATCTTTTGAACTTTTTTGCATAGTCTAATAGATTCAAAAGACCCTGACTGATTTTCGTTTATGACGTTTTTTTAAAAGTAATTGCAAGTTCAACTGACTACCAAGCCATAGTTTGTACCCTAGTTTTATTACCTATTAAAAAGCTAGATGCAACTAGCTTTCCTTAATGCAGTCTTATGACATCTTATTTCAAGATTGCAATCAAGGCTGTTTTAGAAAGTCATCAGAAACCACCAACCGTTCAGAAGAATCGAACTATTGTGGTTGATCAAGGACAAAAAGTACAAATAAGAAAGCAAGATCTAAGGTGAGTGAACATATTTGCCTTGCAAAGCAGCCCAATGTGAGGTAATCGGTAAATCACTCTTGTTTCGATCCTATTTTTAAAAAATCTGTAATAAGGAAACAGTTTGGTGCATTGTGCCAAATGTGAGGAATATGCTTACCATTTCATCTCTGATTAACCTTACGCTGGTTCGCAGGTTCCAAACTCCTCACCATCATAGGGAGGGTTTTCGGCCTCCTCTGCCATCAAGTCCATGCATCATGCATCTGAAAAAATAACTGAATAACTCTTACTATGCCAAACATGGACTGGTAACTGGATGAGAGATCATGGTTCGCCATATAAATAAGCAATCTTAGCATATAATGCTAATAATAGCTTAAGCATATAATCAAGCAGTCTTTTCTCTTCAAAATGAATATAAAAATTCCTATATCCTATAACATTTCACAAATGCAACATGCTTTGCACAACCGTTACCACCAATGGCTATGAGCTACATGAATAGTATCAGTTTCAAATTAGCATTGTCATTTAGTGATTACACATCATTATTACACAATTATATCAGATACAATATCTTGTGCAGCAACCTCACTGCAAGGACAAGCCAGACATAAAAGTGAAACGTTAAACAATAATAAAAAAATGTAGAAAACTGAAATTAACAATAACCCAAAACGAATATCAACAACAAATACATGTTTCAATTATTTTGAAACGTTTCTTTAAATTTCCTGCAGGATAGTTCATCTTGACACTCGAGCTGCAGATATTGTGTTTTTCATCAAGCAATCTCCGAAGTTTGGAAATTTAGAATTTCTGACAAATGTCGATTCAGATGAGTTTAATACTGATCCATTGAAAGGTAATTTTACAAATTTATTGTTAGTGTTTAGCTGCATAGCAACACATAATAGAAGGGTTATGATCCATGTAGTGTATTGTTTTGATCAGTTCTATTACCTTTCTCTGTTTGGCATATTTATAGGTATTTTCGATGTAATATCAATGTGATTGCTTTTTGCTATGTTGTCATATTATTAATTGGAGTGAAAGTAAAATTGATGCTGATATGACGTGCAATTTCACAAGAATTTGGTCAAGTTGAAGTCAAATATATGATATCTACCAGTAGTTCATAGACAGATATAACTTTACTGTCTCTACTAAAAGTAGAAAATTGCACACATTTATGAAAATGAAATTTTGAAATGATTTTTAATATTGAATAATGCTCAGTAAGTACATTCCGAACAATGAAAAAGACAAAATTAATTTGAAATTAATAAAAACATCTCGTATTTTTTTGCAATATTTTTCATTTACTCAATCATCTCACTTTTTTTCTAGAATTCACCCAATCTGATATCAATAAAGGATTAGTTTGGTATTCACAAAATACATCATTTGTTTACTCTGACAATGATTTTATCAACGGAGTTCTACTTGATTATTTTACATTCGATGTTTCGAACAAAATATTATCATTGGATAATCTGAGATTCTATTTTGATATTGTTCCTTACATAATCCCTTTGAAGTGAGTATCAGACATTTACTTGATTTTCTTATACAAATAGATATCAAAATAATATTGTATAGCATCATTTTTGGAAAGATTCATAGCTTTTGGTGTGAAATTGTGATGAAATTTTTTTGGTTCAAACGTTCTGAATAGTGCTATAAAAATAATTTGACTATCCCTGCTTGGAAATAGCTGCGGACATACAGCCAATGATATTTTTCTATAAGAAGTGGAATGCTACCATTACAAACCTATTTTTTTATTCTGGATGAAGTGGTGGACATGGGTTCTAAATTCAAGATAATTGACCTTCAAAACAAACACAAGCCACGGCTTGATGGTGGCATTATGTGCCATTTTTCGACTGTGCTATTTGTGCCATTTTTGAAATATTAAAGTTCTGAATCGAGAGTATGAACTATTTTTCTTATTTATTTCCAGAACGAACAACTTTTCAGTTCCAGAGGGCAGAACTAAAGCAATCATAAGAGAATATTTATATATTGAAGGAATACATTTTGATGAAGCCACAGTGGAGATTCGAGTCACTAAACCACCAGAGCATGGTATCCTGGAATCAACTCAACAAATTGGAATTGCCTTGAAAAGTTTCAGTTATCGCTTGGCAACAGCTGAATTTCTTTATTACTCTCACGACGGTTCCGATTTCTTGCAGGTTTGTATTCTTTTTGTGATCTTTATCACTGGCCCATGTCATATTTTTGTAGTAACAACACAGGCTTGTCAATTGAATCACAACATAACCTATTGGCTATCTTGAATGAAGTTCCGGGTACTCTGTTTGTGAATGCTACAGAAGTATCTGTGTGGCACTGAATACTAGGACATGCAGCAGACAGTACCCTCGGAGCCTCTCAAAGTTTATAATTTATTGTTGTCGCTGATTATTTTTAAATGACTATTCTATATAAATTAAGGTACTCCTAAAGTATGCGCACCAAGATGTCGCCTAACCTGAACCCTAACCTGGTACACAACCTGAGTTCAGGTTGTGCGCCATCTTGGTGCGCATACTTCAGAGGTCCTAAATTGAATATATTTCCTGTAAATAGCAGCAATTTGTTAACAACTCACAGAATTAACAGACATAGATTATTATTTTACTGTATGTATGGGTGCCTCAATCTCAATTTTCGTTTTCGTCCAAGTTGTCAGCACAGTTTTCGTATATTATTAAGCATAAATATATTTAATTTTATGACTTATTTTCAATTTCATCCAGGATTCATTCAGTCTTCAAGCATTCACAATTGATGGCAAAAAACAAAGCAACATTGTTGCCTCATATGTTACTATTATCCCAGAGAATGACGAACAACCTGTTGTTGTTAACAATACTGGAATGACTGTAAGTTCCATTTGTACATTGTGTATATCGCCGGATGAGAACAGAACAGGCTTAAGTCACAATTTTGAGTTTTGAGAAAAACGCAAAAAACAATTTTGAATTTCAGTATATTCGAGTTTCTAGATATTCACAATTAGTAAACCTTTCTGAGCTCTGGTTATTTCAATGTGAATGAGAGTATCTTTGTAATCGATTTATTTTGGCACCTCCTTTCCGCTTTTTTAAACCCCCCCCCAATGCTGTTCTAATCTGGCGATATTATGCATAGGCTATTTTCACTCATCTGTATTTATACCAGGTTTGGACTAACTCTATCACAAAATTATCATCGATCGTTCTCGGAGTGGAAGATCCAGATACTGGACCTGGTGATATAACATACAGGATACTTCCTCCTAGTAATGGTTGGATTGCTTGCAACAATGATCCATCAAAATCGGTTTTGGAATTCACACAGGAGCAAGTTAACAACGGAAGTATTGTGTTTGTCCATAAAGGTGAGACTTAGATAAAAGGAGGTATGCTAATTTGATGGAGTTCAAAAGGGTTTTTAAGCCATTTTGGGGACGGTAAATATTTCCCTTGACATAACAACAGCTGTGAATATTTATATACCACATGTTCCAAATAATTTAGTTGAAACTCTATGTAGCCAGCAATAAAATGGAATTTCCCATCAGTGCTTAATTTATTGTTAAATGAATGTTAGTGATCGCTATAGATGCAAACAAATTTGGCAAAATTCAAAATATCGATTTTCTGTATTAAAGTTATATGATACGAGTGCCTTAATATGATTTACTTGAAGAGGAAATCTAATTTTAATCTAATTAATTAAACTTCATAACATGGTTGTTGGAAAATAAACAAAAATAAAGTTCCCCATTATAATAATTCATTCATTCCAGGCTCCACCACTGGTGGGATTACGTTTCAAGTGGACGATGGTGAAAATTACGCGAATAAACATATATTTGTGATAACTGCAAAACCATTGATTATTGCTGTAGAAAACAACAAAGGAATACAGGTATCTATATGAACATTTTGTTGATGTCTTTGATTTGTATTGAAAAAATATTGTAAGGATAGATAGGGAAAATCGTTTTGTCGGAGGATATGAACATTGGTATGAATCAAAAATATCAATTTAAAGTAAAAGGTGTTGACGCTAGACATTTATTGCTCAAATGCTGATAATACTAAGACTTTTTTTGTGTTTTCCAAATTTGAATATACAAAATAATTTAGTTTAAATTTTTTAGTATATATGTATATACATCACTTGCCTATTATGTTTTTGGCCATGCATTTTATGAACTATTTCTTTTTCAAAGCAAAGGCAATATTCTGATCATTTTGGTCAAAATTAGATAAATAAATCTTCTTTTCAACAGTCTTTTCCTGGTACTTCTATTGATATCACATCAGATGTTCTCCGATCTACAACTAATGATATGGAGACAACTGACAGAATTATTACATACAAAATTATTTTTCGACCTAAATATGGGAAGATAGTCAAACTGGTATGTTTTTTCATTAAATTTTTAATTATGACTCAATGTTCTAATCAACTCCTTTGTTTAAATCAGGGGTGTCCAACCTGTTGCCCTTAATCTGGTCCCTGCTAGTAATTCTAATCCTATTGCGTTGCAAGCGTATACCTGAGTCCAATTTATTATCTATGCCTATGATGTTACAATGCCCTAACACAGGGGTTCTCAACCTTTTTTCTGTCAGGTACCCCCCCCGAGTCACGAAACAATCAACTCGAACCCCACAGTAAATAGACACCAAACAAAGTTAAGATATATTGTTTCAATCGACACGCATTTTCCTCTGATAGTAACAAAGAATTTTAAAAAACAGCAACACACAAAAACTCGACTGCCTTCCAAGCACCCCTGGAAATCTTCTCGTGAACCCCTGGGGGTTCGCGAACCTCAGGTTGAGAACCCCTGGTTGGTTGCACACCCCTGATTTGAATCGAAGGAACGAGGCATTTTTTTAGTCCCGATATAAATTATCTTGTAGTTTTATAACCTCAATACAAATAAAACTGTATGGCATAATGGAGAAGGAGTTGCAATACTCAAATTTACGGACAATAATGCGCACCGGGTGATAAGACACATGATCACACATTGTTACTAAATTTCTTAGATTGAGGTTTTAAATATACATAAGTGCACCGAACTATGAGATGCACCAGTTTTTACGAAGTATCAGATTACTGTTAAGCTCATTAAACAAGTTTAAAAACTCGATATTTTTATGGTTATTGTATTTTATTTAAAGAAAACGTAAAACAACGGTTTGTTCATAAAGCAATATCATCGATACTAGTTTTCAGTGTACGCAATAAAGCACAACCTGATCCATACACTAGGCGCAAAGGCCTATATGGCGTACAATCCTCTTTTGAGAAGAAGGGGATTCAAAATATGGTATTTTATTTCTTATGTACACACTTATATTTGACCTTCAAAATGTGTTTTTCACAGACTAATCACACATCAACAGAGAATGAAACATTGGAGGAATTTACTCAGCAAGATATAGATGATAAGCAAGTCTTTTTTAAACAAGTAAGTGCTAGTTTCAATTGTGTATGAGCTGATGCATCTCAATTGCTTTTTTACACTTTGCAATCAAGTTTTTATTCTAAATATAATCCTTCGGGGCACAATCAATCACTGTTTTAGTGGGGGTGTGCAACATTTTTTGTTGGTGGGCCATTTGACCAACTTCGGACATCTAGCTGGGCCACACATAGGAAAATTGTTTTTTCATGTACTCAAACGAATTAAAAAATGACAACCAGAGTTTTGCGGTAAAGGCAAGATAAGAGAAAGCAGCTATCACTTAGCCTTCCAGGGATAAAGGCACTGTAACAAATTGCGAAAGATTTAAAGCAGCATAAGCAGCCTGTTGCACATACCTGTTTTAAATGATATTTTATATTCCGAATTTATTTCAGCACAATTTATACTGATATATACAAAGTAGCATGAACTTTCCTTCTTTACTCAACCATGTTTAATATTTGTTTGGGCTGATAATCAATCTTTCTGGACATGAATAATGATCTTGGTAGAGGCACAATTCATGCTACTTTGAATATCATCTTTTGAAATCTGTCATCTGATCTTCCGAAACTTGTTATCTGAATCATGTACTTTTGGTCGAGTATGTTGTCAGCCTTGATAGCTAATTAAAGTAGCATCAAATTTTATTTTGACTGACTGATTTTTGTTAAACTCTTCACTTTTCACAATAATGAATATGGTTATGTATGTATTTATTTCAGGACATTGAAGTTGAAAAATGGTCAGCGATTGATAGTTTTGTTGTTACTGTCCTATCTCCACCTGCTGATAACATAACTGATGTCAAAATACCAATCAATATAACTTATGATGCTTTTGAGATTGTTGGAAAGAAAAGTCCAATCAGTGTTAATGAAGGTAGATTACTTGACTTGTTCATTCAAAGATGTCAAAGCAGTTGTACAAATTGAATGTATCAATTGAGGATTCCTAAAATCGCTTTTTTTTACTGTAGTAATTTGTAGAAAAGAAAAACCTCAAAGGCTTGTTAATTATCTAGTTAAAAGTATTTTTTCATTTTTTTGATTATTATTTTTTCTATATGCTCATGCTCAACTTGTTTTAATGATAATGAGATATAGATTCATGTTGTGTGAAAGACAATTTTATTTTTTTAATTTTTTGTCAGCATTTTGTATTTTTTTTTTCTGAAGGTTGCACTCTAATTGAAGGTGAAAAAATACAAATAACAACTGATATACTTGATGCCAGTAATTTGTATAAGAAGCTTCCTTTGCACAGAGACAGAAGTCTTTATGGATTATTGTGAGTTTGATTTTATTTTTGGACACAGAGTGGATCGTTTTGTTATCATGTTGTTGTTGTGCAATAAAACGCTTTTTCATTATAAACTTCTTGACCAATTGCTTAGAAACTTTCAGTGATTAAAAGCTTCTTGTTGTCACTGAAAGGGCATTACTTTTATTTATTTCTGTGGGCTCTATGGGATTCATTTTTCACTTCGACGTTTTGTGTGATGTTATCAAAATTGAAAATTGTGTGTTGTGGTATCGTGATCACATCCTAGTGATTTGTTGATCTGGTACTTGCACTGTAAAACAGTTGATACTGATTCGTTTCGCCTTCGTGTTCATATATTTGAGAATTGCTCTCTTGTTATTTCCTTGGTCCATCAACCACTTCGTTTTGGCCTTCGTTTGTGTCCATATATTTGAACATTGATATCTCATTATTTCTTTGATTCATCAAATCAGTCATAATCAAATAAGTCGTCCAATAATTGATTACACAAATACTTTTATTTTAGTTATTCTCTGGTTGGGTTGCCGATTCATGGAAACATTTCAATTTCTGGTGAGAATGTAACAAAGCCAAATACGAGTTTCACTCAGACCAATCTTATTAAAAATGAAGTGTTCTACCTTCATGATCATTCCGATCATATTGAGGTATGTATGCTATAGGATGAAATAAAAAAAAAGATAGCAGGGAAGTTGATAAGACGGCTTAACCATATGATTAAAATGATCTTTTGTCCGGTTACTCATGCATATTGGCCATGGAAATAGTACCGCAACAGTCCACTTGTTAGATGAACCACCTTATGTTTGCAAGGAGTCCAGAGATCTTCTTGTTTATGATCAGTTGCAAACGTGTCACAATGCCTAGCACAATGTTAAATCGCCCAACCTCAAAATCATTGTAACAAAATATAATTCAGAAAATTGGGAGCATAACTTGACGACATGCCTGGAATTTTTCTTGCAAGGGATGCATTCAGAAAATGTTTTTTTGTGTAGGGCCACATTGAGAAATTGTGGCTGCAGACATTGTTGAATCGAGATATAAAATAATAAAATAAAAACATAAATATTTTATTAACGATTAAAGTCAAAAATAAATTTAAATTTGATATGTTATGAGAAATTCTCACAATTTTCTCCAAGAGCAGGGGGGTTGCTTAAAATACTTTGATGGGCTGTAGTTGGCCCATACTTGGGATATTCATACATATTACATTCAAATAATCTGGACAATCTGAAATCAAAGTGTGTTAATTCCAAAAAAGATCATAATAGATAAAGCTAAAGACATTTAATTGCGCAAGCTTTAGCATTAACAGACTTGTTTGAGTTTTTCATCACTTTCTTTTATGGTTTTATTTTGACAGGATTCATTCAATTTCAACATCTTCCTTGTTGACAAAAGATATACAGCAAGTACAGGAAAACCATGGATTGTTCCTGGAACATTTTTTCAAGATATTTTCAATATCTCTATAACTCCTGTTAATGATAATCCGCCTAAGTTGTTGACAAAAGGGAAAGTACTCGAGGTGAGTAACTACTATATATTTTAAACTGTAAAATGTGTTCGTTCGTTCGTGAAAGCTTGGTGTTATTTTTTTTTACGAAACATTTGGCAAGCATATGTGATTTGCTTTCATTAATAGGTTTGTGCGTAGTTATCTTTGCAAAAGGTATTCTGTGGGTGAGAATTGAAACATGTTCAGACTCTGAGAATAAGGGTCTCCTAGAGCAGAGATCCAATTATTGCAGCATTATATTTAAATATGTAGGCCACTTCGATGATGGGTGATATTGATCACTTTATTTGTGGTGTTCGGAAAAAAAATCTGAATTGTTGTCAACTTATTCATGACATTGTTGTCAACTTTATTGATTCAAAATACCCAGCACGAATCACCAGCGAAGGAAATTCTTGCTTTTATTCATTTCTTTTAACCTTACTTGCCAACTTTTATTTAGGTTGTGGATGGATTTGACACTCTTGTACTTCCTGAAGTCCTAAATGCTGTTGATCCTGATAATTCTCCTGAAGAAGTCACTTATTCTATCATTCGACCTCCTTCTAGGGGTCATATTGCCTTTGTAAACGAGTCATTAACAAAAATAACAAAGTTCACTCAGTTTGATGTCAACGAGGGAAAGGTTGTTTTCGTCCCAAAAAAGATTAACATGACAGAATCGCAATTAAATGATGCTTTGTACTTCAGTGTAACTGATGGAATACAAAGGCCGGCATACAACTTGTTTCAAATCAAGGTTACGTGTTAATTAACCTAATTTAGAATAAAATTTTTAAACAAACCTTATTAGTGGTCCCAAACCGTGGGTCAATTGCGGATCGGCAGAACGATTTACTATTCCCTGACGAAATTAGTGACCTAGTTTAACACTTCATAATTTACCTTTTTGCGTTCTAGATACCACCAATTGTTACATTCTTATCACAGTTTAAGCACTGTTATTCGTCACAACTGAATTGTATCGTATCTTAATTATATGTATTGGTACCGATATCGACCCCTGCAGATTCCCCTCTCTCCCGGCCCATGAATATGATTCGCTTCTATGTTTGGCCCCGATCAATCAACTTTGGGAAACACTGTTATATAAGTTTTGATCATGGTCTTAAATATATGATAATATTTTTTTGCTAGATTGTTCCTGTGCATTTGAGATTGAATCCGTCACAAATTTCTATTGTGCAAGCATTCTATTCAGCAGATGTTACCAGCAATATTCTGAATGTTTCAACTAATGGAAATTTATCGCTTGTATCATTCCATGTCACGAAGCTTCCTGAATCAGGAATGATTCTTATTAATGAGAATCAGGTATTTGGTTTATTAGATACATTGACTAATGAAAATGTAACTGAGATAGGTGGTTAAAGGTTTTTATAATTACGTTTCAGAATATATAAAAATAATATGCATACCTCGTGAAAATTTAATATTATTGTTCAGTTGCTTGATTGAATATATGTATACTATCCTTGTCTTTCTTAATCTAAAATTTATTATTTCGAATACACTTCTCAAATATATTGAAATGAAATAGAATATTGAATATATTCTAAATGGGGTCAAATTTAATGGAGAAAAATATGCAGACATCATAACTGGCTAAAAATTAAATGTGGTAATGCCGAATTGATCAAATTTACATTGTTTCCATTAATTTTCCTTGTTTGCACCATCATAATGTGAATGAAGTTTATTTTATGTTTTTATCTTCAGATTTCAGACATATTTCCATATGAAACTATTTTATATCTTTCCTAAAAATCATATATTTATTTACCTTATTAAATTTCAAATATATTAGAATTTTCCATTCATTCTGGACATTGTAGATTCAGACATATGCAAACCTATTAATTTGTTTGATTTTTCTTTGCTAAATGCTTTGATCAACAAATTTAATTAAAAAAATATCTATTTCCCTTCAGAACTCTTCTTTTTCTTATGAAGATGTTTCAAAGAATAAAGTCACATTTGCAATGACTAAAAATTCACTCTCAACAGATTCAATGGAAATAAATGTTCATTATAACAGGAGTATTGGATCAAACATGAGCGTTACAGCAACATTACAAATCATGGTAACCCCTCTTCTAGTACAAGGTAATTTTTGTCTTCGTTTGTTTTTATTGAAAACAATTTGCTCCAGAAGGAAGGAGTATACAGGTGCTGTGGCCCCCACTTTAGGGATTGAGCTTCCATTCAAATCATCATTTATCAGTATCTATCTAAATGATAAAAATCCTATCCTTTATTGTGTTCAAATTTTATCGTATTTTCAACATGGTCTTTGCTTCTATATTCAAGGTTCTCTATCTGTCAGCAATGATGGTTTATCAAGATTAGCGTTATCATCGTTGAACACCACTCCGTTGCTTGATAAATCAAATTCAATGCCTAGATTCGAAGTAATCAGACAACCAGAAAATGGAGAAATACTCAAGGTTTTTTCTCCTGAAGGTAATATATTCATTTCACCCCAATCACTACGAATCGTGTGAAATTGTTTGTATTATTCGATCGATGGTTGGGGTGACCTGTTACACATTAGAAAAATGCTTGCCATTATATCTTGTTTCTGATCTCATGGGGAATAATTAGGTCTGGGAGGATTGCTGGATTTCTTACTGTCGTACGGTGGCTCAAGTAACCACTAGTCAGTTACGACTTTCTCTGTCATCAAGTCCATGCATCTGAAATGATAGACTGGCTGACCATTCCCATACCTGACATGAATTCATACCTGGACGATAGGTTGGGTCTGGATATGGTCAAGTCTTATCGTCTTTCCTGCCTTCCGAGTTAGATACGAGAATCTGGTCTTATTCCATTTTTTTCAAGGTATATGATAATTATGATAATTCAACTTATGATGAATAAAATTTCTTTATCTTTATTCAACTCGAATTTTATCATTGCTTTTTTCCGACAATTTGTTTTATGCGACTCCTACAAAACAAAAAATAGTTCGATATTGGTTTTGGCGTGATTGTATTGAAAATGATTAAAGAATTCTGTCACTCTTGATTGCCTATACTTTTATGACATCATACCTATGAAATTATTGATTTCATAGAGACATCAAAATCTGTTCGGAAAAGAGAAATAAGTGGCGAATATTCTCATCTATTGAAAGAAGTCGATAAATTCAGTCATGAAGATATTGCACTTGGTCGTGTTTTCATTTATGTTGATAATCTGAATGTTACTGATGGAAAATTGGAGGACAGTATATCACTAAGGTAAGTAAGGCTGTTGTTGGATATAAAGTGTACATATTGATTTTTTTGCCATTAAATTGTCATTAATTTGTCATTGTTTGAAAGAAATCACTTTTCTCCATAATTAATGGGTTGATCGATTTCAAATTTTCAGTACTTACAGATGGGAGAAGTCGCTAGAAAGCTATTACTTTACTTCTTTTTTTTTCAAATATTACTCAGGAATTCCATAGAATTCACATTTAACTTTTTTTTGCTCCAGATCTTTGTGCCATTTCCATATCAATATGTTTGACTCATTTCTAGAGGAAAACTGTAGTATAAACATTCTTAATACTGTTAAATCAGATGTAATCAAATACTATACTGTTAAGAATACAGCTCAGTGTGAAAAATCGTATTGAAAATAATTTGATAAAAAATTTTGTTGATGACTATGTTTGCTCCATAAGGAAATGCAATTGTACTTAAAAATCGTTTGGCTCATTGAATGCGAAAAAATAGATTTTAGCGAAGCTATCCATGAGTCAACTTCATGTCCAATAAAGCAGTAATTATGATACTTTCTAAATCACATTTTACCCATTTAGGTTACTCTTCTTAGCTATTATTATCATTGATTCAAAAATTTTGAATTGAATGGATGTTTGGGTGATAATGGTCATGTCTGAAGCTATTAATCACATTGTATTGGAACAGAGTACTACTGTTACTACTTATAATGGTCGAACGACGGTGGTCAGTCATTCGTGACTTATTTTGTTGTTAACAGTGTTCTTTCGTCCACTCTAGTGTCAAATTCAATAGGATTGAGTACCACAGCTTGTTTTTGTGTTTGATAAACAAACGATAGCGTGTAATTTTCTATTGTCGTTTTATAACGATCTATTTGATGTTCTGAAAAGAAGACTTATAAAAGGTGTCGTAATTGACTTCGTAACTCGAACCAAAAAGAAATTAAACCTCGCCAAGCAAGGGGTGTAGAATTTAGTTATGTTTTATCTATAAAACATACTGGTCCGTGTGTGCAATTAGTTTCTGTAATTCCCCCAACGAGGCATCATTTTGTCCACATGAGGTTTGCGGTAGTTTTTGTGATTACTACATGGGTGGTCTGTCAGGTAAAGCAGTGAGCCAGGTTACTGGTTATTAACATTAGTAGAATGAAGGGAATCACTGTTTCAAATAAGTTCTGTTGAAGAATTGAACTGGCAGTTGTTTATATTTTTAAAATTGCTGAAGTTAGCATAATGAGGTTGTTAATTTTTTTGAAAGTTGTCTGTACTCTTTCTTACATTATTAGTAATATGGTATTATTGGTATAAAAGTCCATAAAATGAGGATTTTTGTATTCAGTAATTTATTTTGCTTCAGTATCTAGTTCCTGACTCTATGTGCCATGTTGATATTATCCAAATATTTCGCAGTAATGGTGAAGAGCATCAAGTTTTTTTTTTATTCATTCTCAGACTTACAGTCGAGGATAATTCTGCTCAACCTGCCGAATTTACCTTTGATTTTGATATTGTTGAAAAAGAGGCAGAAGACTATTCTTCATTCTTTGAACAATTCCTTGTAAAAGAAGGCAAGTTTAAAAAGATTTACTGCAATTTTTTAAAAAGTTTGATTCAAAATACAAGTATATACTATTTAATATGTTGTTAACTATACAGATATCTGTACCGAACATAGGGCCTAACTAAGATGACGTTTTGTGCATAGTATTTATCAGTGTGGAACGGGTATTGAATTTCCAGATAATGGTTTTGGGGTAAATTTTCATTTTATGTGAAACTTGTTGCATAATGGTTCTGCATCACCTGTTTGAGGATGAATTTTATATATTGACTAAACTTATCAAAAGTTAGTCTTGACACTTATTGCTAATGTTGTGTACTTGAATTTTTAGAACTTACTACAATTGCTGATGCCGATATGGATGATAGTGTTGATTCAACAACTTCGAGTATCATTTCTGGAAGTAGTTTACCTGTATCACCTTCTGAAAAAAATATAGAGAACGTTGACAAAGATGTTGTTGATGACCCAAAAATATCAACAGAGGACAACAATCCAATGGATCCTAAAGATGTTATGGCTGAAAATCCTCAGGTATGATATTGTCTTCTGATACCTGAATTCTAGCACATCCACACCCTTAGAACATGCACAGTGTAAACAGATATACGAGAACAAGCGTGTTCCTTATGCCTGGCACAATGCACCAAAGGCCAATGTGTTATGTGTGTGGACCTGTAACCTGATGTTTTCAGTTTGTAAATGTAATATTCTGTAAAACATTTTTTTGATTTCTATATTTTGTGTCCAAAACCTGCTTTTGTGTAAATTCTTACAAAAATTTATGTTCCAGCCCGCAGAAGATGAAACTTCATTACCATGGCTTATTCCAGTTGCTGTAGTTCTTGGATTACTATTAATCATGGCTCTTTGTCTCACTGTTGTATTTCTTCGCCACAAACATTGGTTCAAAGGGAAAAGTTACAGAACAAAAAACGATCAAGCAAGCGAAGAAAATCACTCACTGACTTCTCGTGATGATATCCTAGAACAAAATAATTTGAATCCCACGATGAATTATAATCAGACTAATATTTCAAGGCACCCAGAAGGAGAGTCACTTCGCAGTCCTGCATGCCCGGGGGTAACTGTTACACTTTTGAGGTCGGGGCCTGGGTCTGTTCAACCTTCAAATTATGGTGAAGACCGGCATAGTTTTACTGTAATGGGTTCAACCCTAGGCCCCCAATCATATAGAGATGATGTGCCTTCAACTATATACACACCATCGACTGTCTATCATTATGATGACACGGGAAGTGTTGATTTCCCTGATAATGCAGAAGCTGAATTTTATGCTGCTAATCACAATATTTATCCAAACCAAAGACTCTATCACAGCAGAAGTGCTAGATTTATAGACCCTGATGTATTAGCACTTTATTCATCTGACGAAAGTATACCTTCCATGATTGATGAAAAATATGCAATCCCTTATCGAGGAAGCACTGGTGCTACTGGCAGTGTACCAGCGGAATTACATAGGGCTGTTAGTCAGCCAGGTACGTCTTATGCTGGTATTGCGGACTGCAGACCTCGGTCAACGGCATCACTGTCGAAAGCGGCAGTTACACCTGAACTTTCTTTGCTTCCAAATTCAGGACTTGAGAGTAATCAGTATTGGATTTGAGATTTGTTTTGTTGAGTTACAACTACCTTGCAATTTGATGCAATAATTTTCATAACAAATAATTATGTGTCTGACTCAATTTAATTGTATAATTATCACCCAGATCAATGATGGATTCTCTTTTTTTAGGCTAATTTAAAGCCAAAAAATTAATGAAAAAAACTTTGTCAAATTTGCACTTGCTGCGTCGTTTGTTGAACTTCTCAAGCCAATAGATGGTATATGAATGGTATGTGTTTGTGAGGCCTTAGGATTTTTTTGCTTTTGAGTGGCGCATGCGATCATGCTTTGGCCAAAATAGATTTAAAGCGTAGAATTAATATTCAATGAAAAATATCGGTCATTTTCTATATTTTGATTTTGACAACATTCAAATCATGCCTAATTATGTAAAATTAAGTTCATACCAAATGGAATGGAATACATATGTCAACTTATTTTTCTTGTTTCGTGCCTTACTTTATCAAGCTATTGTATTGTGTACTTTTGGTACTATCAAATGTTACTTCATATATTCATTTTTGTTTTCAATTGTATTTATGAACTGTTATATATTTTATACTACTTACCTACCTAAAAATTCAGCATTTGCCTCAAAAGTAATTTTTTTTAATGATGTATTATTACATAGATACTTTCTTTTGTGTGTGTCTTTTATTTCATTTTATTCCATATTTTTGGTGCATAGTAATTTTTTTTATATCCATTAATGTCATTTCTGAACCCTGCTCTCTATATGCTAAATTTTCTTAGCAAAGCTGCTGTGCGAACCTCTATGAAAAAATTCACACCTGAAGAAATGCCTTTCTCTCTCTCTCATTAGACTAATAGACAACACAAATCATGTTACTGTTTGAAAAACTGGAAAAAATTGACCCTACCCCCTGCATCTTCAACGTTATGCTAAAATATATGTGCAGGAACGTGGAACAGTTACCATCCCACATTTGCTTGCCAAGATGAGGAAATAGAAGGATAGAATAGGATTCACCGGAGGAGAGGAAAGTTGATTAGAAGGCGGTTACGAGAACCAACCACCCTATGTCAGCGAGGAGTTAAGCACTTTTCTCGCACATAATTATACCCTACCCGATTCGAACCTTCGAACCTGCAACCCACGCGGGGTAGGTGCGATGACAATCGTATTCCTGACTTTTGGCACAATTCGCCACACAGCCAGGTTTTTTTTAGTTAATTTAGTCTTGATGTACCTTGTGCTTGTCTATAATCATCAAGTTGATCACCCATTTTGTGCGTCTTTGCTAACAAATGCTGTTGCCTGTATTGCCGATCCAGTCAGTATGCCTTAGTTCTGTTTTTACATTTTCATAATAGAAATCTACTTTTTGCGAACAAATATTTACTCAATCTGTGGATATAACAATTTGGGTTGGGAAGTGTAGCAAGAAATCAGGTCTTATCCGGCAGTACTTTCTGAATGCCTAATCGTCTAACTAAGACATTGATAAAACAAATTAGAATATAGATCATATGGTAGTACTTTCAGAATGTTACTAAGTAATCATCTAACTAAGACATTGAGAGCCTAAGTTTATCTTTACAATGTTAGTTGCATATTAGCAGACATCAAAACAAGCAAAATTGCAAAATTGTTTGAAATAAAACTGACCTAACTCACTACTTGATCATGCGAGGGAGTGTTTTCATGTAGCACCGTTGCAAATAATGATTATTTGGGATTCCAATTTGGTAGGGGACTAGTGAAGCCGCAAGATATTCTATTGCACTATCCTTAAATGCGATTACCAGCAGAAACGTACTCTTGGGGTTTAAAAATGTTACAACATGACATGCTATGTTCGTTTGCACGATATCCTATTGTGATGGAGCAGGATAACTATAAAACAATTCTGAATGATTTGAGCAAACAATGCAACAATATCTGACTGCAAAGGTCTGTTTTATAGCTGTGTACTTAAAATTGATGTAAGGATTATATGTTTAACTCTGAGTTAGTCTCGGGTATGGAAAAAATTGAAACTACGAGATTGATATAACTATATCGGGTCGGAATGTGACATAAAATTTTCTTGAGCGCAATATGTCAGTATCTTGCTATTTATATAATAGTGAACGAGTTCTGAACATTTGGTCACAATTGGAGCCTACGATCTGGTCTGCAAATATGATAACATAACGAAAATATCATTTCAATCCTCGTCCTGGATACGATTGCGAGCCAAATTTATTGGCATATGATGGACCCGCGACTGCGTAACACGGACAAGAAGAAATAGCAATTTTTGAATGGTTGTAGGTGCCAAAAGATATTCGTTTTCCGTTCAGGGTAAAAACATTGTGACGTTCTCCATTTCGGAAACGAAGCGTTCACCTGCCAAACTCAAACAAATATTCGTGCATAATAGGAAACGCGCAATCTGAATATCCGAGAGCGTCAGGTATGTCGCATATTTTAAAGACCTTTATGCATGTTCATAATGATGATTAATATATTTAAAACGATGGCGCAACATTGTAAATAAATTGTTTGTTTTACCCGAACAAGTCCGATGCATTTAGTTTACGCTGTGGGTCAAATCAATACTGATGGGTCTCTGATGATATGCAGTTAATTTTTAGCAACTTGCGATTGATACAGACTGATCTAATGTTGTTTGATTAGTGTTCTCTTCTTATTAATGTGTAATTATATCAATAGACATCCTGGTACAAGCGAACACGCGGATTTTTTGGTATACACAAACTTTAGTCTGACAATGCGTGGGACAATATTGTTGTGATGTTTATTGCAGCTAAGGGCAGTTTCTGGGTCGATTTATCAGCGTGTAAAATAGTAAAATTTCGTGGTTTACAATTTTATATCGGGAGAAATTTCTGGTCAGCTATAAACAGAAATCTGTTATGTGTTTTATATATTTATGGTAATTTTTCTGGTCCGGTATAGCCATATTATGCATAAAGCCAAAGTTGCAGAGCAGCTCTATGGGTTAGGTTGGGAATTGTAAAATGAGTAAAGAACAATGAGCAAACTTTTTTTAGCCATACAAATCCCTAATTCATAATACCTAAAATACCTAATTCATGAAGAGTAATGAATATGTTTAGTCCAAAATGTAGTCATAAGCAAGCCCTCAATTTTATAAAACAGCTAATTACAGTCGGTCCAATATACGATCGTAAATGACGCATTCCGATATGACAATTTCTAGGTCTAGTCGATTTTCTCTTAAAAGAGGTGTCTATGAATGTGGACATTACCTATATTTTTTCAATGTTGCTTTTTTAAGTTAAATTTAGCTTCCGTAAACCAGTGGTTAAGCGACTACTTTTCTTTTAAAGCGACAACTAGGCTCCTACTATTATCAAACTAATATATTGCAAAAGTTTATGGTATTTATTAAATTAAAGCACTACTCGTATTTATTGACTGCACTAAAAAGATTCGCTAATTTATCGACATAAAAACACAAAAAATATGGCGGTCAAGCATTGGAACATGAAAGCCGACAGTTGGAGGAGAAAGATTTTCTTTGCTTTATTCTGTGTTTTGGCTGTTTGCAAAGGTGTGTAATAATAATATTAAGAATTTATATTAAACATGCGCAAGAGCATACATCAGAAAGCGAATCATATATAGATAAATATCCAGTTAATACTACAATTCCTTTTATCGAAAATCTTTGCTTAATTAAAACATCGAAAGTTAATTTGGGCAAAAAAAAAATAAATGAAATACTCCCGAGGCAAACCTTCATCCTGTCTAGATTAAACTACTTAAGATTTCATATCCGTTTTGGGAAGTGGAAAGTCCATAAGATGGACCAATCAGTCGTTTCAATACATGGACTTGATGGCCGCAGGTCATATTAATTAATCGGAAGAAACGAACGGGGACTTGCATACTTTGAAACGGGAGAATAAAGCCGATTATACATTTATTCTGCCAGTCCATTGTTCAGTATTCATAGACAGGTCGACGTGAGCTGCGAGGGACATTAGTTCTTTCAGCGAGTTTCTCAGGCAGAATTTTATCATGCGAATTTACGTTGGATTATTAGGAATGTGGCAAACCCGTATTTTTACTTCGCAGACGAGCGATACTGTCCCTCATTTATCATATTGTTAAAATTTATGATCCTAATTTTGTATATTGCTACAGGTTCCCAAGCTCAAACCACGGCAGCAGATTGCAATTTTAACGCTGGATTGTGCAGTTATACCCAATATTCAGCAACAGATTCTTCTTATTTTGATTGGACTCGAAAGACAGGTACAACGGCAAATAGTGGAACTGGTCCCGCTGGTGATCACGGAAACGGACAGGGTAAGAATTATTGTTCGCACCAATCTAAGTGTAAGATATGAAATTTTTATGGAACCAACTTTTTTCCTATTCCTCTAACGCTCCATCGCTTCGGCATACGTTTTTGGGGCTGAACGGAAGGGCATTTTGATGATTAAACTTTGGTCTGGTTTTGGTGGGTAATATACTATAATTTTAAAATAACACAAAGGCGACATAAAGGCTGGAAAGACGAGCACAACCTACTTACCCAAATTTATTAAAAGTACGAAATATAAGCTTAGTTGAAGACAAACATTTGTAGAAATTCATTTTTGACCATCAGGTGTATAAGTGGTATATAAAGACTTGTAACCTTGATTTATAATTTTACTTATAAAAAATTTTAAGGTGGGTATGTCTACACCAATTCAGCCGGAATGCCAGCTAATGCAAAGGCAGGATTACTGAGTCCGTCAGTAACATCAAGCGGAGGAACAAACTGTTTAGAATTCTGGTATGTAAACTGAAATATTGAGATATTTAAGTTCTTCTTGTCAACAAAATTTTCATACTAATTTCTTTCTAAGAACTTTGGTCTTGTGGAATGACACTCTGCTCCATTGAGGTTTGGCAGTATTCATTCAAATTGTGTTTGGAATTTATTTGGCATGTATGAAATAAGTCAGTGGTTTCGTACACTTCTCTTTTGGTACTCTTTCCATTTTAGACAAGTGATCAGGACTTTGATCTAACATGTATAACAACTGATGCCATCGAATCAAACTATCAGATTATGCTGCAGCATGACATATCTCTGTAACTAATTGTGTAGAAATTGTGTTCAACAGGCGTCCCTCAGGCCAGAATCCGCCCTCCAAGACATTCAGTGTGGCTTTCGACAACACTTATATTTGGGCGCTCCCGAAGTATGTGCACTAAGATATCGCACAACCTGAACCCCAACCTGGTACACATACTATGTTCAGGTTGTGTGCCATCTTGGTGCACATACTTCTGGAGGTCCCATATTTGTACCCATCAAGCATTGAATCCTAATCCTAACCTTTAGAAAGGTGTACACATGGGTACAATTTCATATATTTTTGCTCTTGCGTCTGCTTTGTTAAATCTTTCGCTGTTTTGCCTGGTGCCTTTATTACTGTGAGGCTAAGTGATAGCCATTTCATTGTGAGAATTTTTTAATTTGTGTACATGGGAAAAATGAATTTTTTATGGCCCGGGGACACCCCTGGTCTAGAGCATTGTTTGGAACAAATTGTCAAGCACCCTAGTAACATTGACAGCAGGTAAGAAAAACATGAAAATAGAACATACAAGTCTATTACAGTAGGTATTTAATTTTGTTGCCTATTTTTATCAAGGTATCATATGCATGGTAGCACAATTGGAACTCTGAATGTGTATCTAAAACAAGGTTCGGTTCTTACTGATGCTAAATGGTCTCGATCTGGTACGCAAGGGGATAAATGGTGGAGAGGTGCAATTGACATTTCAATAACTGGAAGTTATTCGGTAAAAATTCAATTATTGTTTTTTATATATAAAATTATGCAACTTCATCTTCAAAAATAATGAATATCTAACAGTTTTGAACTTTGAGATAAAAGTTGATAGGTGTGGCTTGAATACCAGCAAATTTGAAAATGATAACACAAGGTTTCTATATTATCCTATTAAAACATCTCTGGGTGCATATTTTGAGGAAAGAATACAGAACTAATTTTTCACATAGCGGTACCTTCGGCCTACTAATTTATATGCCTTGTATAAATGTCTTTAGAATTTTTTATTTCAGAGTTAAGTTCATTTTATAAAATGCCTAAGTGAATCAAATAGAATAATTCATATTTTATGCATTGAATATGAGAAAATAATTTCCTTGTATTGAGCAGGTATTAGCTTATGTAATACCAAGTGTTGATATTGATTTGTCTCCTTTTGTTCCTGTAGATTATGATTGAAGGAGTTATCGGTCAGCCCAGCTTCTCCGATATAGCTATTGATGATATCAAGTTAACAGCAGGGCAATGTACATGTAAGTGTTTTATACTATTTTGTTATAAACAGACTGATCTGTTCTAGCAAAATTCATACATATTAAATTAAATTTTTATGTTAATAGCATCAATCACGACATGTGATTTTGAAAGCACTGCAACGCCATGCTATGCACAAAAATCGAATGATAACTTCAACTGGATTCGATTTAACGGAGCAACAACATCTGCCAATACTGGTCCGTCAGTAGATCACACACTTGGGACAAGTGCAGGTAATTGGTGGCATATGGCATTAGACAGTCTGCATCGTATAGTGTAGGCCAGAATTTTTCACTGTAAAGACATTGTTTTTGAGTTTGTACTGATGAGTTTCTGAAGGATGCATTTATTATTGATCTGGATTGATATGAATCACTGTCGTTGAATTTACAATTATTTGCAAATGTTAACTTGGAATATACACGCTGAATCACAATAAACACTCCAGTTGTAGTTTAAGCTTCATACAAACCATGAAAATCACCAAAACATGTTCATAAATTTGATATTATTTTATACCTTGTGACATATAGTTTGACATAAATAGCTGCTTTTATCTTTTGATCTTATTATCACTCAAATTATGCATCGGAACATTTGATAAATTCAACATGAAAAATAATGTATTAATATGTGTATTATTGAATTTTATTTCTTCAGGATACTACATGTACACAGAAAGTTCAGTATCGACCAATGTATTTGAAGGTGCAACTGGAAGATTGGAGTTTGGACCTTATACATCATCCACTGATGGAAATTGCTTTCGATTGTTTTACCATGCTTATGGTGATACTATGGGTCCGTTTACAGCAGTTGTTAGTTGATCAATATTATTTCACATCAACATTTTACAATGGAGTTGTTAGTAATATAATGACGCTATTACAGTAGAATGCTACCTAAGAATTAATTAGCCATCTTCCTTTTTTTTTTTAATTGGACAATCATTTGCATATTCATGCTTTAAATCAGGATTGTATAAACCTTTGGCCCGTGGGCCAAATGCAACCCAAAAGGAAAACTTGTGAGGCCAGCAAAACGAGTTTAATCTGGTATGTGCAAGTAACTCCGACCCTCTGCGTTGCCAAGCTTATGCCCTGATACCTGAGTTTACTTTATTTCCTATGACTTTACAATGCCCTAACAGCGAGCTTGTGCAAAGCGAATAACGCATCTCATAAGATCAATAACCTAAATTTTTATGTCTACCACTACTAAAAAGCCTATGTTAAATAAGGTGTGGCCTGTGGTTTCACCCAGTTATTTTCATCTGGCCCTCCGGTATTCATCTGGTATTAAAGGTTGCACACACCTGCATTAGATAATCAATCATTCTTTACAAGTCTTAAATCTGTGAATCTAGTTCAAATTAGCTACATGGACGATGATGAGCTGATTTTCAATACTTAGCATAATAATCCTATCTTCGGGCATGTATAGAAAACTATTATTAAATCATAACATAATTATTTAGGTACTTTGAATGTATATCAAGTTGTTAACTCAGTTGAAACGAAATTATGGTCAATTTCTGATAACTGGGGAGATCTTTGGTGGCAAGCTGAGATGAATGTCACAGCACCTACGGGAAATTCTTATACAGTGATTGTTGAAGGAGTTATTGGATCAAGCTTTACAAGTGATATGGCCATTGATGATGTGACAATTTTTGCACAAAGCTGCTCTCCATTAGGTATGTGTTTTGATTCGATAAGGAATAATTTTATATCATGGTAAGAAGTTCTTATCACATCAGAAACTTTTTCTTGAGAAAACGAATTGTTTTCTGAACCAATTTTTATTTTAATATCTTCTTTTGCTGCAGGAACCTGTGATTTTGAAGCGGGTTTATGTGGTTGGGCACATGACGGTGGTGCAGATTTTTATTGGACTCAGGCAAAAGGCAGTGACTCTGGTGGTTTAGGACCATCCAGTGATCATACGACTGGTACAGACCAAGGTAATTAGTGATTGATATTATAATCTATAACACAATATTAAATGTAATTTTTAGATCCACTCTTGTTATACCATGTATAATTTTTTTCAATATATAAATACTTGAACAATCGGAAATATATTCTGGCTTTTTGTCTGAAATCATTTTCAAGTGAAACTGTGTAAACATATGAACAGAAATGTGTATCTTTTTTTTATGAATATAAAAGCCATCTATGACAGACATCTATGAGTGAACAGTTTTGCTTTAAACTGTATTGGCAGGCTACTTACTCAGTTTAGCAAATTAAGCATTAGTGGAATGATCATTACATTATTATTATTATTTTTTTAATTAAGGACTTTATTTATTTGTGTCACCCATCAATCACAACAAAGGAGAAGTTGCAAGAATCACTTCAATTGTTGTTCCTGCAACCACAGATGATGCCCGGTGTTTCAGTTTCTGGTAAAATATTCACTTACAAATGTTAAGTTAATCTGGTAAAATAAAAATTGCATTATGTCCAAGTTTAAAGACATTGATTGGTTTGACACATATCTTAGTGCATTTTGATGAGTAACATGTCTTAGTTACTTTTCTTTTGAATAGGAGGAAAGTTAACATTTGATATAGAAATAGAATTGAACTAAGAAAAATTTATTATTTATATTTTTTGCAGCTGGATACAGTTGCGATTAATATTTAAATTAATTTTTTTACTCATATTTTAGGTATTACATGAGTGGAGAGAATATAGGTGCATTGGTTGTTGCATTGGAGGATCGATCACTCACAAGATCAAGAATATGGTCACTGGAAGGTGATTATGGTGACAGGTGGTTGCAAGGGCAAATCGGAGTTAATTACACTTCATCTGATTACAGAGTAATATGAATTAATTTACTTCAATTAATATCTCTATTTGGTGTCTCTGCTTGGTGCTGTCTCAGTAGCTGGAGCATTATCCTGATCGTGTTAGCATCACATTCACAAGATAAATATTTTGGGACTGAATATCGATTCAAACAAATATAAATTCATCATATTGTGCTGTAATGGTATCAATGGATATGATATTAGTCTTAACTCTGGTTAATACTTTGATTTATTTTGAATTTTTATTTTAATTTTCACGTTATTAGCCACAATAATTTATTTATTTATTTATTTTATTCAAGTATTTTTTAATAATTTTATATTTCAATTTCTAACAAACAGATTGTACTTGAAACTGTATTGGGCATAGGTGACAATGGTGTGATTGCAGTTGATGACATTGTCATGAGTCTGGGATATTGTGAAGGTTATTTTTTTTTAATATTTTTCAGTTTTTATTATTCAATAGATCATCAAAAATTTGGTTGTAACTATATCAGAAAACTTGAAAATTCGATTTGAGCCTTTAGCGTTATTTTAAGAAGTATGTTGATATAGTGTCAGCTTAATAACAAAATATTTGAAAAAATATCGAATCACCCATACATGTGTGACGGAATTATCCAATATTAAATATTGCATGTTTATTGTCTTGGTAGTATTTATGTGGATGTATAAAATTATAGGCTAGTTTTGACAACTGTCTCTTGTTAAAATTTTATACAGTATACATTTTACAGATGTTGGATTTTATTGATACACAATATCACATTATTCTTCTTTTATTCCATCTGGATATTTTTTCCTATAGGAGCACCAGCTCAAGCGATTTTAGTGAGGAGTGGACCATATTTGTTTTTCTCTTACAATTATCCAACATACACAATGGGTGTGAATGATAAAAATGAGGCCTATATTGTTGATGACTTGAGTGGGTCCAGATTTTTTCTGACTTCACCTGGCATTCGAGGCATTTCTGGGACAGTTTCTTTTGAATCTGAAATGAATCCAAAATATTTTTTGAGACATTATGGCTACAATTTGCTCCTGAGTCCATACGAAGAAACGAATATTTTTTTGGAAGATGCTACATTTTGGCCAAGAAAAGATATGTTCTTCCAGGTAAAATCTACACACTTCTCTTTTATAGCATTCTCACATTTTACTGTTGTTAAAGGGTGTATAACATATTCATATATTACAATTTTCAGATCATGTTTATCAAATAATAGTAAAGTATTTTTACACTACAATAAAATATGAAGTATTATAAAAAAAAAATTCTGAGTTATTACAGTATTTCAAAATTGGTAGTTTTCAAGTCTATCTTGTCTTGGTTTACAAATTAATAATTCGCAAAATAAAATTAAGTATTTAACGAATTTCTTATCAGTTGTGTTTCTGCGCGACTAATACGACACTACAATGCAATGCTGTAGCAGTATGAATAACCTGTATTTTGTATATAAGAGCTCATATAAATTTATAAATAAATATCTTACTCATGTTTTTGTAGAACTACACTGTTTATGAATCATACAATTTGCCGAATCATTATATACGACATCAAGCATACAGACTAAAAATTTCCCAAGAAGATAATACAGACCGCCTACATCAGGATTCAAGTTTCAAAGAGTCTACTGGTAAATATCTTTTAGTTTCACACAAAATGATTGGAGATAATGATAACTATATAAATCGAAAGATTCATGGTGAAAAAAATGAACAAAAATTCAAAATTCAAAAAAATATTCTCTTAGTAATCTGGAACAGAGGTGTGCAACCTTTATCCAGGAGGGTCAGATACAAGTAACTGGGTGAATCCACGGGCTGCAACTAGAAACTCTACTTATGAAAGGCTTTAGATATGAAAAATCCAACTTACGAAATTCTTCTCGTAAAAAATTTTGCTTCGACTAACGTAAAATTTTCTCAGAGGACGATGATATGATAGAAAAATAAATGAAAAATTCTAACATGTATTTGTCACATTATTAGAATTTATACAAATATTTTGTTCGAGTTTTGTGGGGCTGTAGAACAGATTAGAACATTCACATTAGGTAAAATGTGTTCCTACTAATGGAATTTTCTACCGAGAAAGGGGCTTCTGGATCGCATTAATTTTGTAGGTAGAGTTTCTACTGTAGTTGTAAGCACAAACAATTTCGTTATTTATTTTACGGTTTTGTTAGGGGTTTTTGCAGAAATGTTGATTTGAAACGCATAAATTTCTGAAGAAAACTGCTATTTAAATTTATTGTCACACCGACTGTTAACGTACTGGTATAGGCTTTGCGATGCAGATAGATTGAAATTTGTCCCACATATCAGATTAACTAAACTAAAAAATCATTTCGTCAATAAAAATTGGCACTTCTCCTCGGGTTACACAATTTTTCTTTGCGGGCCGCATTCGAGCCTCTGTTTTTTGATTATTTAAGTATATATTATATATATATATTAACTAAGTTGCTTCAGTTGAATTTCACGTTTCAGTTGTAACTTTACCAACTAATTATCCAATTTCAGTACTTGGAGAATTTGATTGCAATTTTGAACAAACTATTTGTGGTTGGTTAAATTCAAGGGATGATGATATTGATTGGACTCGACACTTTGGTGCAACTACCACTGAATATACTGGACCAGAACATGACCACACTGTTGGAAGTAAGAGCATGCTATTGAAGTAAAAGAAAATAAAACTTTAGAGAGCTATAACAGAACTACAATTTTTTCATATGGGGCCAGATCAGTCATATTAATAGAAAAACCATTATAATTTCAGATGTCTGTTACAATAGGGTGGAAAATATGAACTCAATGTATGGACTGATCGATCATCCAAACAATGTCAAACCACCAGACACCTTTTATTTTGGGACGTAAGATTAGTTTACTATGAGTTATTAAATTTTCTACTACTTGTGACCAATTTATTCTGCAGTCTGCACATTCAGGATTTGAGGTTTAGGAAACTAAATAAACAATGCAAACAATTCCTATTGTACCATAATCATTTATAGCAGTGGTTCTTAAACTTTTTGAGCCGCGCCCCCCCTTTGAAAAATTTTACAAATTGCGCGCCCCCCTCTTTTTGCTTTGAAAAAATGCTTTTGTGATGGGCAAGTTGCTATATATTAAGATGGCGCTATAAGAGTGTTGGTATCATACCATCATTGCTCAGATTGTTTAGGCATAAAACTCTTCAGGGTACAACTTCGCCATTCACTGGCGTATGTATAAAGCCAAATAGTCGTTGGTCATCATACATTCTCGTTTTTCCCCCCAGTTTGCAATACCTGGTAAAGTCAAACTAATTTTTAAGTAAAACTAAACACGCAATAAACCTAAGCTTTAATGTATTTTCTGCTTAAACGTTTACATAAGACACGTAAAATTTCAATCAATTATTTACTTCATCACTATTGAGCGATGCCAAAATTATTTACTGTGTGTTAAAAATAAGCAACAATTACAGACTTCTTGGCTTGTCTAACGTTTCAAACAAAATGGAGAAGTACAAATGAATTTATGTAAATTTAAAAGCAGTTCATTTTTTAATAGTTATTATGCATGTGGACGTTTTCCCGGCCCTTAACCACTGAAAAATAAAGTCGCTAAGACGTTTGCATTTTGTTTAAATCTCGATTGTTTTCATAAGCGTGGCGTGCTATTTAAGCCGTAAAAATCTTGATTTCGGTGTTTATTTATCTCTCTAAATCAGAAATTTCCCTTGACATATTCTTGTGTCGCGAAGACAATTATAATTACTTTTTTTGTTCTCGAATTGAACCATGACACCTCTGAGGAAAACGAGTTAATTTTTATTATATAATCATCAGCGACGAGATGCTAATGATAGAATAAAGTAGTGAATCTGCAACCAAATATTTCTTTATTGTAAAAGCGAGATTATAAAATACTAAAAATAAAACGGAAAACACTATGGGTTTTGTTTTGGGGTGGACCGCGACAGATTAAAAACACTTTCTTAGACATTGCAAATCTTATAAATTCCTTGTGTCTGTGGCACACCAGTAGTGTTCTAAAACTACCGACTTGAAATAAATTTTACTCCGTGGGATTTTATATCGCAGACTAAGGAATTTCTGTAACGGTGTTAAAATTAATCGAGGATTGCGATAGAGCGGAGTAAGAGTTGCAGGGACAGCTCATAATGGTGAAATTGCCAAGAATATAAATCAAACAAAATGTAATTGGGCACTTTGCCGCATATTTTTATGGTTGCGGATTACCGTGGTTATTTGGAGTAGTGGTGCTTTTATTTTATCGACGCAATCGCAGATTTAATATATCACAATTAAATGAATAAAGCAACCATTTTAAATAAGTATATCGGTCATGGATTGAATATTTTATTCAACAGGAAAACCATTACATATCCGTTTACAAAGTCGGCTCTTATAACGACTGGCGTAATCTCGAGGACTGACTCAGGATCCGTACCGCGGGAATTTCGAGTCGATGAATATGTATTTTAATTGTACTAAATCAAATATACTTTCTAGGATATTATGCCAGATCTTTTTAATGAAGACAACGAATTCGCATGAGTGCAATATATATCAAAACTAAATATAATCGGGCAGTTGATCACACTTTAATATGTCCGCGGATTGGCGTGGTATATTAGATCGGTAATGAGTTTATTTTGACATGAGTCGCCGCAACCGCGAGTTACCTTGAACACAAATGATTTAAAATAGAAAGACATTTTGAAGTCTTGTAGTTATTACGAGACAGAAAAATTTATTATACCACGAAAAAGCCGATATTTTCAACGAAAGGCGGAGACCGTTTTAAGAGCAGTTACATGTAAGTTTCCGATTCTATCTTGTGACCTCTCGCGCCCCCCCTGTGAGCATCTCGCGCCCCCCTTTCTTGTTTAATTGGAGTTATATTCTGGGTTTAGATTACATGAGTGACATTATTGAAATTTTAAGGTCATAAGAATGCAAAGCAAAATCTTCAAGTCAGAAGGGTTATCAAGTCAATTCAAAATATAAAACATTGGTGTATATGTTTCATAGGCCAGAATATCGTTTTCAACGTGCCTCTGATCTGTAAAATTTGAAAATCTTAAATGGAAATGTTCAAGCCCAAAGGCTATTGTGTAACACAATTTCATTTCAGGTTTACTGAAGATGATGAAGATCTTTGTGCAGCAGAATGTGGCATTCAACCATTGTGTGCTGCTTATTCATATGCAACAAACTCGGGAAGTTCACTTTGGGATAATGCTTGTATTGGAAGGTACCATATATTCTCGCATATAAGCCGAGCTTTAAACTAAAAAAAAAGTTGCCAAACTAAGGGGTTGGCTTATATGTGCATAACTTTGATCGCACTAAAAATTTGACTAATACACGCGAAACACTGATCGCATATATACATTGGAGGACTAGAAAGATCTCTTTTGGGAATTTGACAGTGATAGTGAGGATGAATTTGAATTATTTTGGGGTACTTCATACCGGTATTAATAAACGTAAAACATAACAATAATGATTATCATTTTCATTAATTCTCTCCTGCAACCATTTGCTGTGATTTGGTGCATACAACATTAATACATTGTAATCACATTGCATGCCATATAGTTATCAATTCTGAGTAAAAATTAGTTCGAAGTTCCATTTGTTTTAATGCATGAACAAGGTTTATCTATGTAGCTTTAAATCACCTGTGGTTACGTGTATGTCCTGCAACAACAAAGTGTCTGGAAAGTTTTTCAGGGGCAATCATGCTCTTTGTGCCACTCATAATTGGTAATTTATGAATGTTACTCTTATTTACCAATAAGAAATGCATGTTAAGCGTGTAATTTAGATATATACTTGCTTTTTCAGATCTGACAATCCGGATTTGAGAGTTCCTGAGTCAAACCACGTCAGTGGGTTCAAAATAGATTGTGTTGGGGGTTATTACATGTATATGGAAAGTTCCCCTCCCAATGTACCTAATGACATCGCATGGTTTGTCAGTCCACCACTACTAACTACAGGTGAATTTTTAAGCTTTTTTATAATCATGCGTTGAAGAATATTCTTCTGTGTGAATTTGCAAAATTTGACATTTGAATTAGGTAAGTTGTATAAGAGCATTCCAATACTTGGCTTTGTAGAAATAGAAAAAGTAATGTAAATGCTGGAACAATTTATTATTTATAAAATTTTGAAGGTCCTATCTGTTTTCGATTTTGGTATTTGATGCATGGTTCTGAGGTCAACTATTTAAGGGTTTATGTAAAAACGGAAGATACTCTTAGAGATCCTGTTTGGGCTCGTCATGGAACTCAGGGAAAATACTGGCTTCCTGCTATGGTTTGTATCACCTTTAATAGTTATTTTCATTTTGTGAGTAGTGTTTTATACCAAATCACTATGCTGATTTTTGTTTGAGTCATACCATTTTGATTCGCTATGACCAAGTAGCAATTTTGATTGGATTGATGAATTTTAAATGGTCATTTTTCTGCTTATTGTTACAATGTGTACTTGGTTTCATTTTTTGCTCTTTATTCTTGTATTAATTGCAACAGATAAATGTCAACACCAGATCTGAATTCCATATCGTATTTGAAGGGACTTTGGGTGGATATCATATGTCTGATATTGCTATTGATGATGTTTCTAAAACTGATGGAACATGTCCTGAGGTATATATTGCAATATTTAATATGTGAATTAGGATTTGATGTTATAAAGAATACTATTGATTTTAATTACCAGTTGCTTGTTTCATACATTTTTTGGGTATTTATTGTAATTTGAATTTAAATATAAAAATTAAATCATACTTTTATTACTTGACTTCTATTCAGGAATAGTTTGATATATTGATATAATAGAAAAAGAATGTTCTTTGTTTCATATCTATAATACTTTCATATTGTAATTTAAATGTATTTTCCTTATTTCAAAGTATTCATTATTGAATTTTATACATTAAGAATGCTGCTTTTTGTGATTTTGAAAGAAATGATTTTTGTGGCTGGGAAACAGATAGTAGTGGAGATTTCTTATGGAGTTGGTCGACCCTCACAACGACATCACTGGACACAGGGCCTGAATATGATCATTCTTTACAAACTGCATATGGTCATTATCTCTATATTGAGTCATCCAGTCCAAGGGTATGTAGAACTATTTAGAGATTTTGATTTCATAAAGTAAACCAGGTGGCTTGATTACTCAGTATGGAATGATGTAAAAACAATGATTGTGTAACGTTAATGATCAGTAATGGTATTCAGCCGGTTTGCACCGGTTCTTTAGAACCGTCTCGCGAAATTTTATGAAATCAGCGAACCGGTTAGCATTACTAAAAAACATATAACAGAACCGGCCGAAAAATATGACTTCTATGATGGAACCGGCTGACGAAAAATTTGAATCCCACCACTAAATATGATGTGCTCGTATCACTCGTTCTATTTTCATAAAATCATTTTTTTTCAAATTGATATATAACAAGATAATCATAACATCAAAGTGTTGAACAGTAAACATTATCTTGAATAAACTAAAATGAAATGATCTCACTCATCCATATCCATGAAATTGTATGTAGCCTTTATGAAAATGACGAAAATCGAATTGTCTATGTTGTAAAAAACATATGAATAAACGTTCTTATTCAGATTCGTATGTAACTGGGATAGGATGACATCTCAAGCTTAGAATAGATTTTTATTATGCAATTATTACCCCAATTGAATACTTTTGTTTCATGTAGGATGATTTAAACAGGGTTATGTAAAAAATTTTATGTTGTAATAATTACTGATATCTAGTCATGTTTACTTAGTAAACAGTAAATGTTTTCTAGTTAATGTTTTAATGACGTAGGACCCTGTTGTACTTGTCTCGGTGGATGGAGATGACAAAATTATTAAGTTATTATGTAAGTCAGCTGACACAATTAATTAGGGCCTGGTATGGACTGACATAACTTTGACTGACAATCTTCATATTTTAGCTTCTCACATGCATAGTTTGAGATATCTGTTTTGAGACTGGTACATTGTACCCTTCTCTTAATTGAAGCTGAGCTTTTGTGCAGTATGTTTTTGTACAAACATAGAAATTTTCTCTCTGTCGGTAAAAAAATTGAAGCAAGTTGTAACAGAGCTGTTCTGTTTTATTCTGTTAAATGTTATTGTTTTGTAGGTTGCTGGTGACAAAGCACGACTTTATTCACCCGAATTTCCTGGCCCAGATCAGGCGACAACAAAATGTTTGCAATTTTATCATCATATGTATGGCTCAACAATTGGGGATCTTTCTGTTCACATTGCACATGGTGTTGCAGCTGGTAAAATAATAGTTATTGTTTTTCTCCAACCACTAAAATATTTTCTTTTTAGTTCAATGACTAAATATTTTTTGATACTATGTATATATCTCAAAATTGATCGAACTTTATATAATTGAAAATCACAGCATTTATATACTTAAAAACTAATATTTATTCCAGGCCCAGCAATATGGCACAAGTCTGGCAATCAAGGCAATATATGGCTGTTAGGACAAGCTGAGATTCATTTTGATGGACCTGCAGATCCATACAGAATTATGTTTGAAGGAACAGTGGGCACAAGTTTTTATGGTGACATTGCAATCGATGATGTTCTCATATTGAATCAAGCTTGCAACATTGTGAGTGATAAGTCTATTTATTCTGTGAGCAGAAAAGCTAATAAGTTGGAATAAATGTATTGTACAGCACAACTGTTTATCTAGCTTGAAAGAGTTGATAATGGATGGTGGAGAAAATTGTGAATAATCGGTGTCATTGTCTGTTACCTTGCAACAGCATGTATTCTCTTTTTTCATGCTGCAATCATACATTAAATAAACAATGTAGTTAGTTACCTGTACTCCACTGTTTTTTTTGTCACCCTCCATCTGTGATAAATGTATTTTGTAAATAAATTAATGCTCGTCATCATCGATTATTTACTTTACACATTGTAATGAAATAAAACTACTACCACTAATACAAAAGTGGTACAAAGATGTACACATAATGTGACAGGATTAGTTTATGAGACGCAAGAAGTATTTCCTTGAATGAGTATCTCCATCAATGTAACAAATTTAAATTTACTGCACATATTCTATCATAAATACAAAAATTGTAATTCTTTGGGAATACGCGAAAAACAATGGTGTTACTGTCATGATGTATTTGTAAGGTTTCTAAATATTCCTATTAGTGATGTTTTGTTACATTATGATCTAGGTTGGTGTTTGTGGTTATACAAATGATAATCAAATGAAATTGCCTTACAATGAAAGAGACTATAATATCATTTATTTCAACAGCTTTGTGATTTTGACCACGCTACTCCATGCATCTGGTACAATGACAAAGCATTCGACGATTTCGATTGGTCTGAACTACGCGGTAAAACACTTGATCCGGAACTTGGACCAACTATTGATGCGACAACTAGTACTGATAAAGGTATATAGCACTCATAAAAAGTTTGTTCAATTATTACTTATCGATTTTAATCTGTAAGTATGTTGATAGGTATTTGTGTGTCTGTTTGTTTGTCTGTTAGATGCATGCGATATCTCACGAAAGCGAGATTGAATCTGCTCCAGATTTTGCATGTATATTCATCATATCTCGTACCAGAATCCTATTGATTTTGGGCGAATTATGTCGTATAATTAGCGAGTTATCATTTAATTAGTGATGGGACACAAGGTGTCACTATGGAGTAAGAGCGCTGTTTTGGGGATCCTCTAACTTTCGATCGATAAGTCATCGGCCTCTGACCGATATTCTCGTTTGAAATTTGATCAACATTTTATGAATAAAAATTAATTGATCAAACTTTTGGATGACCTTTTTGGCAAAATGTGAAAGTATCGTAAACTTTTGTAACAGTTGTACAAGATATACAAGATTGAACAACCTTACTAGTCTTGTTATAATGCTATTTTTAATTATGGACGGAATTTTTAAATCCATATAAAATATTATTGCCATTAAACCTATGAAACTGTCATAATGATGACTAGAACTTTACATCTTTCAATAAAGCAATAATTTACACTTTTAAAAAAAAAATCTTAAAATCAGATACTGTTTCTGTTTTATTTTATTAATGCCTGGTAGACGATATAATATATTATTTTATAAAACATCATTATTTTTTTTTCAGGTTATTTCCTATACCTCGATCAAACTGGACGAAAAGTGAATGACAAAGCATGGTGGGTCAGTGAAACATTATCTAGTTCAAGTCCTCAGAAATGCTTGCAATTTTCTTATTACATGGCTGGAGATGATGCTGGTACTTTGCAAGTTTCAGAACAAAGCGTTAACACAGGATTTATGTAAGAATATTACTTTTATGTTTCTTGTTAGTTTACTGTTATCAAATTTATACTCACTAATTATGATTAAGGCCTGGTTTATCTATGATCATCTATGTTGTGTTTTTTTTTTACAAAGATCATAATTGTTGCTACGTTATTGTACATGGTGTTCATAAAGTCTTCAAATATATTAAACTGCAAAGGAAATTTGTGAATAACGTAAATAGTTGGTTGGCCCTACAGATGTAACAAATAAAGTTGAAAAACTTAAATAAACATTAAATAAAATTAAACAAAGAAGTACGAATAGAATTCAAGATATAATTCTTCACTGTATCCATTTTTAACAATATGAAATCGCATGAAAGCATTGATTTTATCATTTAAAATTTTGTGCGAAATTTCAGGAATTTTTATGACATGGCCACTCAATAAACTCGCAATCTACACAACACATTGCATTCTAGTTCAAACTTGTGTCAGTATATTATCTTTGAAGTTTATTACATTTATGATCTCATTGTGAATAGAGACTTTTTATTTCTATTTGCTTGCTGAATGCATTTCTACCACATTTTAATTTGTAAAATCATATGTCTTTTGATAAATTTTTAATATTTGTCACATGTACATCATCAACCCTACATATAAACAATGATCAATTGTAATAAAAATATTTAGTAATTATAATCATCATATGATGAGATATGAGTTTTAAATTTGTTTTATTAGGAAAGAAAACATTTAATAATTAATTCTATAAAAGAGTATAAAACTATAGAAGACTGATCTTCAATTCCCTTACTGCTTATGAAATTTGGCATTTCTTAATTATTATTTTTCTATAACAAGGAATTGATTATGTATCTAATCCACACTGGAACACAATGACATGTTGGATTTATATTTGTTTTTAAAATTACATACTAATAAATTATAATACTCTATATTCTATCTCTTGTTTTGAAGATATTATCATTGGAGACTAATAGGATCTCAAGGAAATATTTGGAAAAGTGCATCTGTCTCCATCTCTGGAACAAATCATAGGAGATATATTATTGAAGGTGTTATTAACAGTGATGGAGTTCAAGGTAATGCTTTGTTTATTATGTTTTTTTTAATAAACTCAATAAAACGTTTTATGTTTAAGCTAACATGACCAACTAATTCACCACACCTTCCAGACTAAACTTTTTGAAAGTCATACTCAACAAAAACTATCACTTTTGATTGTTGCAACTCTCAGTCTATCGTTTGCGACTTTTTGGCAGAAATTCAATTAAAAAAAGGTAGCCTTACATTGTATTAAATGAACTCACCTACACAATCATTGGGAAAAGTAAGAGCTACAAGTGTATAATATTTATTTATGGTGAACGTTGTCATCAGCATGTGCGTTTACTTCAGACTTGATGCAATTCCAGTTAATATGGTATTAGAAGTGTAATACCTTGAATACAATACACATTTTCAAATTCAACCTAAGTTACCAATTTGGCGACATTGCAGAAAAGTAGTTCAAACAACCATCAGTACCAGTACACTACTATCCACAGAAACTAGACTCCATAGAAATAAATATTTTTTATCACAGGATCAATTGCTCTTGATGATATAAAGTTTACAACTACATCTTGTTCTCTCTCGCCTTCATCTGCTCAAGTAACTGGTCAACCTCAAACCACACCAGAACCCGTAGTCACACCATCTCCCATACAATATGGCTCATCTAACTGCACTTTTGAGCAAGATACCTGTAATTGGATTGGTGACCCTACTGCAGATTTAGTATGGACGAGGTAGTTTAGATGTGTTATATGCAATTTATTTAGATAATGTTGATTGCCACCCTATTCATAGTACATGATTTAGTAGATTTTCATGTCTACATTTATGTTGTTATTGAGATTGTAGTCGGGACTCAATCTTGTGTTCCATACCAGCAACAACACCAGTATGTGTTACGTTTTACATTTACTATGCCTACTATCCTATCTAAAATATTAGCTTCTTGATTGTAAGTTTTTTCCTGGTCCTTTCGGAGCAAAGGTATGGTGTGGTGTGCACCTCGACGCACAAAAAATAAAAAACCAAGTAGTAGATAAGATTTTACATTCAAGAATATGCTTTTAATAATTTAATTATCTGTGTTTTTCATATTTAGAAATAAAGGTCCAGGTACGACAACTGGTACAGGACCAACAGATGACCACACTCAGGGAAATGAAAACGGTTATTATATGTATGTTGAATCATCGCCACCAGCTCAACCAGGTGAACTGAGCATTCATATTCTCATAATAGTTTTTTTATTACACTAAATAAATAAGTGAATTAAACATGATGGCCCAGCAGTTCAAGTCTTGGACTAACTATGTTCGAATCACAGTTTAAAAATGACTCGTTCAAATCTCTTGCCCATCACCCATTGGGTACGCGGTGCTCAATCAGGAAGGTTCTGGTCCCTCCAAACTGAAGATGACTTTAGTTAGTATTAATTCGAAAATTTGAATTTTTGTATAGGTCAAAAGGCTCGTATTGTTGGGCCTCTGATACAATCCAATGGTGTAACCAATGTCAAATGTTTTACATTCTGGTACCATATGTATGGTAGAGACATGGGTACTCTTGCTGTATATATGAAGACAAGACCATATGTTGCCAATCCAACTTGGGCTCGAAAAGGTCATCAGAGCAATAGATGGCAAATTGCAATGATAGAAATTGCTACTGATGTTGATTACCAGGTATTTTTTATCCTATCATCAATGTGATTCATTTATCTATTAATTTGAGCAATTTCATGTTTTATATAAATCTGATCTGCATTGCACAACTGGACAATTTGAATACTTGTTAGGGTTCTTAAATTGGTATTTGCACTATATCATTTTTATCTTCAATAAGCAAATTCTTGCAAGAGATGACACCGTGATAAAAATATATAGGCATCTCCTTTTTATTCAAACTTGATAAGGTTTATTATTTTTAACCTGAGATTTCAGTGTGGGGTATTGGGTAATACTCTAGCCCAATGGTTCCCAATCTTTCATATCTCGTGACTCTCTTTCAAAAGCTTTTAGCACTTATGCCCCCCAGTTTATCATCCGATTATGTTTAAACTATTCATGATCAACAATGGGAAAACATCCTGTGAAATAACCTTATCAAGCAGTGAAACTAGGAAAAACGAAGATTTTTCTAGTAAAAGAATAAATAAAATTGGATTTACACCTGGCATGGTGACCGCCCCTCCAACTGCTCAGGGCCCCCAGTTAGGAACCACTGCTCTAGCTTCTTAATCAAGCGAGTCAGTTGAATATTGTATACGTTTAGCCTGCATGCCCCATGCCGAATATGTGGAAAACTCAGCTTGGATAATCTGATATCAAAGGCTGTATGTATACCACAGTATTGGCAAGTTAAAAAAATATACTTCTGTTCAAAATTTAGGGATATTGATCTGATATTTTTTTATAGGTTGTTATTGAGGGAGAGATAGGATTAGCATTTACAAGTGATATGGCTGTTGATGATATTCAAATGTATGATGGAAATTGTGAAGCTTGTGAGTATTTTTTAATTTTTAATTAAATATTATTAGATATTATAAGTATTAAGAAATAATTATTCAATACTCTTTACTATTTTTCCATAGTTGAAGGAATTCTACACACTTGTGATTATCAATCCAGCACAATATGTGGATACAACCAAGATGTAGATGATCAATTAAACTGGTCTAGACAAAAAGGAGCGACTAGTTCCGCATCAACTGGACCACAGAATGATCACACCTATGGCACGCCAGATGGTAATGTCTATTTTTCATGTTTCCATCCAAAGTATATTGATGCTCTATGTTACGCATGTAGCAAAACTAAGGATTTTGTGATACTTTATAATTTTAACTTATGGTTAGTTTATTTTGATTACCTAGGATTGTAAATTTGTTTAATTTTAAACTGTAATCTAAGATGTATCACAAATGCGATTGTTTCTATATTTTTGCAAAATTTGGCAATCTTTATTTTTTATTATCATGAACGAATTCCTTGCATTAAAACTCTTATATATAAATAAAAATATATCTGTCACAAAAACAACTCTGAATTTTTTCTTCTCCTCATCATGACCTTTTTGAAAAGTTATAGCAGTCATGTTTCTAATTCAAATGTGTGGGTTCTTGACCCTCTTATAAGCAAGCCTTGATGAAAATTCTCATTTCGAGTTGGCTCATCAAGTGATAAATGTAGGCCTTGTCAGTAAATTTATGATTTGTGAATATTCGCTTGAGATTTTATCTGACTCACTTTGACATATTTTTCTATTCCAGGATACTACATGTACTTAGAGACTTCTACTGGAGCACTAGGATTTAAGGCCAGACTAGTTGGACCTGAACAACCATCTGAGGATGGGCACCATTGTGTTGAATTTTTCTATCATATGTATGGTGCAGATATTGGAAAATTGACAGTTTATCAACGTGCGGTATGCAATTGTTTTTATTTTCTAAATTAAAAAAGTCTGAATTCTAAAATTAGTCATAGCGGTTTTTTGAAATATGATCACAATGCTTCTCCACAAGTAAATAAATTATATCCCAATTTATTTGAAGGAATGGACAAATATTTCTGATTTTACATATAACTTTCAATTTATAAAAATTATTGTTTTCACCAAACATTCAATAATTATTTAGGAGGAAAAAGGTGGAACTGATGTATGGAGATGGCAAATGGATGGTAATCAGGGTGATAAATGGATGATAGCAAGAGTCAATTTTCCATCTATATATGATTATAGTGTGGTATTTGAAGCAACTCGAGGAAGCAGTTTTGGTGGAGACATTGCTATTGATGATGTCACAATATTACAGAAAGCTTGCCCTTCTTTATGTAAGTCACATAATATCCCTATTTAATTAATTGGCAAACCACAGCCTGTCTACCAGTCTGTGTCAAAAGTATATAAAATCGGGTTATTGTTCTGGAGACCTCAGTTGCTCAGTTTGCCATCTGGCATAAAACATTTTTTCTTATGAAGTACCACACATCATGCTTTTTCATTGAAAAAATAAAAAATGTAAAATGAATGTCTTTACCTACTATGTGTTTATATTACTATATTATACACTACTGAAATAAAAACATGTTGGGTGTGTCAAACTAAAATATTTTTATTTTATTCAGTGGACTGCACTTTTGAAGATGATCCATGTGCATGGAATAATTTACCTAAAGGAATTGATGAATTTGACTGGATTGAAAATAGAGGTGATACATTAACAGGAGGGACTGGGCCATCAGGCGACCATACAACTGGCACTGGTAATTTGTTTTTTCTCGGATAATATTTAGGTTATATTTAACTTTAACATAAATCCGAAATGAATTGAAATATTTGCAAATTAAGTAGCATTTTGTATATAACAATAAAGCTAACAAATGCCTTATTATACCATGCTTTATTGCACATAATAAACAAGTATTTGGAGGATTTTTTATACACCAATGTAAAAAAAAATTTCTAAGTGTTGTCTTTAATAGTGCACTCTATATTTCTAAACAGGATACTACATGTTCATTGAGACAAGCTCACCCCAAAAGCTTGGGGACAGAGCAAGATTGCAAAGTCAACAAGTGAATTCATTCAGTGGAACATATTGTTTTAAGTTTTATTTTAATATGAATGGAGTCTCAGTTGGTGGATTAAGGGTTTCTCAAGTTTTTAAAGATTCTAACGACACTATTTGGTTTTATGGGAATGAAAACCTTGGTGACCAGTGGACACTCGGATCTGTACCAGTAACCGCAACTGAAACGTTTATGGTGAGTTGATTTTTTAAAGACACTGATTCCAAGGCATAATTGTATGGAGATATATTGAATATTTGCGGAAAAATATCAAATTCGTGCTATTACCTTCATTGTATAAAAATGAGAGCTGCTGTTTTAAAGTATATTAGATTGTTGAAGTCTGATTATATTGTTTTTTCAATTTCACGAAATGAATATTTTTCTGTTGCATTTGGTTTTATGTACTAGTATTCAGCTCTTTTTTATTTTCTATAGCTTGTGGTTGAAGGTATAGTTGGATCAAGTATAACAGGAGATATTGCTATTGATGATTTTACATGGACATCTGGGACTTGTACTATCCAACCAGCTGGTGCTGTCCCTCCACCTCCTACAACTCCTCGTAAATATTTTTTTTAAATATTATCTTTTCCTTTGAAAAACAAAAAATTTGCATATCAGGCTTTAAAAAAAATTTTCAGTTAAAATGTGATTTAAAATGAATGCTATTCAAAAGGTTTTATATTATGAAGAATTTAGGTAATTAAAGTTACTGCTATATTTATGTGAAATTAACACAATTTTCAATGAGTGTTATTATTTTCTAACAAATTGACAAATATATTTCCTACACAGCACCACTTTCCTTTGATTGCAATTTTGATACTGATCAATGTGCATGGGCAAATGACAAAGCAGATGATTTTGATTGGATTCGTCGTACTGGTGGGACACCTTCAAATCCTACTGGCCCTACTGCTGATGTTTCTGGTTCTGGATATTACATGTACATAGAATCATCTAGTCCACAAACTTCAAACAAAAAAGCAAGACTCAAAGCTTCATATACTCAGACAGGTAAAGAAGAAGACTATATATAATATGTAGACTATATATAATATGTAGACAATTTATAACAATGTTCTATATATTCTCAAAATATTGTTATTCTCAATATTCTATTTCATCCCACTCTCATTACATTAAGATGTGCCATTTTGTACAATTATTTAAGTTTTATAATTGACAGATAAGGGATGCATTTTAATGTGCTGTTTTTTTTTATTTTCAATTTTTGTATAAATTTTTAACACTTACTATTTTGATAAAAAGATTAATAGGATAAACGGTTGTCTAATTCATGGCTTTAAATATTAGGACAACAGTGCATTACCTTCTACCGACACATGTATGGTTCTTCAATGGGAACACTGAATGTTTATCTACAGTATGGTAGTTCACTGCCATCATCACCCTACTGGACGCGATCTGGGAACACTGGAAATCAGTGGATTCCAACTAATATTACTGTGAATCCTACTCAAGCTTTTACTGTGAGATTTTGATTAGTTTGCAATATTTTGCGAAAAGGGTCATCTAGGATGACTTATTATAATGTGTACATATTGAAAGAAGTACTTTCGGGATAAATAATCTTTACTCATCTGATTTACCTCGCCCACTATTTACAAAAAAAATTAATTGCTGAAGGCAGTTCTCTAATTTCTGTTGGCTCTTCATGGATATTCTATATAAACTATACTAAAGCTTTAATTATTCGAAAATTGCCGGATAATATGCCATTGCAAAGTGATTCATGTGGCAAATAATTGGCACACAAATGTATTTATAACAATAAAATGTAGCTCCGCACTGGTGAATAGACAACAGACTTTATTTCTATTCATGTTAACCACATCTTGTTAAATTTTCTTTTTCCTAAATACTACCATATTTCTACTTGATAGTAAATTTGTTTGCTATTAGAAATTACCCACACAAAAGAGTATGAAAGGTTTTTAAACTTTATATTCAACCATATTTGATTTAATAGATAAAATATATTTAATTGTGCTAAACATACTCTATTTAATTTATCTTATATTGAATGAACATTTTGTATTTTAGATTGTGTTCGAGGGTGTTGTTGGTTCAAGTTATCTAAGTGACATTGCTATAGATGAGATCACAATATCAGATGGACTGTGTGGTGTTCAACAACCTCAAGATGGTTATATTTGCATATTTGAGTCAGATCAATGTGGCTATACTAACGACCCATCAGATAATTTTGACTGGACATATCAACAAGGTGGTACAACATCAGGACATAAAGGACCTGCTACAGACCACACATTAGGCACAACTTCAGGTGACTGAGCTGAATGTTCTTGATTTATTGTGTTTTGTTTGCTTACATAATTTGAGAAAATATGTCAGATTGTAATCTATAGTGGTAATGACTTGTCATGCTTCTTCTTATATTGTAAGAAAATTTTATCAGAGCATTATATTTGTACAAACTACTACCAAACTCAGATCCAAAACAAGATACCAGACAAATAGCCATTTCAAGGCATAGCTATGTTTAGTTTATTGAATGTGAGGTTTCAGACATTATTACCATAATTTAACAAGGCGTCCACGACTTCTACATTAATTAAAACTGTTGGTCAAAATTACTATAATGTTCATTTACTATGTGATGATTATAATTTTTTATATGATGTTTTAATTGGCAGTGCAAAAAATAAAGTATTGTATTGTTGGTAACATGCCATGCCACCAAGTTCAGACACAAAATGTTTACCTCAAAGTTAACTCTTAATTTGTCATAGTTTTACTAAGATATATATGCATCTGGTTGCAGAATGATGTGCAATAGAACACATTCGGGAATCTTCCTGTTCGGCATTGCTTACCCCACATATTACACTGTGGGTGAGGTGATGAGCATGTATGCCAACACAGTTAGTTCTAATACTTTTATCGATAGGCCCTCGCGTCCCACTTCGATAATTCAATGTGCAGTGCCTGTCCGAGGAGATAATAATAAAAGGCTACCATATTTTTGCTGTTAATTATCATTGCGGTTTCATTCTAGGATACTATTTTCTGATGGATGGTTCTGCTGGTCAAACAAGTGGACAAAAAGCTAATTTGATATCAAAATCATATTTGCTAAACCATGCTGATGCTTGTATCGAGTTCTTTTATCATATGTATGGAAATAGCCCTGCAACTTTCCAAGTTTTCTATAAATTAGAAACTTCATCTGGAAATGGACCTGAAATATTTTCTAAAACTGGGAATCAAGGTTTGTAATAAAATACCTCTTACACCACCTCTGCACATTATACTATAATAAAGAATTATTTGAATCATTCAAATATGAAAAAGCATAATAAGTCATTTATCCAACCAAAGGAAAACCAAAAACTTTCGAAAAACAAATGTAATTAAACTATTGTATGTCATTAGCTATTGGAAATTAGAATTGAATAGAAATTGAATTGAGTTCACAATAAATCACATTTATGTTGGAAAGAACACCATGAAATACTACGTTAATAAATTAGGGCAAACAATTTCATATACACATGACTCAAGTAGGACTTCAAAACATGGTGCTTGTTACTTGGTTCATAACATAAATCTTGTATGATTTGAGGTCATCTTTAATTGAAATTATAATTAAAAATCATCGATTTATAGTATTCAAAAATTTCGTCAAAACTCAGTTTAAGAGAAAAAAATAAAATTGAAATAATTCCAGGTAATCAGTGGTTACCAGCTAGAGCGACATTTACACCTGGTATTGGTATTGCTTTCAATCTAATATTTGCTGCCACACAAGGATCCGGACCAGATTTTCACATTGCCATTGACGATGTTGCTGTGGTCGGTGGTTCATGTAGTGTTTTGGGAACATGCTCATTTGAAGCTGGTCTCTGTACATGGACACAACTAACTGGAGAAGATGACTTTGATTGGTCTTGGAATCAGGTCAGACTTGAACTTTCATGGGTAATTTAGGGATCTGTACCAACTATTTATTTACAATATAGGAATGTATGAAATTTAGGGGAGAGAAATGTCATGTAACATGATGAACTACAGTCTAATATCCGGTCACCAATTCGTGTTGGGTATATGTTAGCCAGTTATTTGTTTCATATGCATGGACTTGATGGTGGAAGAAGCCAAAACCGACCAGCGGTTATGTAAACCACCCTATGGCGGCGAGGAGTACAACAATCCTCTCGCACATGATTATCCCACACAGGATTCCGGCTTGTGACCCCACACAGGGTGACCAGTAGTGACGTGGCTTTCATAAATTGACTAAGACTACCAATTTATAATTATAAACCTAATCGAACATAACTGTACACATATTCATTATAGTACTTCCTCACTTTGATTTCCAGGATTCAACTCCTTCATCAGGCACTGGGCCAGATAATGATCACACAAATGGTGATTCCAGTGGAGCTTATTTGTTTGTTGAATCTTCCATTCCAAGAGCATTGGGAGACCGTGCTCGAATTATTAGTGAACAATACCCTTCAACAACAGGAGGTAAAAGACAGGATGTTCTTTTTTTTTGACAGTCTGAATCATGATTCCAACAGTCTGAATTAAATTCAAGTATTTTCTCTGCCCTTTTATAGTCCTCATGTTTGTTTAATTGATTTTTTTTAAAAAATACATCATAATCTTTATTGATATGTAGACCTTCTCAATATTAGTCAATTCTACACGGACAAAAATTTCGAAACTGTTAGTTCATAAATCAACAGGAGGTAGAAATATGTTTTCTGTTACACCACTGAATATATTGCACATGGGATGCAAGATCCTATTGTGTGGATAACAATATTTTAATATTAACAATTGTTGACTATTGCAGAGTAGTTGTTGTAATATTTGATCATTTCAGACATCTTCTGTCAATCAGGTTTTTGCTTCTTGACTGTAAAAACATCTGATTATTCGTCCACCTGACTTAGACTTGTCATCAATAAAATGGTTGGGTTTACCATATGTTCAGCAACTCTGCTCTTACCCACTTGGAATAATATAAAAAACTATTTTATAAAATATTTAATAGATATAGTCATTCTGTGTTTCATTCAATTAAATATTTTTGTGACAATTTATGCTATGCTATGATGTTAATAATTACTGTCATTGATATTATAGATTGCTTCACATTCTTTTACCATATGTACGGGACAACAATCGGAACTCTTAACGTACTCATTAGAGATGCTTCAGGGGTGGATAAAGTAATATGGAGTTTGTCAGGGGAACAAGGTAATTTGTGGAAGGATGCTCAAGTCACTGTTGTATCTTCATCAATTTATTATGTAAGTGCCGATGTGATTCATTGTAAACCAATAGGTTGAGAGTACAATTTATTATGCTATTCTCTCCATAAATTTTAGTTGCAATAATGCTGTTGTTTATTATAATTTTATGATGAATAATGAAGCCTAAGTTCAATGGAACAAACTAATATTTGTTTAGTAGATAATTCTTGACCAATTGTTTTCATATCAAATTGAATAATTTTCGGTTCAAATAAATATTCTTTATTTCTCATTGTGATATTTAAGTCTACTTTCAAGTTTTTTTCTTTTTGTTGCAGTTGATTGTGGAAGGCGTCATAGATCAGCCTACTTATGGAGACACAGCAATAGATGATTTTACTATAACTATTGGTCAATCATGCACAAAAGGATCAGTTTATCCACCAGAAGCCTCACCTTTACCAGCAACAAATCCTCCGACAACTATTGCTCCTGGCACACCAGACATACCAGGCTTCACATGTAATTTTGAACAGAAGAATATGTGTGGATGGACAAATGCACAAACTGATGATTTTGATTGGGCAGTTCAAGAATCTGGATCTGGATTGCTTAATACTGGACCTCAAGGAGACCACTCAACAGGTCCATATTATTAACTGAATTGACAAAAGCTATTAGAATAATCAAAAAATTTTCTAGTTTGGAATTAAAAAATATAACATAATCTAATAACTGTATATTCTGCAGCTTCTGCATTTGTATTTATTTTTACAATATCATTTGATGTAATTGATGATTCACTGCGTTAAAAAGTGATATTGAACGCTATATGTTTATTGTGATTGGAATAGCTGGCCTTGGCACTGTTGCCATAAATTTGTGTGTGTACCAAACTTTATTATCGATAAGTTCCAATGTTTTTTTGAACATTTTGTAAAAAAATGTGACTTATAGGCAATAACTCAAAAAATATGTTTTTCTGTAAAATTTTAGGAACTGGTAAATACCTCTGGGCACTTGGAAATGGAAAACAGCATTTTGATACGGCACATGTGATCAGTCCTACCATTGTTACTATTGGTAATGGACAAAGATGTATGGAATTTTTTTACTCAATGCATGGATCCAATATAGAAAATCTATATGTCTTCTTCATGGAAGAAGGAATACGATACAACGTGTGGACAAGAGATAGTGATCAAGGAATTGACTGGCATAGGGTACAGCATTTTGTTATGTAACATTGACTTGATATCTTTTTCTAGCATAAAGATGATCATTTTGCTATCATGTATAATATATTTTAGAATTTCTACAAATTATGATGACAAAACCTATTTTAATACCAACTGTTTTTGAGTTTTTATCAAAACAGAATACCTATGGACAAATCTTATTTTAAAACTGCACCTATATATTACATAAAAAACAATTAATTTTAGGCTCGTGTAAATCTTCCAACTGATTTAAACACACCATCTGTTGATGAGGTTCATATTGAAGCAGTTCGTGGTATTGATGATAAATCTGGTGTTGGAATTGATGATATTTATATTCATAATGGAACTTGTGATGATTGTAAGTGGCAAACTAATTTTCAGAAAAAAATTTGTAAATTTGTACAATAAAATCAGACATCCTGTTACCAAATACATCTCAATTTTTTATACGCATACACCAAGGTTACTACAATCTTTCAATAGGTCCAGAATACTGAATCAAATTGTAATGGTCAACATGAATGGAACAAGCACAAATATTTTTTTGTACATTTTTAAAGCTTCTTTATAGGACTATATCAATTTTGTATTGATCTGCTTAATCTTCTTATCTTATAAGTTTTACCTAAACTTTAACACTATTGCACATTTCTACATGTTGATTGTATATAAATATGTTGAAATCGCTCCATGTGCAATGAACTCAGTTACTGTTTTGGTAAATTTCTGAAGTTTGATAGCAATTAATTATGTATATGTGAGGAATATTATACTTGATACTTTAATACCTTGAATTTGGTTTCTTTTTTAAAAATCAGATCTGAAGTTTAAAGTGTAATAATTACTAATCCCGATTTTAGTTTGTTAGAGAAGAAAGTCATATTTATGGTAATTCTGCATACAGATGATATTTGCTGGGACACATCTGAAAGCACTAACATGGTATGGGGTTTGATTCCCGGCCCAAGACAACAAAATCCACCAGATACATTTTACTTTGGAGAATACGGAGATGACTATTATCGATGTGCAGAAGCTTGTTCAAAGACTGAAGGATGTGTCGCATGGACACTACATATGACAGAGTAATTATTTTGTTGTTAGTTTCCATTTTAAAAAGATAATGAATATTTACATATGAACAAATGAACAAATCGAAAAAAAAAACAAAAAACATATGGAATGAGTTGAAAGAGGCTGATACCATGGGTATAGTTATTTATACTTGTTATTTGTTTTTAGATTTCATTCAAGTTATGCAGGACAATGTTATGGCAGGAGCGATTTCTCTGATACAAAAGTTGATGAGACTTATGTAACCAGTGGAACACTAAAAGACTGTGATCGTAATATTTTGCTACTTCGATTTAAAAAAATGATGTCTATGTTTTGAGTTATAGTTATATAGCCTTCGATTTAAAAGTATACTGATCAATCAGATTGAACTGAGACTTTTCTTTTCAAAATCTTGAGAATAAATCATTTTCTAAAAATAAATTTTGGAGAGAAATATAATAGGTTTATTTTACTTTGAAATCTCAATTATCACTTAATTAAATATCGCAATCATATTTAGAAAAATTGCCATATGGAAGGACATGCCAATTTGATGACAAAACGATATGTGGTTTCACCCAAAATACTGATGATGATTTCGAATGGACAAGAACTTACTCTGGAACTGGTGGAACAGGAACTGGGCCAACATTTGATCACACATATGGAACAATATATGGTACAATAATTTAACATCATGTAAAATATTTGAAAGTACTATTATGAATGCAAAATTTAAAAACATTCATCTTGGTTATCAAATGAATTGAAGAAAAATGATTTTCATTGAATAACTAAACAGCTAATATATCAAGTATCAATCTATTTGCATCATAACATTTTAGAATAATTGTGAGTGCTGAACATCCAAATGCTCATTCCATTCTTTAGGACTCTACATGTACATTGAGACATATTTCAAAGCACCTGGAGATATTGCAAGAATTACATCACCTGTGTTTCTACCTCCTTCAAATGGTGGTGAAACATGTGCTCATTTCCATTATCATATGTATGGTGCTCATATCGGTCGCTTGAATGTATACATCAAAGATGAATTTGGCAGTATAACAACCCCGGCTTGGTCAAGATCTGCTCAAAAAGACAATGAATGGTTACCAGCACATGTGCCAATAAATCCTCTGGGAAAACGATATCAGGTTATTTTGTCTAGGAATTATGATATATGGGGTTATCATTTTCGGGTCAATTGAACTTGGTATAAAAATTATTCTAACTTTTTTGTGAATCATAATAATTTACTATTTTCTAACAAATATCTTTATAGAAATTTTGTTTTTTCAGATTGTATTTGAGGGTATTGTGGGACAAGCTTATGATGGTGATATTGCCATTGACGACTTTGGAATTGAAGAAAATTCCTGTGGTTCTCCGGGAGATTGTGATTTCTCTGAGCACTGCACCTGGCATAATACTAAATTAAATGATGATTTCCAATGGATTCAAGGTGCAGGAAAATCGAGTTCAAGTTCAAATAGTGGACCTACAGCAGACCACACAACTGGAGATGCTACTGGTAAAAATGAATTTAAAACATTGTACACCTCAAACATAGAATACAATGTAATAACAATTTATTCAATACTGGATTCATGCATGAAAATAAATGATAGTGACAAAAAGAGCTTAGCCAGCCTAAAATTGATCGGGGTCATGGCCCCTCAGGCCCCCTGGCTATGGCGACTAACTATTGAATGTTTTATCCTTATTTAATATGTAATGAATTAATTTTTCATAGGTCGATATTATTTTGTTGAGACAAGTTATCCGAGAACAGCAGGAGATAAAGCTCGATATGTATCAGAATGGTTTGGTCAAACAACATATAGCGGAAGATGTATGAATTTTTATTATCATATGTTGGGAAATGGAATGGGAACATTGAGAGTTTACATGCAGCAGGTATAAAATTAAACAACTTACTATTCAAACATAGAATATCTTAAATGAGTTTAGAAAAGACAGCATGAAGCTCATCAATTTTTCTTTATATATGTCACTTTGTAATGATTATGTCGATATGCAGAGAAAATGATTGTAAATGCCTAGTTATTTCATTTGTGTTAGAGACTGACTCTATAGGTTCAAGTCATCTTTATGTGAATACTAATTTTATACAATAACATTTTTTAGCCGACACTAGATGGAACTAAAACCACTGTAATGTTATTGTGGCAACTTAGTGGTGATCAAGGCTCTGGATGGCAAACTGGAAGATTACATGTCAGAAGTACCGACAGGGAATATAGGGTAAACCGGTGCTATTTCACTGTATTAGTCTATTTATATTATATTGATCATTGTTATTAGATATTACAAAGCAATAAGCTTATTGTATGTAGTGCTAAACAATTCCTAATATTCCTATATTCTTACATCAAATGTAGGTCGTATTCGAAGCCGAACTTGGTAGTTCAATCAATTCTGATATTGCAATCGATGATGTCAGTTTCATTTCTGGTTCTTGCTCTGTGCTTCCACCTATTGCTGAACAACCAACACCCACTGCGCCACCTACCGATTTTCCAATAGGAAGTACATTGCCAACATCAGGTATCAATGTGAAATATATGTACATGCATAATCTTCTATGGAATACTCCATCCACAATACTTGATTCGTATTTTTAACAAATCCTTATCATCGAAGTTTGAAGTTTTTACAGTACTACGAAGTTTTTAAGTACTGCGAGTAGGAATATTATATTCTCGGTATATGTCAACCTCACATAAAAAGTAGCATTATTATTTACAATTTATATCTTTATTTCAGCTTGGTATTTGTTCTTAAATAGCTTGATACAGAAATTTAAATTACCAACATTGCCATAACCTTATAAAAGTTGAATAGAATTTTCCAACAAATTATATTTATTGTTGATTTGTTGTCTATCACAAGCCTCATATTTTACCTATAGAATCATCCCCAGCGGATTGTACATTCGAATCTGGCTTTTGCCAATGGAATGAACCTCAACCTGGTTCTGTTCCATGGTCGAGAGTCTCTGGAAGCTCTCAAGCATCACCTACTGCCCCAAATGTTGATGTCACAACTGGGACAAGTGAGTGTACAATTGAAATACAATTGAAATATGTATTGTAGAAGCATATGCAATTCTATAGAATGAAAGCTCACAACTTCTAAGCACCTTAGTGCATCGATATAGTAGGCTAATTTTATATTTTTCATTGAAATAAAATTACTTTCCCTTTAATTGTGTTAACATTTTTTATCGCAGACAAAAGTGCTGTTTGTGCTGCTTGTTTTACTGCTATTGATTAGATTTAATCTTTATTTGCCAAATGTGTTGCTTCACATTTACTGTTTTCTGTTTCAAGGTTCTGGATACTATTTGTACATGTATGCTGATCCAGGATTATATGGATTTGGTGGTCAAATATACAGTCCACTTATTGATTTATCTGCAGTACCACACTGCTTAACATTCTGGTTCAGAATGTATGGAACAGTAAGTTTCATTTTCGCCCATTTAAAAAAAATTATTGACAACTGGTAACTTTCAATCTAAACGAATTCGCAGTATTGGTCGGTTTTTAATCTTTAAAACATCAAAAGAGGGTTTCTATTTTAATTAACTTTTAACCTATACTAGAGATACAAATTTCAATCTTATATAGGTTTCGAATAAAAGATTACCGGTATATTCAGTGTGGTCACTCCATACCGTGTTCAAAATTTCAAAAAATTATGTTTTTTGAATTTGATGACATTGATGACATTCAATTTCTGCAATTTTCTTGCACTGTTCAACCAATGAAACTGTTTTTTACAAAATGTTAGGACATTCGAATATAAAATTACAATATTATTATTTTCAGCCTAATAACAGACTTAGAGTACGAATTGCACCAACGGTTACAGTGAACAGTGGCCAACTATTATGGTCACGTCAGAATAGTGATGTTTTAGATCCTAGTTGGTACAGACAACAAATTACAATTCAACCGATCACTCCTTCTCAGTACATTAGCTTTCAAGGAAATGTATATGGTATGATTAATAATGGATATTTAGGAAGATATTCACAACCTTAATGCTAAATAAGAATAGTTTTATTCTCCTATTACGTCGCAATAGCATTTTCTCAAAAATTTTCGTTGCACTAAGAAGTATGAATTTCTGCTCAGACATGTGATTGTATTGACCAAAATGAAAAATTGTGCTTTTGGGCTATTATGTACATGGACAATATGCTAATTTATGAACTAATTGATATTTGTCATGAAATTTCAAGTGAAACACCAATTTCATGTAGAGCAGAGGCGTAGCCAGCATATTTTGCGCCCGGGGCAAAATATAAAATTGGCGCCCCGACCCCCGCGTTTGATCATGTTTTCTATTGCATTTAATTGTATATGTAAAAACAAATTATATATCGTCACGCTAATAACCGAATTGCGTAAGTCATTTTTTTCTGTTTTGAGAAAAACGTAAAAAACTTAATGATATTGCTATGCCATTGAGAGTCATTAATTTGCCATAGTTCAACTTTTTGATTGTAGCCGGATTTAAGTTAATTTGTATGACGCAGTCATGTGACGTCATAATGGCGCACTGTGCAAAAATGTGTCTATGACTAGGGGACATACGCAATTTTGCAAGTTGACTATATGTACCAGTCCTGAAAACCAAACAATCCAAAATCCTCAAAATAGCTAATCTGTTTCAATTACATTATTTTTTATGTTTAAAAATATATATTTCATCAATATAACACGCTCTGCACATCCACCGAAATAAGACTAAAGTTAAATATAAAGAATTAAACAGCAATGTACCCTTATATAAAAGTCAACCAAGGTGAATTGGACTCAGACAGTGAATATCACAAGGGCACGCATTCCTATACGGTAGTATAAATTGAAAATTATTAGCGCTAAGCTAGAATCTGGGATGCAAAAACTCGAAAATCCTTCGCCGAGGTTATTTTGCCTTTGTGATGTCACAATAGTCCTGCGTTAACAATGATAATTCATTATGGCGGAACAATTGAACAAATTTGCATTTCATACAAAATCTCTATTTTTTTGGGTTTTCGAATTCTTAAAATAAAATCTGATTTAAAAAAACTTGTGCGCAGCATTACATAAATACCTATTTTATGAAAAACTTAAAACCGCCAAAAATGACTTATGCAATTCGGTTATTAGCGTGACGATATGTGAATTCAAATTCAAATAATTTATTATTTATTCAAAAATATATGTATATGTAAATTCAAATTTTAATGGAACATTTTATTTAAAGAAGAAGCAAAGCTATACAAAATAGAGCATATGTCCCACTCAGTTACTGTCAAAGATGATTTACATAGTCTACAATAAATTCATTTTTTTAATTTCACTGTCGTAAACTGGTTAACACGTCCTCAAAATCTGTTTTTTTCCAATGTTTCTCTTTCAACACTTAGAAGTGCAAGATCACTGAGACGATCCTGTCCCGTTGATGCACGCGAATACGACAAAATAAGTTTCAATTTGCTGAAAGACCGTTCACAGCTTGCAATTGAAACTGGTATTGTTAACAAAATTTGTAGAGAAATTCGCAGATTGGGTAAAACGTCATCTCCAAAAGACACGATAAAACCAAGAAGAGCCAAAGGAGTTTCTGGTGTACCTACAGTTCTGTTACTGAGCAGCATTGATGTCTGTGTCGTAGAAATTTGCAAAGTCTGTGCAATCTCGACGAATTGTCGAAAACGGCATTGGGGTCTTTTAGCACAGTATAATATATTTTATGTAACTCTGCCGCAAAGTACGGTACTTTGACAACAACGAAATAGCCTACAAAACCACGTATTACTCAAAACATGTATTAACATCATTCAACCAAATTCCGTTTCCATTTGTCTCCAGCACAGAAATAATATCAACTTACATCGGAGTGCGCAGGCAAGAAGTTAACGATACAGAACCACGTAATTAACCCGATGCATTTTTATACCTAACGTTACCATATCAAATTTTGCTTGGTTTCCCGGCCAGATTTTTTGGCCACGTAATTACGATGGAAATCTGACCGTGCGCGAGCTATGTGCGTGATGACGCCGGCAGTTGACGTAAGTGGTCTGACCAAGCGTGCAGTTTGCCATGTACTAAGACGTCTGCCGCCGGTGCGATCTTGCTTGTGACCGTTTTTTACCCTTGTTGTGAAATTTTTGCAAGCCCCATTTTGGCGCCCCTGTACCTTGGCGCCTAAGCTACGCCTCTGATGTAGAGCTTAGGATGTAGCTTATAAAGTTAATTATATGATTAAGCATCTTCACCATTTTTGTTACTTTGGTTAAATATTAAATTTTATTCCTTTTCAGGCGACATTGCTATTGATGATGTTCGACTTACAACTGGTGAATGTTCTTACCATGAACTTAACCACTGTGACTTTGAGGATGAATCTTTATGTTCTGCTAAAAATGATCCGACAAATCTTCATGATTGGCAGCTTGGAAGTGGCCATAATTTAGTATCTTATTCGAAAGCTCCGCAAACAGATCATTCACTTGATACATCTATTGGAAATTACATGTATATGGCTGCATTGCAAGGATATACATCTGGTGAAAGAATAAGGTGAATATATATAAACATAAGCAAGTATGGTTTTCGTTTTTGAACACAAATGAAATTAGTGCAAAAGATATGTATTTTATTCCCTCCTGTTATCAAAACTTGTATAGCATAACTAATTTATGTATTTCGAAATTTTTTAAATAATTTGAACCTATTTTTAGTCGATATTTGATGCAAATATACTTATTCATTTACAGTAATTTATTCTATCTCAATTCTCAAAATTCAAAAACATATACTAATTCATATCTTTCAAATTTACATTTAGATTTTTCCTTCAAACGGCACCTCCAACCACTGGACAATGCTTGGAATTTTGGTATTACATGCATGGCAGTTTTGTTGGTATATTATATGTGTATCTCCAACGAGATTCAAACTTAGGTGCTCCAATTTGGGGAATGACTGGTGACCAGGGAGATGTATGGAATGTGGCTCAAGTGTCTGTTAGCAGTGTCAGCTACTTTGAGGTATGATTTATTTATTTCGAATATGTGTGTTTAATTTGTATAAAAAAGCTTCCCAATAAGTATACAGTCTCTTTCCTAAATTTTTGTCACCTTGAACATTATAATACACATATACTGAGATAGCTGTTTGAGCAAAATGCTATTTTTAATACGTACATTGTCACATTGAATCATATATGAATTTTGTCACTTGATAGAGGAGTGAAATATGGAAAATATTTAGTATGGTAGTTTTATCATTAATGAAACAATTTTCATGAATGATCTGGATTGGTATCGAAAGAGAGGCTGAGGTTTGTTATATAAAGATGATCATGCTTCCATAAGGCTAAATGATGCACTGTGTTGTCAAATGTGTTGTGATAATATCTTTTACCGGTATAAAATTTCCTCTTCAAAAAGAAACTGAAATTATGCAAGCTTAAATTGTCTGTTTAAGGTGGCATTTGAAGGAGTTGTTGGTGGATCACAAAGTGACACTAATCCTGACATCATTGCCTTTGATGATATTTTATTGCGGAATGGAGCATGTCCAATACAAGGAAATTGTGATTTTGAAAATGGAGCCTGTACATGGAAAAACAATGCTGTTGGATCACCTGCTTCTGGAATTGATCCAGCTGATTATGATTGGCTCATTGGACAGGGACCACCACGTTATTCTAGTGATGGACCCGATATTGATCACACATATGGAACCACTCTGGGTGAGATTCATTTGTGTATTTAAGTCTACCTATACATTGATTATTTTACATTTATATTAGGAGTATCCACGTTCGTGCCAATATATGTATATAAATATATCAGAAATTTAAATCATGAACAGAATCTATGGGAATAAATTTGAGCCATCGATGTCAGATGGATTAATGCTATTTATACTGACTGAACTGCAGTATTCTTTGTCATGAATAGGCTAAATTTATTGACAAATATATATATATATATATATTGGATCTCCGCTTCTAGGAGACCCTTATTATCAGCCGTTCTGTCTGTCTGTGTATCTGTCTGTCTGTCTGTTTGGATGTAGCGTCTTAACAGCTGAACCAATCTGGATGAAATTATTCATCAGGGTTATCCTGTCACCCTTGTAATATGCGTTTCATAGAAATTCCAGATATGGATTTCGTTTCCATGGTAACAATGAAAAGCGCACTGATCGTTAGGAAATTTCCATTTTTTTCACAATTGATCGCCGTTTTCTCGCCAACCAAGTCAAAAATTAAAATTCTATGGATGCTACCTTCCGCATAGCAAAATACCCATTCCAATAAGTCATCTTTGGTCTCGATACTTTATAAACGGGAGGATCCTTAGGGATTTCAGTGAACATTTTAATTTAGCCACATATCAGTCACGCGAGTATGTCAACGCAACGGGCAGTGTTTGAAATGAACTCAACGGAACGCACGCCGTTTGAAATGAACTGGCATTTTTAGTAATGTCTTCTATTATCCGTTAGTAAACTGAAATGACGCGGGCCTCAAGCAATGGCGGAGATCCAACTGGGCGCCCATCGGCTTGTATATATATATGTTCATAGTAAATTATTTTGTACATTTTTTACAGGTCATTATTTATATTTTGGACACTCTCAACCTCACTCAGATGGTGAGGTGGCACAGATGTATTCAGCAACATTGCCATCAAATCATGCTCATTGTGTGAGATTTTATTACCATATGAATGGAGTTGATACAGGTAAAAAATTCAAAGTTTTCTAATCATTTAATGTTCACTTCCCTGTGTACTAGACTTACATAAAAATACTGGATAGTTGAAATTCTCTTTTCAATACAAATTCTGTCACTTTTATCATACTCAGATTATTTCTCAATCTAAATTTTATATTATTATAAATTTTATGTACTTTTATGCAGGAGCATTGAATGTATATATCAGTGAGCACACTGGCATACTTTTTAATCTCAACATAAAATGGAGTTTGTCTGGGGACCAAGGAGATTTCTGGAGAGAAGGATCGGTACCATTGTCAGATATGGCCAACTCTTATAAGGTAAGACTCATTTGGGGTGTTATGTCAAAAGTCACTTTACTTTCTGCTAACATACTATCAGTATATGTAAGGATGCCAAAGTGAACCAACTGATTACCATTGGTACACTTTTTAATGATTTGTCATGCTGCCATGACATCAATAAATTGCAATAATTTTTAGATTGTCTTTGAATATGTTTTGACATCTGGATTTAATGGACATGCCGCCATTGATGACATTCAATTTCTGCAATTTTCTTGCACTGTTCAACCAACGGAAGCAGGAGATGGTATATATACCACACCAAAACCTGCTACAACTCTTGCAACAACAAGAGCACCAATACCAGCAGGACCATTCAATTGTGATTTTGAGTCAGGTCTTTGTCAGTACACACAGGTAGGGATTTAATGTATGATTATGCTATCATTGTTTTTTCTACGAATGCGATTTCGATGTTGTTTCAATAATTAAAAATAATAATAATAAATGGTTTAGGATGTATGTTAAAAATGATTTATTGTTTTATCAGTCCAAGCAAGATGTCTTTGATTGGACTCGTGATGCAGGAGGAACAGCATCTCTAGATACTGGTCCACCATTTGATCACACACTTGGTACTGCAGCTGGTTATTATATGTACATTGAGGCATCAACAACTTTAACAGGAGATACTGCAAAACTTGTGAGTGGAATGGGACCATCAACAAGAGGATCTTGCCTACATTTCTGGTGAAGATTTCAAATTATTATAAGATATGATCATGAGCTTTTATTGAAAAACTGTCTAAGACCTTAGATTATTATTTTGTTTTCAAATATTTAGGGTATGCCAATTAACTGGTATCACGCAGTAATAAATAGAAAAAGAATGTGCTGCTTCGAAAAATATACTGTGATAAATCTAATTGTTCCCAGTAAAATATAAGAGTTGGGGGCAGGGTCATTTAAAATCCACTACTCAGATAGTCGAAATGAAACAAAATTCCCCAAATTGGAGCATCTAAGTTTGAATCTCGTTGGAGATACACATATAATATACCAACAAAACTGCCACGCATGTAATACCAAAATTCCAAGCATTGTCCAGTGGTTGTCCAAATTTATTATAAGATATGATCATGAGCTTTGATTGAAAAACTGTCTAAGACCTTAGATTATTATTTTATTTTCAAATATTTAGGGTATGCCAATTAACTGGTATCACGCAGTAATAAATAGAAAAAGAATGTGCTGCTTCGAAAAATATACTGTGATAAATCTAATTGTTCCCAGTAAAATATAAGAGTTGGGGGCAGGGTCATTTAAAATCCACTACTCAGATAGTCGAAATGAAACAAAATTTCATTATGACACCGGATAGTACTGTTGGGAAATCTAGTCACTCAGAATGGGTTACAATTCTAGGTACCATGCTTATGGACGGGATGTTGACACATTGTCTGTGTATCTGAAAAAATCAACAGACACCAACAATGGTACAATAATATGGAAGCACACTGGCACACTTGCTAATGTTTGGTTTCCAGCTATTGTCGATATCATTAGTGATGTGAATTATCAGGTAACACAAAATCATTTTTTGACAAATTATTTCTATTTATATGTGTATATGTATTTTGAGACAAAAAGGAACACAGGGAGAGAAAGAGTTTTATACAACCTGATTTTTAGTTAAAATCAAACTTTTTGATTGAAATAAAATATGCTTTATTACTTTTAAAAGTATCTTTTATCTTGCCATAATCAGAGGTGAAGTTTCGATTTGATATCGATTTCAAACTCAGAGTTGAGGTTTACGGTAGGAGTCAGTCAATTGAAATACTATTTCTTCTTCTTTCAGATCATTTTTGAAGGAACTCGAGGTGTATCATACTATGGGGATATTGCTATTGATGATATTGAGATGGTACTTGGCTTATGTCCTCCACCCAAAGATGCTGAGTTATATTGCACATTTGAAGATGATCTTGCATGTGGTTGGACTCAGGATCAAGATGATGACTTCAATTGGGTACAAACATCTGGAGGTAATTGTTAATTGGGCCAATTGTTTCATTTGCAATACTTATTTCAAGTACTTCAGAAAAATTTTTTGATAACAAATTTGATGAAAAAAACTATTGAATATTGTATCTTAGATCTAATAATCTTGTCTATAAGCCAGTTCAGTCTAGCCAATTACTAATAAACAATTAAATTGGTCTGAAATCTTTGGAAATTTATAATTATTTCTACATTGTATTTTCTATCTAGAATGCAAGCTAATGATTTGGCTCATGTAGGCTTATCAAACGTCCCGTTTCAAGCAGGACCGTCCCACTTTTTAGTTTTTGTCCAGGCGTCCTGACCGGTCAGCCAAAAGTCTCGATTTGGCATTCAGCCAGTCAGCAAGAACAGTAGCAATTGTCATGTTCTCGATACTGTTGTTGCTGTGTAGCATACTGTTAGCCTATCTGCTGAAGATGGATGCGTGGTTTTGTTCGTTTCGTTTTTTTACGCTAACAATGTAAATTCCTTTCTATTTTTCAAACTGAAACCAATATTAAGACAGACAGCACATGAACAGCTGGGATGATTTTAAATGTAGGCACTCAATGTAAAATCGACAAATTTAAAGTAGAAAAAATCACAGCTATGGTCTTTGCAGTGGTCCCGCTTTTAGGTCACAAAAATATGGTAACCCCATGCTTATGCAAATTTTTGTTTTTATTCAGGTACAAGCAGTGTTGACACAGGTCCAACATATGATCATACATATGGCACAACATATGGTAGATATATGTATATAGAGGCATCTTCTCCACAAGTTGAAGGTGATCTTGCTCGAATGACAAGTCGTGTATATACTCAATCAAGCAACAGTGGTGGAGGAGCTGAATGCATTACATTTTACTATCATATGTATGGAGAGCATGTGGGAACATTGCGCCTGTATGAACTATTGACACCAGGAGCTGCACTAGGAACACCAATTTGGTCAATGACTGGGGATCAAGGCAATGGATGGCGTGTGGCGCAGGTAAATGAATTGAAAACTATTGGATTAAACAAAAAATACCATTGGATTGAATAAAAATTCCAGTGTGAAACTTTTTTGTGAACTGTTTTAGGTGTTTGTATGACACTTTTAATATAAACTCTAATAACCATAGTTAAATATTGTGATGTAGGTTGATGATGTGTACAGTTGATAATTTATGAAAAAAAAACAAATTTGTAATTGTGCGTGCATTAATAATTTCATTGCTTTTGGTAAATGCTCAGGTGAATTTCTTGAATCCTGGCTCTTACCAATTGGTATTTGAGGGAGAAGTTGGGTACTCATTCTACGGTGATATGGCACTTGATGATATAATTATAACAACTGGAACATGTGAATCAATTGCTTCATGTACTTTCGAAAAGGTTTGTTTTTGATACAATTCAAGAAATGTTACATCTCGTTAGCTTCAATATATATTGACATTGATACAATCAATACAGATCTGTTGAATTCTATGATTGATTTTTTTTTACTTTACAGGGTTTGTGTACCTTTGTCAATGATCGAGAATATGATGGAATGGATTGGTTACTGGGTTCTGGATCAGCAGTTGATCCATTAGCTGCACCTCCTATTGATCATACTTATGGAACTGATATGGTGAGTAGTAAACAAGATTCATTATACAGGCTTTAGGTAAAAAGTTAACCAGAAGTTATTTCACAATGCACAATTACAAGCCACTGGGTACCGTTATCCCCGCACGTCGTAGGTTGACAAATCAATAAATATGTCTTTGTGGCTGTTGTTACAGCTGACCCGGAGGTGGGTGGGGCTACGCACACGGTGCAGCATGCAACTTTAGATTGAAATGGCCAGTCAAACGCGGGGTTTGACAAGATATGAAAAAATCGTTTATTGTATTAATATAGTGATAGTTCATCAGAATCAGATAGTGATTTTGAGAAAGACATTGATGAAGTTTACAGTGATGAAGCTGTAGAAAGTGATAGCAGTGACGGAACTGTTGACTATGGTGCTGCTTGCACTGAGCCAATTTGGTGTTAGTTAATACATACTGTGTTTTAGATGCATTTTTATGACATAAATGATGCCAAAAACAGCTATGATTTTATCAACTGAGAACTAGGTACAGTTTTGTAAAATTTAATTGAAGCTGGTGGGGCGCGTTCCCCAAAAATTTATTTAACGGTAAAGGGATTAATAATCCTCAAAACCAATCTTCAAGTCAAAACTTATGAAAACATCCTCCCAAGGAAAATGCTGTGATAATTTTGTCAGTTACTGCGCCATAACCTTTTTAGTAGGGTTCTATATTTATATGTTGAGAAGAGAACTGAATTACCCGATTACATAGCTTAATACCTGATTTCTCTGCGTCGGCTGGAAAGCAAGAACAGTTGGCCCTTCTGGTCTCTGTTTTTTTTAGTTGCTAGCTATAATTTTAATATTTATCACTTTCCATTCTTTCGATTTAACATTACTAGAAGTGCTCTTTGCTATGTTAGACAGCTCTTATATTTGACTGTTCTTTGAATGAACTAATCCTTATAGACTGTGACAATCCATGTTTGAATTAATCTGTTTACTTTCAGGGCCACTATCTTTATATCTACTCACCCAAAGACCCGTACTACCAATCTGCATGGCTTAATTCTACAATGCTGGTACCAACTTATGGAACAGGATGCTTGAGTTTTTGGTATTACTTGGCTGGAGATCAGGTCGGGACATTGAGTGTATATGTCGACCAAGGAATACCAGGAACACATGATTCGTATGACGGAACAAAGTTTTATGAAATGTGGCAACAGTATTTTAAACCTTCTAATGGATGGAAAAATGCACAGGTAAATATATATTTTGCTCTCATTTTTAAATCTCATTCATGTTTCTACCACCAATTTTCTCATGATAGTCTCAGGCCAAAGGTAATATGGTTCACTTGTTTCAATTCATTATATTTGTCACTCTAGATTATTTTATGCGATTTTATGTGCTTTTGAGCTTATGGTAAAACGGTCAACATTCTGCATTTGACTCACTATTGTACTTTGTTATGTATTTTACTCACATGATTTAAAATCTAATTCAGATTGCAAATATAGGTTATATATGTTACTTTTCAAATAGTAAAAATATCTTACAACATAATATCTTGTTATATATTTTGTTTTCTAATTTTGAAATTCCGTAAATAATAAATTGATATTCTGTTACAAATTTTGATTTCTATGATAATATACCCATATTTTTTAAGGCATCAATTTTTTATTAAGAATAGCATTAACTCTTTCCACGAAATTGAACATAATTAATAGTTATTATTCGCCATTTGATTAAGTCATACCTTGTTTTGTTGAAGAAGTTAGACTCTGATCTAACAAAAGCTCACTAATATACTTGCTATTTTGTGGAAATAGATTATGCTATTCTTATTTTATTTTATAATACTGTGCTATCACGTTCAAGTATCTTCATAGCAACTGACACATACGGATCTGAAGTAGAAAGTAAACAAGGAGAAAGGACTTGAAGTTTAGTACACCCAGTACACCTAATATTTTATTGCCTTTTTATCAGATGACACTGGCTAGTAGTATTGAGTGGCGTTACATTATAGAGGGAACAACATCATATCAGATTGGAACTATGATGGCAATTGATGATGTTAAATTTACTGACAACACCAAGTGTGATTTAATGCCTGAAGATGCTTATCCTACAGGATATGCTCTGGGATTAATTGATTGCCCCTTTTATTCTGGATCAATTTGCAGTTGGAAACAAAGTTCAGATGGTGGGTAGAAATCTCCTTTCAATTGTTACCAAATATTCAATAATATACCATTAACAGAAATTCATTTCTGAGCAAAAGAGAAATGTAATATTTTTTCATTTCTTTGAATTGAATTTGACTTCTTTCCATATTCTAAAGTACATTGCAGTTGCAAGGACCAATTTGGCCAAATAAATACTAAAAATAAGTGAACCTTACAACTAAGATCTAAATTTTTGTGTTATTTAATTAGTGTCATGAATTCTCTGGCGTAATATTATTTTAATACAAATATTAATAAATTTAGGTGAAATCTTCTGACCTTTTTTTAAACTGTTAAACTTCTATGATAAATAATACCGTTTAGTCTGTTTTTGTAGATGGAATATTTTGGGTATGTGATACTTTTTTTTCTTTTAATCAGATGATTTCAACTGGACTCTGAGGAAAGGATCAACAACTAGTGATAGCACAGGACCATCTGGTGATCATACAACAGGAGATGATTATTATCTGTATATTGAAGCATCTTCACCCAGAGTACAGGGTGACAGAGCTCTGATATATTCTTCATGGGTTCCACCGATGTCAACTGGTGGTTGTTTAACGTGAGTGTCGTAACATTTAATAAATTTTTGACCTGTTTGTTATTTCTTTTACACAAATTGCAGTGTTTTCTTATTAGTTTATTCATTTTATTTATAAAATTATGGCATTCAAGTAGTCAATCAAAGTTTCTCTGTGACCGTCATACTATACTGTTTCTGTGTCAATTTCATTCAATTTAACCCTTAATATATAAATCTTTATCGAATTTATTATAGATTCTGGTACCATATGTATGGATATGCTATCGATAACCTGAATGTGTACCTGGAGTATAGCTCTGGAGAAATTTTTCACATTTGGAACAGAGAAGGACAACAAGCAAATTACTGGCTGGAAGGGAAACGATCTTTGGAAACCTATAGTCCAACTAGATTATGGTTTGAAGGAATTGTCGGTGAAAAAGTTTCTGGAGATATAGCAATTGATGACATTTCACTTGTTACTGGGAGGTGTCCTCCAGATGTAAGTATTTTAATTTTCATTTTAATAATTTCAATAAATTGTGTAGCCTTTGTGTATCATTTGCATAGCATGAATTTGAATATTTTTGAAAAAATATGCATACGTTCATTAAAATGGAGACTTGTTGTCCTTTCCTACCTCAGAAGATCTTATCACAAGAAAGAGCATCTAGATTTCATTGTCGTGAATGCTCATAGCAATAACGATGACATTATTGCCACCTCATTATTTAACTTTGAACTAATTTTGAATATTGTTTTAGGGCACTTGCACTTTTAATGCTGATTTTTGTCACTGGACTCAAGATTTAGCTGATGATTTTCAATGGAGCAGAGATAGAAATGGAACTTCTTCATCTGGCACTGGACCACCACATGATCATACTACTGGAACTGAAAATGGATACTATGCATTCATTGAAACATCATTGTAAGCTATTTGTGGATTCCATAATTTAATTTTATGTATTGTCATCTACTTACTGTTCATGTCTATGAATGTTCTGAAACAATCATTTCATTTTTTAAAAATTGGGATAGAACTGAGTTGATCAACATTTGTTATTGCAAGTCGTTATTGCTTTCTAAATGTACAGAATCCGGGAAGCAGAATTTGTTGTTAACGTATTGTGTCAAGTATTTGGAACATTTTTTCTATCATATTTTTGATTATACCGTGTGGACTTATTGTGCAGTAACAACTGCACACTATCGATGTCTGTGCCTCTATCTACTTTTTTTTTTAAAGTAAATATGCATTCTGTTAGCAATGAGGAAATCAGCATGCTCATTTTCATTGTATTTACTTTTCATAAATATTTCTGCCAACATTGAATATTGATTGTTATTAGAATTTATATATTTTTTCTACTGGTATATTCATATATTTAGTAAATTCAGTCTGTTATAGTGTTATTTACCATGATATTTATTATTTTGTGTATAACTGTACATCAGTCTTAAAGGGATGAAATAATACCAAATTTTTAGACCTCGAGTACAAGGAGAGAAAGCTCGTCTCATTAGTGAAGTGTATCCAGCTGGAAGTCGTCATTGTCTTGGATTCTGGTACCACATGTATGGCTCTTATATTGGATCATTGACTGTGTATGTCAAACCTGTTTCTCAAGCTCTATCAGTAGCACATATAGTATGGAAGAAAACTGGTGCACAAGGAAATTTATGGAGATATTCTTCTGTGTCTGCTACAATGTTACAGGATGACTACCAGGTACTAAATCAGAGGGAGTACTTTTTTTGTTGTTTTATGTTTTTTATTTTTAAAGTTTTGAGTTTTTTGCAAATAGTTTTAATATAGTCTAGCTACATGTTCGTTTCTAGGTCATCATCGAGGGCGAAGTTGGAGCTAGTTGGTCAGGGGATATTGCAATTGATGATGTTAAAAATGATATTGGTGAATGTTCTCCACAAGGTGTTTGTACGTTTGAAGAAGGCCTTTGTACTTGGACTAATGTGAGAGATCCAGGTATGGAACAGTAATCAATATGTTTTATTACCTAACAGGCCTCATATCAAAAAGCTGGCACACAGTGGTTTCTGCTATGTCAGATTTTTGATATGCTTCGATGTTACTCTTTATGCATTTCTCTCGTCTTATCCCTATGTTTTATTTTTATTGTAACATATACAACACATTACTTATTAAATGTGAAGTACAGATTGTAACAATATGCAGTGCAAATGCCCTCAACATTAGGTATATGTATGATACTTTTCATTAGATAAAAGTTAAAACACATCTCCCAAAAAAGGATTTTTTACGCAAGTTATTCATAATAGAAAGTGTATGAATTATATATTAACTTTTCAAATAATTGAGAATTGTTTGAACCGGTGATATACCTTTCTAGTAACATTGTTCCAGCTTGTTTGGGTCATGAAAATATGGCACCGATGTGTGTCCTAAGATACTTGTTCATATAAAAAAAGAGGTGAATATCGATCAATATTGTAATAAAATTTAGAATATGATGTAACCAACTGTTTTTTTTTATTTTTCATTTAGTTTATGATCAATTTGATTGGCTGAGAAACACTGGGAAAACAGGAAGTGTCGGAACTGGTCCAATTGTTGATCATACGTCTGGAACAAATGGAGGATATTACATCTATATTGGTAACTATCACTTTTTTCTTTCCATATTATATTTCTTATCAATATTTTGAAGTAGGAAAAGAACAGTATTGTGCTCTTTAAGTGAGGTAAAATTCATAATATAAATGAGAATACTGAAATATGTCGATTGCTGACTACCCAAATGAGACATAGATTTAATATGTTCTGTTTCGCCAAAATGGCAATAAAACCGTTTATAGGAAGCAATCATGGGATGACCCAAATAACCAAATGTCCAGACATTATAAAGTCCTTTTGCAATTTCAATTTTGTTATGAAGTCAATTCTCAATATATCATAACCAGATTTGTTGTTTTTTAATGAGTAATTGTTTGAGTATTTTTACTTCATTTAATACATCTGTGAGGATTATTCTCTTTGCTATTGAAAAAAAATTGAAGACTTTATGGACACCCTATATATCATTCTCATGTAACAGTCAGTTGTATAAAATATTATTACTTTTTCATTTCTGAGAATAATTTCAACTTGAAAATATCTACTATTCTTGTTCTACATAATCTTTTCATTAGAAACCAGTCCAACTCATTCACTAGAAGGAGATAAAGCTTGGTTGATGAGTGAAGTATATGAAGCAACAGATAAAATGTGTTTGACATTCTGGTATCATATGTTTGGTGAAAGAGTTGCTGACCTCAGTGTTTACATTGCACATGATACTCAGGTGTATTTTCATTACGTTGTTCTTAACCTACAGTATTTTGCCAATTACTTGAGAAAGTTTACTGCCAAATTTGAATCTGTAGATTTTATAAAATATAGACCATGACTGTTGAAAAATGAATACAAATTTATTTGACTGACAGGAAAGTTTAGATCTACAAAATAAAAAGGAATAATTTCTAACTATGACTACCTCCAATTTACATTAGTGACAACTTTTTTATGATTGAAATTTACTATTTCATGATTAGACAAGATCACTTTTATTTATGTGTGTATTAAAATTGAACTGCTTTTTATGTTTTAGAATACATTACATTTGCAAGGACCAATTTGGCATATGTTTGGTGTTCAAGGTGACTATTGGTTACCAGCCGCTGTAAATGTCTCTTCAACACAGAGATTTTTCATTATATTTGAAGCAATTACTGGAGATGATGGTTACACTGGTGAGTTTTGTACAACTCAATCGTAGCGAGTAAACACATACCACTTTTTCTGGCAACACCTTTGTTATTTAAATTCTGTACATTTTGAACCTTGCTCAAGGTTTTGTTTGCTCTTCTGGTCATGCAACCAATTTTTTTTTTTTTTTCGTTTTCATCATTTTTTTCATCATATGTTATACTAATCATGAACTCAAAATAAACATATACTAACATGATGCGACTTGAATCTGTAAGACTGAATATTTCCCTCTTATTCTCTGGTGGGTTTGGCTGTATCACATGACGTTAGAGCAAGAATATACTGAAAAGCATGCCAATTTAGTGATAATAATTTGATTATCGTTGATCAATTGAAAGTCACTGGATATGGAACCCAAAACTTTACTTCAATGGTATATAGTTGGTGGTAAAAATAATTTAATCATTGGTTTTAAGGTGATATTGCACTAGATGATATTGCTGTAATACTATCGAAATGTGAAGCACTGCCATCTCCAACTTTGCCACCTATTAACAACCCCACACCTCCACCTACACCATGGGATTGTGATTTTGAAGATGGAATATTATGTGACTGGTCAAATGATGCTGCTAATGCAATGAACTGGACAAGATGGCAAGGAAATTCACCTGGATTAAATGCTGGCCCTCATACTGATCACACAACCCTTAGTACTGCGGTATAAGCATTTCTAATTTCTATATTTATCCACTATGAATAATAGAAAGTTTTTCACATGCTGTAACCTGTTGAGGATTATTCTTCCTTTCCAACTTCGGGAAATCTTTTTTGGCTCGGCGGTGTGGCGCATTGTACTAAGCGTTAGGAATACACTCGCCAGCACACCACTAATTATCCTGCTTGGGTTTGCGGATTCCTATCCTGTGGGAGATCATTATTTGTGAGACCATTGCTTCCTCTTCGCCAAGAGATAGTTTATATAATTGCTGGTCGGTTACAGTTTCCTCCACTATCAAGTATCTGAAACAAATAACTGGCTAACTAATTCCATACCTGACATGGACTTGTAACCAGAAGAGAGACCTTGATTTGTCCTATGATTGAGCTTTATCAGCAGTTTTTCTTTTCCCCGAGATAAATTTGTTATCTTATCCCAAAATCATCTGTCCAGCCAAAGAAAAGTGCAAATTTGATATCACTGAAAAATGAATATTAGTATCAACTACTAAATATGTATATGTATTTTTCAGCCTATAAAGATGTTAACTATATTTTTATTCAGGGTCATTATGTTTATATTGATGTATCTATTGTGGGTCAAGACCAACCAGGAGATGCATTATTTAGAGGGCCAGATGTTACAGCATATGATGCTTCAGGAGCTTGTCTGACATTCTGGTATTTTATGTATGGGCCTAAGGTTAATTCTTTGCGAATATTTGTTGAACAAAGGGATGCTGTGACTGGTACTGTTTGGGTGAGATCTGGAACAAGAGAACAAAAATGGCATCATGGGCAGGTAACAACTTTGAATTCATGGAAAAAGTCTCAACATTTCAGTTCTTAAATTTTACAGCATTAGGTATGCTAATGAACTGAAAATTCCTAACACCTTCTCACATTTACTTAATTGACCCAATTTGGACTATCATAAAATTTCCATATTGGTCCATGCCATTTTCTATGAGTTGGTACAAAATCAAATTTTTATTCCGATGTTCAATTCTCTGAACTGAGACTTCATGGATCTACCATTTGCATTAAATGGGATAAGAAAGGATAAAATAGTCTTGTGAATGAACAGTGATGAGCAATAGAGTGATTTTTCGATTACTTGTAGGCACGGGGGCCATGAAGCTGAAAAGTTAGATTAACTATGAGGGTAGCGCAGGTTGAAATACCAGGCCTAAATCTTATGTTTACTACTTTACTGAAGGTATAATAAATTAAATAGACTATGTTAAATCAAAACGATTTTGATTCTTTCAAACTTTAGTGGCTTCTTTTTAGCTAGCTGTGTTCAGCGACTTGTTAGTAGCAAAGGTATGTGAATAAGTCTTACAAAAAAATCAGATTATTCTGTCTCTTAAATTTTTATATTGGACCAATATAAATTATTGAATGAACTGCAGTAGCATTACTAAATTTGTTATCATTTATCAATTGTATCCAGGTTCACATTCGTCGTGCTGGTGTATGGAACGCAGTATTCAAAGCATCTCGACAAGATGGTATGGCTGGGGAAATAGCATTAGATGACATCAAATTCATTGTTGGTGCTTGTCCTGCTACAACTAAATGTGATTTTGAAGACAACATGTGTGGATTTGAAGATGATCCAGCAAGTGATTTTACTTGGACAAGGCGCAAGGGTCCTACACCTACTGCTGGCACAGGTTATCATCCTTTAATAAAGATTTGATCTCTACTAAATGTCCGAATCTCATTCGAGTTTAAGTGTATGTTGGTTGAGGTAGGCAACTGATGAGTATAGTGTACTTGTAGCGCTTGGTCAAATAACGAGCCTATACATACCTGACTAGATTTGGGAAATGTTCCTGCAACAACCTGGACGCTACTAATCCAAGTTCTCTCGTAACAGGATCTAACCCAGTCTGAAGAAGGCATAGTAGTAGCCAGGAGAGGTCTTATGGACTATTTTTGAAAATGCATTTGTTATAAAACATAAATTTCTATGCTATGCTTTTTCAACACCAGTTTGCTCTGTTCTTGAACGGTTTGCGGAAAACTGGATGTTTCCTGGCTTGCTATAATCTTTTGACCAAATAAGTCAAATGAGTTATTTCATAGCTTTGACAGGGAAGTATGTCTGTAAAGCGATTCTTTAATATATTGTTAGATATCAGTTGCTACTTCTATCTGGCTTTGTTCGAAGCAAAAGGCATAAGTTGTATTATGTCATTATACAAAAGAAAATTTGCCCCCATCTCTAAATTTTTGGCCCGCTACTCTCTTGAAAATGGGGAATAAAAATTGCAATAGTTTATTAAGTATGTTCGAATATGTCAAGTTTATTTTTATGGCAGGTCCACCTGTTGATCACACCACATACACAACCTCTGGTTATTATTTGTACGTTGAATCCACTAACCAGAAATCAAGTGATACAGCTCGAATTGCTAGTGCTCTCAGACCTGCCAGTCCTAATGGAGCCTGCGTTTTCTTCTGGTGGGTTTTTTCATTTGACATATTCTCATGACCGGACCCAACTTTCTTGGTTGATATAAATCTATCAATTACCAAATTACAAATTAATGATGATGATTAAATTATGAATGCTTTTTTTGGACAAATTACAATTTTTCAAACAATTTCAAAGAATCTAGCTTAAACATGTTAGTTCAATACAAATCTTTACACAATAGCAATCCTATTTTAGAATAATAGGTAGTAAGTTGTTGACATGTATGAATCGGATAAACTATCATCTTATCTATATAAGTGCAGCAAAAATTGAATCACTCAGGATAGTTTTTCTTCACTTTTGCTACGTCCCATTCGCATTATACATATACGTAGGTATCCAGTGGCATGAAAGCATAGAACAGTGCTTCCCAAACCGGAGGTAATTACCTCCAACAGGGTAATATGACAGTTTATAGGGAGTAATTCAGTCATTCACTGCCTTAACAACTTCTTTTGTAAGCCCTGTTCCGGCTTCTTCAAAGTCCATCCATCTTATAGTTGGATTAGAAGGTGGGGTTGGGAATAGTATTATAGTCAAAAATCAAGTTTTTGCCTCCATGACTACAATTTTATTGATCCATCATAATGATTCCGATCACAAAATCGACTTTGCAAAGACAGATATTAGAAAATTTTTGGGTTGGTCTTGATGTTCTATGACATGTGGCAAATTGTGCGATGTCAGTTTTATTTTTTTAAAGGGATAATTGATCTTTTGAGTTTGATTGTAAAAATAGTGGTAAAGTAGTATAAAGTACCGGTATAATATAAAGTATAAATATATAGACCCACAGAAACCCAATCATTCTCTAAATAAAATCGATCGTTATTGAAATATCATTAACAGAAGAAGATCCTATCTATGGGCTCTTATTTTAAGGTATCATATGCATGGCAGTGGAGTAGGAACATTGAGATTGTTGTATGATGATGGAGTTGAACACTCACGATATACTGTTTATGGAAATCAAAGTGTGGAATGGAAAAGAGGATCAATGGAAGTTATTACAACAAATCCATGGCAGGTAATATATTTCCAAGTAGTATGCTTCAAGTACTATCCATACATTTTCCTATTTTTAATATTTATGTCAATTCACAAGAACATTATTTTGGAATCACTGGAAAAATATGCATGCACTATTAGAACAACGTCATAGCATTTATAGCTTTTTTATATACAATTGTTTATCTGGCTCAAGCCCAGGTCAGTCCCAGAATTATATCAGGCTAACATTCCACAAAAATAAGAAATAAATTGTATGGGCTAATCTATCACAAAAGATGCTGCTACTTTCACACTTATTTACAAGCTGTATTTCAGGCTACTACCTGGAGCTTATCTTGAGACTAATAGACTAAATATTTGCTATTGTGTTGATATCAAATAATTGTCGATATAACTTTAGTTTGTTGATGACAATGCTATTTTCTAGTTTTGCAATATCTTTCTTACTTTTGGTATTTTAGATCATTTTTGAAGCAATCATTGGCTCACCAGATCAGAGTGATATTGCTATTGATGATATTGAAGTAACAGAAAACACAGATTGTCTTTACCCTGGTAAGTCTTGACTTGAACTTTTATGAAACAACGAAGGTCGTTTGTTCGATAAAGCTTGTAGTGATTACAAATATAGTGAATATATAGGCAATTGAAAATCTTAAAATTGAAGTTGAAATATAATTTCAATAAGTAATTAGAAGTCTAATCAGATTAAAGTAGGCTTACAATTGATGTATTTATTCCCCATACTATGTCTTATATAATATTTATTTTTGACACTTGACTTAAATTTATTCTTTACTCAGGGATAGCTGATTTCGAATCAGGTATAGGTGGATGGGTTAATACACAATCAGATGATTTTGACTGGGTTCTGACCAGTGGAAGTACACCAACGATTAATACTGGACCTTCTGGTGACCATTCAACTGGAAAAGGTATGACATTGTTTCTGTTGATAGGTGTACACCAAACTGGTTTCTGAATCCTATTTTCTGTATTCATATATTTTCTATATGTATATTTTAATATGAAATATTAGGTATATTTTGCATTTTGATTTGGTAAATTTTTAGCATCAAGTTATAGTGAGAGACAATTGTATAGTACAAATATTAGCTATAAGAAAAGAAACAATTTTTTTTCTTTTTTCATTTCATTTTCACATTATGTAAAGATTAATATTTGTTCATTCACTTTATACGATAAATATAGCAAGATAAGCACGTAAACAAAACTAAAAAGCATACTGTAAACCAGTATACAACTGTAAAAATGTTGTGAAAATTGAAGATTGGGATTCACTTTATACAGTTACGATGTATATATTTGAATTTGAAAAATGTAATGTTTTGCAAATCAACAAATCATTATATTGGTAAAATCAGCTTTACTCCTGAAAATTTTGAAATTTCAAAATTTTTTTTCTGTTAATTATTTTGTGAACCACTATCTTCTGCTATGTAAATAAGTGCCAATCCTAGTCAAGATAGAAAATAGCTAACCAGATTATTGGAACATTATGGAACATACCGGTTCTACCCTATAAATATTGTTGACTTTCACTTTTACTTGGTGAGCAGTGTTACTTTTACAGTTTATTTTTTGCAAGTTGTCATTGTATAGGAGTAAATTGTTTCTGGATTTGTTCCATGCTTATACAGGTTAACTTTTAAAGCATTCACAATATTTTTATCGATTAAATACTATTTTTGTTTACTAAAATACAGGTGGCTATGCATACATTGAAGCATCATATCGCAGCCCTGGAGATAAGGCTCAGTTAATAAGTGAAGATTTTATACATTGGAACTCAGATATTACTGATGATCATTGTGTTAACTTCTGGTGAGATTGTTACAGTGTTTAAATATTCACAATATAAAATGTTTGTTTGCTATTTTAAAGAATAATTTTAAATAAGTTTCAAAGTCAATCAGACCAACATATTACAAAATATAGAACTCCAGTTATGATGATATCACTTTTCTGATATAAAACAGAATTTCAGTATATTGAAAGCAGATTTTACTGCTAAAACACAGCCAACTACATTGGCAAATTAGGGAGGTATGTTGAAACATTGGTCTTTGATTCACACTTCAAAATTGCATATATACCAAAGGCTGAATTATAAAATATACAGACAAACAAATTTAATTTTTTTGAATTTGAAGTTGATGCTGTTGCAGCAAAATCTTGTTTAGTACAAAAAAAATTCAGTTACACTTTAAAGTAAATAAACTCGAATTCTGGAAACTTATAAATATTTTGCAGTGAAGAAATCTAAAGCACCTGCATTGAAAATATAAATAGATGTCATATTGTATGAGAGGTTTCTTGTTTGTTTCATTGCAATGATTCAACTTTAATTAGTTTATGCTATTTATACAACCTAAGGTATCATATGTATGGCTCATCTGTTGGAACATTGAGACTCGTCATGATGTATGGATCTGAAATGGGATACAGTAACTCTTTGTGGAATGCAACTGGCAGTCAAGGCAATGCTTGGCAATCTCAACAAGTAATACAAAACTATTGCGCTAATATCTTCTTTGTTCTGAATAGTTTCAGATTATTTTGGCTTGTCATAAAATTTTATTTTGTTTTGATTGCATTCAAAAAGATTTTCAGAGATGTTTGTTGAATAATAATTTTATAGTGGAATGGTAAACACAAGTTCAATCATAAATTTATGACATTGGTGACTTTCTATTTAAAAGATTCAAATCAACACATATGGAACATTCTATTTGATATTTGAAGGAGAAGTGGGTCTCGGAGAAGAAGGCGATATTGCTATTGATGATATACTTATAAGAAGAGGTGAGATTAATGCAATCTGAGTTAGATGTTAATGTTGTTCATACTGGCATAGTTTCATAACTGTTGACATTTTGTTTATACAAGCCAAAAAATAATTCTATTGTATCAGGATCTTGATCTGGAAATTGAAACAATGCAATATTAAAATGTGTTGCAAGTCACTGTAATAAATATTCAATAAATATATGATTGTAGATTCTGAAACTTTCATCTTGCTGAAATGCTCCACTTGTTTTATTTGGGGTGAAACATTACTATCTTCCAGTATAAGTAAGGATTTTATGTTTCATTTCGTTCCAGGCCAATGTGTAACATCAAGTCCACCAACAACTAGTACATGTGGAGCTGGCGATACAACAACAATTTCCAGTACTCAAGTTTGTGACTTTGTGCAAGGTGTGTCTTTGTAGAAGATTTTTGCACTTTTTAGTGATTTATTGAATATGATCTAAACCCAAGTTATATGCTTTTCCTGATTATCTTCTCAATATATAGGATGGGGGGGGGGGGGGGGAGTTTCTAGGACGGGGGAGTTTCTAGGACGGGGGAGAAAAGCCAATTAGACGGTTTAATCATATGGCTAGCAATGGCCCCTTTCTGTTTCCCAGTCCTTAGACTTAGTTAGCCAGCTATTTGTTCTTAGATACATGAACTTGATGATGGAGGAAGCTGTTACCGACCACCGGTTATGTGAACCACCTACGGTGGCGAGCAATCCTCTTGCACATAATTATCCCACAGATGATTGAAATTGTCTATGTGGTATTTTTTATTTGTATTCAAAATTAAACATTATGGATTTAGATTGTGCAAACAACTATGACGAAGGAACTTGTGGTGCTTGTGATTTTGAAACTGGTCAGTGTGGATGGATTAGTCTTACTTCAGGAAGCTATGTGTGGAATCGAGATAATGGAGGAACATCAAGTATAGTTTCCGGACCATCTGTCGATCACACTGTTGGAACATCTCTTGGTATAGTGTTATTTTTTAATGCCTGTATACTACTGGGTGTGAAAAGCTATAATTCCGTTTATTGAAATAAAATATTGTAATTCATTTAGCTTTGTGGTGAATATTTCTCTTTTTTTGTTAATCTTACAATTTCAAATGAATATTTGTCTAGTGTGAATTCTAAATAATTTTGGTTGAATTTTCAAATATAACCTTCAATCGTCTTGGTTTTTTTCCTATTTAATTTCTGTAGCACATTGTTTTGTTTGACGAAAAAACGATATATTTCTCTTAATACTTTCTAAGGCTACTATATGGCCGTTGAAGCATCAAATGGAGGTCGTGGTAGTGAAGCAGTTATGTTAACACCAGCTTTACAGCAATCTAAAGATACTTGTCAGGTATGAGTAGGTTTGCGTCAGTTTTATTATACTTAATTGAACAGCGACTTTTATATGGCTTCTATAGGATGTAGAATACCTGAAATATGTGTTTGTGCCAACCAAGTGAATAGATAAAAAATTGCAAAATATTATTATTGTTTGCAACAGTACACTTCACCATAAGTTCTATGTTACTCTAATACAGTGATTCTTGGGGTGCGCACCACAAAGGGGGCGGGTGTAGACAATTTTTTAAGGGGACGTGAAGCCAAATAAGAATAAAAATATTTGTTAGATTTTATCTTACTCGCCCCCATTTTGGATATTTACACTATTTTATTGTTTAAAATTGCGATTCCTCCCATATATTTTTTGAATAAAACGTACTTTTGCTTTTCTATTTGCTATTTGTAGTTTATTGTTAGCTAGTTATTTTTTGAGGTGGGGCGCGAGACTCGAGAAATTCCAAAAAGGGGGCGCGGATTAAAAAGTTTGCAAACCACTGCTCTAATATTTTATTTAAATGATATTTTATAGCATTATTGTGTAGTGATAGATACTGAATTTCAAGTAACAAGGAATGTTTACAGTGTAACAAGTATTTTTGTGTTAGAATTTGAACATCATAGTCATAGGTGTCTGTGCTATGCCATCTCAGGCAAAAACGCTCTATTTTACTCTAGTTTCATTCAAGTGTAATCTTATGTACAAATTCAACTCTGAAATTAATATCTGAATTAAAGTGGATATTGTACATGAAAATTAGGGATAATTCTTGAAGTATTACATTTAATTACAAATAATATTTGCTCTATAAATCCTGACATAAAATGTTTTTGCAGTTGATTTTCTGGTTCCACATGAAAGGTCGTGGTTTCACAGAAACTCTTCTGAATCCTAACCCTGGAAAATTATCAGTATTTTTGACATTGACAACTGTTGGTCGTACCTTCCCAGTGTGGGAGCACAGTCAAGATGAGGGTGATATCTGGATACAAGGAAATGTTTTTATAGGTAATTATTTTGAGAGTATACTCATTTTGAATATTTAGATTCGAGATATTTGCTGTGGGGTTGGGTTATTGTGATTGAATATTTTTTTTTCTTATTGTTTACTAGTGATGAGATATTTTTACTGATTATTTTAATCCATTTTTGGAATGTACAATTGCCATATTTAAAAAAAAAATAAAATAACTTTTCGAAAAGCTATGTTCTAAGTTTGCTATTTTAAGAAAATTGAAAAAAAATTAGCTCTAAACAATTTGAACCATAACTTAGTGAAGCATTGTGATGAGGTATAGAATTCCATTCCACTTTCAGGCTTCAGAACGGTGTATTACCAGGCTTCTTATTTGAAAAAAAAAATCCTTGTATATAATAACTGATCACTTATTTTTATTTTATTAAGGACGTGTAACTCAACCTTTCTTGCTCTCATTTGTTGGAACTCGTAGTGCGAGTGGACCTAGCGATTTAGCAGTTGATGATATCTCATATACTGGATGTGCATTGCCGATACCACAGACATCTTGTTCATCAGATGAATACAGGTATTACGCCTTATTCTAATGTTTTGAATATATGTCTAACACACAAAACTAACTTTTAATACCTAGAAAAATAATGAAAAACCCATAGGTAAATATGACAAAAAATTTTATTAGCCAAATATATTAAAAATCCAACAAAATTACTTCATAGAAATATTAAGACAGTGCTCGTGGAGATTGTCATGCTTTTCCAATATTTATAATAATCTCATATCGTTACTATTTATCAAATCCACTATATAATCAAATGCGCTGCTTGTAATCATAATATGGTGTACATAGTCTGTATAGCTTGCCAGGTTTTTACATATACATACGTTCTTTCATGAAAAACTATACAAGTTGTTATTTTTTGAATCTGCAATGAATTTTTTTCTCTTTTATTGTATTATCAGATGTGGCAATGGAGCTTGTATACCAAGTGCATATGTTTGTGATTTAACTGATAATTGTGGTGATGGAACAGATGAGTCATCTTGCAGTCAATACACAACTTGTGATTTTGAACAAGATTTTTGCACAGGTAGGTTTTTAATCTCATTAGACAATAATTAATTATTCTGAGTTTCAGTAGTTTTGATGTACTTTAATTATGTGTGTGTTGGTCGCTAATTATTACAAAGCTGGATATCATTATTTATCATCATTACTTCAAATAAGACATTTTAGTTCAAATATTTCTTACCTGTTTGATTTATTTAAATACTATATTAACCAACAAAGTTGAAAAACACTTAAAAGTGTTTTAGCTTGTTCAAGGTGTTAGACTGAATATAATTTTCAGGTTATAATTCTGGGGATGGTGATTTTGACTGGGAATGGAGATCTGCTGATCAGACTCATACAACAGGGACTGGGCCAAGCAGAGATCACACAACCAATACAGATACAGGGTAGACATTTCCTTCGCTCATAAAATAGTTTTGAATACATATTTATATGACAGTTAGCATTTGTAACAATATTCCCAAGTTTTCGAACTGGGCATTCCTTGCATTTATTGCAATCATATGGTTTTAGGAATAAAGATTTTCTAAGATGAATGTTTAAAAACAACTTCCTACACAAACAAAATATTTTTATGTTATTGCATTTGGTCAACGAAGGACCCTCTCAGCAAATTAATTTATAATTAATTAGTTATTGAATAAAATATAACTATGAGAATACTGTTAAGTTAAGCTAGTTTTCATATCATCTCTGTTCATTTTGAATATAATTCCGTTCTGTTTTCTCCTAATAGTCTCTGTGATAGCAGTTGAACTTCTCTTATGTGCCATCGTAGATGAACAAAAAATACAAAATTGCAAAAAATAAATAAATATTAATTAGAATTATCCAATTCTTATTTTATTTTGATTAAACGTCACTTCCTTTGCAGAAAAACTGAAAATAGCTTCATGGTATTTTTCTCTGTATATATTTTTAACAGATATTTTCTGTACATGAATGCTGCACGTCCGAATTATCCGGACGATACAGCAGTTTTTACATTCCCACCAATTCAAGCAACTGTAACTCTACCTTACTGTGTAATGACTTTCTATTACCACATGATTGGAAGACATGTTGGAGAATTGACATTTTACAAACGAACAAGGGTAAATATAAATACAAATTTCTAAATATATCTGAATTCCCTTCTTATACATTCTCACAATCGGCCATAATGAGGCTCAAAAATTGCCATCATGAGGAAAAATATTAGCTCTTGTAGAATAATTATGAAAATTTGTTCCAAAAATAGTCAGCAACAATCTAAAAATCATTCTTTGAATCAAATATTTTTCAGGTTGGAGGGCCATGGATAAAAGTCTGGTACAGAAAAGAAGCTCTTGAACAAGACTACTTTGCAAGAAGGGAAATCACACTAGCGGATGCTGAAAATTTTCAGGTATTGAATACTTTCTTGTTTTTCAGTTGCTAAACGGAATGAATCTAAGATCAGCAATCGGCTCGGGGGTGTGATGCATCGTGCTAATAAGCTTGCCACTGCACTTCTGATTACCCTGCATTGGGTTCGCAGGTTCGCAGACTCCCATGCGAGGATATTTACATGCAAGAGGATTGCTGGAGGTTGGTTCAGGGTGGTGGTTTGGTATGGCTTCCTCCACCACCAAGTCCATGCATCTCAAACAACTACCTTGCTAACTAATCCCATTCTCGATACAGACTGGTAATCGGACGAGAGGCCATGCATAAGTCTCATCCTCTCCCACATAATAAATATGTAAATTTTCTCCTATCCTAATCATCAATACATATTTGGCTGGATCGTGATGTTCACTTCAATGCAAAGTAACTGCCATTGAACTCAAATTTTATTTAAGTGAGCTAACTATCAAGTTACTTTTGTGCATACAACAAGATCAACTTGGTTTTCTTGGAATGACTTTAATGTAGTATTCGCTCATTCCTTTTTTAAACATTATGTAGGCGTTATCACTTAACTCACCATATTGTAGACTGATTTTTTTTCACTTTGAGGTTGTACATATGGATATTTTTGGAAAAAATTATGAAAAGGTAAAAACATTTTATTACCAAACTAATGATAGGAAAATATTTCAAAAATTATTACAACTACTATTAACCTACGCTTCATATTAACCTAGTCTTGAAATACATCATTTTAGTGATTCTTCAGAGCATGAAAACTTATGTATGTATGTTTTGCAGGTTATGATTGAAGGAAAAGTTGGAAACGGACACGAAGGAGACATTGCAATTGATGATATTGTTTTCAGTCCTGGATGTGTATTTATTGGTGGATCACTACCAGCAGGGACAACACCACCTCCAACTCCTTCACCATGTGACGTTGGTGAAGCTGTTTGTGATGACAGATCAACATGCATTGCATTATCCAAGGTAGGGACAAATTATAGAATACTATATATATGTAGGATGTATTTATTGACATGTATGTACATTTTTTGTGTCACTTGTTTGTATCTTTGAGTGATAAATCAGATATTTGTCTGAAAGAATCATACTAAGTCTAGCCAATACATTGATAATATAAATAATAGTGGTGGTGATCATTTTTTTAGTTTGAAAAACGATTACCATCGTACTTGTTATGGAAATATTCTTGACATTCCATGAACTTTTTCCTAGGTTTGTGATTACATAGCTGACTGCCCTTCTGGACTAGGTGATGAAAATCAATGTGCAACATGTACTTTTGAAGAGAATACTTGTGGTTGGACTGATATTAGCTCTGGTACTTGGGCTTGGTTGAGAGAAGAAGCTTTGCACGTCATAGACCCACAAGGACCACAGGTTGACCACACAACAAGTACACCACAAGGCAAGATATTTGTGAATCGAGGAATACATTATATATTCAAGATATTTTTCTTAATTTCATTACATGCAGTGTAGTATCATTAGAAAAAGTTATATTTGATTGTTGTGATTGTTTCCCTTGATATGCAGAAATGCAAAACAAACTATGTTTTATGTTATATTGAATTTCCATCAAAGTTCTCTATTGAAGTATCCTAAAATAATATTGAACTTGATTGATTGATTGATCTTATTTAGTGAGAGTACAGCAGGAACTTTTCCAGTGTTCTTCATTGTTTTATTTTTTCAGTAATCTATATAACTATTATCATTATAAATAGATCTGTTATACATTAAAATATCTAATTTATTCAAAACAGGATATATTATGAGAATTGACAACACTCAATCATCCTTCCTTGCTAAAGCAATCATGCAAACTGTACCAATGGGTGAATCTGGACTAGCTTGTCAGATGAAATTTTACTTATGGCTTGGTGGAACAGGTCAGTATCTTACCATCATTTTTTTTGTCCATCATGGGTTTGATGACTTATGTCAGGGCTGTTTTTCATCAGTGAACTTTTTCTATTTGTGAGTTTTCTTCACTATGTTCGTTTTGAGTGGGTTTTATTTCGAGCAAATGTCTATAAAAATAATTCTAGAGCAAAAAGTTTTATTTGTATAGACCTACATTCAAAATTTTTAGGTGATGCTGGAGAAGTTGTCATTCGAGTGTATCCTGATGCAAACAATAACAACAATTATAGAGATGTCTGGTTCAGAGTTGGAACTGAAGGAAAACTATGGAGTGAGCAATATGCTCCCATTGGCAAAAGACCTTCAGGATTTAAGGTTCTTCCATTGTTTCATTATTTCAGTTATTAACTATCAATTTAAGTACTGCTTGATTCTCAGTTTTGAATATTATTATTATAATTTTTATGTTTCCTCTTTTTTGTTACAGTTTTTAGTTTAGGTATCTAACATGAAATTTTATGTTTAATTTCTTGTAATAGACAATACCATTCTACCATTGAAAAAAGTTTTATATTATAGTATGATTGTTCGAAAATAATAAAGTGTACAATTGCTATGAAAAAAATACTTTGAATGCATTTCCATGCTATGCATTTAAATATTTCAGGTTGAGTTCAGGGGTATTCCATCACCCCTCGCTGTCGGCACCACAGATATATCACTGGATGACATTGAGTTTATCAATTGTGATCCTAATTACCTTCCATCAGAAAGATATGACTTGACTTGTACATTTGAAGACGGCATGTGTGGATGGTATCAAGAACAAGATAAAGATGATTTTGATTGGATCTATGGACAAGCTGTTGACAACTCTCTTATCGTACACTCGGGAGCTGGTAAGTTGTCTGGGGTCATATATATCTTTGTGATCTTTTCAATTCAAGACCCAGAAGAAAATAACATTCTGTTTACTCTCAAGTAGAAATAATTGCAGCCAAGGTATTAAGAATACTAAAGAGTGTGCTGTTTCCAATTGTTGTAAAATGGATAAAACAGTTAGTTACCTACCTTCAGTTACCTAAAATGTTATGATTCAATTTGGAAAACATTTTTAATTTTTGTTTGGGTAACTACTATGTTATTATGTAACAAACATATTGCTGCTGAATGTTTGGTTTCTGCTCTTTCATAGGATATGATCACACTCTTGGACCGGATGGAAACGGACATTTTATATATTTTGATTCATCACGAAGTATGCCAGCTAATGATAAAGCACAAATTATCAGCTATTCTCAACCAAAGTCAACAACTTCTGATTCAAGGGTATGTATAATATAAAAAAGTAGTATAAGATTGGAACCATAGATGTTACTTTAACCATTTTCATTTGCATATATTTCACCTTTGCAATGCAATAATTGAATGAGATAATATTTCACGGTTATTATGGATGAGAAGAAGGATGATAAGAATATTTTTCCATATAAAAAACCATGTCCTCTTGTCCATCATCTACCAGTGTTGACATGGTTTAACAATATATGTAGTTACATTGTTAGGGGAGAAAGCTGTAACTGAACAATGGTAAATTAAACAACTTCGTATTACATATAGCTACAATAGTGTAGCTCTCTCCTCACACAAAATTAACCTCTACTGGAGTGGAAATTGCATTCTTAACAATATTATCAATTTGAAGAGTTGACAAACACACCTGGCGCACTCTGCATATTTATATGGTCAGCTATTAATCAGCTGGTCTGATATCTAATTTTTAATCAACCTTATATATTGTCGAACATTTCTGGTTTTTAAGTTTTAAATGTGCCATCAATGCATTTTAATATTAATCACTAAATTATATTTGGGCATGATCAAGATTCAATGTTTTTATTTTACAGATGTGTATAGAATGGTACTATCATATGTTTGGGCCAAATGTTGGAACTCTCAATGTGTACAGGGTACTTACCAAAAATGGTAATAAATGGAAATTCTGGACTCGTAGTGGTTCCTCAGGAAATCAGTAAGTCGACGTCACGCAAATTAAATCAATCCATAATGTTGAATAATGTGTCAGGTAATGTGTCAAATAATAACACATGCTGTGGTTGTGGGATTATACATCACTGCAAATCTGTGTAAAAGAATATAGGGTTTATAGTGGCTTTATTTATTGTTTTAAAAGCTCCTTTTTGAATTATGCTACCAGTAAGTTAACTTGAAGGAGTTGAAATTAATCTGGTGAAAATATTTGCTGATTATGAATGTTTCAGTTAGGGTAATTTATACAATATAATATAGTTATCATCAAAATACCAACTGCTTGAATAGGCATTTGTATTTCAGTATTGTTTATGAATGAGTGTGACCTAATTTGGGGTCAAACAAAATATAAGCTAAACAAGGACAACATAAATTCATTCATTGAAAAATTATCATCAACCTAATTTTGTATTTATTATTTCTAATTCTGTATATTGTTGCTATTTTTAGATGGGTGTACAATTTCTTCTCGTTTATATCTAATGATGACTTCAGCCTGATTTTTGAAGCTGTTAGAGGTGGTTTGGATGGCGACATTGCATTAGATGATATTACAGTTACACCAGGAGATTGTGCAACAATGGATAAATATTGTGACTTTGAAGCTTCTTGTCATTTCTCACAAGTAAACTATTAATTTTTCAATCACATGCTGAAAGATGTTATTTGTAATTTTGCGGCTTTTCTTCCTTTATTGAATAGTTTGTACCTTTAACTTTCAAAATTTCATAAGTTCAACACAATATTATTAGCACTCAGATTCTTTTTTGGCATGTAAACTGCTGGACTCCAGCAAAAACAAATTTTGATTGACTAGCAATGACGGCTTGTTTTTAGTATGTCTATTTTGATTTGAATATTAACTTATTAATTTATAGACATCAAAAGATGATGGAAAAGATTGGATTAAAACTAAAGGAACTAGGAAAAACCCAGATACCGGTCCTTCTATTGATCATACAAGACAAACAGAAGATGGTGTATACATGCTTGCTAACTTATTTTCTTACCAACCTGGAATGAAAACAATACAGTGGACACAAACATATCAACCTACAACGGGACCTTCTTGTGTAGCATTCTGGTATGTCATTTTCCATGCATTATTTTGTCAACATGAATCCTTATTACAGCATAACCTCATTCTGTGTTTTAATTTTGCAATATGAAAATTAAGGTATCATATGTATGGGCAAGGAATGGGTACAATGAATCTTTACACACAAAAAAATGAGGATATGAGCACACAATTACTTATATGGTCTGAGTCTGGCAACAATGGTGATGTTTGGAGGCATGCTAAAGCTACATTATTTCCAACAGATTACCCCTTCAAGGTAATTCAATCATTCTATTATGGAATTGCAATACACAAATTAACATTATTATAGATAAAGTTTATAGTCTACTGGATTTAATAGGCTAATTTCATACTGGCTTTTTATGGTTTTTTGACTGGAGCATAATTTAAAGTGAATATGGGAAACATGCGACAAATTAATAGAAATGTTTTGTGCTGATATGATCAAAAATTTTATTTATATATTATATATTAAACTGTGCCATCTAATAAGAGAAATTTTCTAAATGATTCATGGGACTTAACCATCAAAAATAAATGCATCTTACTTTTAACAGCTTGTCTGGGAAGCTGTGAGAGGACCAACAGCAACAAGTGATATGGCTATTGATGATATTTCATTTATTGATGGAGAATGCCCTCCACCAGGTGAGTCCATTGTTTTTTTTATTGTCATGTAAATCGTGTTTGAAACAACATACTAAAGGTAACATATTTTTTTGGCTTTCGAAATTTACCACATTCTAAGTGATAAAGCAAATGAGGGATTTCAGATGTGCTGTAAAAAATGTTCTTTTTTTCTCAATGACTTTCCATTTTTCTGTTTCTGCAGGCACTTGTGACTTTGAAATCGATATGTGTTTCTGGGAGAATGAGCCAGACAATGATATGGATTGGATATGGTCTGACTCTGTAACACCAAATAGGTTTCCTGGTCCACCCAACGATCATACAACCAACTCACCACAAGGTATGCTTATCTTCCTTTTGTTGCAGTTTTGATCAAAATACTTTAATAAGAATATTTTTGCAATTGTGAGTTTTGAAAGGATGTTTCAAATCATGAAAGAATAGTTATCGTAATTACTTTGGTAGTTTTATTCTAAACTTTTGCCTCCACCTAAAAAATAATTTGGAAAAGATACAAAATATATTTTTGTCACGATCACTCTGTTATAAAAACCAGTAAACCACCACGAGTTGTTCAGGAATTTGTGTCATTTTTGAATTCCAAATTATCAAAAATGAATCTACACCCTTATTGTTGACAATGTGGGATGGCCTCACTTCAATTATATTAATATGAATACAACCAAAATTTTAGCCCAAAGCTAGTCATAAGTCAAATCTATTCTAATGGATGGCAAACTAAAATTTGAAGGAACATGTAGAGATGAAAAATAACTTTATTAATTGAACATTAATTATAATCACAGCCATGTGTAAACATAACATAGATGAGAGATCTTACTAAAGAATGCCACTATTATATGATAATTTTCATAGTTACGTCAGTGCTTTGTTAGTAAAATTTATTTAAAACATATTTTAAAAGAATAAAATAAATTCAGATAATAGTGTGTTGCTATACAATGCTTACGCATAAATCTAATGAATGATTCAATTTCTGTATAATATTTTTTATCACACTACTTACCACAGTTAATATCACTGCTTTTTTGGACTTTTCTCATTTTTTGAGTTGAAGAATGGAAATGGCATTTTTATTTCATTGTTTTAGGTCATTTTGCGTATGTTACTGGTATAGTGAATGGTTATAGTAAAGCAAGATTAGCAAGTGAAACACATCCACCTACATCTGGTGCATGTATGCGATGGTGGTACCATATGACTGGAGCATCTGTGGGAACACTCAATGTCTATGTGCAAGATGCTAGTGAAAATTTGAATGAGCTTCAGGAAAGTGAAAGAATATATCAAGATTTTGGTGATCAAGGAGACTTCTGGATTACTTCTGCTCTGGGAATTTATTCTACAAAGAGTTGGAGGTATGAAAATATACATTTCTAGTTTATTCACTGATGTGTAAATACTTACGGTACTTTTTATTCATGTTGCCTAAGATATCTAGCAAGCGAATCAATTGATCCAGTTGCTTATTTTTTATTCAGACTTAATTTGTGTCTGTATTTTTGTGCAACAACAATGATATTTTAATGAGTATGTTTTCTACACCAAGCACAATCACCAACCTCATTTTAGTATTCACATTTTAGTCAGAAACTACATCTATCTTTAACGAAACCAAACCCTCATTCATAAATTTATTTTGTTCAGATTGGTTATTGAAGCAATTAAATCGTCATCATTAGATGTTGGAAGTATTGCAATTGATGACATCGTATTGGATCTCACCGCATTTTGTAATTCTACGATTAAAACTACGACACCACCTATCACCAGACCACCCACAGCGGTAAGTAATTTATTGTAAAATGTCAGTTTCAGAAATTTGAGATAATGTATGTTTTCCCCAAAAACATTTTTTTGCAGTCTCCGACACAGTGGGATTGTGATTTCGAAAACAGTGACTTCTGTACTTGGACAAATAACAATGGTGGATCGGCTAGGTGGACAATCAATCAGGGAGAAACTCCTTCCACAAACACTGGACCAACATCTGACCATACATTATTAAGTTACACTGGACATTACATCTATTTAGAAAGTAATTCATTAACTAATGGAGATTCTGCAAGGTAATATTTTTTGCAAGCTATTTTCCTATTTTTACATGTATGGCTTATGATCATATGCATTAAATTGTTAGATGAAGATAAATTTTACATATCTTCATCTAACAATTTATCGATTGAAAAGGAGTGTGAAGAAACTGACTGTTTTAACACAAAATTTCCTTTAATATATTTCAGATTGATCAGTAATACTGTTACTGTTGGTCCTGAAGGGAGTTGCTTAAAATTTTACCATCACATGTTTGGTGAAAACATAGGAAGCCTAAATGCTTACTCTCGGCCATCAACTTCATCTGGCCTTGGAACCAAAATTTGGACCTATTCAAAATCTAAAGGACAAAAGTAAGAATGAAAAATTTACCACAATTTCTAAATAACTGACAACTTGAACTATGAAAAATATAATTCATTTACCTAATTTGGGCGATTTATAACATATACCGTAGTATACATTATGAGGGACTTGTTAGAGAAAAATGATTAAATCTGTTCACATTTTTGATGAAATGTTCTGTGGAGCTAGGTATGTTTAGAAATTGTTATCATAGTAAGATATCGATTTATAGTTCAATTCTTGCAATACAGGGATGGACATAACAAAATCCAGGCCATCTTAAAAAATTATGTACGGACACGATTATAATAATATTCACTCCTTTTTATTTTGGTAATTGTACAAAATTTGATTTATTACCACAGATGGTATCTTGCTAAAACATACTTGGATACACCTGGATCATATGTTATTACTATTGAAGCTGTAAGAGGAAATGGAGAGTTTGGAGATATTGCCATTGATGATGTTTCCATTCCGGTATGTTTCATTAATATTGTTTTTATTCAGAGAAATATGATACATATCATTAGTTAATTTAAGTTTGGAATATACTCACTGCAACAAGTCCTGGCAATTTTCAATATTTTGCAGTGTTGAATAAAATGTGCATTGTGGCAAGAAACCTTCATATTCGAATCTTTGATATTCAACTTCTTTTGTCAATCTTCGACATGAATTGATTGTGCTTTCACTGCGCAAGGGCAAAATATTAAGCAAAAACAGTGAATCCAATATCCTAGATTCTTTTACAATTATTTTTGAGTTTTTTACAAACGAATTTAAACTAATTTTATCAAACATTTTAAGCATGACCAAAATCATTTTTCTTTATTTTTATCACAGGATGGCCTTTGCCCGACAACACCTGACGTTTGTGATTTTGAAAATGGTAACTGTGGCTACACTCAAGGTAACCAGGATGACCAGGACTGGATACTGACATCCGGTGCTAGTTCAAGTACAAGCACTGGACCACAAGTTGGTGATCATACATATGGAACACCAAACGGACATTACTACTTGGCAGGTAATATTTAAAAGAAAATTAATAATTCTGAGACCTATATCAAATACTTAACCCTCGATCGACTAATGAAAAAGTAATGATCCTCTGCTGCCCACTGACGACTCGTTGGAAAGCTTATTCAAATAAAATTGGCGATTAAAAAAGATTTTTTTTTCAAAAGGGGTGGTCTGAGTCACAAACCGGATGGAAAAAAGGCATTTTATTTTCTTGGGTGTTGAAACTTCAAACCGTGATAAAAAATAGAAATATTCGCTAAATCCTTTACTGTTACCGCTTCTTGGTTGGCAAACAATAGCATAATATTGCTGTAGCAATTTCGTTATCTAACTCAAAATACTTTGGTAGATGGAAGGGATAATATGTCTTTTATTACCACCCAAAAAACACCGAAATTTGCATAAATATCAAAAACACTCCGTCGTTCCGCCGCAAATAAAATTCCCATGGTAAACGAAAGCGAGATTTACCGTCGCTTATGTTAATCTCGAAGAAGACTTCTTATCAATAAACTAAAACCCGGAAAAACTAGACCAACAGTTTGCGACCGATTGCTAAATAAAACAGTGGAGTACATCAACGTACCCGCCGCAATCTAGCGAGTTTTGTCGTGGGTACGTATACGTGCCCACCGCACGGAAAGGGTTAAAGGGCCAAGTACATTTCTGTAAATCTAGATTCAAAGCCTTAACTTTAAAAACTTAATACACGCCCATGCATATAATGATAAATATAATTTATTCAAACAAATTTTCTGTGCATCTTAGCTATTTGTTATTTTGTCTATTTTATCTATATGCGTATTGTATGTAATTTCAGTGTTTTGCAAACTTATTATATTCTCAAGTTGGAGATATCAATATTCTCTTACAGGACAATTTTAGATTCAATGTTTTTTTGATGTGTTTCATTAAATTTTATGTTCTATTTAAATGAGAAATCAAAGTTTTGATATTTGCAATGAATTTATTGAATATTTTGCAGATGTTGATTCCCATCAGCCTAATGACCTCGCGCGTATGACAAGTAAGGTTTATCCACCTACATATGGAATGTGCCTTCAATTCTGGTATTACATGTATGGTGATGCAAATGACTTTGGAACCTTGAACGTTTACTTGAAATCAGCGGGGCAACTTGGAAAGCCCATTTTTTCAATTTCTGAGCAGGTTGGCAATTAACATATCATATATTATATGAAGATTATGCGATTATATGCGATTTCATAAAGTTAGCAGTCATGGCAAAAACAACTATTTGTACAATTATGTCGCATGGTATGTTGGGCGTAGAAAGAACTATATTTGAACCTAAATTTAACCAAGTTTTCCAGACAATTAATAAACATTTTTATTGTAGATTTATTTTTATCTGAAACTTACTTTATAACGAATTATGCTGACATGTTTGTCTCTTTCTTCTATTCTCGCTTAATATTTTTGAAAGTTAAGTTTAAGTAAGATTTCATAAAAAACAAGTTGTCAGCTTATTAGTCTTTGTTTCAATCTTAATCCAATTTTCAATCATTAAATTTCAGACTGGAGCTGATTGGAGACATGGTCGTGCAAATATTGATTCTGCCCTTGACTACCAGATCGTTTTCGAAAGTGTGCGTGGCTTAACTATAAATGGTGACAAAGCAATCGACGATATTGAATTCATTGATGGTGCTTGCCCAACTTTTGGAACTTGTGATTTTGAGTTGGACTCTTGTGGATGGTCTCAGGTAGAATGAACCCCTTTTATTAGAAAATGTACAATTTGTAATACACAACTTATGTCATAAATGGCAAAGTTACTATATATATCATAACTGAAATTGATATTTAACCCCAAACTCATGATTTATGACTTGACTGCTCAACGTTTTACTCATATGATATGAATCTGTTGTATAATCTATAATATGATAGGATTTACATATTTAACCTGGGGGAGAGGAAAGCCTCTTGACTGTTTACTAGTCCATGTGTGGTATGGGTTTGTTAGCCAGTTGTTTGTTTTAAGATGCATATCTATGATGGTGGAGGAAGTGGTAACCGCCCAGCAGTTATGTGAACCACCCTCTTTTACCTAACCCACCACTAAATATGTGATATCATATGTAAATTCAATATTTTAACAGGATTTGAACCCGAATTTTCATCCTACTTCACTATTCAACAAATCTATTCATTATTCAACAAAGTGTTCTGTGTTGACCAAGGCTAAAATTAAATAATCATTTCAAACATGCTGCAAATACCCATTTAATCTTTTAAAACTTATATTTTGTAATTTAAGGTTGAAAAAGAAGATGACTTGGATTGGATAAGAGTATCACAAAGTTTTTCGGGTCAGGGACCAGCTGGGGATCACACAACAAGTCGAGGACATTATATGGCATTAGATATAACAGGACAGAATAAAGATGCACAGGGAATGTAAGTTTAAATGATTATTGTATTCATTTTTGTTCATTTTACAGAGTGTTGTAAAGTAATAGAATATTTGTTTTTAGGTTACTTTCAGAAGTGTTTCAACCAGTGGATGGATCAAATGATCATTGTATCTCTTTCTGGTGGTTCACATCTGGACATGGTCTTGGTTCGTTATCAGTCTGGACTGATGATCACCAAAACAATGTAGATCAAATATGGGACAATCTTGGAGCAATATGTATGCTATTATCAAATATGATATATTTAATTATTTGAAAACAAAATATTGTAGTATTATTTTAATTTCATTCTCCCAGCATAAAGCATAGATTTATCCATCTCTTGAACTGATATAACAGAAACTTCAAAATAGCAACAAAATAGATTTGTAATAACAACCTCTGAGGTTTTGATAAGATGGATTTTTTTTTGTAATACCAAGCAGTAGCCAGTATTGTATAAGTTGAACTATCTGTTTCTCATATAGCAAATTACTGGGGATATGCTGAACTTGAAATTACAACTATTCCTGGTATTTTCGGAGTTATAATTCAAGGACAAAAAGCAGGATCATCACCAACAGATTTTGGTGTATTTGCAATTGATGATTTCAGAAGCACGCCAGGAGCGTAAGTAACTTATACTTTTAGAGAATACTTTCACAGAGCAGTGATTACATTAGGCCCTATGCGACAGCAAAAAGCTCGACCATACTATTTAGTATTTTAATCACAAACTCGATTCAAACTTTGCGAACCAGCACACTTGGTAATCCACATGGCAAAAAGGTTCCAAATGCTGAACTAGCATAACCAGCATTTTGCTGTGATCCAATGCGATCCCCTTTTACAGATGTAACTCAACAGCCCCTCCAACAACATTCACATGCTTAAATTTGACATTGGGTGGTCCAACCACGATTCCGGTTGATCAAATGTGTGATTTCCAAGATCAGTGTAAGGATGGCAGCGATGAGGATTTATGTGGATCATGTAGGTTTGAAGATGGTCCTTGTGGATGGTACGACACGAGCACAGGACAATATAAATGGGTTTTGACGAAAGGTAAACTGGTGTTAATTAAGAATAACATTTTTGTCACGTCATTTCAAATCTTTTTATATATTATTCATTGAAGTCTAAGTGTATATATTTTTTTAAATTGGTTTGTGCAAATACTGTGGAAAATAGTGTAGAAATATTTAAATAGTGTGTTAATGTATTTTAAATTTACATCAAAATATACGAAAGGCCAATGTTATTGTTATTAGCAATCAAACTTGCAAGGTGCCCATTTTCTTCAGACAAGATCTGAGAATAAACAAGCATGATTTATTTGAAGCAGGGATGTATACAGAAATCTTTGAAACAAAATTCCAATAACTACTTAGCGCTAATATTTTTTAAAAGCAATCTTTTGAATAATAAAAGTTAGGATTTTAATGGTATATTTCATCAGAGATTTCCTGAATAGTCCTAAGTTAAATCTGAAACTGAAGTGGTACTCAAATTGCCGATTATACTAGTTGCTAAAACACAAATTCACCGATTGAAAATTGATCGCCTAGTGCACAGAAGAATTCGCAATTAAATTTAGAGAATGGTTATTGAATTGTGTGACGATTTGTCACTATTACAATTTAATAGCTGCCGATGCTGGTGACAACGGTCCTGCAGGAGACGCTGACACTCAGACCAGTGAAGGACACTACTTTGCTGTGGAGCCAAGCACAGGCGGCAACAATGCACCTGCTAGGCTCGAAACACCAATCATGCACAACTCTGCCGCTACTTGTGAGATGGCGTAAGTGAACCATTTTTAATTTTTTCCAAATTGTCATTTTGTTATTTGTTGGTATTAAGACAGTGACTACGTTTAAATGAGTGAGCATAAATTTGCCAACTTGCACAATTTGAAGATGAGCTCATTTCAAATTGGTTTCTGTAAACTGCCTTCATGTAATGCCTTAAATAAATATATTTATACGTTTCAGAATAACATATTGGATAATTAGTTACAATTTCGTTTACAGGCCGAAATATATTTTATAACAAACTTTATTTTACCGGATTATGTGTTAATAAAATCCATCCATGTTTATTTTTATCACGTGCAACTAAAACTATGATGGGGTTGATAAAAAAAATTGTTGAAGATGTAAACACTTGAACTTGTTTTAAGACCTTAACAGTACCCATTGCCCAGCCGCAGATTAAGTGCTTTATTCGCCATACAAAACCGGTAGCGAGATTTAGGACTGCACGCGATGTTTTACAGACTGAGGGTATTTGTTGTTGTAAAAAGCGGTAGTTGTACCGCCTGCAATCTAAATTCACATAAAAATAACAATCCAGTCAATAAACAGATCCCATGCAATTTTTGTAATGTTTGAAAGTACTTTTTGACACTTCATAGGCAGCGGTAGCATTCTGAACCCAGGGTTGTATCAAATTCATATATTTCACAGCATTTATCCCCGGAACTTATAGGTTGGTTTTTTGAGGATTCGTTGTTTTCAAGATTGCATGCTTGGCAATTTATTCACCCAATATAACAGATAATTCACATGCGTCCATTTGGTGTTCTTTTTTCAACAGTAATGGTGATGGTGATTGATTCATCAATCAATATCATTTAAATTTTAAATGACACAGAATTTTTTCGCATTGTGTCGAGATTTAAGCATTCGCATATTGTGTTTTATGGTCCAGTGATCGCGACTGCGACTAGACAGCTTGAGTAAAATATAACAAAATCAACAAAACATGAACATTTTAGAGGTGTATAGTGGGAGTTCCAATCTTTCATAATCATATGCCTTTTCCGTCAAACTTTCTTGGTGATGTTGTGTATTTTACCCACCAATACAAAATTAAGAGTGTCTATGCCTGTATGATTTCACCTATGTTACCGCTGCGCGAACAATGCTGTTATCACTAGGTGAAGCGGGCCGATACAACTCGTCGACTACTATGAACATATATGGCACGGTAGATACGTTTGAAATAATGATCATGATAACGAAAACCCGTGGTTTTTATGCCTGAATGTCTTCACCACAACTCATTGTATTGCAGTTTGGACGAAACACTGCATTTAAATCAAAGAAATGTTCGTGATTTTATGAAATACCCCGCACTAATGAAAAAGTATGATGTGTGTTTTTGGGGTTTTCATGTTACATTTAACAATATGATTTATACAACAAATATTTATAATGATAAAATAAAACAAAAGTGAAAACCAGAAGCGGTTCTTTACCTTTTGTTTCTAGTTGTGCGCTTCGTTATTAATATAAAGACAAATTCTACAAATGAAAGTTTGATACAGTTCCTGTTTGGACACAAGCTCACAGACGTAATAAATTTTTGCGGAAATCTTACTCTATACACTGGGAACAAAAGGATTTTGCGTATTATGAAACCAGACTGACTTATGAACGAGAAATTTTTCTTTGAAATATTTCATGGTTCGTTGAAAGGGGTCGTCACGTATATCTCTATTTGCTCATTCTTGAAAGGCTTTGTGTGGTAATTCTTGGCCCCTCATGTCCTTGTATAACCCCAATTTTTAATTTTGAAGTCGTCATCGCACACAAAAAACGAATCCCATAAAGCCTACAAAAATATTTGACATAAATTAAAATAATAGCCTTCTGCGAAAAATACAAACTTTAACCGCAGAAAAACTCAAAGCAATAGGTTTGCTGTAGAAATAAGAAAGGCATTTGTTTCACAAGAAAAAGAAAAGAAATACTAACAAAACAACAACATAATATCAAAAGATCCATATTTACACTTTGTGTCCAATAATGTGAGGTTGGCCTAGTTTCAACATCAACCTGGAATCAAATCATGGAGTCTTACAGACATGTAAAAGCGTCGACAGCTTAATCGACAAAAATCTTGCCGACTTGCCGTTGTTGACTTCCCACTGTTGTTCTGAAATTTAAGGCATTGATATTACTATGAATGTAGAGATTAAATTATATAAAATTTCTAAAATTATTTGATTTGTTTTTGATTTTGTGGACTTCCGAGAAATGTTGTAATATTCTTGAAATGATATCAAATACACGAAAACAAGAAAATTTGCAAAAAAAATGATGATAGACTAACTATGCAATGATTAACAAAACTATACCATGAGAAAAAAGGAAATGATAAAACTATTAGGTTATAGCACATGGACGTAGCCAGGTGGCCTATGATATTTTACACTATGATATTTTCGCAATTACGTTGTATTATTCAAAATAATAAAATTTTGGTAGCGAAAATAACCGAATTGGTTACGCGATAGATTAAGTCATAAACAGTCAAATAATATAAGAATCAGGATACATTCTGCGTGAACTAAAAAATTATAGTTATAAGGAATTATAAATGGTAATACTTTGAAACCTAAAAACAGTGAGAAGTTTAAACGTGTAATAAAACGACATGGTACCAGAAAACGTGACATTGTAATACTCGTTTCTACTTGCGAGTGTGGGGGCAGGCATGACTCAGAGGGTTCCATTATCTTTGAACCCACATACATAAAAAGAGTCTACCATGCATGCATGAACTAATTTACACTAGAAAAAACTAACAAATCTCGATACATTACGAAAACATATTACAACGCTGAATCATCGTGGTGATAGTCAGATAGTGATTCGAAAGTCATTTCTGGTCCACTGATGTTGAAAATCGTTCGCAATGCATGAATAGTTTCCAAAGTTCTCGACCACCTATAATTTATTTATGGTTTACCCTCAATAAGCATTATCAAATTCTCTTTATCACGCAATTTAATAAATAAAGCGAACGAATCGAATGTCATAAGGTCTGTTTGGCTTGCGCTTTCGGGTGACTTGCAACGATATAGACCCGATAGAAAGTTTTTTCCTGGACTTTTTTTATGCACGAATTTGTTTGAATCAAGGTGGAGAACCCTAACCATAGACTTATATTTTTTTCTTTATAGTCATTAACAGCGATGCCGATGTATTTCACGCTGTTTGTTCAATTGTGCACATAGCGTTGAATTTAAAAAAAAGTCAGTTACTCGTTACCCGCTTGACGACTGTCAAACGCAACATTGATTGTGATTGATTTATAGTCATCCAACATATTATTATTCAAACAGAGCGTACATATGAAAACACAATAATAGTCATAATTTACGTTTGCTTTATCAAAAGTCACTAGGCCTCAGTTATTTACGCCTATAAGGTTTAATTCAATTTTCGACCTACCGTGCTTCTTGCAATGTTTTCGGACGTCTTTCGGGCTGATATTTTCAGATTTGGGTTCAAAGTAAAGCATTTAGACGGGTTGCAATCCCGCTGCAGTCTGAAATTCACAAGTGTATTATCGCACCACAAGAATAAGAACTTTATGGGTCGAATCAGTTGACTGCTATCTCAACATTAAAATTTTTCGGTATTTGAAAATGAATAGTCTGTTCAAACACTCTTGAAGTGGAGCACTTAAGACCTTTCCGCAGTTAAGCAATGTCCGAATAAAAGGCATGTCGGTCATTTGTAGTCTCTACTCAACTCGTCTGTGAAATAGCTTTGTTTAATATATTATTGGAACAAGGATAATAATCATAATAAAGTGTTGAACAATCAATATGTACACCATACCTGTCATAACTTGAGAGTTGTCACGTTTTTTTTTTTAATTTGCTAAGGGAAAACAGCTCTTTCGGCTGGTAGAGGCATCATTCATTGCATTCGAAGCTTAATAATTCATTTTAACAAGCGTTTCAATTGCTTATCAACGCTGTATTCTTACACTCACAGATTTGCATTCCACATGGCCGAAAAGTACATTGGATGGCATTGCCCAGGTTGGGAAATTGGTGAGTGCTTGGATGGTACCTGCCAAGGAAGTTATATGGGATGTTGTTGGGACTGGCTGGAAGCTACATGCTACCCATGTTGGGCACCTTGTGCGCCAGATTCGAGAACAGCAGAAGGTAATTTTTACCCCTGTTTTAACTTATTGTTAAATAGAAATATTGTCTTTTTTGAAATAATATATTCCAATCTTATTTCTAGAATCAAAATACAGCGAAATACATTCCCGAAATAACACTTATCACGTGGTTAGAGATCCGATAACGAAAGGTGCGACTGCATATGCCAATCAAGATGTCGGGGAGTTGTCAGTATATATCCGACAAGGCAACCAGGAATACATGATTTGGAAACTTCTACAACAAGACTTTGGAAATGGCTGGCATCTTGGAAGATCTTTTATTAACAGAATACCTGGGGATTTTGAAGTTCTCTTCTATGCTACAAGGTTGATGTCTTGAATTTTAGATAACAGAGATTGAGGCATTATTTGTTGCAATCGGCTGTCGTAAAGATGTCTGTGTTATACTTTTTTAGGTATCATATCCTATGCCAAACTTACAAAGTTGAAAATATTAGGAACATTGGACGTTTTACAAAATCCACTGAATTTTAGAAACTTGAGATTTTCATCCAACTCTATGCTGTTTAATTCTCTTGTTGCTTTTTTAAATTATTGTTTTCATTATTCATCTGCTAAAATTCTTTCCGCACTACAACCACCTTCCTTAATTTTTCTTTCTTTTCCCATTACGAATTTCAAGGGAAAAACCTTATAATAGATCACACGTTTTTGATGTTATTTCTCCACACATATTCCTTCGTCTTAGCCAGAATCCCTGAATTTTCCATGAGGAACACGATAACGAAATGACTGTGTTCTTATGAGCAGTTTCTTAAATTAATAAAAAAGGATCAAGCTTTTGTCGTTTATGGTAGCGAATTTTATTGACTGTTAAAAGGTATAACTACCGTATTTGCCATAAATGACTGACTGACAATCTCATGGCAGGGCAAACGATGTTCAAGGCAGTATTGCTATTGATGATGTCGTTTTCTTGAACTGTGATCTTCCAGACTCATCAGCAACAACTTGCAGCTCTGGGGAATCGAAATGTGATAGAGGAGGATGTGTCAGCAATGATATGGTAAATCGTGATTATTGTAAATGTATTGTTGTATGATTGAGTTTTTACGTCGGTTTTTACTGGTCTTCTTACTGACACGGCACCAAAAATTGAAGCAAGACTAAATTAAGAACCAAAATACGATTTGCCCTGTAACATCAGGTATAAAATATCTGAATGTCTCTTGTACTGACTGATTTTACCAATTGTTCAAGTATTGCGTTCGCGAATATTTATCAACATTCCTTACTCCAGTAACTTTGTTATACATTTGTGTACCTTTTAGAAAGTTAATCAGTGTTTGTTTCCCTTTTTTACATTTGACTTTTTAATCCTTTTGTTCAGCGAATAGCGAATTTACATGAATCGTTTGTACAAAAGTGTAACAATTTTGGATTTTGTTATTTGACTCATGTGCTGTCATTGCACCTGAACGATATTTACATAAAAAGTATGGTGGTGGACGGACTTGTTATATTATATAAAATATTTTACACAAATTACATTTTTTAAATATTTTTTTTCAATACTTCTTACAGAAATGTGATTTTACTGACGACTGCGGCGACTTGACTGACGAACAACAATGTGGTGGTTACACGCGATGTGATTTTGAACAAAATCTTTGCCTGTTTACAGAAGAAAAGGTTTGTTATTATTTTTGTTATGCCATCTTCCATTTGTTTAAATAAAAAACGGAAATCGTCGTGTGTTTTTTAGTTGTTCATGCCATTGGTTTCACTTATGTCGTCATCCAAATACGCATAGGCTGTAAAATTTTATGTAAACCAACGTCCTGGCAATATAAACATACTGCGAATATCTGCTTTATAATTGATATATTGAATACCATATTGTCTGTGCCCAAATTTAGCCTGAAAATTTAGAGTAAACCCAATATTAGATTGCGTGATCGGTGGTATCATAAAATATCATAAATGTTGATAACACGGATATTCAACGCTGTTTAACGTGAAATTGATTTTAAGATGGAAATGCAGAACATACCACCACTTCTTAAATTATTGTTTATCGATCAAGGTGACGACGTCACCAAATGTTTTGAAGAAAACATTTTTTACTAAATCATATTACACCTGGTTTGAAACTGACTCGTGTACTGCTTGTATATTATGTCATAATATATAAAATCAATTTGTATATCATATAATTTGCCACCTTTATTAAAACGTCAACCGATAGCTAACACGATCGACGCAAGAATTAACGATTAATATAATCACAGGTTACCGACGACATTGATTGGTACAGAAGACAGGCTCACGAATCAAACGATTTGAATCCTGGTGAAACAAGCCCCAATAGAGATCACACAACTAATACAGATGCCGGATTTTATATGACTGTTGATGCAAAAAGACCAAATAGAGCAGGTATGATATTTTCGCAAATGAATTTTAATAACACTCACCTAAATATGGCTTATATTGTGATAATGTGATTGATATGCACTCAACACTGCACGACGAAAACGTTATTAAAATTTAGTTATTTAAATTTAGGATTTGCGCAATTTTCAATGTTGGAACTATATATATATATATATATATATATGTTGTATTCCGGATATGAAGTTGTTGAAATTGAATATATTTTCATCTATAACATTTTACTCTCAAAAATATTTTTAGTTTTTTTATCGAAATTATTTTTGGAGTTTACATTTACAAATATCGAATATTTCCTCTGGCAAAACTATATACAGCAAATTTACGTCAACACATGTCTGTGTTTACCATCTTTTTAATTCAGAGTTTTTTTTTTAATTCACAATCCCCGTATTTCGTGATTTGTGGATTTGGTACTACAGATGTGTTTTGATTTCAAACAATAGACCCTAAAGTAGTTTATTCATGTGCAAAAGTATATCGCTCCATTTCTCGTAATAAGCATGCCGACGACGGAAAAGCCAACCACCGTGAATAATCAATTTGTTTTTTGGGATTTTTTTCACACACGAACTTGCAGTATATAATATCTGATTTACGACCAATAAAATGAACCAATGAAAATAGACAGTTAGGAATTCAGGTTGCAATAACTCGTTTTTTTTTCGTGAAAGAAATACGAGCATAAATGTTGCAAAATATGATGTATAGTAATGTCTTTATAGACTTTGATGAAACATTTGTTTATTCCTGTAATACATTAAATTTACTGTATTTCGCAGTTTTACTTTTTGAAATAATCATTTTTTAAAACATTATCTCCTCTAAATTCATCATCATCTTTCAAACAATAATAGTTTAAAAATAATAGGTAAAATTGCACAAATTTTGTCATCGGTTTTATGCTCGTTAGCTACGAATTTTAATAACACTCACCTAAATATGGCTTATAATGTGATAATGTGATTGATATGCACTCGACACTGCACGATGAAAACATTATTAAAATTTAGTTATTTAAATTTGGGATTTGCGCAATTTTCAATGTTGGAACTTATATATGTTGTATTCCAGATATGAAGTTGTTGAAATTGAATATATTTTCATCTATAACATTTTACTCTCAAAAATATATGTTGATTTTCTTATCAGAATTATTTTTGGAGTTTACATTTACGAATATCGAATATTTCTTCTGGCAAAACCATATACAGCAAATTTAGCCAACACATGTCGGTGTTTACCATCTTTTTAATTCAGAGTTTTTTTTAATTCACAATCCCCGTATTCCGTGACTGATGGTTTTGGTACTGCAGATGTGTTTTGATTTCAAACAATGGACCCTAAAGTAGTCTATTCATGTGCAAAAGTATATCGCTCCATTTCTCGTAATAGGCATGCCGACGACTGAAAAGCCAACCACAGTGAATAATCAATCTGTTTTTGGGATTTTTTTCACACACGAACTTGCAGTATATAATATTTGATTTAAGACCAATAAAATGAACCAATGAAAATGGACAGTTAAAAATTCAGGTTGCAATAACTCGTTTTTTTCGTGAATAAAATACGTGCATAAATGTTGCAAAATATATTGTATAGTAATGTCTTTATAGACTTTGAGAAACATTTGTTTATTTCTGTAATACATTAAATTTACTGTATTTCGCAGTTTTACTTTTTGAAATAACTATTTTTTAAAACATTATCTCCTCTAAATTCATCATCATCTTTCCAACAGTTATCGTTTAAAAATAATAGTTAAAATTGCATAAAATTTTGTCATCGGTTTTATGCTCGTTAGCTATTATCAATTTCTGCTTATATTCATTGAAAAAAAAATGGATCTCTCACGATGTTATTGTTTGTGAAGTTGAAAGACGTATAGAATTTTTAGCGCATTTCGCATTTTATCTGAGGTAATCGTTACATTTTTGATTATACGACGAGAAAATACTACTTAATTCTTTTGATTTTTATACTGTGTTACTCAGACCATAATATTTACGCTCGTTGCACAAATATGTACAACGAGTGTTGCAAAATCATTTCTGACTACTCCTACTTAAAAACGAATAGCAACACGCCCGCCTGCCCGCCTTCAGCGGTAATCAATATAACTGCTGACATAAGGATACTGCATTACAAAACGCGATAAACTAGGCATCCATCTGTTAATTTGATTTGCCAATTAACCACTCCTTGAAAATGCATATACCACGTCTTTTTATTTGTTCAGCCGAGCAAGAATTAGTGAAAGTTTTTTTTTTTCTAATTTTTTTTTTCAAATTTTAGTTTACCACAGTGTGAAAGATTTATATCGTGAATTTTAACTTTCATTCGATTGCAAATAAGTCAAGCATACTTATATTCCAATGGGCTTTTATGGTAACTGAACTGCGTTGAAGGGTATAGAGATGCACACATAATAATAGTTAAATAGGGCCGAACGTGTCATTAATTTCGGACAGCATCCGTAAATCCATCAAATGACAATACACTTAACCGTTAAATGACATTCTTATATGTACATAGGCATAGACGATCATAATGTAAAAATCCTGAATATGCTTTATAAATTCAAGTATTCAAATAAAGACAAAATGGAGCGATGCTATGTATTTGCAGACGACTAATAAAAATATTTCTGTTTCAGGGGATCGTGCTATACTGTATGGCCCTGTCCTCGAGCCCACTACTGGCCGTAGTCGATGTGGATTTATCTTTTATCTTCATATGACTGAACAAACGAGAGGTGGATTTAAAATATCGTACAGAACAGCAGTGGGAGGTCCACATACAACTGTATTTGAGCGTTTGGCAGCAACTTCTCCAACATTTGACAGGTTTTTTCATTTTTATTTTGAGCAAAAAATTTGAGAGTTACTCAGAGAGGACGGGTAACTAAAGTAAATTGATTACCTCCATCATACTTGGTCGTTATTAAATATACGAAATCGAAACTTTAAACGGTGTGTACCCACGCGTCTGCTTAAACTATGAGTATTACAGTAAATTTAATATTACATCCAAGGTCTATCCACATATCCAACTTGATCATACCTGGTCGTTCTCAATATACGAAATCGAAACTATAAACGGTGTGTACCAGTTCGTCTGCCTGAACTATGATTATAAAATTAAATTTAATATTATATCCAAGGTCTATCCACATATTTATTCATTATATCACAATGGCGTTACAAAAATATTTGGAGTATATTCAACAGTAAACCCTAATTGTGTGGTGACCCAAAATTTCGCTCATTTTGGGTATCTTATTTCAACGAATTCTTGGAGTCATATTATGTAGTGAATCGAAAGTTAATTTTCTACAATTTTTGGATTATTTCATAGTACTTAAATACGATATTATATTGTTTATTGCCTTGAGCACTATTTTAATTCTGATATGCTTATTTCAAAACAAGAGTAACAAGTTTAGGTCAGGAATAGTTCAAAACATGTCATTCGTTCACTTTAAACTTGCTACACCAAAATCTAAAAATCGATACTCAATTTAATACGCCTTGTGGTTTATAAGCCTACGGCTGCGTTGTTACACGAAAGTCGATTTTAAAACCTGTTACCGAAGCCACAATCTGCTTCTTTACCTCTTTGTAAAAGATTTCTAGTGACGCGTTTTCTTACTATCACTCCGAAAATAAATATATGTACAAGTAAGTATTGGTGTGTGAAGATTTTACAATTTGATGAAAATGGTCATGTTGGATTTTTTCTCTTGTTGTACTATATGCCCGGCAGTTTAGCCAGAGTTGTCGAAATTTGCTTTGAAAATTTATGCATTTCTAGAACACAAATGCCCCGTACATAAACTCTGTCCAGATTCTACAGCAGGGGTGTACAACAGACGGCCAGCGGGCCACAACCCATGCCGCCAAGACATTTTGTGCGCCCTTTGCCAACGCTCAGTTTTCTATTATCAAGCATAAAGTCTTAATCCGGACAGTTTACATAAAAAGACGCTCACATGTTGCACACCCCTGCTCTAGGGTCTTATATCCAACAATGATAAAAACCGGGCCGGTTTATTTGTAATGCTTATGTATACTCGAATAGTAAATATTCATTGCAATGACATAGAAATATTACATACTAATACCATAACGCATGACTTTCTGTTATATAAATTTGAAAGAAGAAAAATTGATTGCAAATATCCAATTCAAATACCAATGCGGCAGGAATCTTACCAGAATACTTACGGTAGATTTAAATCTCTGATTTAATTTATATATTCCGCAAATCTAATTTTATTTTCAATATGACATATTTCGTAAAAGCAAGCTAAATGTTACTCGATATACTTCGTGGTTGGAAATACGCGCCTCTGATTGTTACACGATATCATGACTTGTTTCATAAACCACACGACAAATTTTTCATGTCATGAATTTATCAAGTTTTGTCGATATACCATGTAAGCTGCTGTAAAAAAGGGTTTTGTAATGTATTTTTCCTTGTGGGCATTATTCTCGAATTTTGAAGAGTTTATATGTGATGGGATTTATTTATTGTTAAGCCTTATATTACCGAAACAACCTTTTCCTTGGGGACGTCTTCGTGTCCGGCTGGAACGAGATTCATTCAAGCATCCTATCGACATTTTGCGGGTCGTAAATTTTTAAGTTCATGTCCAATTCATTTATTAAAAAATTGGCTCGCTTCTACTTCATTGATACAGCTGACCACACATTATACTATGGCGTTATCTGATCTTTTAGCAAGTTAATCTTGTGTATTCTTGCTCAATTAATGAAAAAATCTAAAATGTAGTCAAGGATTGTGTTTGATCAAAGAAAACCATTCCCATTAAATAGAGTATCTATGCATGCGGTATTTTCATTTTTATATACTATGGCGATTTTTGTGATATTTTACACTTTTTTATTGGCCGCGTATGTCTTTGATTCGGTGTCAATATGTCCTGTATGTAATTTCAACGCATTCACTTCCTTACGTCAGATAACGCCAACGGGGATTTCTACATCATAATTTATTCAGGCACACGCCCAAGACGCCCAAGTGAAATATTCTGATAATTTTTATCAACTTCAGGAATAATTCAGATCGATTTCATTAGAAATGAGATCAATTCTAGCCAAAAAGACGAAGCTATTCGAGCAAAATGGGTGATTTAATGAACACACTCCCGCAACGTTTTTTCAATACTGCAGGGAAGTGGGGGTCTAGCGAGGGTTGGCGGTGATTTTCTACAAAATATCCTCAAATTGGATGATCAGCAACAACAATGGCAAATTTTTATTTATGATATTGTAATATAATATACCAATATACTGGTCATACAACGTTTTATTTCAAATCGTGTTGAGGTTCATACAGAAAATATTTGATATTCCACTGGATACAATTTTTTTGTTGTTTACTGAATTGAACAAAATTGAGTCTATATTATTTCATGGCTACCAGTTCCGTTTAGTATAGAGCTATAAAATGGTCCGAATTTTAACCATATTCTGAGTCAGTCTTGTGTTTGAAATAAGCAATAAAAAAATGTTCTAAACATAATTTCAAGTCATTTAATTAATGTTGTGGAATGAATTGTTCAACAAAAATATTAAAGAGTAGTTTTAGCTTTTGAACCTGCTTTATGGCCTCTAACAAATACCTTTCGGATTGTATATACTGGGTTCTGGAAATAATGTTGGTGAACCATTTTGACAACATGTTCAATTTGTTGAATAATTTAATAAAGCTGAGTTTCAAAATTTTATCTCAAATACAACATATGTGCATCGACGATTTATGGGCCAATGACCACACATATTTTTGCAATGATATAATAATGTAATATTATAAAAACATTTCAGGCCACAACATTATAAGAACTAACAACGAGTCTAGACGGAATGTCACTTGTGGTCGACCGACCTAGCTAGGCAACTTGAAATGTTGTAATATTACGAAATATGCCTCGTGACGTAACCCCCTATAATCTCTTATCAATTTAATGTGACCAGGGTTGAAACACTAGAAAAGTATTATAGATTTATTTTTGTGAATACCAAATCTTTAATTTTTGGAAAAATCTAATTCGAAATTTTCAAAAACCTAAAATTCATTCCATTTTGTGCAATTGGCTATTGATGCCAATGAAGAATGATTTTCATATTCTCAAACTTGGAATTAACAAACTGAACTGTGAGGTTCCAACTCAACCTCCACATGTTTGACTAAGCTTGATTTTGAAATTTTGGGTCTGGCGTGAATGTTGTTGTACATGTTTGAAATATTCATACTGCCTGTTTTTGTTACATAAGATTTTCAGAAAATCATACTCATATCTCCACACTAAGCATGGTATCTCTTTGTATCACAGAAAATGCAATTACCATCCACCATCAACAACTTAATAATGAAATCTCTTTAGTTTAATAGTGATATTGCCACAAGTAGAGGAAGCCGATAAGTAGCGGTTTTCATCAGATTCAACCGCCTAAGAATGATTGAAATTTTAATTTTGTGATGATGAAGTGAGCTGTAATTAACATACGCAAGCTGTATTTTAAGAACGCTATAACAAATTGACGTCAGAAGCACTAGTATATTACAGTATTTTAGTTTTAGTATAAATTGGATTTTACTTAGTAAATCACTCTTCGTGAACCGGTTTAATTAGCGAAATTACTACTTACTACTAGTAATATCACGGTTATTTTTAAAATTAAGTTTCCACGTATTGTTGTAATTAGACACTAAAATAACTTCTTATTATATATTCTTTATCTTGGTAATGTAAGATATTTAGTTAGGAAATTGTATAATGTAAAGTCAAAATTCGACCAAATATTTATGGTCCTTGAAGTGCTATGTATGCTAATTATAAGTGTTGTATATAGTAATTTTCATAACTCAAGAAAGAAGATTTTGTTACGTTGTTACGCTGTATTCTCGAAGAAGGCTTTTAGAATTAATAAATATACAAGTACAATTAGATTATTCGATTTATTATTTTTTAATATCTTATTCCAGTCATCCTTGCGTTTCGATTTATTATCATTAATATTGTCATGCATTACTATATTATGACTTTCGCGCGAAACATGCTTGAGCTTTAATTTTATTTTATTTTTGGTGCCGTTATTTCTAATATAATAATCATTCACTGATTATATAGGGGCATTTATCGTAAAGTTTTGTACGAAACGAAACTCTTGTTAGCGAAGGTCTACAACAGGGGTCGGCAACCTTTAGTCGCTCGCGGGCCTCGGACATTGGTGGGCCGCACATATTTTTAGAAAGTTGAAAAACCGAACGGATGGTACTTTTTATAATAAAAATCAAGCAGTGATACATCTCTCAAATAGAATATAGATTTATTTCCTTATTGCATCTCATAAATTTCCATTTGAATATTTTCAGCGCCATTGAACCCTTTGCACTTAGCATCAACTATTCTGCGTTTTGTTGCCATTTGCTTAATTATAATTAAATTATATGCTCATTGAATGAGTAATTGTGAAATATATAATTGTTAGGTTATAATATAATTTAGTCTAAAGAATATATTCGTCAAAACGGATGTTTTGTTACTATAATTTAGTGGAGCGTCGCGGGCCGGATTATAATGCCGTAGGTTGCCGTAGGTTGGCCGTAGGTTGCCGACTCCTGGTCTACAATATAATCTTTGATCTCCTTTTTTTTATATAGCCTGTACAAATATTCCATATCGCACGTATTGTTAGTGGAGACAGACCCTCAAATGATCCGAAATCAAAATTTTTTGTTTTGGAGGCGCCAAAAGAAAATATTTTTTGTCAAATATGTTTTTTAGTTGATTAAAGTTATTGCATGAATATTGTAATTCAATCAAGAATGCTGCCTTTAAAGTCGCCACCTCCGACTATCGAATGTTTTTTTATTTCCGACGCAGTCTTAATTCATGTCACGTTTTATTTCCTACCGTATTTCCGTGTTTGGCAAAGCATGTGAAGCAGTTTCCCAAACAAATATTTGATGATAAGCCAGAAATCAACACTAACCCAATGTCGCACGAAATATCGAAAGAAGACAAACATCCCACGCTGATATTATCATGGACCATATTCATGTAAATCAAGTTCAGATCAGGAGATGACTCGATTAGTTACCCAAAGGCAGTCCGTTCATTTATTGTAGACATTGGGCCCAAAATTATAATAAAAATAATAATAAAATAACTGGCATTTCGTTGTGCTTCATTATGCTTCGTTCAAGTGTTGATCTGTAAAGGACCAAATCGTGACACAGGTTGAAATAGAAAATTCGTTTAACAACAAATATAATTTTAAAATGTCAGATGTTAAAGTTACTGATTCATTTTTAGGCTTTTTATTTGAATTTCTTATTATCGAAGATATTTGATGAATGTTGTCCAAATTCCGCTTGCTGAAATTTCTTGTTGTTGTTTATATCAAGAGATATCGCTTAGATACACCAAATTCATATCGCACATTGGTAATAAGGATAAATTAAAAAATGCATTTTCCGTGGAATCTAACTTGAACGTTTTTCGTTTGTATTAAAATTTTTTGTGTTATTCAATTCTGGATGGAACAACCCACCTTATGTCCAACCACCCACCTCATATATAGTGACATGGAAATATATCCGTTTAAACACGTGATGAAAAGATTGATGGTCTAAAACTCTAAAGGCGATTCTTTGAGGCATTAGGTTATGGCCAGTAGCCAGTAGTAATAGAATGGTTGTTAGGAAAAAAAATTCGCTGTTCGTTTGACAATTTGTTGGTCCGAACATAAGAATTACAATTATCATCGTACATGAAACGTTTTATTTTTTACAAAATAGATGGCAGCTTTGAAAATTTTAGTTTTTCGTGCTAGATCCTGTTTTCTACCAGTCTCTTTGGAAAGGTACAATAAATTGATTTCATCTCAATGCTTTTCAGCATTAAATGGAAGAATTGTTTCGTAGTAAATTGTTTGAATATGACTATATTATGATAGGCATCTATCAAATATTTTTGCTTCCAAGAAAATCCTTCGGAGCACGTTTTGCTACGGCTTACAAAACAAAAATCAAGACGATTAAAATCTTAACTATGTGAAAGCCATTGACAGAAGATCCCGCTGTACAACAAGCTTTTTTTCAAGCGTGTAATGTCAGAGCAGCATTTATCTCGAGGCTATATTATATATTACCAATTTTATAAAACTGTTGTTCCCATTAGAATGAACAATAATTTTTACTCAAGTTTTCTTTTGTACATGTTTAATAAATTAAAAATCACAGAGCATGAAAGCAAGAAACAAGAAAAAATATAATCATCATTATTTATAAACGATATTTCAAAATTTCCAAAAGTGAAATTTTATCCAAGACCATTCTGGTTTTTGAAGTAAAATAGTCAGTCATATTTGACTCTGATAGAAAGCTGCGATTGGTTGTATTTTGTTAAATTGATATTAAAAAGAATGCTAACTAATGAAAACCGGCTAAATAATATTTGTATCAAGTAGGATACTTTTGTGGTTAGTGTAACTGCCAAGTACGTAAAATGCACGATTACTTTTTGAACCATATATATGGATAATCGCGATTTGACTGTTCTTCGTGTCAAAATCGAATTCAATTTGACAAAACGAAAAAAAAAACACTTCGGCAAAATTGATTTCGGAAGAAAAATTTGGCACACAAACTTTAGACGAATTTCACAATAAGGCTATTCTCTCGCACCTCTCAAATTCCGCAGCAGAACAGTTCATGGTGCTAGATGTTTTTGTAGATTTCATAGTAGTTTTATACTTATTATATCATTTTAAAGACGAGTTGGCAATCCCCCCGTAACAGGTATATTTTCACCTGTAATATATGAAGCATCTTCTGATAAAAGAAATGAAACAACAGATGCGCATTCTCGCAAATCCCCAAAGCGTTTCTGCGCAATTCTACTCAACATTAGTTTTCTCAGAAACGGATTTTCCGTTATGCTACTTCCAAACTTCGTTGGGAAAATTCCGGCGGCTACGCTGTTTACCCTGATGTTATCGTGGCATAATTCATATGACAATGCTTTGGTCAAACCCAATACAGCAGTCTTACTGACTGCATATATACCGGGCCAACCTTCTGGTATAAGTCCACACACTGACGACATGAAGACAATAGCCCCACCCCGTTCTTTGTTCATATGTGGAGCCACTTCTTTCGTCATCAAAAATCCAGCTTTTACGTTAACATTCATAATTTTATCAAAAGCTTCTTCCGTCGTTTCAAGAATTTTCTTGTCTTCACATGGATTTACGGCAACATTATTTACCAGATAGTCGATCCTACCGTGTCGTTCTACAGTCGACTTCACGAGCGCTTTACGCTGCTCTGCGTCGGAAACATGGCAGACCATACCCGAACAGTTGTCAAGGCCTTCATCATGCATTTGCTTCAATGCGGCGTCCACATTTTTCTGTTTCCTACTGCTGATTACGACAAAAGCTCCATCTTTGCAAAGTCGTTTTGCTGCTTCGAATCCGAGGCCTTGAGTTGAACCGGTTATAATAGCAATTTTCCCCTCATGTTTCCCTGGCGTGTGATAATTCTCTGCCATTGCAAAATGCTCTGATCCCCGCCAACACCGAACTAGCAAGCAACAATTTGGAATGACACAAGGTTATGGTATCCGTCTTTTTAAAACCGTCGGATTTTTTTGGATTTATGAACACGTACGTTTTTTTCCTCAGGCTAGAATCGTCTACTGAAATCATGCATGAAATTCATTGAACTCAGTTTTTAAAAAAACAACGAAACGGATCTTCAATTTATTCTCGTCTGGGCACGGGAAATGGATAACTCGTGCGTAACGTGCAAAATCGTCCGTGATCCATATATAATAGGCTTCCAATGAATTTTCATCATTGCTACATCATCGTAATTATTTTACGCAAGTGGCAACGCATGTTTCGGGGATTTTTCTGTATGTTAAGAAAAATATTAATTGTTACGTATAGGATTTGTTTTTGCTAAATAAATTTCTTCGTCTTACTTTAATAGACAATACGTAGGAAAAAGTTGGGTTCCGCGTTACGTTTACTTCAGGTTAGTCTTGTGAAAATGCGTTTCACATAACATATATGTATATGTATGTCAAGTATCAAACAAAGGATGTATCAAAACGGGCAAGGATAAAATTGCAAGTTGAATAAAGCCGTCTTTTCGTGTGGAATTTTTCTTTGTATGGTGCTAACCCTGACAAATAATCGAGAAATATTTTCCATAGTTTGTCATAGTCGATCAGTCACTGGAACATTACAGAACAAAATTTTGAGTCACTTTGTCAGAATTTACCGATCAGATAAACGATGACCTTAGTTTCGTGATGGATTTCTGATATTTCCTTATAACAAAGCGCTTATACTTCGGTATTGACACCATTGACATTTCGACGCTTTCCGATTGCTCTGTTTATTGTCCGATGTTGCGACATCATCGATATTCCCTGACGCCTTGCTGTTCTTCTGAACATTAAAAGTTCTGAGACGTGACGTACAATAATGACCGTCATACGGTCATTTGTTTTATTTCGCGTGAATAATATTCCTCAGCCTGGGAATCTGTTTTCCCATTCAAACAAATCTTCTCAATTACTAAGATCGTCTTTGTGGCTATTTAAAAAATTCCCGTGTATTTGAATAATAATTCAGACAATAACGTATCCGTTTCTATATTTAACAAATGATTAAGAGTTTCGAAACATAATATTTTTAATTACAGGTTCTACGTAAATTTCGACAATCTGATTACCGAACGTTGGCAAATAGTCATCGAGGCTGTAGTCGGAACTGGAACTTCAGGCGACGTTACCATTGATGATTTGGTCTTCCAGGACGGAATACAAGTTGCCGATGGCGCAGAACTCCCCATCGGCTCTACGCCCGCACCTACACCCAGTCCATGTCCTGGCGGGCAGTTTGCATGTGACGACTCGACCTGTATACTTGCTGAATACGAGTAAGTAAGAAACAGTAGCGTCAGAATGTGCAACTTTATCTTCGTACAACTGATTACCTTTTTCGTCATACGCTGTTTCAAATACACTTTGCATTCCGGCGAGATAGTTTACATGCACGAGTAATATTTCGGTGCAAATTACGTTGTCGCGTGGTGAATATACAATTCTCAAAATAAATGGCAAAAACTCATTTTACAGGTGCGACTTTCTCGACCAATGTCCCGATTCCTCTGACGAAGCAAATTGTGGAACATGTGATTTTGAACAAAACGAATGTGGATGGTATGATGTCAGTGAGGGTCATTATAAATGGGCAAGAGAAGATCCATCTGTTGTTACCGATCCAAATGGTGCTCCAACAGACGCTGATGGCAATGCTAATGGAATGTAAGGCGATTATTTGCTTATTGCTCCATACATATGATACGGAATGACTATGAATTCAATGGATACGATTTCGTTCTCTAAAGCATTAAGTTAATATTAACCCGCAAATTGGTTATTTATAGATTGCTTCTAATAATTAGCAAGAATCTAAGCTATTTGTAAATCTATCAATAAACCTGTGGAATTCAGAGTTTTTCTATATTTGTGTGCAAACCACTTCTTTAATATGTCAATGGCGTTACTTGTCATCGAATATACTGAATACCTGCCATTTTTGATAGCTTTTTCACTATGTTTTGTTGTACATATATCTGTGCTGTGAGAATTTGGTTGTCTCCATTTTGATATTGTATTAACATTATCGATATATTTAAAAGTAAAATTATATACTGAAATCTACTTATTCTAATGCAGGTTTATGCACGTCGATTCGGCGACTGGGACGTTATTAGCTATGGCACACATGTTTTCACCAAGATATTCTGAATCTTCAATAAGCTGTCAAATTAGTTTTTCATATTACATGGGAGGGTCTGGTCCAGGAGGAGTTCTAATACTTGGAGTAAGTGATTTTGAACGAATTAAACGTGAATTTGTGCTTGATACATGGCTTGATTAGGTGAATGAACTGATACAAATATCATATCCTGATTGGTTCAACATATAACCCATGCCCGCCACTGAATGAAGCATGTCTTAAAACAACTGGGTTGAATTTGTGGAGCAGACATTATTTCAGGCCGTTGATAGAGTGTTTATTAGAAAATATTTGTGTATCGTATGATTTCAATTAGTCACTGGCTTTATTTAAGAACACTGTGCAATAAATTTTGTTCATTTGCTTCGTACAATCATATTTATTTATTTCTTAAGGTGGGAGATTATGATTCTATCATTGGTAGAGGCGGTGAAATCATTTTTGAACAAAACGGAGGAAACGGAAAAAGATGGAACGATGTTCGTCTTACTATAGGTATAGCTTCACGCCCTTATACGTCTTACATTACTATAAGTTTGTGAAAAATGAAAAAGCACGACGAAAAGTCGGAATATTTTAGTTTTATTAACAAGTTTTCGAATATAATGACAATCGCTTACGACTTTCACGTATGTTCATCCCTGTATTAGTTATTGAAAAGCCCAGAATTGATCTTCTGGGCGACAGAAGGACATGTTAGGATCTAGAACTAATATAGCTTAATACTAACACATTACTATAGGTATTATAACTTTAAATCGTCTCGATTATTGTTCAACTTGAATAATGTTTTATGGTATCGATCAATTTTTTCGGAAACTTCACAAATATTGAATTAGATACAGTTTTTCTATACGATATTAAACGCTACCTCAGCATGGTGAGGTCTCTGGGAGGGATTCCTAAAATTAGTTTAAACCCAGTATTATTAATAATCTGTTTTATGAAACCTCCAAAATTTATACCAGCAAAGCAACTGTTCCCTAACGCGATTTTTTACGAGAGGCATTGTATCAGGTATAATTAGGTAAACAACGAAAATTCTTAATTTTAATGATGATACCGGCCTTCTCAATTTGATTTATTTAGGCAACAGACCTGATGGTTGGCGTCTCCGATTTACTGGATCACCATGCATCAGAATAAATCAATGTAATGACATATCAATCGACAATATAGTGCTAGAGTACTGTAACATCGGTGACAGCATTCCCGATGCTGACCAGGTATATTAAAATGTTCATTAATACTACCTTGTGCAAAATTTGGCTAAAATGGCTTTTTTACTATCTGTTTAAAATGTATAATTGAATTTATTTTATTTTTGCACTCGATTCTGAGTACATACACGTACTTACATGCTGATATAGAATACTCTTTACATATTAATCTAAAACATACTCCAAATAATAGTCTTATACAAACATACCTGTATAATGGCTGCAATTATTTTCATCAAGTTATTCTCACTTAAATATACGGACTTATTTTGTTTGTCTTTGGGAAACATTCAAAATTGATTTAAGTTAACAGAAACCATTCTGAATATTATATGTTACTTTTTATACTTTTTATTTCATAAAATAAAAATCATAGACAAGATTGATACAATAATAGCACAAAATGATAGGTATCAAATACACTTTTGTTCATATGAAATTCTTTCAATAAATAATAGCTTAATGTAACCTGTTATTTGCATTTAATAATAAAATAATATAAACATTTGGTAATGACGTCGTGGGAAAGATTTTACTAAAGCCTATTTTTAAGGCTTCCAAGCATGAAAAAGTATATAAATATTGACAATTCGACAAATGCGAATAATTGAAAAAGATAAAATTTTATTTCAAATTATTCACCTGACATTTCGTGGTGAGGTGATCAATGAACCATGAATGGTTTCAAAATGTACACATTTTTATTTCGCTAGGTTGATTGTGATTTTGAAGATGGAACTTGTGGTTGGATTAATTATAAACATGATGATTTTGACTGGGTGAGATGGGATGGTTCAACATCAAGTGTAACTGCAAATACTGGCCCAACATACGATCATACGCAAGGTAAGCTTTTTCAGTCAATGTAGAAAATGAACAAGTTAGTTTTTGATTTCTATCGAATCAAGCAATCGATTTTTGAGAACCGAAAAGAGGCGAATGATGCCTCTACTGTTTACCGTATTTATTTTATACTGTAATTCTTCAGTTCCCATTGCTATTTGCCAGTAAAGTTGCTATATCCTCTTCATTTCATACAAAAGTTCAAATCAGACACTATTTTGGTTTGTGTGATCGAATACGATTGTATTATGTGAGTTGATCCTTTTGTGTATGAATAACCATTAGTGACTCACTATTTTATTTTATTTTATGTCTGGCCACACAAAAAATATTGATTAGATGTATCTGGATTATAATTGATGTATTGATATTCATACTTGATTCAGATACAAATTGTTGTTTCATTATTTCATGACTAATACCATCTTAGAGCTATTTTCAAGTTCAGCGGTTTGTAAAAACGTTGTATCAGATGATATTATATAAAAAAAATTCACTCAGTTTCAACCACTATGATTTTCAAACAAATATATCTGTATACTGTTGTGGGCATCCTGGGAAATGTTAGCAAATCACTAAAAATGTTTATTTAAGCAGCTAAACTGTAATTTGAGGATGAAAATAATGTGTTTAGCTTCCGTCTGAATCAATGTGGTTGGTAATTTGGTTTCATATCTATTTTAGACCCTAATATACCTACAATCCCTCGAGCAATATTTAGCCAACTTAAAATATCAAAACAGGTCAACAAGGCTCTTCAACTCTAAAGTAGGTACTTCGAGTAATATGATATTTAGTGTCTCGCACTCTGCATTTTAATTTCACGGCCGTTGCATGTGGTAGAACCTCAGTGGGAAAGCAATATGATAAAAAGATTTAATAATTGTATGTGTCCTTAGTATCAACTTCGTTATATTACAGCTACCTAGTCGTACGATACCAAATATTTGATCTATTTAGGTCCAAATGGTGGCGGATATTACATGCTGGTGGATGCAAGCTCAAGACTTCAGCCTGACAGGAGAGCTATCTTGACGACTCTGAATCAAACAGCGGTGGCAAGCGGTGCATCTTGCATTACATTTTGGTAATTTTTTTTGTTACATAATAAGAGTCCTCATCTTACTATATTGTAAATATTTGATAATTTTTGGCACAGGTTTGATAATATTCTAAAACTTTTTATTATACAGTACAACTAGATCAGTGGTTCTCAAACGATGTGGCGCGCCCCACATAGACAATATTTTGAAGAGGCATCATGCTAATTAGAATTAAAATATTTGTTAAATTTGATCTTGCCTGCTTTATTTTGGATAGTTACATTTATTCGTTACATTCGCATTCGTTTTATTCATTATTCCATTCGTTTTAAACATGTTTTTGAATAAAACGTACTTTCGCCATACTATCTGTAATTTGTGGCTTATTGTTAGATAGGTATTTTTGATGTGGGGTGCGAGACTAGACAAATTCTAAAAAGTGGGCAGCTTGAAAAAGGTTGAGAACCACTGAACTAATTTAATTTGAAATTATATTTTCACATTAAATATTGACATAATTCAAGAATATTTTCTTCAACTACCAAAGCAATAATTCAGTTTCACATCTATTAAAAACTCCTGATAACATGCACAATGTTATATTGTTGAAAATGTATTGAAATGTAGCCTTTACAATAGTCAGAAAGTTGGTTGAAGTTTAATAAAATCTCAGATATTTTCCATCAATCTGCAGATTTAATTAGCATTTGCTTATAAGTTAGGTTTGGAATTGACCAAAAAAGTGTGTCTACATTTTATGCATCATATTTTTAGCACCAGTATTATTTACTGCCCAGGTATCACATGTTTGGACCAAGTATAGGATCATTGAGATTACTTATAAATAGATATGGAAAAACAGATGGTTGGGCCCTGGTATGGTCAAGAACTGGCACTCAACCGAACAGGTCTACTTTGTATATTTGATGTCGTAATATCTTTGTGTATTTTTCGTGTTATTTTTGGTATTTCTCGAAATAAATGTAGAAAGGAATATGAAGTTCTAACCTTATAAACGTAATTTATGTTTATTAGAGCATGTACTAACAAGAATTTCTCTTCCTACTGACTGAGGAATTGAAGGATCTATAGATGCGCATTATAAAATCTATACCTTTCCTTTTGCAAATTTTAGCTTTTTATGTTTTCCTGTTATTAGTTAGTTGGAATCAGCAAGTAAAAATAAAGTAATAGTTGTCAATAAATATTTCATTTTTTTATACAAAATATATTCAAAATATTTATGACAATGATTCTATTGATGAAATATATTGAATTTATGACATTTATTGTATGTGAAAGGTGAAACTTGAGTATAGTATAGATGTAAGGAAACTATTTGTGGTGTAATCGCACACGGCTCGTAACTGAGGAACACATGCTCCTTCTGTTTCTTTATTTTGTTATTCAATATAAAAAGTTTTACATTAACAGATGGTTATATGGACAATATTACTCATGGTTGGTGACTTATGATTATCAACTTCGATTTGAAGCAATAAGAGGTGGATTTGATGGAGATATTGCAATAGATGATATTAAGATCTTGTCTGGAGATTGTCCTGTACCTGAAGGAGAGTGTGATTTTGAATCAAGCATGTGCACTTGGGTAAATGCTGAGGGAGATTACAATTGGTGGAGGGCCCCAGCTGAAACAGCTGGAAAAGCAAGACCAGCTTTTGATCACACTACACAGTCACCATCTGGACATTATGTCTGCAACAGTGCTTATGACCACACTCCAGGTAAATTTTTAGATGTTGTAAAATATAAAGTAAAAAAAATGCATTTATTTTCTAATTATCAGTTATGTGTATTTCATGCTATTCAGTGTGAGATTGATAGATTTTGTAAAGTTACGTATGACAAGGTTTTCGTCTCTGTTGTCAAACTTTAAACTTTTGACAAAAGCATGAAATTTTGAGTAAGATAAAAAATTAAATAAGATTGGTCGGAAAGATATAGATTGGTATAACTATTTTTTTCAAGATTTTAAAATTTCCTACTGATTAACATGGTATAAAATTTGGCATATTACTTATTTTCAAATATAATATAGGCGAAACAGCACGTTTTGAAACTCGCATCTTTCCACAAAGTGATGCATCTTGTGTAACATTTTGGTATCATATGGATGGTACTGTTGAGGGATCAGATGTTGGTACTTTAAATATTTATATCAACTATGCTGATCAAGTTGGTAAACACAAGATTTGGTCAAAATCAGGAAATCAGGTATACCATTGTTTAATCCACATTTAATAATGATTCAAGCCTTATGGTGATCAACGTAATTCCATAACATCTTACAAGCATAAACATTTGTGTAAAGTATCACCTCACATATAAGCCGACTTTAAAACTAAAAAATGTTGCCAAACTAAGGTGTCAACTTATACACAAATAACTCTCAGGCAAGAAAAATTTGGCTGATTCTGATTGCATTAATTTTCTTTCACAACCATTTGCTGTGATAGGATAGGTGCATACGGCAAGTTGAGATTTGTAGGGTCGGCTTATATTCGAGATCTGCTTTACATGTGAGGATATACGATATGTATGCTGATATTATTGAAAGCTTTTCAGTTTTTAAATTATTACTTTACTTTTTATTCGAAACAGAAGTGAGAAACTGTAACCGCTTGCTTTCAAAAAGGTAACCATTGGCAACCATTGTTCATTAGCTATATATTCATCCGTTACATTTTAGGGATCACGTTGGCTGATGGATCGAGTGACTGTTAACAGTGGATCATCCTCCTTCTCAATTTTGTTTGAAGCCATTATTGGTGAATTCGCTACTCAAGATAAAGCTGAATCAATTGCACTGGATGATATCAAAATAGTGGATGGAGAATGCCCCAGAAGAGGATTTTGTGATTTTGAAAACGATCTATGTGGATGGTATAACTCTTTAGCAGAAGGTACAAAAACGTTCTTTTCTTGAGAATGGCACCAGTGTATTGTTATGGGTTTTAATTTCATACTATAAATTTTTCACTGTGTTTTTCCAATATTCGATAAATGCAAGATAATTTATCATTCAAATCGGAAAGCCAATTACACTCGGGTGGCAGTAAATTTTTGGTTAATTACCTATAAATCCTCCTATTTATAATTTTTTTTTCAGTTAGGTATCTTCATTTTCATTATTTACCATGTACCGTAATATTTTATACATATTCAGTAATAATTTGTTTTGTTGTTTCATGCAAAGTGGGGTAAAAATTCTCACCTTTTATTAGTTAATTATTACATAAATAATTGAAAATGTGTTTAATCTGTAATTAAAATATTTTTGCCAGGTGATGATTTTGATTGGATATGGAACAGTGGGTCAACGCCGAGTTCAAATACAGGACCTTCAACTGATCATACACTCGGTACAGGAGAAGGACATTATCTATATGTTGAATCAACTTCAGTTAGCCTAGCTGGAAAGAAAGCATGGCTTTCTTCTGAAAGGTAATGGAATATTTTATGTCGATTTGTGAATTTTTGACTGGGTTTGATCTATGTTTATTTGCATGCCTTCCTTTATTTATTTGTTCTTTATTTACAAAGTTCACACAATATTTATAAAATGAGTTCTTTTCCTTTCAACAGATATGAACCAACAGTTGGCTCTTGCCTAAGTTTCTACTATCATATGTATGGATCAGCCACAGGAACATTGAATGTCATTTTGAAGACCGAAACATTGTCTATTACAACTTTTAGTAAGACAATATTGAATACATCTAAATTAATGAACTTGCTTTTTTTCACATGAAAATTCTCATCTTTTCACTCTCCATAATAAGCACACAATATATTTCAGTGATTCGAACAAAATAAATGAATTCAATGCAGATGGATGAGTTACCTAATGATCACCTAATAATTTAATATTGCCCGTCAAACTTGAGTGGGATGGTTTAAGACTTTATGTTTTTACTTTTTTGCGTTCTAGATACCGCTAATTGTTACGACACTATCACAGTTTGAGCATATGTATATTCCTAACAAAATTTGGCGTTCCAGAAGTATGTGCACCAAGATTGCACACAACCTGATAACCCTAAGTTGGTACACATCCTATGTTCAGGTTGTGTGCCATCTTGGTGCACATACTTCAAGAGCACCCAAAATTTGAGTATAACGTTATCTTAATTATACATACTCGGTATCAGCCTGTTGGCGCTCTCGGCTTTCAACCCGCAAATATCTTTCCGCTTCTAATTTTGGCCCTCGGTCTATCAACTTTGGGAACCACTGCTCTACCTTGCATGTCAACTGTAAAATTTCTGTAATTCTATTATATTTTATTGATTTCAAAGGTGATGAGGGTAACAAAGGCAATGGCTGGAACTATCAAGAAATTGATATCGTCATGACTGATCCATACAGAATCCTATTTGAAGTTATCAAAGATGTTGTTATTGATGCATCTGACATTGCAATAGATGATGTCAGCTTCATTGCTGGGGTTAATTGTGCTGGTATGTAGAATAATATCACATTTCCAGTTCACCTAAGGCCTTCAATATTTAGCTAGTATTTCAATGTCAAAACTTTATCAGTCAACAGTTTTTATCACATATTCTGAGTGTGAGCAAGTGATTGAAAATTATGAAACTTACTGCTCTTTTTACTTTTTAACCTAAACGTTGCCTCTATCTGAGTATATTTCCGTACAAAGTTTTATTTAAACTGAGGTTAATCATCAAGTAGATATTCTATTCTTTTATGTCATCAGTTACTATTATCTTTGATCAGGACAAGTGTTGACAAGTGCTCCACCTAGTACTTTTGAACCTTATCCAAGTACAAGTGATGTTCCTGTTAATTGTACTGTGGAAGTTGATTTTTGTGAATGGAAAGATTCTGGTACAGGAGGATTTACCTGGACACGGGAAACTGGTGTTGGATCAGATGGTTCTTTGAATGGACTTGGTCCTGGATACGATCATACAACACCTGCACAAAGTAATTATATAGGGAGGGTATTCATAGATGTATTGGTATCATCGTTTTATTATCATTGGGAATGGAAAAGTTAAAGCTTTCATCGGTACTTTTATTGTCCTCTTACGATTATTTAAAAAAACCTGAGGCAATTAAATTATTTTGTTGGGCTATGACTTTTAAGAATTTCAAGTAAATGTGTTTTAACATGCTATCAATATTGTCAAAAAATTACTTTTCTTGCGACGAGTTTGGAAATGTCATGACGTTATTGTCATCATGTATAGTTAGTTTGTATCTTGATAATTTGCCATGTAATATAGCCCTAAGGTTTATAATAATAACACTTACGCACATAAATGTTTGCACTAATTTGGCTTTCAGTTCAACAATAATGTATTAATATCTTACAATGATACAATATTATCTTGATTAAAATGATGCCTGCAGCATTAAAATGTAGCTAGTATCTAAATATTGTTTTTGCACTTCACGTCATTATGTATATAAGAAAAAAAATGAAACTTACCAACTTTTTTTAAGTTTATGTAAAAATGCGATAGTTCTGTTGAAGCAAGAAGTGTTGTCATTATTTGTTATATTCCACATCGCGCAATTGTTCTTCAAAAAGTCATAAAATCATTCATATTTGCTTTGTAAATAATTCAAGTCTAATTTGGATAAAAATGTACAATTTTCTTCAAGCTGAAAAATAATTAAATCAAAAATATGAATTTATCTCCAACCTTTGTTGAAGAATTTTGGTATGAAGTTTTCACACGATTGTTTGAAAATATTGATTTTGAAACAATTTTCATTCAGGTACATCAAGATATGACTTTCATCTCGAGTCAGCTGGATTTGAAGATGGCAATACTTGTCAGATTAACATAAATGGCAAAGATTATCAGATGAATGGTAGAGGACATAGTGTGGTCATTGTAGACATGGTTTCAGAAACTTTTACTGCAACACTTTATGATACATATGGTTCAGCAAGTGAGGTATGTGGCAGTAACTCATGTACTATAGTAATTTAAGCATGATTTATTGAAAATAAATGAAATCTTTTCCTTAATTACTTATCGATCTTAAGATCGGTAAGTATGTTGATAGGTATTTGTCTGTTTGTCTGTCTGTCTGTTTGTATGTTTCTCTGTTTGTCTGTTAGATGAACGCGATATCTCACGAACGCGTGGTTGAATCTGCTCCAAATTTTGCATGTGCATGCATCTTACCTCGGACCAGAAGCCTATAGATTTTGGGTTAATTATGTCGTATAATTAGCGAGTTATTTACTAATTACCGATCTAAGATCGATAAGTCTTCGGTCTCTGACCGATATTCTCGTTTCTTGATTATGAGCTTTTTCAAATATCTCCTGTTTTTAAGAATATATTTTTAATGGAAGAACAAAGATGTTTCCACCATTTTGATTGATTTACATCCTGAATACTTTTGTAAATATTTTGCACACTTATAAATAATGTTAATGGTAATTAACTTTGCCATGAACAATGTTCCTGTAATTCATTTTTCATTACGTTAAGACAAAGAGTAAATTACAGCTGGAAATTATCACCTGCCAATAAAACTTGTGTGTTGCAGTGTTGTTTGAATTTGTATTACTGAAGGCTGATGATGCCCGCCTAAAAAAATACTAGTGAAATACTGGGTCTTCTATAAACTTGGTATTACTGTACTATTTTTTTGATTGTTCTTGTTCATAATCATTTTTTATCATGTAAAGGTTGACAGAATGGTAGCATATCTCGATCAAGTGCCTTATGACTCTCTCATTGCTATAGCTGTCCAAGATTCCAGTATGGATACTAATTTTGATGGTGATGACATTGCCTTTATGGAATCCCTAGGAGCCACTGGTCCAAGTTGTCCTACCCCAGGTAATGTGGTAGAAGATGAAAATATTCTTCAGAGTATATTTTGGTCAAACTTTCCGTTTCATAATTTCGATTAAATGACTAAAAATGTTGTTTGCTATAAACCAAACCAAAAGAAAATATGTTAGGTGCAATCTTTGTCATCATTGCACTATTATAGAAATATCAACGTTGCCTGATCCGTCAAAACTTTTCCAGATCGTTTCAGTGGTTTCTATGCCAATGTCCATTGTATTACACAGAAATATTTCTATGGATTTTTGTTTGAAAATTTCCAAATTACAAATTATTGAATAAAGAAAATTTATGGGAAGTTCCTATATTAAGAATCATCTAATCTAAAGCAGATATTCATCGTTTCAGGTTATAGGGAAGCATGGACATTTGTAACCCAAAAAGTAAGACCCGGAACCCCATTACCCCCTTGGGTAGAATGCACGTATCGTCCGAAAAATAATGGAAAAGCAATTCAAGACACAGTTGCTAAATTTGGTGAATACACTTTCTCAAACACACATTTACAATAACGACTTATACCATATAAATAAAACAAGTTCACAAATGTGGAATACCCTTTAAAAATGTATGTGTTTGCTGCAAAATGTGGCATCATCTGCGGATTAAATAAACAGGAACCTGCTATTATCAACATTTCCTTATATAGCCTACCAATAAAATAAAATATAATTAAATATAATAGGAAGGAACATGTGCTAAGGATCTATATTGGGGTGATCATGCAATTGCTAGTGAACTGACAAGAAGCAATTATCAAATCATAACTTATCTTTATGAATGACTTATTCTTCTGAAGGTCATTATTTATATGCTAATGGAGAAAATGGGACAGATTCTACAGCTACACTGGTCACAAATCGTTACTTTGCCAGACCTTCATTTGAAGGATTCTGTATGGAATTTGCATATTACATGTTTGGATCAAATGTTGGAACATTAACTTTGTTTAGCATAAATGAAAATACTGGTGAAAAAACTAAGGTAAATATTTAATTTAACTGTGAGTAAGGTAAACATTTAAAATAAATTTAACCTTCAAACATTGCCATTTATTATGAAAATTCTTCAGGAAACATTTCATCGGCCTTAAATTTGATGGGTAGTTTTTGTAACAAAGTATGATCTCTTGTGCTATTGATTTGGTTTCATGGGACTAACAACTTATCCTTCTTCTATGCTTTTGTGCCGGTGATTCATAGGCATTCAAGGATGTTATAGGAAGATTTAAGATAACTATTCTAAGCTATTTGTCTGACTAGTCGGACAAAACGTTACACGAATATATTTGTGTCAGTGTACAGCAAGACTCTTTAATCACTTAGAAAAGTAAGATCGAATGATATTTTATTCATGATATTGGTGTGGTGATATGGTGATTATAAAAAGACTTTTGATGGCTCCTAAAAATCTTGGGAAATCGAATTAGTTTTGTCAAGTCTATTTACCGTACATCAGGGGTGGCCAACATGTCGATCGTGCCTGATGTTGTGCGAATTTCATATATTACCTTAAGAAAATTGCTTCGAACCAGTTGCGAATTTTGTGTGTTTTAGAACCGGAATAATACAGCAATGTGCGTGCGCAAAATATGATATAGTATTTGGGTATAGTATTTGAGTCTGGGCAAGTGACAAATGCAAGTTTTGCCGCCAATGATTAGAATTGACTGGGAAACGATCCTACATTAACTTCTGCAGTATATGTTATTGTCTCGCTCCAAGAGTTATGATTTTTGTGATAAATTTTATTTCCAACGGTAGCAGCTACATCAGAAGGCTAAATTTTCTTTAATTTCAAGTGAGCGAAGAATCTCACCCGGAAGAAATTGTAAATTAGATACTGTTTGAGCAGTCACGTAACATTAATGGTTTGGGAATATTCATTTTTCGCTGTTTAGATAATACATGGATACTTGGTATTGTTTTTTTAAGAAGTTTTAACACTCAAGACTAAAAATTAAGCAGGTGTTATATCTGTATGAATTGTATGATTTGCATAAATCCTAAATTAATCATCAAACATTTGCTTCGGGTTCATTACATAATCAATTTAATAAATAAAATTGATCATAAAAAATAAAAATTTTTGTGGCAATTTCATTGAGAATGCGACCAAAAAAAAAAAGGTCTTATTGGCAGTGGCGGAATTTTTTGTATGCTTGTGTGCAGTTATCTGCATGTTCGATACTTATTCGTTTTTGTGTCTGAGTGACCATTTTACCATTCAGTCGATCGCGAGGTATTTTGACGGCCGAAAGCAAGTTGGCTACCCCTGTTTTACATGATCAACCGTATCTTTTTCTGAGATTGTCATGCTTCAAACCTGACAAGATTTTTGCTGTGTTTTGTTTTGTATACTGTTCAAAATAGATACATACTGTATATACAGGTATGGAAAAGATCTTCAAGTGCTGCAAATGCTTGGAATTATAACCAACATCAGTTCCGTATGTACGATCCATATCTTCTGGGGTTCGAAGCAACCCGAAATAATGGTTGGGTTGGAGATATTGCTATAGATGATATAACTTTCACACAAGGCTATTGTCCAGAAATTTCTGTTGGTGAAGGATTATGCACATTTGAACACGGATTTTGTGGTTATTCTAGCGTTTCCTCAATACAGGGCTATTATTGGGCCAGTGAGCATTATATTGGTAAGTTACTTTAAAGAATGAATTTGCTTTGCAGAGTGAAGGTCAAGATTGGAAGTTGACATGCCTTTTTCATTTTTATTACAGTCCACATAGGATGGGAATTCAATTTAACCCTGCCTAATTATGTACAGCTCTATGTATAGAAAAGGATAAAAATATTTTAGGTACCAATTATCAAATAGTAAAACTTGGTGACTATAACTATATACCAGGGGTGGGCACAATTTTTTAGTATAAGAGCCGCATGCTGCAAGTCAGAACTTTAAAAGAGCCGCAGAATTTGTGAATTTATTAATATTATCGAAATACCATGAACAGAAAAGAAATCACACAAGAGTCTAATAACAATAAATAGATAAACAAGGCAGCTATACTCAAATATATGCACAGTTTGAGCTCATTTAATTTGTGCTCCTTATAGCTGATTTACGAGGGTAGTCTCGTGAGAGATTTTCATGATTCGTAAGAGGTTTTCATGATTCGTTTCATGGTGGCGTTTAACATTGCTGACTTTATTCTGACTTAGTAGCTTATGACAGATTAAGCACAAAGGTTTATTCTCCTGACTGGTAAATGCGTATTCTTCTTCCCATTCCGACTTGACAACTCTGATTTCATCTTCGTACTTCTGTTTTTTAATTGAGGACATATCGCACAATAACTTAGATAGACTAACTAACCGCAATCAAGCTGCAATACCGCCGACGTATCAATAAACATTGACCATTGTGACGAAAGATTTGCTGACTTGACTGACTTAAATTCAAAATTCAACGCTACAGCGATTTTCATACTAAAACATAATTTGTCTTAATCATTGACGAAAACTTCTTTAAGACTTTTAATAAATTAAAAGGGTTTACATTAAAGTTTTTAGTAAAAAGTTAGTTCAAATTTGGGTAATAATTTTTATTAGTGAGAAGAGCCGCACAAAAAGTCTGGCGAGCCGCGGTGTGCCCACCCCTGCTATATACAATTGCATTTAATGAAGCAGATCATTTTTCATTACCTTTTTTTTTGCACTTGGCTTATTGTCTTCTGTATGACCCAATATTATTCCAGCTTCTGATCCTAATTTCATTGGACCATCATATGATCACACAATGGGTGAAGCAAATGGTTTTTACATGATTGCCAGGAATGCTGCATCACAAGGACTGAATACTTACTTGATGTCTAAACCATTGACAACCTCTCAAGAACTACATTGCTCATTTCCATTTGAATATAAGGTTTGTTCATAGCTTAATAAAACTTGACATGACGGTATACAAAAGATATTTTGTTTTTCATTTAATATGTAATAGGGTGAACTCTACCATGAATGCATTGACAATGGTGTCCCTGGTGAAGAATGGTGCTCAACTACCCCAGTTTTTTCTGGAAGTTGGATTTATTGCTATGAGACAAACACTGTTTTCACAACTGGCGGAACTGGAAATTCACACCGATGTGTCTTCCCATTCACATATTTAGGAGTGACGTACCACACATGTGCAAGAAATGGATATAATAAACCATGGTGCTCAACAACAGCTGAATATGTTGGATATTGGGGCTACTGCCTTGGTGAGAAGCATGTTTATTTTTATGGTACATTATACAGTCTTTTTCTTTTTCGAATTATTTAAAATTTCCATGCCTCGGTCAGTTTTTTTAAGTTTTATAATTGCGTGCCACAGTGAAAACGAGAGAACTTCTCTTGTCTTTTTTTTCATTTAATCGGAGAAAGGGCGAACCTAGTGATGTCATTAGTTTTCGAATTCTTTGTTACATTAAGCGTAAGTGAATTATCTGATACAAACCAACTCATAAGTTGAATATAACTGTTTAACACAAAGTAACACATGTTTTGGCGGTATCGATTGGTGGATCGCGACCTCCAACTGGGAGGTATAATAAAATTTGATGGCAACCAAACTCTATATAAATAACAATAGTACTACATAAATAATGCAGTAAGGAGTGCATACTAATTGCACTACAAGGCTCGACGACTGGTAATTGCCATCCCATACAAATTCGTGTGAAAAAATAAACGGTAAACGTTTAACCTATTTTCTGCTTGTGGTACTCTTTTAATTGATATCATATTTTGTGATTTAATCTATTCTGAATAAAACTCGTTATATTTGTGGTAGGGGGGAACTGTGCAACTTTCTATCACACGGAATCCTTTGAAACAACTGGAGCTTTAAGAGTATATCAAAGATTAGAAAATTCTGTTGGAATAATAACAAACCAATTGGCATGGGAATCAACAGTAGCTCAACCTGGATGGACATTTGGATATGCAGCAATGTATGCAACTGATGCAACTTGGAGAGTTGTGTATGAGACTGAATCAGGTAAAAATAATATATATTCAGGTCATTTTGTTATTGCAAGTAGCCAAAACTTGTGAGTTGTATCAATGTTTTCAATATTTCATTTAAAACGAGATGGTGATAATGTATAAACTTATTCATTTGAATCCAAAACTCTCATGAAGTGGAAGTTCCATAATGTGAAAACTTTTTCAAGAGACAGTCCACACCATTGTTCTCAGACTTTTTAAGTAGTTGAAAAAACCAATAAAAATATGTGAATGGAACGTAAATATTCAAAATAAGGTGGGTAAGACCAAATCTAATGAATATTTTTATTTTTAATTAGCTTCACGTCCCCTCAAAAAGCTGTTTAAGAACAACTGGTCTATACTGTTCTATAACCCTAAAGTTGAAGGCTACTTACTCCTTTTTCATTTTTTATTATTTATCTTTTTTGGTGTTTTCCTTACTTTAGGAACTGGTGAAAAGGACTACATTGCCCTTGATGATATTGCTATATTTGAGTTTAATTGTCCAAACCCTGGTATTAATGATTTTGAATATGGACTCTGGGCGTTCAACAATTTACCATCACCAGCTGATCAACTGGATTGGTTGTGGGGCCAGGCTGCTACACCCACCACTTTTGATAAACCATCTACAGACCATACCACAGGTGGTTTCATCATTTATTTTTGTATTTTAATTTATAGTTTAAATGCTATATACTAAAAATTGAAAATTAGATATTGATGATATTTTTGCGATAGGATGAAAAACTTAGATATTTAAGAAATGATTATTATGAAATTTGTTCATACTTATATTAAGTAGTCATATCATCACCAAAAACATTCATTTCATCATTCAATAATTTTACTGTTTAAGGTCTTCACTCAGATAATTCACAAATATAAGCAAAGATCAAATTTTTCAATACCTGTATATCATCATGTTGTATGCATAAAATATGATAGTGCTAAAAATATTATACAGCAATTTGCTTTTTGGCATTGGTTTAAAATAGTCCTTTCATTTTTCAATTTATACAGGCACGTCTCAAGGACATTATGCTTATATGACAATGACATCTGCTTCTCCAAATGACAAAGCAATACTTACATCAGAGATGTTCGATGTATCTAGTTCTACAAATGAAAGGTGATTTAATGTAGAAAAATCCGGTTATCTGTGTTAAAGCCTTCATCCTCAAAATCAGGAAAATATAGCATTACAAATATTCATTATGGCAATAAGCGAGAAGATTGAATACTTTGATCAAATAAATTTGGTAATGTTTGATAGTCCAATGCTGACCAATGCTATACCAATAGGATACACCATTACTTATAATTTACTTGTTTCTCTTAACTAATGTGGCAGCTGCAAAACAAATTGAATCACATCACATAAATTCGTGAATCTGTGTGATAAAATTGTGCCAATAGTATCCCAGGTTTTTGTAAATTGGGAACAACTGTCATGTTGAAAATATCTTTAAAATTATGCTGTGAAACTTTTCAAAGTGAACCGTTCACTGCTTCAAAAAATCATATTTTTTGTATCCTCGACCAGGTGTTTATCTCTATCCTACCATATCTATGGATCTGGAGTGGGTACTTTCAATATTTATACATTCACACAAGCTGGTGGACAGGACAGCACTCCTATTTTCACTGTTGATGGATCATATGCTAATGTATGGGTGTCAGATCAAATCCCATTTACTGTCAACGAAGACTTTATGCTTTACTTTGAAGGTTTGAAATTGTATTCAAAGATTGATATTTAACGAGTTGATTTATTGAGGCCTCTAAACCAGGCTCAAAACCTATTTTTTCCCCCTACTACTGCAATTATGATGCCTGTGCATCATATCTTGCTTGTCCTGATAGGAACTTTCCTTAGGGGTCAGTCAACCTTGTTAACCTTGAAGTCTTGCCTGCCCTCTTCCAGGTATATGTAATGAAATATTCGAATAAATCATTATCTATCTATTCTGTTGATCAATATTTCAAATTGATTACTGCACATTCTGCACATTAATTATGTGGTAAATGACTTTTTCTTTTATTGTCTCTCAGAACTGTGTAAGAAAATAGCTGTGTGATAGTAGTTACATGACCGGCCAATAATCAAAGAAACTCCTGTTAGTGTGAGAAGCAATGTAAATTTTGAGTCCATTACTAACAATTTTAGACTGTGCCAGTTGTTGAGCTAAAAAAATAAATATTTCAAATATTACAATATATTCTAATACACTTGCCATTTTTATAGGGAATGTAGCAGCTGTAGCAGGAGAAGGACATATAGCTATTGATGATATTGAAATTAGTATAGATCCTTGTGTGGTGGGTGCAACTACCACTACAAGACCTTGGCTGACACATCCAGATCAACAACCAACTAAAGACGATTGTGACTTCGAAAAAGGGTACAATTAATTTATTTTACTTATTTCTGTATCTATCTTCACCTATTCTCAAATTCTCTGTCCTAGTGAATTATTCTGTATTTTATGCTTCTTGGATTCTCTGATTAAACCACATAAACGATTACTGCCTTTTAAATTTTTTATTTTTAAAACTGCTTCATTCATCCTGAATAAAATTTATCATAAGAATATGATCTTGTCATATCACACATGCATATTCAACTATACTTTCATCAACATTCAAGTCAACTTATTATTTAAGGTTAATGTAACGTGTTTCTCTCTTGGCAGTGAGAACAATATACAAGAATTTCAAGTTTTAGACATCTTTAGTTCCTACACTTTATTTGTAATAAACTACATCATAAATCCTGTTACCACTGCTCACATGGGCTATATTTTCAATTCTTTTATCAATATATTTTTTGTACATTCTAAGGTGAAACACGGTCCTGCTGTGTGATTTGTTACGCTGACAAAAAAAATTGCAAATTGAGTCCTATGTTTAAACGCTCACTATCAACTTTTAGATTCTGCTATTATGTTCGTGATCCAACCGCTGAATTACAGTGGCGTCGTACAACAGGGAAGACTGATTCAACATCTACAGGTCCTGGTGTCGATCATACTTTACAGTCATCTGCAGGCTATTATGCTTACATCGATGCTTCTACTGGTTCAGATGGAGATGCGGCAAGGTTGATAACGGAGATGATAACCCCAGGTATAGACAAAAATGAGATATAATTCAAGTTACATCTAATTTACTAATTTAAACTATGCTTAACAATTTTATTTTCCTCCGTTCACTCTTTGCTATATTTTTTTTTCATTCGTTATACCGTATATAATATATTGCTAATTATCCATTCTGTGGATAAAGTATATTAACCCTACTTATCCAGTATTAGGAATGCAACTCATAGGATGTAAGGTTACCAATTACATAAACCGACGTCTTTGCTACTGTCTACACGAATTCAACAAATTACCAATCTGCATAGTAGCCTACCTACAGTTTACAACAGGGGTTCTCAACCTGGGGTTCGCGAACCCCCAGTGGTTCGCGAACCCCCAGTGGTTCACGATGAAGATTTCCAAGGGTACTTGGACGGCAGTCGAGTTTTTGTATGTTGCTGTTTTTTAATATCCTTCATTACTACCATGGGAAAATGCGTGCCCATTGAAACTAGACGCCAATTGAAACGTAGATTTTCCCTGAACTTGCATTGTTGTGATTGTGACGCAACAATGTGAAATTCAAGTCTTTGCGTACAAACTGCGAAATCTTTAAAGACAGCATACTGCGAGCATTGGAAAAGTGAATATGCTTATTGAAAATTGGGAGAAATTTTAGGAATTCATTAGTTAGGCAGACAACAAGTACAATAATATCAGCAAGACGATTTAATTTAGTTACATATGGTCAATAAATTGGCGTTGCAACAAATCGTTATTCAATATATATATATATCATAACTTTGTTTGATTTCTGATTACCGGGGGTTCGCGTTGATTGTTCCATGACTCGGGGGGTACTTGACGGAAAAAAGCTTGAGAACCCCTGGTTTACAACATATAGGAGAGGACTGAAATTATTAACAGGACACGACGCATATTTCTAATTCCTATATCATCTCATAATTTTTATGTAATAATAATTTCTGATCTAATCGAAAACTGTATGTAACATTTGGAAATAATTTGTGGGTAATCGCGACCCACCTTAAATAGCTTAAATAGCGACCCACTGGTTTGGAAACACTGCCCTATGCTATATATAATATCATTCCCATTTCTTGATATTTGTTTTGCTTTGTAAAATCAATACCACTTAGCTATTATTCTGATCATGATGCTATTTGACGTCTTTTGTTAGTTTTTTTTTTGATAAATGTCACATTACTATATTTCTGTATAGTTGCAGTAATTGTGGCAATTTACCGTAATGAATACTTACTTATTCTTGGAATTGTTTAGATCACAATGGTGTGTGCATGGAGTTTTGGTACTTTATGTATGGTCGAGATGTTGGTCGACTAAATCTTTATTGGCAAGACCAAATTTCAAGAGAAATAATTTGGACAAAGATTGGTACACACGGACCTCATTGGAAATATGGACAGGTACTTTTCAGCTTGTCTTACCTAGATAATTAAATAAATGAACTGTAGAGACATAAGAATAGTTATCATTTTTATCCTGGGAAAGGAGAAAAATGGGTTAATCATATGATGTACCACAGAAAACATATTCCTATCACTTAGCATGATGCACCACCTGTCACACCAACATGAGTTGCACTATGTTAGAAAACGAAATAGCTTTTTTATTTTTCAAAAATGAAAAACAAGAATAAATAAATAGTATGTTATCTAATTTATACAAAGCGTTTTTATCTCATTGAAATATATCTCGGTTTCATAATTGCAAAAATCACTGGGTTCAAAATTTTTCTAGTTGGCATAGATATGAATATTTATGCTTCAATGTATGTTGTTTTTTGGTATTTAGGTTCATGTGAAACGTTCACATGATCTGCAATTAATCATTGAAGCTGTACGTGGAATTTCATGGGCTGGAGATATTGCTATTGACGATGTCAAATTTGTGTATGATTTTTGTCCACCATCACCAGAATGTGACTTTGAAAATGGAGATGCTCTTTGCGGATTCACTCAAGACAGTACTGATTCATTCGAATGGAGTGTTGGTTCTGGATCAACGGTTACTGACGGCACAGGACCAAGTTATGATCACACTTATTTAACAGAATTTGGCCATTACATGTACATGGATGCTTCAACCCCCTATCTTTACGAGGGTGACAAAGCACGTATTGAGAGTCCATTCTTTCCAGCTACTGATGCTGACTGTATGACATTTTATTACCATATAACTGGGGATCATGTTGGTAAGTAATTTCAATTTGGCTTATGTGTTTAATTGAAGATTTTTAATTATTTATTTTTTTTGAATATTATGACTGAAGTGATTCTAATTTTTGCTCTCAATGCAAGTTGGGATTGATTCCATTAAGTTCAAATGTTTCTTTTAATTTAATTTGTCTTTTTACTTTTGTTAGCTGATGTCAATTTTTTTTGTCATGTAGTTGTTAAAGCTTACCTAACTATGATGGCATGACAGTTCAAAATCTTCAGTTCAAATCCCATTCCCTCCAATTCAGCCAAGGTTTTCAATTTTTCCTAGTAGCTCCTTACTTAGCAGTGGATGCTTTGGTAGGGCCTTATTCATAGCAAAAGGCATACAATTACCGGCATGTCGTATAAAAAATTCTATTTGTCATAGGTTTTAAAATATCCTTGGGTAAATTTTCTTGTATTATCAATTCACAAATGCACAACTATATTGTATTTTTCAACAAGGTCAACTTAATGTATATCACCGGGAAAAAGGAGGTGGCCTCAACTTTTTGTGGTCTGTTAATGAAGACATGAATGATCACTGGAGGCCAATGCAACTTACAATATCTGCTGTATCCTCATTCCAAGTAAATATATCTTCAATTTTCAAATACCGTTATTAATTTTATTTATTTATTATATTAAAATATGCTGCGATTGGCAGTAAACTCGTCCACATTTCACATTCTGCATTTTTTTGTCAAATCTATGGCATAATTTTTCTTATATGTTTGGAACACTAACACCTGTTACTTTACATATTTTTTTTTTACATATTCACATGTAAAAATAAATACTTACCGTAGTTGTGCATCAGTATAGAACACTCCAAAATATTGCCATATTTTATTGATCTTAGTACTTTTCAAGATGTATTGTGACATAATGTAATAAATAGCCAATTCTGCAACTTCAGTTTTGTATTGCAGCCTTGTATACCAGATAAAGTAGATATAACACCAGGGATAGTCATTCAAATGAGTTATGTTCTGGAAAACTTGCGATACTTACCGTACCTTATTTTTTTTACATCTAGATTGTGTTTGAAGGAGTTCTTGGAAATGGGGAACAGGGTGACATTGCCATAGATGACATTGTTTTATTGCCGGGAGCATGTCAACCTCTTGGTTCTTGCAATTTTGAAAATGGATATTGTACATGGGAAAATTCTGAACACACTGATGATTTTGATTGGATGAGAGCAGCGGGAGAAACAATGAGTGGAAACACTGGACCTACAGTTGACCACACTCTCCAAACACCACATGGTTCGAATATTGACAGCAATTTATTACTTTACTGACTACTAAATTAGAGACTTTATATGCGTTTTGGATTCTTATGAAAATGTGACCACTAAGCAATTCTATATATATTTTTGAAATGAAGTTCCTAAAGTTTCCACAAAGTTAGATTGTTACCTTCCATTATTCTATCATGTTTTCTGCTTGATTTCAACAATTTTTTTTTATTTATATAAAAGCAAAATTGGTACTTTGTGTCTATCTGGTAATTTTATGTACCGGTATATAGAATTGTCTAGTATTATCTAGTGCTATGTCACGATAGTACACATTATGATAAAAATACAAATATTTGACACAAAGAATTATTTTGGCATTCAGTCTTATGTCATGAGTATTTATCAGTCAAAAAATCAGTCAAATTGAAAAATGCTTCTGTTTGTTTCAAACCATTAAAAATACTTTGTGTATTGAAAATTCCTTAGTTTATATTAGTTACGTTCATGCGTGCAGCATTGACAGGTATATTTCTTATTTTTCCAAGTTCTTATTATATCCTAACATTCTGGAGGTATCTTGAGGTTTTATTTTTGAGTCAATTCTTGTTACTCTGCTGTTGATAATGTTTATAATAAAATTTCCAGGTGTCTATCTTCTCATGGAAGCATCTACACCGCAAGTTGAAGGAGACATGGCTAAATTATTCTCAATTCGCTTTGATAACTCTGTGCCTCGCTGTATGCAGTTTTTCTATCATATGAAGGTATTCTTCAACCAATACTGATTTCAATGTGATATGAGAAAATCAATATTAAATCTATATTTCAACTAAAGTGATAATAATGAAAAATTTCTACAGTCGGAGCAAACGAGAAACAAAACGAAAGATTATTTACTAGAGCCATCGATGTATGTGCAGTTCGCTGTCTTCATGGCCATGAGTTAATTACTGTACATGGGAATCTACAATCCTGATCAGTGTATTCATTCTCTAAACCTGGTATGCTTTCACAAAATTTTTAACAGGGCCCTAATGAAGACAGTATGGGAACAATGCAAGTTATTCAACATTGGAACAGTGAACAAACTTACATACAATGGCAAGATGGCGCAAACTATGGTGATCAATGGATTGAAGCAATGGTGCCTCTGCCAAACAATGTTACTGACGACAATCAATATAATGTACAAATTAAAGCTTTTAGAGGACCAAGTGCTTATGGTATGATATGTTTTATTCGAAAAGCATACTAATTTAGGTCAACTTCATATCAAGGATTTGGAGTGTTTTTGTATACAATAAATTTATCATATGGTAGTGTCCGGAGTCTTTTATTCATTCTCAAATGTAATTTCCGCTAGGCAATGCACCACTTGCCAAACTATTATAATTAATTTATTCATTTCAACTTATATTTTCAGAGACAGGCCATACTTTCTTAATATTGGCGAGTTATATTTGCATGTGTTCTATTTGATTCTTTATTCATGTTAAAAATAACAATATGATATAAAAATTTTAACAGGTGATATGGCTATTGATGACATATCAATATTTGATGGAAACTGTCCATATGTGCCAACAATACCGCCAGCATGTGCTTACTTATGTCAAAATAGCGCTCTCTGTGTTGCAAGTTCGCAAATTTGTGATTTTACTCAAGACTGTCCCTCTGGTGATGATGAATCTTCCTGCGAGTAAGTCTTCAAGATGAGATATTGTGATTATTTGATATAAAATTGACTTTTATACCCATGTCATAAATCTATTTTGAGTCAAAAAAAATTGTCAAGTCTTCAATCTGTATCATAAAGACTTGGTATATATTAATGATAGAAAAATTAAATATATAGAAATGAATGTTATATTGACTTGAATGTGAAAAGGCATATTTATGTTCAGAATTCATGATATCAAGTTGTTTCTTTATAGTAGAGATGATACTAATGATTATTTAAAAGGATTCATAGTAGTTTTAATTAGTAGTTTAAAATATATTTACAGAGTGACCAAGAAAACTTAACCCAGGCCATTTGGAGCATATTTTATGGGTTCCATTTTTGGCGTCACTCTGTAATTGTTGTTGATTAAATTACTCTCATAACTTGATTTTTTCCATAAAATAGTCTCAGACCATGTCAGCAGCCATAGTTGGACAAAGTTGAGCATTAAATTAACAATTCTGTATTTTCTGTGAATCCTGTTACTTGCTAGCATATTTATTTCCATTTTATCGAATAACTTTATGTACAATTTATATTCAGGTTTGAATGTGACTTTGATTCTGATACTTGTTCATGGAATGATGCAAGTAATGGTGCATTCAAATGGGTTGCTGGCTCTGGTGCTTCTGCTTCAGAAAATACAGGTAGCAAATATTGCTAGGATGCTGATATTACATAAAGTCTTTTCTATTTGATTTTTGACATCTTTATATATTTAGTCAAAGCTATACTAATTATAGCAGTGCTTCCCAATCATTCTCAGTTCGCAACTCACTTTTACTGCCATTTTTGTGTGTGACCCACAATGAAATGTTGTATTTGATATATGAGAAAAAATGCAATTTACTATCAATGCAAACTTGAGTTTGTATATTAGATATTATCACATTAAGTCCAGGCTTGATAGAAGACAAGCTCACACGCTACAAAGCATTGACGCTCAACACATTTCGCTTTTGGCTCAAAGTCATTTCTTTCCCTAATCAAATCACATTTGATGTAATCGGAGTCATATTTTTTTGTTTTTTTTTCACTATGTTACATTTTTTTTTTCAAATTATCTATTTTGTGGCTTACAAGAATCAAACAAAGTTAGAGTGTTGAAATGAACTATATTAAGCCAGTATTTAAAATGCAACTCAATGGACATAAGATTTCTAGTTACATAAATCTGTGTCTTTACTACTGTTCACACGAATTCAACAAATTACTAATCTGCCTGGTAGCCTACCTGCCGTTTTCAACATGTAGATGCGAACTGAAATTATTAACAAGACAAAACGCATAATTCTAATTGTTACATTGTTTTATAATAGTTGCGTAATGATAATACCACAATTTCTCGACCTAATCGAAAACTGTATATAACATTTGGGAATACTTCACGACCCACTGGTAAGGAAGCACTGAATTATAGTAATACGCACATCTGTTTTTATAAAATTTACGTCTGTAAATATCAGTAAATATAAAGATTAATCAACCTATCAGTAAAAGATATTAACAGCAAATTTTAGGATATATTGTTGAAACTCCATATAGTCTTGAAGCATATTTTTTTCTTAAATATATTCCATACTTCTTCTCAGGTCCGCCTGGAGATCACACTAGTGGAACTGGTACATACATGTATGTCGATGCATCTAGTGGAATACAAGGTAGTCAGGCTCATTTAGAAAGTGGCATAATTCAAGCAACATCAGCCACCTGTGAAATGATAATGTATTATCATATGAATGGAGATCATATTGGCACATTACAAGTATGCAAATTAAAATATGTTTTGTTATTGATAGATAGATAGATAGATATTTTATTTCGAAAACTCCATAACAAACCTAAATTAAAAATGGAGAATTCTGGAGGGCAAGCAAAACCTACAAAAAAGTTTAAAACATGAAGTATCTCATGTGCCTGCCCACCAGCACGCACACAAAAACACAAGCCCAATTAAATGAGGCTTGGGCCAAACTTAACAAACAAAATACACGATAGTGATAAACTTTCGGGCTGTTGTAGGCTACTCTCTTTCAACAATTACGTTGATAATGACCAATACCTACAACCTCATGCAAAGATAATGTGGGGAGGGGAATGTAATAAATTTGCGACGATAGTCATACTCATGAAGCCATGAAAGCTTTAGGAAAAACCAAGCCATGAAAAACTACACTGATTGCTAGATTGGGCATTGCGGAAAAGGTGATAAGTGGTTTAATATACAAACAAACGCAAAACCATGGCTGCAAATTCGGTGTGCGGACACTCATAAAAGCAATTATTAGGAAAAACACTAATCACACGTGAGAAGGTCTGTAGCCTAATTGATACATTGATGTGGTCAACATTGTTAAAACAGTACCGGTATACACACAGAGAGAACAAATCAAAAATATGCCACTAAATGAATGTTTAAAAATGTTACACGGTAAGTTACAGTGCAAACTATTTACACATATATAGTTGAATACTCAGTATTCAAGCGGAATTTCTAGAAATAGCAGTATATCATACTCTTCGTCACTAAATAAAATATCTGAATCAATCCCTGATGTAATCATCTTTCGATTCTGTTATGATGTCCGTATGTTGCCTTTATGCTGCCATGTAATTTCATATTTCGGCCTTTACTTGTTGATATTCCTTAAGTGCTGGTTCATTGTTGTCAATCTAATCTTTCTGCGCCGTTCAAAAATCAAAAATTCAAAAACACAAACTTTAAATCCAATCTTTTATCCATAAACTTGTTTAATTCCGGTGGATGGGTCTTGATCATGTTGATATTACGAGATACAAATCTAATAGTAAATACCGAAACACACAGCGCGTAGCATCCTCAGTCCAACAGCATTGATTGATCTTTCATCTAACAGAGCAACAAAAACACGTCCGACCCAGACGGCAGTCTGGCAAAACTGATATTGTATCATTTGGATTATAAATTACACTGAATGTGATTTGTAAATGTTTGTTCACTTTTCGTACTTTATCTGGCTTTTTATTTATATGTGTGCATAATTTTTTTTTAATGCTAAAATAGTTTATACATAGATTGTAACATAATTTAAAATTAGGTGTCAGGAACTTTTGGATGTATTCCTAATGTCTTCCTAGGTCAGTAAAAGGATTGATAATGAAGATAACATCATATGGTCAAGAATTGATTCACAAGGAGATCAGTGGAATCAAGCTATTGTAAGAATTGGCAGAGTTTCAAGACCTTTCACTATTGTGATCAGTGCAACAAGAAGTTTTGATGTGCTAGGTGAGTGAAATCTATTCTTAAAATCCTGTAAATTTTAAATTGCATGTATGGTAAATATAATATCATTTAATATGTTATATTATTTTCAATTTGACACATATTGGACTATTTATCGTTGTGCTAAATTCTTGAGCATTTCTTTTTTATGAAAATACCCATTTCAAAATATTTTTATTTTAAACAAATTTTAATATGGCTATAATACACAGGTGATATTGCAATTGATGACATCATCTTCCAGAATTGTGAAATGCTACCTGCTCAACCTAGTTGCGCTGGCGGTGAATTCCAATGTGCAAATGGTGCTTGTGTTCCTTCATCAAGGAAATGTGACTACACTGATGACTGTGGCGATTATTCAGATGAAACAGGTCTGTTAAAAAAAACTTCCTGCTTGAGCTTTAATTGTAAAAAACGGTTGGAAACATTTTAGAATACTTATGGCATCTTTTATGAAAACTTATTCTTGATGTCACAAAATGATTCCTTCATGCTATATTCTGATACTACAGATTATTGGCTTTGAAAAGCTCTCAAAACTTGAGACATTGAAATTACGTTTTACTGAATGTATACCAAAAATAAATGGATTTTAACTTAGCTTAAATGATGATTCATATTTTATACTTGCCTTTATTTATGCTCTACATTTACCTATTCTTTAAAGACTGTTTGAGTTATCTTGGACGTTGCGATTTTGAAGGAGGTTTGTGTGATTGGCAACAAATGTCTGAGACGGATGATTTCAATTGGCTGAGAATTAATGGTTTCCGTTGCCGACCAGAAACCGGTCCATGTGTAGATCATACTCGGGGTACAAGAGATGGATATTCTCTTATTGTTGATTCAAGAATCAATAAAAGTGGTATGATTTAACTATTTTGATTGTGTCTACATATGTGAATATTGCTCGTGGATAAGACATTTGGATGTATTCATGTATCAAAGTAGACAAGGTTCTACTATACTTTACATCAGCGTTTCCCAAACTTTTTTGGCCACGGAAAATTTGCACTTTTTATATCGCCTCGCAGAACACCAAAAATTAAAATCGTAAAATTGATGAAGAAAATTGGCGTAATTCAGCGGTTCCCAAACAGCGCGCCGTGGCGAGTTGCCAAATGCGACGCGAAAACCAACAGAGTTGTGTTAAACACACCAGAATATTATTATGTGTATATAGTGCTGTGTATATAATTCAATAAATTTTATTTTTCTATGGCGTTTACTTTTCATTACGTTCCAATGTCACGAACAATGCAGATTCAGGTGGGTGTCATGCTTGACATGTGCAAAAACGTTATACTTCGTCTTCTACAAGTACTTAAGTATGAAACTACACGAGACCCGCCCGCATTAGGCCGAAGGTGACGCGATATTGAATGGTTGTCAGTTGAGCGACAACTCCACAATCCCGGGATCGCCATGGCTACCAAATTTATTGTTGTGTTGTTTTCACATTATTGTGTAATTTGAAGATAATTTTTTTATCAGATTGCTTCATTGCTATATTTGCTGCTATATTACAGCATTTGGTGATGCTGACTGGATGGCTCACTTATTCTTTCACGATCTCACGTTAAATTGCTAGGAATCGATGTTTCTTGTTTTTTAGTTTGCTGTCATGTTTTTCTTTTGATTTAAATTTATTCTTGCATGACGAAAAATAAATACCCGAATCTTTAGACTTAATTTTGATTCCTTTTCCACGAAACACTCCAACGAAGCTCACGGAACACTAGTGTTTCGTGGAACACAGTTTGGGAAACGCTGCTCTACATAGTCAAACAATCTATTATGTATCAGATTAACAATTGAATATGTCTGTTATAGGCTCGTCAACTACTCAGCTAACTCTCATGATATTTATTCATAAAAATTTTTCTAAGGTTGACAATCTATTTTTATTCCATACTTTTTGTCATTGAGCAATGATTTCATAGCCATGATGTTTTAAAAATATATTTACGTATTATTTCAAATTCAATTTATTCAATATATTTTTAGATATATTATATGTTATTTACTTTTTCTCTTTTCTAATATTAGTCCCCATTTCTGGAGGAAATGTTAAATATTCTGTTTATATGATGATAAAATATGCTAATGTAAATGTAATCTGTTTTCATTTTATCACTTCATGTAGGTACATTTGCTCGTCTAATCAGTCCACCTGTGATGGCAAATTCTGATTCATGCAGCATAAGGTTTTACTATCATATGTATGGAAGCAGTATTAGATCACTTAGGGTATATACTAGAACACAATATGGTGGACCATTGGTTCAAGTCTGGTCAAAGAGTGGTTATCAAGGTGACTTCTGGGAAAGAGCTGATGCTAATTTGGGAGCCACAGTAGGACAACCTTTTCAGGTGAACTTGTCTTCTTTATTATTAGGCATTGGGGTTTTTAGCTGTGAATATGATATTTTGAATCTTAATTTGAAATGCTGCACTCTACATGTTCATATTTTAAGAATATGAACATTTTATGCACTATGAAAATTTTTTTATTTTATTTATTATAAACTCGGAAAGAGGGAAAGTTATTCGATTTTGTAATTGATCCACATTGTTTTTGATATTATCAATTAATGTGTTGCTTTCAAACATTGATAATTTTTATTATTATAGCCATTTTTTAATAAACTTTACTTATTGCCAGGTCATAATTGAAGGACAATCATCCAATGCTGAATTTGGCGATATGGGAATTGATGATGTTGTTTTTAGTCCACAATGTGTTACAGGATCCGATCTACCACCTGGAACAACTATATTGCCAACTACCATTGCACCATGTCCTGATGGTCAATTCCATTGTGGAAATGATGTCTGTGTTGATTTACTCAAGTACTGTAATGGTCAGTTGGTCTTTTGTTTTTGTATTTCAAATAAAAATTGTTAATACCATATTTTGATAAGGCTGAGAGCTTCAAACCAAACAAAAAAATGTCTGAATATTTTGATAAATCTATTTTTTACCCAGGTATTTATATCTATTCTTTGTCTGTGATGACATATTATTATTTATCTTGATTGAAAGCAAAATGACTGAATTTTTACCTACAACATGTGACAATGAAAAATACTGACTTGCTGAGCACTGTAATTTTTGCCACTTCAGATATTTATGAATAATACCAATGGTCAATGTATTCCCTAATTAAACATGCTTATGTAACTGAAATCATCAAATTCTTAGGGTCTTGTATTCATACATACATCCATATATATGGTTACCTTTCATATACTCAAAAATAAATATCCTGATTATTCAATCATTTAATTATATTTTTGCTCAAAGGTCAAAAAGATTGTTCAGATGAAAGAGATGAGTTATACTGTGGTGATTGTGATTTTGAAGGTGATATGTGTGGATACAGAGATGACAGTTCTGGTTTATACCAATGGTATAGAGATCAAGCATCTTCTGCAGTTTCTCAAAATACTGCTCCACCGAGTGACCACACACAGTTATCTGCATCTGGTAAATACTAGATTTATAGCTTTAAGGTTTTCATAAAGTCAACTTTTTTGTGGTGTTTCACTCATTTGATCTGAACAAGGATAAAATCAACTTTATTACACATAAGACTCTTTCTGGTTCTGGATTATCAACTTGAAAAAAATGCACTCTGAGTGAGATGTGTGTATTCTTTTGAAAGTTATTCCGAAATAATTCAATATTTTCTTTAATATTTTTACCAATATAATATTTTTTGTTAATAACCAGGGTGGTATGCCTATCTTGCTCCATCAACTGGCAACTTCATGAACAATGCTCATTTAGTCAGTCCCCCACTAGCCAGATCAAAATCAACCTGTAAATTAAATTTCTGGTACTACATAAATTCTGCTGCTTCGAACCCCAATGTGAGAATGGCTTTGCTTCTTATTACTGAATCTGGATCATCGGTTAGTAGATTTTGTGTTGAATATTTTCTGACTATTAGTGCAATATATTATGTTACATATTATATATAAAACTGTGATAATATATAATATTTCAATAAACTATGATAATATAATATTTTAATATATACTGTTATTTATTTTGCTACATCTAGGAAATATGGTATGTTACTGGCAACCAAGGAACATCATGGAAGTCTGCTTCTGTAAACATTGGTGCTGTAGAACATGGACATCTAGTTATATTTGAAGCTTATCGTGGGGATTATGATGGTATGAAATTTTTTTATTTTCAATCTTAAAACTAATTTAATAAACCAATTTATTACTGTAAGCTTTTTGGCTTCAGTTGAGTATTTATCTTCCGTAGTTGTATTAATTTACTGGCCAAACTGTTGTGCAATAATTCCTTATAGGCATATGCATGGCACAAATAAGCATGATATGAGTAAGTTGATTAAATCACTGCAAACTTGTTTTTTTATATGTATTCCTTCTTTATTGCATGTAGTCAAATTAATTTTTTTTTAATTAGGAACAACCTTATTATAGATATTCTTATAAGATATAATAAAATAGAAGGTTGATGTCCAAAAATGTAGAATGTAGGTGAATCTTATTATTTGCAGTCGCCGTTGGTGTGGATGACATAACTTTTACCGATTGTATTATACCAAGTGGAAGTGGGAGTTGTCAATTTGATGAATTTGGATGCTCAAATGGTATTTGTGTACCTGAAGACAATGCCTGTGATTTCCAAGATCAATGTGGAGATATGAGTGATGAATTATCATGTCCTGATTATCTGTAAGTGAGATAAGATTTTTATTCAGGTCGAGAGATCTGAATGTAACATTGTTGCTATAGTCATTAGAATCATTTGTAAAAAATTCAAGGAAATTGATATCATGGCTTTTGCGGTACAAATATAGAGTATATTCCTAAAAATTTTGAAGCTTTCAAACTGAGCAATTAAAAGGTGTCCGGGTGTGAACACAAAACATACGGTAGTTTAATTATACAAAACGCTAATATATGGTAAAAGTTATGTGATATCTATTACATTAAATATTGTATATATATTTTTTACAGTACAATTTTAATTATTCAATTATTCTTCAGCCTCGAAACCTCGGAAAGGCCCTTTTTTATATTCTGACCACAACTTTCCTACCTTAGTTAGAATATTGAATGTGAATATTAATCATTCAACTTTACATCTTTTAACGTTGATAAAAATTCATTCAGAAACAAATCTATATCATCATTCATTTATAAACAACACATGTATAGACAAAGAACCGAGTTTGATGTTGTAACAAAAATAGCATGTGGAAAGCTATTTGAAATTTTGATTTGATTTATTAATTTCTATCTAGGGCTTGTGATTTCTCATCTTCGACGTGTGCATGGGCTTTTGATGCTACCAGTCAATTCAGTCTTACGAGAGGTAGTTATGTGAGTGGACCATCTGATCACACACCCTCAAGTCTTGTTACTGGCGAAACTGGGAGTTATATGTATGTTGTGGCCTCATCTGTAAATACAAACCAGATTGTAAGTTTTTTCATCTGTTTTTGCTTAGAAAGACTAATTGTTAATGATAAGCTAAGATTGTATTCATTTTTGTTCTCAGTCTCGATTAACTGGACCTGTCATCAGGCCTGTTCAAAATGGAGCTTGTAAAATGCGAATCTACAGAAACATTTATGGATCAAATATAGGAAAAATCAACATATATATTCGTACTGCTGTAAGTACACGTCTTTCTCATTCTCAATTTCATAATATATTATGTATTTGATTTGGCGATTGATAAAATTATTCTGAATATATCGTGCACATATCTCAAAAGCATAACTTTTGAGTTTTAAGATTATTTTTATTTGTGTGCCTCTTCTGGTATTCTCTTTTTTATTTGGTTTGTATTCGAAATGCATTATTACTATCTGGCATCTGCACAATAAGAATTCAAAACCATGCAATACATTAAAAAATCTTCATAAATGATCATTTAGCTTACTGGACTCAACTACATTTACTCAATTACCGGAAGTGATGTGACTACTGCATGGAAATTGGAAAAAATAGCACTTGATTCAAATACATACTTTGAAGTAAGTTTTTGGATATTTTGTCAATGAAGTATTTAGTATTTGTTACCCCCAGAACTATTTTTTTTATATAATGATAACAACTAACACCTCCTCTTAGTTCAAGGATGGGCAATTATTTTTCTGAGTGGGCCAGTTACAGATTATAGACTTACTGGGCCAAAATTTATATAATAAGCAGCACAATGTAACAATCGGGGTCACTATGACGGTGTTTTCATCAATATTTACAACGGGCCGTAATTTGCCCACTCCTGTTTCAGTTGTAATGACAAGATCCTTGTATTGCAGAAACTAAGATTTCATATGGATGGTATTATAAAAATAAAATATTTGTTCATAATCAGCCCTACATCTGTTTTTACCTTACTGACATGACTATTCAATTGTATATGAAAATCATAACTTAAATTATATTTTATGTAACTACCGGGACTTAAAAAATATTAAACAATACAAAACATTGAATCATTCCCAACTATGTTTTACAGCCTGTCATTGAAGTGGAGAGGCAAGCTGGACTGTCAGGAGTGATATCGATTGATGACATCAGTTTTTCAGCAAGTTGTGATGTTGATCCTAATGCAATATTAGGATGTGGAACTGGACAACTGGCTTGTACTGATGGCACCTGCATTGCAATGGACAAATTTTGTGATTTTAAAGTATGTAGTCAGATATTGTGGAAATATTATAATTATTATTATAAAGAGAGCAAATATATTCAAATTCAAATATATGACAAACATTGGTTCCTAACATTTGAATACCTTTCATGCTGAATTGCTTTTAATTCATAACTATTATTAGTGGGCGAAGCTTTAATCAATGATTTTTTGAATCAAGTAATTTTTTGCTCATGATCATTCATCATAATATAATTTGAACTCACACAAGTAATAGAAATCAGGTAATTAGTAGATAAGACCAAAATATTAAAGATATGCCCTTTATTATTTGCAGTGCCTTTACTGTTAAGTTTGGGCTATCTAAATTTAAAAAAAATATATCTCTCCTGCTTACCTTGTTTGATGATTTATCAACTTCTATTTCAATTTCCCATGTTACATTTGCTGGATCTTCTATATTTTGTGCAATCTTATATATCTAATTATTTAATAACACCCTTTTCCTGTTTAATTTGTATAAATGTTAAATAGTCAATATCATTGTGTATCATTTGATTTTTATTAGAACGACTGCTCAGATGGATCAGATGAAGCATCATGTCCTTCTTCATGTTCATTTGGAGACAATGATCAATGCTTATGGAGTAATGTTGTTGGCAACCAACTGACCTGGAGACTTCAACAAGGTATAAATGGAAATCCAGCAAGCGGCCTTGGACCTAATACAGATGGTTCTGGAAATGGTCAAGGATACTATATTATACTGCCAAAACCATCAGGTTCTACATACATTGGATCATCAAATCGATACCAAAGTGTTGTTTACAATCAAGCAGGACAAAGTTGCAACTTGCAGTAAGTAATGAACAATAGAAATATATGGGTAGAAAATTATGCTCTTTGTGTTATTGTGGGATATACAGCTTACAGATAAATAGAAATAATAATCATGCAGCCCTTTACATTTTTCAAAACAAAGAAAAGACAGAATAATTGTGAAGAACATTGATCCTAGGTTGATCTTTGAATTCGTTTTGTAGGTTCAAATACTACATGAATGAAGACATTGGCACACTTCGTGCTCTTATATCATCTGGTAATTCTGAACAACAAATTTGGAGTCAAACAGGAGACAAAGGAAATTTTTGGAATTTGGTCACTGTACAGTTGCCTTCTTGCTCAAAAGAATTCAAGGTTTGCTTTTTCTGATTTTCTTTATTTTGTAATGTGTTTCTATTTAAAGTGCAAATATTTGAGAGCAAGCAAGGGAACGATAAAACTAGTCATTGATGTTTTCTGGAATTTAAATTGTGAAGTTAACCTTTGTTGGTGTTGCACAAAACACCCGTATCTTGTGTTAGAAAAATTATTTCCAATTTTGAATCAATGAGATTTTATTACTAGCTATACTTACTATATCAAATGCTTTCTAACTTGGATTTTGTATTACAATTTTTTATTATATTGTTGTATTGATGTTTCTTTCTTTTGTTTATGAATAGATCATATTTGATGGAAAAATAGAACAATCTATTCAAGGTGCCTTTGCAATTGATGACATTAATTTACTAAATTGTGCTTACAGTGAAGCAACACCTGGAACTTGTACCGCTGGTCTAAAACAGTAAGTTGGAATGAATGTCTTTAACATATCTTATATATTTTTAACATTGAATTTAGTTGGTGTAATATTTCTACCTTATTATTCCTATCAAGAAAATCATATGGCAACTATTAAAGTTTCAATCATTTGTTTGTATGTTCCTTTTCATTTAATTTTTAGATGTGACAGTGGACATTGTGTTGAATCTGAACAATGGTGTGACTTTAGTTATGACTGCTGTGATGAATCTGATGAAAATTCATTTGATTGTGCAAGTTATTCTAGATGTTCATTCGAAAGAGATTTCTGTGATTGGAAAAAAGAGAGACGTAAGTTACTTTATAATTTTTTTTAGTCTTTTATCTACCCTGGAGTACTTTCATTATGCTTGGAAAATTGAAGATAATTCAAGTTTTTTTAAAACACGGATAAATCTGTATAGGAGTATATGGAATAGCCAAGTACAAAAAAAATCAAAATAATACAAAATCTCAGATTCAGTATCAAATGGTATTGGTATATTGCAGAAAATTCAGACTGGGTTGTTGGTCGAACACCATCTGGAGATCCTACAGCTGATCATACAACACTATCGGGTGAAGGAAGTTATATGTACTTAGATTCATCTATTATGGCTGGTGGAGTTGCATCAACATTGTTCAGTTTTGTTTTCTACTCTCCAACTCAAGATTGCTCAATCAGGTATGAAAATGTTATAGGAGTTCAGCTAAGCTTGAATTGTTCTATCTTTGAAATATCTGCAGTCAAGGTTTGTTATTTTGATCATATTTGGCAAGGTACAATTTCTTACTAAAAATTAAAATATTAATTTATTATTGTCACTACCTACTAAATTTACCAGAATATTTGCATCTATATTCCTGTAAAAGTTCTCACAGCTAGGCCTGAATTTTGGAGAAACGTTGCTGTTGAATTTTTTACTAATGTACATACAACATTATTTTATATTTACCAGGCTATATGAATACATGACATTACCTGGTGCTCAGCAATTGAAAATATATGTACTTACAACTGCTGGAACATATGAAAGAAATTCTATCGTTCCATCTGGAACAACCGGACAGTGGCGACGACATGTTGTTTCTCTCATGCCTGTCACAGGACCTTTCCAAGTATATAATTTTTAATGCAAATGTGATTAATAGTAATTAATTAAATTATGGTAACTGCTTGTAATAAATTATTATTAATCTGTCTAGATTTATATCTTAATATATTCATATGAATATTTTTTATTATTGTTGTCACATTGCCGTTTTGTTATAATTTTTTTTTTTTCATTGTTAATTTCAGGTCATTTTGGAAGGAACTTTACAAGATGATACTACTGGTGTTATAGCAGTTGATGATGTTTCATTCAGTGAAGGTATAGTTGCCAGTATCCAATATGTTAATATGAATATTGTATTTCAATTATAATATCACTCTGTGTTTAAGAGATTAAGATAGCTAATTCTCATCATAAGAAATTAATAAATTTTCATAAAAAAATATGATCGAATATAGTTTATTGAACAAATTTGTTTTTTTCTCAAATTTGTTTGAAAAATAAGTTAATGATGTTATATATTCAGTTTTCATTAATATCCAATTAAATTAATTCTTCCAACCTAATCTACCAATGAAATTACTTATCTGTATTTTTGATGTAGTAGTAACCAAATATTAGTCTACTTGAATAGTTTTTATTTTTGAATTCTATTGATATATTTTATTTGAATTACAGGTTGCTTACGAAGTTCCTCTCCCACTCCGCTACCATTTGAGACCACTCTTCCAACCAAACCTCCAATAACTGGAGGCCCTGGTCATGCATGTGATTCAACTTACAACTTAAACTGTGGAACATTGAATGTTTGCTACAGCACGGCCCAGAAATGTGATTTTGTGTACCATTGCCCCAATGGTTATGATGAAGATACATGCCGTAAGTAGCTACCTTCTACTACATCTAAATATTAATTGATATTATTTTGTTCCATCTCATTTAGCTAAAGTTCAATTAATCATTTATCGTTCTTTCAGCATCATTCTATGATTTTGACACTGAAGAACAACTTCATTATGCATGGCAGGAATCAGTGGGAACTGAGCTTGATGGCTTTAATTGGCAACGTTCTGTTGCAAAGAATGCTTTCTCTCAGTAAGCTTCTATAGACATTTTGTTATCCTATATAAATTTTAAGGTTCCATTACATTTGAACCCACGTACATTTGAACCCATGACAATTGCACCTGTATGCTATTGCACCTATGAAATTTTTTTTGTTTCACGGATAGTTAAACCCATACTAACCCTAACCCATGGGTTTTAGCACCCGAATATAGATTGAACCCGTGGATATACGCATGGGTTCAAATGTACATGGGTTCAAATGTACGGTCACCAAATTTTAATGTTAAAAATATTAAATGTTCTAAAATATTTTTGTCATAATTTCATGAGAACGCATGAAATTTATATTCTGCAATAATAGAAATTGATAAAATTTGATATGCTTTGAAGTTTCTTGAAACTGATGTATAGGTCGGAACTTGGTTCAGTTTTGAACAGCAATATTTATTTGTAATGTTTACTTTCAGATTCGGACCAGCATTTGATCATACTTTAGGTGCCGATACTGGTGGATATACATATGTTGTTAAAATATCAAGCATTGCGGAAGATGTTGCTCAATTAAATGGACCCACTTACCTGATGGCTCATTCCAGTTGCAAGGTTCGTAGATGTTACTAATTTAATAGAAAAGCTTCCATGCTATTTATTTGTGGCAGTGCGTGACCTGTTAGTTATCAGCAATAAATACATTTTAAAAAAGTTATCATGATTCAAGTGCTCTTCTATGTTTAAAGTGCAATAAATGTAATATTTGTGCTTTTGGAAATTATATCCTAGTCACATTTCTTTTCGTTATTTTGTAATTACAATTTTAAATAACTGGCTGTCGATTTTTCTTATTGATTTGGTCTGATGTACTGAGGAGATTTTCAACTCCAGGATTAGAGTATTATTGTTTTTTGTTGTGTGAAAAAATGAAAATGATGTATTTACAGTTTGAATTTTGGTATTATCAAAGTGGCGATGATGTGAGAGACTTGGATGTAATTTTATATACTAACTCAGAATATCATCCAATGGCTATTGTAAAAGGTGATCAAGGATCTTCATGGAAAAGCATGAGATTAGATATTGGAAAAAGAACAGACCAATACCAGGCATGTACATTTTAACCCTTTATGAATTGGCAAAGAAAAGTAAATGATGAATATATAGTGAAGAATTTGTCTATTAAGTTCAATCGACAAAGATGCGATATTGTACTATGACTAACACAATTTGAAATGAAACCTTATTATTACAGTCTTTAGTATTTTGCTCTAAGCATATTTCAATTGATATCGTGTATCTGTATAAGAGGAAAATCAAGCAAATATCTACCTAAAATGGAACATCGGTGTTCACAATTTTGCATCTTGTTTAACGATCGGCCTTTTATTTCTAATATACTTTTAGATTATTATTGCAAAAGTTGATGATGGTCAGTATGATGGAAGAACTGCGATTGATGACATTGCTTTGGTTGACTGTGCAATACCAACATACACAAGAGACTGTGATTCTTCTGAATTTACATGTTCGACCACGAAAGCATGCATATCAATAGCTGACTCAAAATGTGATGGTGTTGATGATTGTGGTGACAATTCTGATGAACAATCCTGTTGTAAGTAGTCATGTATCTAAATGATTTGTTGGTTTGTTATACGATTAATTAAATGTGATACAATATTAAATAGTTTGGTTCAAGTGATATAGCAAATTTGTGGTATATGCAAAATTCAACAGCGTCAAACAATATTTTTTTATAAAGAAGGAATTGTCTTATTTTCATATATACATTTCTTTGAGTATATTAAAATTAACATTTACTATATTTCAATATTAACATTTATTTAAAAATCATTTCAGCAACATCAAAGACATGTGATCTTGAAAATGGACTTTGCAATTGGACACAAGAAAATTTATGGGACGATTTTGATTGGAATCTATCAGAACAAAAACCCACTGATACAGCAGATACAGGTTTATATGATATTATCATCATCAACTATTCCTTATCAAGTGCTAGATTTTTTTATGTTAAATGAGTTGATAAAAAAATTTGATTATTATTATTCAGAAATTTCAACGAATTCGCATTTATTCTTGTTTACGATAATAAAAAGAATTTGATAAATAAAGTGATATTTCAAAAACAAAATAGCCACAAAAAAGTCGAATTATCAAATCTATTATCACACAGCATTTGACTTGAATTACTGATGATGTTTCTGATTTTATATTATACCCCATAAATTATCACTTGGATTAAAAATATCATTGTAATGAAACTATCCTAACTATAGTCCATGCTTCCAAAAACAAATAACTGGCCAACTAATTTCATACATGGTTTGATTATGATTAAAATGATATGAATATATTTTTAGGCCATCTCATCATCTTTTCCTCTCCCTCAGGATAATTATATAAATCCTATCCTTTATGTTTAAATGATTGCGTTATAACAAATGCACAAATTCTACCTAAAGGTCCATTGAGAGATCATACAACTGGTTTGCAAACTGGAATATTTGCTTACATTGATGCATCTGCTCCCCAATCAAATGGAAACAGAGCATGGCTTGTCAGCCCTGTTATATCATCTGTCACAATTAGTGCTGAATGTCAGGTGAAAATATTTTATAATTTTTTTTTTTTTTGAATGAAAATACGAAAACATAGTATAGCAAAGATTTTCAAACGTTATTGATCTCTGGCCTCCTTTCAAAGACTCTCAACACTTTGCCCCTTGCCCTTGCTCCCTTGCTCTTACTTTGAAAATACCTATGTTTGCCTTAACACATTTCAATCATTCAAATATCAAATAGGGAAAAACTGTCAAATAAAATGATATTTTTCCATATTAATGCTATAGAAACACATGCATTCATGATGAATTTTTGAAATGGAGACTTTACTATGCTTTATAAACTGCTTGACCTACTATTAGAACTAACAACTTCACAACTTGCTTTTTAGTTGAGATTCTGGCGTTACATGTTTGGAGCAGATATATACAGACTCAGTGTCTATGTAAGAACATATTCTAACGGAGGATACGTGCATTTGGAAGACTTCATTGGTGAAGAAGTGGACGAGCTGTTGTGGTATAAGACTATTGTTCCACTTTACAGCACATCAAATTTCCAGGTACATTGTTAAACAATAGATTGTTAATATTGATAAGGAATTAACATCTTAGCATCAGGGTTATAAATATAGCAATTCATAAGAAAGAAAGACAATTTTTTAAGAAAAAAACATTGTGATGATAATTATAAGTTTATTTTGACTCCATACTAGACGATAGCATAAAAGACGATAAATTAATTGATAAAAACAAAATTAAACTGGTTACAGAATCAGGAAAGTGAACAAAACCTTAAGTAAGGTTTAAAATGTACAGATTTTAGATTGAAAGGTGTTGTTAACCGAAGTTGTACCTGTTTGCTCAATCACCCAAAAGTGCTGAGTTAATTAAAACATGCACACACACATACATACAATAATACAGACAAAATAAAATTAAATGAGAGAAAAAAAAGAAGAACATAAGATATACCTAGTAAGAAGAAAGGTATACAAACAAAACAAAAAACAAAATTGTGTCACACCATATTAGTAATTTTGTAAGGATTGCCAAATTGGACACCGAATTAGTTAGCAGGAGGGAAATATATAGAAAAATATTTCTAAGAAGATATCGACATGCTGATCATAATTGGAGTCACCTAATGCCAAATTGTCCAATCGTAATTGCTAAATTGTGTGCATAAGGAAATGGGCAAGAATATTCACTCAATAAAGCCAAAAAGTAGCCAAATTAGAATCCAGAATATATTGAATATTAATTAATTAATCAGTAAAGATAAATATATTTAAATGATGCTAACTATACAGAACATACAATATCCATTCACATTGGTAATACAAAACGCTTACAAATACAAAATACAAAATACAAAATTTATTTATTTAGGTCATAATTGAAGGAGTTGTTGGTAAAAACATCCAAGGTGATATTGCCATTGATGACATTTCACTTTCACCTTCTTGCACTGTTTTAACATCAGGTAATTGTTTAAAAACAAAATTGAGGTATTTTCAAGTTTGATCTATTTATAAATATTCATGTGGAAGCATTTGGATGAATTTCAACTCATGTTATATGTTCAATGCTAAGCAAAGCAATCCGTTATACCTCCACAAGACCACCTCTTGGATTATTTTGAAAAACTCTTTTCTTCCAAATCATTATCTCATGCACGCTACTTATTCTTTGAAATCATAATTTATGTAGGCTGGCTATACTTAGTTTTGTTCAATTTGTCCGTTGTGGCATTTTAAAGTGAAAGTGAATGAATATATTTTTACTGGGCTTTTAATTTTAAGCAACATTGCCTGCACATCCTGGTGGACCTGAGTATCCTCCTGAAGCAACACCAGCACCCGCTTGTGATGAAACATTACATTTTACTTGTCGGTCATCATCTGGATCTTATGCTGAAAATTGCATCGATCTAGAAAAAGTGTGTGATTTCCGAACAGATTGTGCAGATCAATCGGATGAATCGGATTGTGGTAAATATTGTTTTTTGTAAGACAGACATATATAGTAGAGAAGAAACTGTGATTTCTCAAAATGTGGGTCTATCTGACTTGTACACAATAGGTAGTGGTCAGTGTATAGTGCCTATAAATGTCACAGATTATAATTAGAACTGATTTGAAATATCATTCCCAATTACCTCCCCTAGGTTATAGACCTCTTGTAGACTATGCCAAACTAGAAAAATTTTGGATTCTTTCATCAAGAAGAAATAGCATATCTGAAAAAAAAGTACATAAGTTGGTACCTGGACCTAAGGATCCAATTTTTCAAGCAAGTTTATATGATTATGACAGTGCAAGGTACGTGCGATTTTGAAGATCCCAATTTATGCGGATGGGAAGTTGTACCAACAAGGTTAAAGGCAGGGACAACATTTGAATGGCAACGTGGTAGAGGATCTGGCATGGATTCATCTGAACAAGGTGTCAGACCTAGTGCTGATAAAACATCCGGCACTGCAACTGCTTACTATTTATATGCTGATAGCTCTCTAGCTTCATTTGGAGATTCAACTCAGGTATGTAACTTTATTTTCCAATCAAGACAAGACTGTTCTATATATTCATGCTTATGTATATTTTTATTAGATATTTTTTAATTAGTGTATCATACTGAGTAGAGCAGACTGATATTAGACTACAACCTTTTTTATTATATGATATGTCTTAACATTGATCCAGCATTGTAGGTCTGAAATAATAAATGTTAGTATACTCTTACTTAATTTAATGCTCAAACTTGAGGTAAAATAGGATTTTACATGTACTATATACGAAAGGAACGCATATAACTATGCCTAAATATATAACAAGTCAAAAGATTTGGTTTTCTGGTCGCAAGTTCAGTTCAGGTATGGAAATAATCAGCAATGGTAACTAGCAGTGCAATTGTGAATGTGGTGAAGAATTTCTTTACAAAGCAACTGTAGAGTAAAAATGACATCCAATTTTCCAGACCAAAACACTTCTAAACTGAAATTCTGATTTTTGTAGATTATATCGGCCAATATATCCCAATCTGGACCTCAGTGTGCTCTTCGATTTTATTCATGGATGACTGATTATTCTATTGGATCATTACACATTTTCTCTCATCATATCAATGATGCGGGACAAATTGTTGAACTCTGGAGCAAGAGTGGTAAACTAGGAAATGACTGGACATTATCAGAAGCATTTATTGGAAGCAGAACTAACTTCAGGGTACACTTCTAAAGTTATTTACTCTTTAAAGTTTCACAATGTTTGCTTTTACATTTTGTAAATTTTTTTCTGTAAACAGAAGAGTCTTTGTTTTAATTAGCATATTGTATAAATCCAGAAGTTGGACTAGAGCATTCTGCCCTTTTGTTGTCTTATTCACGAATACTTACCACACAACCAAGTCAATTTTTTTTCTGCAAGTACTGTTTGATTCACCCATATGTCTTATTGATGACCAATCTTTTTTTGTTTTTTCAAGGTACTTTATCATGATATATTGAAATTATTTGTATATTTATGCAACAAAAATATATTTTGGTTATATAAAATTGTGTTAAAACATTTAGGTTAGCATATTTAAATTGGAATAATGCATTAAATCATTTATCATTGTAGATTATCATTGAAACAAGACGTGGAAACACTGGACAAAAAGATATTGCTATAGATGATTTCTTGTTCAAGGATTGTGCGCCACCACCATATTCTGATCAGCCTTGTGGATCAAATGAGTTTACCTGCGCCAACAAAGTATGCTTTGTACTGATGAATATTCTACATATCACACAGTTGTACTTAAATTGAATACTTCTATTTAATGCCACTCAATTCTTTCCCAATCTTAACAAGTTCTCATTTTATTTTAGGTCTGTGTATCAACTGATTTAACTTGTGATTTTGCTGATAACTGTGGTGATGCAACTGATGAATTGAATGCATTGTGTTATCAGAAGGCTCCACGGTAGATTTTCATTGAGTCATTCATTGTTTTCCCAATTTTTCAATTTTTTTGGGGGGCGCTCCAGAAGTGTATGTACCAATATGGAGGTATCTAATTTTGTTCGCGTACTTCACATCAAGTTTACGTCAAGTGTAAAGGGAATGAAACCTATTTGTATCACAATTACCAGTAATAGGACCAATCAGGATTATTAAGTTTTAAACACAACATTCTGATTAAGTAGGAAGTAACAATCTCCCATGGGTACTATTTACTTTAATATTTGTTTGATTTTTATTACCGTAATCATTTCGGTATAAAATTTCATGTATTTAGCATAGTATATGTATTTAAAAATTGACTGAACACCATGGGAAAAACATAACAAAACATATATGTAGTCATATTTTATGTATTATTACACAGATGCAACTTTGAATTTGATTTGTGCGGTTTCAATCGTGAAGAAGATTCTGATATCCAATGGCAACTAATAAAAGGTGGGGCAATGTTGGATGGAAGTACTGGTCCATCATTTGACCATACAACAAGATCACCTCAAGGGCAATACCTGTTTGCAGACCCTTTCACTAGTGCTCAAGCAGATTATAATGGAAAAGCAAGATTAGGAACTCCAGGTAAATATTTTTATCGCATTTATTTGCATAGCAAATTTATATAAAAATGAAAACTTAAAAATTGAAAAAGGAAGTCATTACATACTGTACTCCAAATGAACTCCGACACGATATGACATCTAACAACTCCTAACTTATCCAATGGAAACTATTCATAGCATTTGACGTGCTTTAACTTTTCCTCAAATACTGATAGAATATTTTAATGTATTGAATCATATTATAGGCCTAATATAGTTATTGAAAATATTGAAAAATATAAATATAAATATAAATATTGAAAAAATAAACAAAACATCTTAAATTAGGTCTTTTCAATTCGGTAAAAAATTCTGATGGATGTGTCGTCCGATTTTACTACAACTTAATGTCAGTCGATTCTGGTGAATTGCGAGTATACACAAGAACGCAATGGGAGCAAGATCCGGATCAAGGATTGACTCAAATGTGGTCAAGCACAAATGGAGAAATTGGTGATTTTTGGCAGAGGCAAGATGTGACGTTATACTCATCAACAAACTTCCAAGGTATGTTTATTCGAATTATTCACATAGAAATCATTTGATTGTATTGCAAACTATGAAACCAAATTTGTTATTTTATGAAATGCTGACTTGTAGTCCCTTATATTTGGAAGACAATGAAAACTATCCGTAACTTTTAATTTTTTTAACGTTTACAATTGATATTTCTTCAAACAACCTATTTTAAGTATAACTGGTATTTTAGCATGTAACCAAAACACTAAGTTTTCAAATTGTATCATAACAATTTCTGTTGTACCTTTTACCTGAAGTCCTTGATTGATTAAATAAAGGGCAAAACTGATTTTTTTTTTCATATGATGTAAAAATAATGATGTCCGTATAAGTATAACATTCATTTGTGTGATATAATAAACAGCAAAATGGAACATCACACCAGGTATTTGTTTGCAGTGAATTTAATTTCTATATATCTTATTTGCATTCACAATAAATCGATATGGATGACAGTGCTATCTTTTTATTGTTAATTTTATTTCCTTTTTCAGTGATATTTGAAGCTATACACACATCTGGTGGGTATACTCCATCAATTGCAATTGATGACATTAGTTTCTCAGATCAATGTTTGTTTGATATATCTGGATCACATGGAACAGTTCCACCACCCGTCACACAATCTCCAATATGCTCTGCTGGTTTGTATCCATGTGACAATGGAAATTGTTATTCATCAGCCCAAAGATGTGATTTTACTGATACTTGTGGCGACAACACTGATGAAAAATTATGTGGTATGTTTATTAAAATTGGAAATTAAAATTTATATATAAAAAGAATTAAACGTATTGGACAAAATTTTTTTAACAGTGATTATTATCAGTCAATTCAATAACTGAATAACACATTTGCCTGTATCTGTAGAAAAAATTTTAAAATTTGATCTTGTAATAATATTCGTGTAAAAAGAATTGTCATGGAGTATCTGATTTTAAAACATCACATACATATCTCGTTAGATATTTTTCAATTAGCATTTTTGATATACTAAAATTAAGTAACTTTGAATATTATTGAAATCATGACAATCCATTTGGTTTGAAACAGGCACTACATGTGATTTCGATGTTGATCAATGTGGTTGGACAAATTCTGAAGGTGTCAGTCAAGATTTTGATTGGATAAGACAAACTGGAAGTGATGGTACAGGGCCTGATAATGATCATACAAGGTATAACAATTGTTGTAAATTAGGTGTACTTCAACTTGGAGATAATATATTCGAGACCACCCTGCTCTGTTAAACGTTATTTAAAAATTACTAATTGAGACACTTTATGGGTTTTTGTTCTGCTATTTTGAACTGATTGTTTCTTGAAACATATGATATGTTATTCATATTTTAATAGTGATTGTTTCTCACATCAATCTTTTTATCTAAACCAGTGGCAATGGATATTTCATGGTTGTACCTACCGATGAATATAAAGGACGAGGAGCAAAAGCACATTTGGTTACTAACATATATCATGATTCCTCCTCAATATGTTCAATATCTTTCTACTATTCAATAAAAGCAATTTTAACGGTATGATTATTTAAATTTACATTATATATCATATTTAGTGAAATTGACATTTTTAAATTACTGGTATCAATTGACAATCAAATAGAATTTAACCTAACAATAATTAAGAGTATTTTTATTAACAGTCAACAAATGTAGGAACGTTGCGTGTGTTACGAAAACTTTTTACGACTGGTGCTGGCGGTGTTGATCAACTGTTTGAAACCAGTGTTCAAGGCGATGATTGGAAATCTGCAACAGTATCAGTTGGACACAGCAGGTATTTCTTATATCATAAGAATGTCAGTAATTGAGTCGGGGCATTTTTTGAAGTTCATTGTACTTCATTACAATGATTGTAAGAGTTTTTTTCAAATTTTCTGCTTAACTACTATAATTTGATAACACTATTTTTACTGTTAAAAAGGATTTCCGAAAGACTAATTAAGACTGTTAACAAATTTTATCCCTTTTCAAAGTTGAATATCGTATATTATATGTAAATTTGTATTGTATAGGGATTTTCAAGTAATATTTGAAGTTGAGAACGCAGAAGATAAATATGGATATGTTGCTATTGATGATGTACAATTTAACAACTGTGCACCAAGTGGAAATTCTGTCTGTTCAGGTGATCAATTCTCCTGCACAGATGGAAAATGTCTCCTCTATGATGAGGTATGTTTCTAATGTCACTATTTGAAAAGTTGACCATTTTTCAGTATTTTGCGCCTGTTTATTTTATATGAATATTTGCTTATATGAAGCAAGCTAAATGAAATAATAGAGATAATCAAGATATCAACATTAATATCTGCCAGACAATTTAGATTTTCTTTGTACCCAAAATGTTTATCATTAATCATTAAATTATACACTACTGTCATTTCTTACTTCTGGAACTAACTGATTTTTTTGCTGTAACTAAAAATTATGTAATACATTCATTTTTTTAAAGGTTTGTGACTACAGAAATGACTGCGATGATGGAAGTGATGAAAAATCGTGTGTTTTGTTACCTGGTGATTGTACTTTTGATTCTGCAGAAGTTTGGACTGATTTATCATCTGGTTCTACCTCAGGATGTCAATATATTCAATATGAAAACAACAATGGAGATTGGCAGCTTTCTACAGGACTAATCAGTTAGTAGATGAAATATTACTGTTTCTAAATTTTATTTTGTGATTACAGATGCCAATATTCTTTAATTTTCGAAAAGAAATTTTGGGGCTCCCGAAGTATGCGAACCAAGATGGCGGACATCGGAATGTAACGCTTGGCTAGTCTTCGAACTGATGATACGACTAAAATAAGGAAAATTGGAAAAAAATTATCGTCTAACCCTAACCTGTTACCCATGTTACGTTCCGATGTCCGCCATCTTGGTTCGCATACTTCGGGAGCACCGAAATTTTATTGTTTGTCTGGATGTATTTGAATAATCATTGGAAGTCCACTTTATTTTTTCAACTCTGCGCAATAGTTATTTTATGTAGAAGATGCCTTCAAATCATGCTTGACGTATAAAATAAGCAAAGTCAATCTTACTAAACATAATACCTTGCAATCCAATAGTATTTTACTCACACTGAGTTATATTCTGTCAGTTTATTATTATCCTCGTCAAATAGTAACTTTATACTCAGAATGGTATAGTCAATGCATTAATTAACACCTATATGAACACTGTTATACTCAAATATCACAAAACTTGCTCAACACAATTGATCATGAATTTCACTGCCAAAAATGTTTTCAGCGTGTTCGTATATAATACAATTTTTTTTTATAATTATATTTTTCAGGTGATCCCTCATCTATTACCGATGTTGCACCCACTGATGATCACACTCAATATGGAAATAATGGAAGATTTGCCTATGTCAATGTAAAACAATATTACGCTGGTGACCTTATGAGATTTTCAACCTCTGCAAGCTTTGCTTCCAGTATTGGTGTATGCAAATTGAGATTTTGGTATTTCATGTCAGGTACTGTATCATTGATATTGTTGTACATTGCTAACTTTTTTTAGTTTTCTTCAATTGTAGGAGAACAATGTACGAGATAATTTTGAGATGTAATTAACATTGGTAATTCACACAACCATAATCGGCCATTTTTATTATATCGCAGGATCAACAGTTTCAACAATACTCAGGGTGTATGTTGTAGAACCTTCTGGATCAAAACACAGAGTAAGCTCTCTTATTGGAAATGCAAGTCCGAATAATGAATGGAACTATGCACGAGTCGACGTTGGTAGTAATACCGATGGCTGGCATGTTGAATTTGAAGCAGAAGCAGGAGATGGTGCACACGACCTTGGTGGTTATATTGCCTTGGATGATATTACATTCTCAGACCAATGCTATGGAGGTGAGTGAAGACATATCACTTCTCTCATTTTTCCCATGGAATTGTGTTGCTCTTATTCCAGAAATAATAGAAGATAATTTTGATTTAAGCTGTATTAGTTTTTAATTTAAAAAGATGCCTACATTTCAACCAAAAACTTGAAAGTAAGATTGTCTCAGTTTGACATTTGTTCTCATTAAACTTTTACTTCTGTTACACATAATACATCTTATATTTCATTTAAACATTTTCATGATAGATTGATCCTCCAATATTATTTATTTTGATTCATATAATCGATCATTACTTTAAGTGCCTTATTTTCAACAACAATTCTCACTCACAGAGCATGCAGTGGCAACCTGTACACCTCAAGAAATATCCTGCAAAGTAGGAGGACAAGAATCATGTATTACAGCTATTTGGCGGTGTGATGGATGGGTGGATTGTGACAATGGCATAGATGAACGTGGTTGTCCAACAAAACCACCAAACACAGGAACAACACCTGATCAAAATGTCGGAAACTGTAAAGATAATGAAGTAAGATTTATTCATATCATTTTTGTTTTTAAATAGAACTGCTTATTTGTAAACACAATCAACCTCTTGTTATACTGGGGAAAAAGACTTTGATCGTTAGAATTTTCATCATGATAAAGGATTCTCATATTTAACGAACGTGTTGATTTGTTCCATCAGTTATCAGTGAAAAAAATTCATTCATTCTGCTCATATATTATTATTCTTTTACTTTTGACATAACAAATATAACTCAAATTCTAAAGATTGAATTTTTGTGAAAAAAGGCATACTTTTGTTGTACTCTGACAACATTAGTTGAGATGATTCATTTTTTACAGTTTCGTTGTTCGGATGACAGCTGTATACCAAGTATATACAGATGTGATGGAGTTCGTGACTGCCCTAGGAATGGTGAAGATGAAAATGGATGTGATTCCTCATCAAACTGCCCTAGCGGGAAGTTCTATTGTACGTCGACATCAACTTGCCTGAGCTCTGAAAAACAATGTGATGGTGTATTTGATTGTGAATCTCAGGTATGTATTTGTATAATGGGAAACTGATTTTAAAAGTCACACAAATTTTTTTTTATAATAATTGATACAAATCATCAAAATTAGTATACTTATGGCATGGAATTTTGGGATTAGTGATTCAGAGAAAAGCATACCCATCAACAAATACCCCGGTTGACATTGGGCCTAAAAATGTGTGAAAGGTATCTTTGGAACGATACATGATGTCTTTACTAGTACCACAGTAATTATATAATATACAGATATAATAGATGATACATATATGAAAGGATGCACAGCTAATTATATCGGTAAAACCCTATGTGCTATATAATAAAATAAAGTTTAATAATTTCTCTTCATAAAATGAGAAATAAAATTGATTTTTCCAATCAACAAACATCGTATGTTCAATTACACCTATATTTCCTTATATTTGTTTTCTCTGATCAATAAAACGTTTGATATAATATACACAGGCTGATGAAAGTTTATGCAATGTCTGTCCTAATAATTACTGTGGTGAGGGAGGAACTTGTGGATTAACATCAAATAAAGCTCCAATATGTACTTGCAAAAGTGGATATGTGGGAACCAGATGCCAAACTAATAGAGAACCCCCTGAAGGAACTGGTGGCTTAAGTGGAGGTATGTGTACGGATGTTCCGAGCACTTATTAGATTGAATGTACTTGCAGATCAATGTTTTTTTTTGTATTTTTGAAAAAGCAACAACACCTTTTCTGCATCTCGAAACAGAGGCAGCATAGACATAAAGAACTAATGGGTTCAGTTTAATATTATATATTAGTCTTACACATAAAGCCATTATTATCAGATCATCAGTCCAGAATAATCATTTTTGTCATAAATTTTGTTCTACAGGTGCAGTTGCTGGAATAGTTCTTGGATGTATTGGTGGTATTGCAGCTATTGGCCTAATTATTATATTTGTTATGAGAAGAGATGGCAATATCAGGTAAATTTCTTTGGTTAAAAATATTGTCATATTTGGTTTTACTGCCCAAGCCATACTTGCCTATAATAACAGTGTTCTAAAAACTTACTTTCTAACCTTAAAAATTTAATTAGTTATTGCACCTTGGGTGTCCTTGCTCGATAACCAATTTTTGTTCCTTGCGGCTTTCCTTCCCCAGTAAAAATTAATTTGATTTTTTGTCAATTTTGCATGTTATTTTTCACTGGATGGAAAAAATAAACTTAACTCTGTCTTTGAGAGATATATTTGAAAAAATAGAGGCTATGTGATAATATTTCGGTGTCTTTGACATACTTCTGGTCCATACTTTGCCTTGATTTTTTATTTTTGCTTGTTGGTTGCTCAAGATGTCTCCCTAACACCTTCCAGTTGTCCCCACCTTTTTGTTAAATTCCTCCCTTTGCCTATTTTCGAACTCTTTATTCTTCCTTCCCTATGCACAAAACTACTCTATTTTCTCAATCTTTAATCGACCCTTTGCTAGTATTATGTGCAACTCAAACTTTGTTCCAGTACAATTTGAGTAGTTTATTATGTGTTCATAAATTAGTAGAATAATAATAACAAAAAACTAAAAAATATTAGTCATACTACAGTGAATATGAAGCAAAATTCCGTCCTAAAAGCGACTGAATTCCTCCACGGTAGGGAAATGCTGCCTCATAATATCTATTTTTCTTCTAAAATTTCTCAGGCGACAAGCTTTACTGGATGAACAAAGTGGACAACGAACATATGACAACCCATTGTTTTCTTCAAGTTCATCTCCTTCATCTGGTGGTGGCGGAGACTACAACTTACAAACTTTTGGTACTCCTACTACCCCTGGAGTAATAGAAACGAGCAAAGGCTTTGAAAATCCATTATTTGGAGATGGCAGTGGTGACGCCACAGTTTATGCTACTTTTGGTAGTTCATCTGAATCTAAAGCTTGATTTTAATTTCTGATCTTTTGTATATAAATTATTGAATTCCTATTTTTGTTCCAGAAGTCAACTAATTTTAGAAATCTTAATGCATTTTTAATTTTGTTATTAGTTTCAAAAAAATATGTTCCATTTTTCTGTTTTATGTTACATTTAAAATTTAACCTGCTCACTCATTTTATTTGTGGATCTTATTCCGTCGTCCATTAATTTTCAGCCATCAAAATGTGCAATTTTATTGAATTTCAGTTCATCAGTGTTCTTTTAAATTTTCTTTTTCTTTGAAATGCCAACTAATTTTATGTTCTTCAAAATCTGTGCAATTTAATGAATATTTTGTTGACTTTTTTGATTTATCATTAACTGAAATAAAATACTGTGACCAATATCATTTTCTGAAAAATTATAGGAAAAGGGGGAATTACATTACTTCAAATATAGCTTCGTGGTCACAACATGACCTATGACCCCAACGAACATGGTTTCATAAAGGTCTTGATACGATGTAAATTACCATGGAGTTCTGTACTTATTGAACTGTTTCAAATCCTTTTTCGTCGGATTTCGAATCATCGTTTGTTCCTAGTCAGGATATGAGATCGTTTAGCATGCTATTCACATGCTCTTTCCGGTGATTTTTTTCATGATTCTCGCTCGGTTTTTCAGAAATGTCCTATCCCAGTTGTACGAATTTCATTTCATATGATTTCCGATGTTTGCTAACGCGTTCTCGCCTTTCCGCAAGAACTTTGTAAACGTTCCGTAATATTTACAATACTCCTCGAACCTTTAAACATCATGATACGTTCACTTTCTATCATACGAATCACGACGCATTAAAAAAAAACATTTGACTTTATTGGCATTGAATTGCCATAGGGAAAGATTTCATGACATATGTACATTTAGTACCTTACCAGAGGTTGTTTTTGAGCACATATACCAGGGGTCGGCAACCTAGAGCCCGCGGGCCAGATCCGGCCCCGGAGTAAAATAATCCGGCCCCCGACGCTTCACGGCATGAATTATAGTGACAAAACGGCTGTTTTTACGATACGTCTTTACGTAAAAGAATTTATTGTGAGACACGTGTAGACTAAATTATATTATATCCTAACAATTTAGTGAACAGCTACGCGTTTACTGAGCTTAGAATTCAATTATAATTAGACAAATGGCGACAAAAATCGCAGAAAAGTCGATGCTGAGTGCAGCGGGTTCAATGGCGCAGAAAATATTCAACGCAATGCAAGGAGGAAATAAAATCCCTAATCTATTGGAGACATGTATCACTGCTTGATTTTCATGGAAAGTATCTTATTAAAAAGTAAAACTCTATCTAAATTGGACAAACCATGTGAACAATTTTTTGGAAGTACATAGTGTACGAACAATTATTTTCGAAAATGAACATTACAAAGAAAAAGCTGAGAACTCAGGATTAATGATGCCCATTTAGAAAATGTTTTAATCTTGGCATGTCGCCTGATGTCGAAAAGCGTGATGCAACAAAAAGTGTCAAATTGAATGTCATTTGTAATTTTCTTTTTCTTTCAGGATTAAGGATGCCCATAATTTTTTTTTTCTTTCAGTAGGACGACTAGGTTGAGTTCACGAGTTGTCGCAGTCTTCTTAATTATAACTTCTGATCTGTGTGAAAAAGTTGTGATTCATCGGCCATCTGTTCGGTTTTTAACTTTCTAAAAATATGTGCGCCCCGCCAAGACTTGCAACCCCTAATTTTAGCCCGTGAGCGACAAAAGGTTGCCGACCTCTGACATAAACGATCATATCCGACACTGCCAGTCGTTCTCTCAGTGTCTATTTTACGAAATTTGGTCATTTTATCAAAAATTTCAACGAGGCAGATAAAAAGTAATTTTGTAGAAAATAGATAGATATTTTGCGACTTATTCGAAATTATTTGCGAACGATTTTGGAAATAATCAACTAATCAATATATATTTATATATAAAAAATTTGTTACAAATTACAATTGAATTGAGAGCTTAACAGTGACATCAATGGACATAAATAAAGCATTATTAATGACGTCATAAATATCATCTTACATGAGATAATATCTAGACCAGACTTTAAATAGTGATTTCGGATTCAATTCAGTTTAATTCGACCCTAACATTAAACCTGAAACAAAAAGAGGAAAAAAAGCCCGCAGTTAGATTCATATTGTTCATACCGTTACGGAATCGTTCCCTCAAGACACTTCATTATTGTTATGAAATAACCACTGATTTAGCACCCAATTTAATGAATCATCCCTGACCCTTGATTGGTATATCAATCGCTATATCCAATTCATCAATACTGTTGAACGATTCACTTGGTGTTAAAAATTCATTGACGTTTGCATAAGATTTCAAAATTGTTAAACGCATCTTCAAGCGATAGTTTTACGATTAATTGTATTTTTGGGGAATACCAAATAACTGGATTACTCAACCGATTTTTCATCCCTTCAGCTATTATACTTTATACTAGCTATTATACAAATATTAGATTACAGGCGTGGTTCTGTTCAAATTTCATTTCATTTTTTTTTTTAATTTGCGAACCAATTATGCTAGTAGTTTTTGAAGCCAAATTAAAAGTAAATTTTCTGATTCGATCAGGGGTATAATCACAATTTTGATAATGTAGAAACCCACGCCCAAACCTAAAAACACACAATTACCATCATTTACGTTAGTCTGGTACCGGCTAATTAAACAGTTTCATTTATTTTTTCTACGAGCTCATTTCGATACGATCAATGATCATCATCGTCATAGGATTACGAATGAAGCGAGCAGTGAAAAGCGTGAAATCGTATTTCGACAAAGTAAGGTTTTATTTTCAACTACCTAGTTTTTGAATGAAAGATAGATAAAATATGCCTAGTTTTGGTTTATGTAAATAATCCGACTAACTTTATAGCGCCATTTTTGCCCGTCTTCAATATAAAATACTAAAGTTCTAATGATGTTCGTAACGTAAACCTTCACTGTATTTAAAATCAATCAGCTCCGTTGATCTTTTTCCAAAATATTTAATTCAGTTACCCGTGAGATTTATGCGCGCATTCACCTTTGATTCCATTATTATCAAATCAGAACTACTGAACTACTGAAGCGAATATTCATTCCCACATCATTTTTTTTTAATTCAAAACGAAATTTGCTCATTTCTGTGCAATAAGTCTAGATTTCACTGCTGGTGGAACTGTTGTCATTATCTTTTACAAATAATTGCATGTTACGGTAATAATATATGCAAAATTTTTACAGCTGTTCTCAGATTTGAATATTCAATATATTTGGGCAAATGTCGCACTGAACTACGTAATCATAGATGACCTGGAAAGTTCGACAAAGCGAGGTTATTTTATGAAATGATATTTTTTATTCAATAATTATAATCATTTGAACCTCCGCGATTTTCGGTTTTGGGGTGAACGAAGCGACGAGATAAAATCTTAGCTAAAGGATGTATTTACTTACATTAGAATCAAACTTGGCCTGCGGAATAAATTTGACAGTCGCGTGCAGTTCTGAAGTACATAGTTAGCCGGGCGATGACTAATGCTATCTCAATGCCTAACATACGTCGTAGTTTCCCACGTATTGTAACCTACAATACTATATTTTTGGTGCATTAATAATTAGTCCATTGTTCGTGCTTTCAACACTGTTTGTGTTGAAGAATAAAATTCGATATTTGATATTTGGAGGCACAGCGACAACATCCTCGGGTATTTTTTGTTATGCCTTTTGTCTCGATAATATAGCGCTTGTATGCTAGAACCTAATCTGTGGATGTAAACCCTGTTAATCCGAGTGAATTCGTTAATTCTGTAACTATTACTTTTCATTCCGTAAATGATTAATCGAAATAGCTTATGTTGTCACATGATAAAGATATTATGCTTGACTAGACTGCGCACTTTCTGTTCGGAGTATAATAGATATTGTGAAACATAATCGATCGACTCTGTTTGCTCAGTCGTTCTTACAGGCAAACCAAACAATGAGGTGCTGGGCGTTGTGTTAGTTTGGATGCTTTACTTGTTTGTATCTGGAAATATTTAAAAGAAAAGCCTGCGAAATGCATCCGGGTGTGGAATACCTGAATAGTAAACGATTGAGCATAATGGCAATATCGGTATGTATATCAAATAAGAAAGACTTACTATTATTATATTATTATTTTATAGGAATACGTACGTCAGACGTCGAGTAATCACAGGCGAACTAACACTTTGTTCATGGCTCACCTCTGCCAGCTTAGACTAATGCGCATCACTTTCATCTTAAGCAACTAATTTTATTGTGTACGGGCAAACTTCATTCAAAAGTTCATAAATAATGGTCCTTATATCAGTTCATATTTATTCGTTGAACCAAGGTAGCCCTGAATGTTTATGATAAAAAGCTCTATGTAACTAAATGATTTTCACGCAGACGTCACAGTTCATATTGGGTTTGCTCTGCATTCTATTTTGGACGGCAAGTACTCAATATTGCAGATATTGCTATGATTCTCATGGATTTGACTGGTCACAATTTTGTCAATGGACAGCGCCTTTACAAGGAGTTTGGGGTGGAATATTTGTACGTATTCGGGTTTTATAATCTCCTTCTAATTTTGTCTCTTTTATATCTCATGGTTTTCTTGTTCACATTTCTTTCCGTCTGCCTCTATCACTTCATGGCTACCTCTTAGTTATTTTTTCGTTTTATAATTTGATTTATTACGTCCAATCAATCTCCCCTTACAAATCTATGTTTCAGGCATTACTTTGTGGGAGCATAGGCGTAGTGCGGGCATGCAAGACGTCAATAGCGGGGGTGAGTAAAATCTAAAAGATTCATTTATTCTATTGCCTTATCTTGGTATTAAATGAAACAATGGCGTTTTCTGTTTGACGCATTAAATATACTGTATATTTTAATAGTATATATATAATAAATAAATTTAATTGCTGGACACAAAATGGACCTATAGGTAGTTATAGTGTTGTTAGAATTCTCCTGGCAGGTATTATGAAAACAATCGGTTTCCCATCTTGCTACTGCATAAATTGCTTTGAAATTTTCAGTGGTTAAAGATTGTTGTTGTCGCTATAAATTAGAAAGCTATTATTTTATTCATTTCAAAAATTTCTGTGGGCTCTACGTTTCTTATGTGTAATGACGTCATCAAAATAAAGAATCGTGGACCTTGGGGCTGTCCCGCGTTCGCGATCGTTGCTATCGTGTGGTCAGGCGAAGTCGGAAGACCAAGGTAACGAAAGTCTACGGTAAAAGATTAGATACCGATACCCGTCTTGACCTTCGTTTCCATATATTTGAGCATTGCTTATTATGTGATTAGTATCGTAGTGCATGTTTGCACATGAAAGTCATTAATGGTTCTGTTGTGAATGTACGCAATAATATCTCATGTTCATATTCATAATAAATTATCTATTTGAACTTGATTCAGAATTCTTCTCACATCGCTGCGTCTGTTTTATCTCTTTTAACCTCGTCGGCAATGGTGGCTTTGGAAATATTATTAATTACTGACAACGTAATCTTTGATGGGACAGCGGATTTCAAAGAACATTGCTTACCTGAAGAAGGAATTATAATTTGGAAGTATTTCCATTATACATTGATAGGAATGGGAGGCTTATGCTTTATATTAAGCATACCCTCTTGCATTATGACAAGTTATGCGCAATGTGGATGCTGTGGAACATATTGTGATACGGAGGTTGGTGGAAGTCGTCGATACATAATCATATTGTAGATGTGATATTGTTACAAAATGTTTGTTATCACAATATTTACGTGATAAGGTATTTCATATAAATATATATGAAGAAAAATTAATGTACAAACATGAATGATATATTTTCAATTGTTTTATTTCAAAATATTCCTTCTTTTGTTACTTTTGGGCCCATTTTGTTTAATATTTTACACGTTAATTACAAATAGATCAAAACTAAAATCAAAATTGTACTAACATTTTGACAATACATTCTAACCCACATCGATTTTACTGAACGCACGCTATACCAATTAACCGAATGCATTGAAAGCAACCCGATTATTAGAATAACCCCCAAAATAGCTTGGGTGCATTCGATGTTTCATGGACTTTCTTTACTTAATATGTCGTATACAATGCGAACAAGAAGTAGCCTGAACATACCTATGTTATTTACTTGATAAAAAATGTTTCAGGCCGACTATGAATATTTAAGAAATGAAGGTATTTCGTATGAAGAACGATTTGCACCACCTCGACACAGTAAGTATTATATACTAATACGTAGTCTAATATTTGAGTGTAATGATTGAACTAACATACAAACATTTGTCTATTAATGCTCTTATCTGTTTTTAGATATAGAACTATTTCAAACCGTACCTAAAATAAACCTTCCTATTTCAAATATATATTCCGGATTGGAATTTCAACTGTGTATTTATTCTCAGCTAAGTTTCGCTTATTCGTTCCAGGTGAAGTTAGAGTACAAGCTTGTGTTCATCATTCATGTAATTGTGAGTTACCTGCTCATCAACAAGAACGATTTCAACAACATGAGGTTGTACATGCTCAAGAACCAAGACGATATGTACCTATCGATGATATTCTACGAATGGATGCAGAAAACGAAGGCGAAGGGGGTGATGATAATTTAATCCAGCTTGAGGACGAACCCGAAACTCGTGAGAATACTAGTGGAAGAACACAAATCAGTGAAAATGCGCAAGATCATCAGGATCCTACGGAACCACCTCCTCCGTATACTCTAACGTAAAATTTATTCAATATTCCATTACTGTGAATTTAATAATGCAACCTTTTTTGACTTTTTGTATTTGTGGTTGATATATATAATGTAATGATTTACTTCGACAATGCTTTTTGGAGATCATGTCGATGGGTGGTCAACCAAGAGTTGAAATTTATTTATTGTTAAATTAACAAAATATCCGACAGTTATTGGATATGGAGTGTACATATGAATTGCTTTGCTAATACTTGCTTGGTTTCTATCGAGGACTTTGGGAAATATAAACTTGGGTAATATATATAGGATTCGTTACCGACCGACAAAACGAAATTAGGCGTCGCTTTCGTTTGATCAACATTAATTATATATTTTTTTTCATATTCGAGTTTTAAAAACCTATAATAGAGACCTAGCTGTACCTGACATTAAAATCCATCACCATGGGATGTTTGCCAGTAGTGCCCAAATATATTTAAGAAACATTGACGACATATAGTTATCTCCCAAAACATGAAAGAGTATCTGAATATAAATAGTCAGATTTTTCTAACAGAGACAGAGTAATATTTGGGTTACTACTTTGTAGCCTAACGTACAATCCACCCTGAAACTTGAATAGAATATCTTTGAATAGGTTAAATCTACTTAAATCTCAAAGTGGCATCTTGTGTTTACGGCAAAATCTGTCCGCACATGTGAACAACCACGAGCTGTGGTTGGCTTATTTTATTTATCCTTATTTAACTGTTATTACTAATTTGAAGCTTGAATAGGATCTTCAACAAAAAGCAATATCTATCAAAAATGTTAAATGCTAACTTCCAAATGCATTGTGCCGAACATTTATCAAAAAAAAACAAGAGAACAAAGCCTAAATATATGGACACGATGGCCAAAACGAAATATTTTAGTCACGATGTCCCCAGAAATCTTACCCTGGAGTAGGATGAAACTCGTAATTTACATCGGAGCATCGTAACTTACCAATCCCGACTAGTAGGTCCTAGCTGTACCATGTCCTGAACCGATGACGATTCATGCATCTAGTGCCAATGTGGATTAAAATACTAAATGATCACAACTGCAATATCAAATATTTTACAGTAACTTAACGCAGAGGTGCACAACACTGGCACGCCATACGCTCAAACGTGGCACTATATGATAAAATTTTCGGAAAGCTGAGAGAAAATTTGGTGGTGAAACTAAAAAATTCTATGGGCTTGTAACAGAACGTATTTAAAAAGCCCATGGTGGAAAATGAAAACGCCATTGCCGCATCTTATGTTGTAGCAAAAATAATTGCTTGCTATTCGAGGCCATTAACAGATGGCGAGTTTGCTCGAGAATGCATTCAAGACGTGGCAGAGTTGATAGTCCCAAGCAAACCCATCTTTTTTTTAAAAAAATCAGCCTTTTAGGGACTAGCCATTGCTAGAAGAATTGAAGAAATTGGCGAAAATCTTAATGAGCAACTGCAATCGAAAGTAGATGACTTCAAATATTTTTCACTTGCTTTTGATGAAAGCTGTGATAAGGGTGATACTGCGCAATTATCAGTTTTCATCCGCGCTGTAGCAAAAGACCTATCTGTTCATAAAGATGTTGTTCTTCTTTATGATCCAACACGTGGGGAAGATCTTGAAGATTGTGCGTGGCACGCGACAAGATTATATTGAAAAATTTGGCACGTATCCTCGTTTGGGTTGTGCATCCCTGACTTAACGTATATAGTCTACAGTACACTCTACAGTGGCACGAGATTGCAAAATCAAAACGAAAGACAGCCGCTGGGTGGAATAAAAACTGTGTTACCGTGACTAAATATTAAACAAAGGAATTTTGTGTGAATCATCAAATCTTAAGGAAATAATAGGTAGATTACGAACTTCTAATCCTCTAGCCTTCCAACGACAACAATAATCTATAATCACTAAATATTCCAAAACAATTGGTCCAATATTCAAAGTGAAAGGCGATTTTTTCACAAGAAGATGGTGGAAAAAAAATACTAACAACAAGAACAACATAATACCAAATCGATTTCGTCGTTTCGCGTCGCTTTCGTTTGATCAACATTAATTATATATTTTTTTTCATATTCGAGTTTTAAAAACCTATAATAGAGACCTAGCTGTACCTGACATTAAAATCCATCACCATGGGATGTTTGCCAGTAGTGCCCAAATATATTTAAGAAACATTGACGACATATAGTTATCTCCCAAAACATGAAAGAGTATCTGAATATAAATAGTCAGATTTTTCTAACAGAGACAGAGTAATATTTGGGTTACTACTTTGTAGCCTAACGTACAATCCACCCTGAAACTTGAATAGAATATCTTTGAATAGGTTAAATCTACTTAAATCTCAAAGTGGCATCTTGTGTTTACGGCAAAATCTGTCCGCACATGTGAACAACCACGAGCTGTGGTTGGCTTATTTTATTTATCCTTATTTAACTGTTATTACTAATTTGAAGCTTGAATAGGATCTTCAACAAAAAGTTAAATGCTAACTTCCAAATGCATTGTGCCGAACATTTATCAAAAAAAAAACAAGAGAACAAAGCCTAAATATATGGACACGATGGCCAAAACGAAATATTTTAGTCACGATGTCCCCAGAAATCTTACCCTGGAGTAGGATGAAACTCGTAATTTACATCGGAGCATCGTAACTTACCAATCCCGACTAGTAGGTCCTAGCTGTACCATGTCCTGAACCGATGACGATTCATGCATCTAGTGCCAATGTGGATTAAAATACTAAATGATCACAACTGCAATATCAAATATTTTACAGTAACTTAACGCAGAGGTGCACAACACTGGCACGCCATACGCTCAAACGTGGCACTATATGATAAAATTTTCGAAAAGCTGAGAGAAAATTTGGTGGTGAAACTAAAAAATTCTATGGGCTTGTAACAGAACGTATTTAAAAAGCCCATGGTGGAAAATGAAAACGCCATTGCCGCATCTTATGTTGTAGCAAAAATAATTGCTTGCTATTCGAGGCCATTAACAGATGGCGAGTTTGCTCGAGAATGCATTCAAGACGTACGTGAGTTGATAGTCCCAAGCAAACCCATCTTTTTTTCAAAAAAATCAGCCTTTTAGGGACTAGCCATTGCTAGAAAAATTGAAGAAATTGGCGAAAATCTTAATGAGCAACTGCAATCGAAAGTAGATGACTTCAAATATTTTTCACTTGCTTTTGATGAAAGCTGTGATAAGGGTGATACTGCGCAATTATCAGTTTTCATCCGCGCTGTAACAAAAGACCTATCTGTTTATAAAAATGTTGTTCTTCTTTATGACCCAACACGTGGGGAAGATCTTGAATACGCTTCACTATAAAATTCCAAATTTACCTATATTCAAATTGGTTCCAAAGATTGTGCGTCGCACGCGACAAGATTATATTGAAAAATTTGGCACGTATCCTCGTTTGAGTTGTGCATCCCTGACTTAACGTATATAGTCTACCTACAGTACACTCTACAGTGGCACGAGATTGCAAAATCAAAACGAAAGACAGCCGCTGGGTGGAATAAAAACTGTGTTACCGTGACTAAATATTAAACAAAGGAATTTTGTGTGAATCATCAAATCTTAAGGAAATAATAGGTAGATTAAGAACTTCTAATCCTCTAGCCTTCCAACGACAACAATAATCTATAATCACTAAATATTCCAAAACAATTGGTCCAATATTCAAAGTGAAAGGCGATTTTTTCACAAGAAGATGGTGGGAAAAAAAATACTAACAACAAGAACAACATAATACCAAATCGATTTCGTGCCCCAAAAATGGCGCAACCTACGCATATTAGATGAATTTGCTTCCCTGAACCCAACTGTAATCATTCAAAAAATTGATTCAAATTTTAAACATATTATATATATACATATATTCAATTAATCAGAAAAGCCATCGGGTTGAAGTGAGCATGTGATACCATATTGGTTTTTCTCACATGAAAAGTTCTCGATTTATATGTTCACATATTTTTTGAAACACGCGCAAATGTAAATGAACTTATAATAGCCAATACTCGAACAACCTGAAGTAACTATGTAACCTACATAAAATGTGTAAAAGGCGAAACCCTGGAGGTTATTGCGTCGATTTAAAACATGAGTACATCGTAGTATTCAAAGAAAAATGATCGAACGGGAAACTAGTTGAATTCAATTTACGCTAAGTATTAAGGGCATGCCCACGGAAGATGTATTTGGATTCATACCTAATTCAGATATTTATTTCGTCGTTCATGAAACATTGTAAACATTGTCATTTTGTCAACGACACCATGCTCGCCGAGTTGAAAAGCAGACGTTAAACAAACACCAATGATAAAATTAGAATATATCAACATGGCATGACATGTCTAATTTAGACGATAAATCAATGATCAAATATATAAAGACGAAAGCCAAAACGAAATTTTCAATCAACCAATTATTGGCATGAACTATAAACGGAGGTAGAGCATCTGAACCAGCACTGTATGGAACTTCAACTGTCACATCTACATTGCATAAACTAGATTTTTCTTTCTAAAAGGGACAGAGGAAACCATTTGAATAGCCGGAAATCCATAAATGCGAAATTCAATTTACCTGTGCGGTAAGAGATGATTCTGACTTTCGCCCTCCGACGCACGAGTATTGGCGAATGACTATTTGGCGTACCGCGTATATCAGAACAAATCGCAATCTCAAAAAATCCATATAAATATATATCTATTATCCGTACGTTTCGTTATAAAAATACAGTTACGATCGTAGTGCAGTTTGTATTGTTGAAATTATATTGACTTAATTAAATATTTCAGGTCAAATAAAACTTCATAATATTTGTGCTTTAATCAAAACGATAGCTATGATGTCGAAGACAATGCTGGTCCTTTGTGCTCACTTACTGATCTCATTTGGTGACACTTCGGGCGAAAGTGAGCATATGATCTGCAAAAAAATCAAAAACGTTTTTGAGAGCGATATTCATCAACCTTCGAACAGTTCACCTTCACGTGTTCAGCAGGGTCACCCCGGTGAAATTGGACCGAAAGGTGAAGTGGGACCACAGGGCCCCTCTGGAAATCGTGGACCGATTGGCGTCGTCGACTACGAACTTGTAAACTCGACTACAAGAGAAATAGTTTCTAAAGGTATGCACAATATAAATTGTTATACCTGTAGGCTATCTGATTTTTTCAATTCAAATAATAAGTTATAACAAGTCTTTTGCTCGCTCATTTTGTTTTAAAGTAAAACAATTGAATGGCCACATACTATTCGTATCATCGTAAAACAAATCTTGTTATTCATTTCATCTTTATATTCAAAGCTATTTCGGACTTACACGAAAAAATGCAACGAGAATGGAATGAAAAACTTGGAAGACAAGATGAAAAATACCAATCTATTGTGGCAAGTTTGAAACAACCATTAGGTGTTTATATAGTTAAACTTATTCTACTTATATTGTCATCAATTTTTCTTTTGCTTTGCTAATAAAGTTATAATATATTTTGGATATATTCACGCCTTTTCAGATTCGAGATATATTCTGATAGAAAATATTGCACCCAGAGCTTGACAATATATATATATATATTGCATAGTAAGCAATTTTTATTTAATTCGACACTTAATTTCATTTGCCTCTTTTGGAAAAAAATGCCACCACAATAAAGCTTAATTATGCAAGTATACCCGAGGTTCGACAAATAGTGCTGCCTTTTATCATGCGTTAAATTGTATAACTAACCATGATAATATTGAAATCATATACCCTATTAATAATTATGATTTCGTAATTTATTATACGTTACACATTTATTATATTGCTCCCAACAGTTAACTAAAAAAACATTTCAGGTCCCTGTGTAATAGCTTTTGGTGGAATTTGCAGTTTTATCTTGAAAGGAGGATGGAATTGGTCAACATCCCTATTGAAATGCACTAACGTAGGCGCGCACCCAGCTGATATTTTTGACAAAGAGCATTTGAACTTACTGAAGAATTATATAAGAAAAATCGCAATGTTGAAAACTGACAGCTGGGTGGTGTATTACACTGGGATGCAGTACAACGTGCAGGTATATAAATACAGTGTTTTTGTATTAACATAGTGATTGAAGTTGCACACACTGAAACAAATTTATTTTATTATAGAAAAAAAACACACTGATTTGTGATTTGAAGGAGAAATATTAAATCTTATGTATAGGTTTCTTCCTACACAACTTGTAAGTGGAGCAAGTAGTTGTAAATGTGTAGAAGTGAAGTGAACTATGTTTCACTGTTGAGCATATCTTGCACGTATAATAGTTCACAATTGAAAAACAATATTAGGTGCTTGTTTTTCACATAGTGGCCATGACTACATGTAGCTCTCTAAGACAGACTTGATAAACAAATCCCGACCTCATTGTTTTTTATTCTTTCAGACAAAACAATCAATACTTTACAATGGGGCCAACGGTGGTTATGTAGAATGGTATCCAGGTGGCATTGAACCACAAAGTTTATCGGAAGACCATCGTGTTGTTCTTGGAGTTCGTAAAGATGAAACTCAGAAAGAAGGGATGTTCACCCGCATGGAAACGAAAAGCTATCATGGAGTTATTTGCCAGTTTGAGATTTGATATTTACATAAATATAATAATGCCATCTGCACTATACGTTCCAAACGGGACCAAGGACACGCAGATGGGGACACCCATACCCCTATAGAACAACAACAGCATCTAGAAATACAATTCACAAGTACAATTTGCGTTCGAAAGTCTTCCCTTTTACCTTTTTCGGTTAATTTTATGCTATGACGCGGATATAATACAACTTTTCACTTTTAATCAGTTGTTTCTTGACTATACAAAATTAAAAGTTTCCAAATTACTTTATGTATAGATTATATAGAAATTGTCCTGCCAAATAAATGTATCGACTTTTCGCGGCTACAAAAAGTAATTACTATTATGTTGAATGTAATTTAATAACTACATAATTATATACACTAGAAAATATAATGCAAAGCTATTAAAATGGTTTGTATTGAAATATATGGTTTATTATTCTTTGTATTCACAAAAATACAATGATTTTGAATTTACTGATTATCATCATGTCGTTTAAAGTGCATCGGTTTGATGAATAAAATTACCAGTTGATGAAAAATACTCAAACCAACTTATTTATGAGATATGTTAGTCGTTCTCACAAAATCAAAAACATGTTTTGAATTGAAGTTGCAGCAGATGTTGCAAGAATGACTGCTTCCGACCACCCTTGTTTTATAACGAAGCATATTTAAAGTAGACTTATGTAGATAGGGTAATCTAAGAATATACCTGTCATGTATGTTCGCGTTATATCGCTAATTACCAACTAAAGTGTGAAGTCATTTGGTATGACAACCCTAAACGTCAATGACAAACGTGACTTGATCAAAACCATACTTCTCACGCGATGTTTCGTAAATGAGTTTAAATCAATGACTGCATTTCATACTTCAGATAATGCCGCAAGTATACGTGCGCATTTGCAGAACCTCCAAAATCAAGGCCCCCGTGCGATTCTTGTCGACAAGTTAGTTACGTTATAGTATGCACGTTGTGTTGCACAGTATATTTTGCGGGGGAGATCTGGCCTCAATTTAGTCTTAGGTTATTTTAGAAAGTCCAAGTTGCGCTCGTAGTGCAGTTTGCATAGTTCAATTGGATTGAAATGAAAAACTCAGGTACTCGTACCTCGGTGTCTGTCGGGTATAATGTTTCAGCGATAGGAAACAGCGACAGCTATAAATTTATATTGTGTTTTATCTAGTAAGAAGAAATTATACTAACATTTCATTTTACCTATTAAACATTTCAGGTCAATTAAAACTTATAATATTTGCGTTTTAACCAAAAGGATAGTTATGATGTTGAAGACAACGCTGGTCCTTTGTGCTTACTTACTGATCACATATGGTGATTCTTCGGGCGAAAGTGAGCATATGATCTGCAAAAAAATCAAAAACGTTTTTGAGAGCGATATTGATCAACCTTCGAACAGTTCACCTTCACGTATTCAGCAGGGTCGTCCCGGTAAAATTGGACCGAAAGGTGAAGTGGGACCACCGGGCCCATCTGGAAATCGTGGGCCGATTGGCGTCGTCGACTTCGAACTTGTAAACTCGACTACAAGAGAAATAGTTTCTAAAGGTACACACAATATAAATCGTTATGCGTGTACCTGCAATTTCCAGTTCTGATAATAAGTTATAACATTTTTTTTGCTCAATCATTTTGTTAAACAGTTGAATGACCACATACTATTCGTATCATAGTAAAACAATTCTTTTTATTCATTTCATCTTTATATTTGAAGCTATTTTGGACTTACAAGAAGAAATGCAACGAGAATGGAATGAAAAGCTGGAGAGACTAGATGAAAAATACCAATCCATTGTGGCAACTTTGAAACAACCATTAGGTGTTTATAGTTAAACTTGTTCTACTTATATTGTCATCAATTTTTCTTTTGCTAATAAAGTTATAATATATTTTGGATATATTCACGCCTTTTTAGATTCGAGATATATCCTGATAGAAAATATTGCAGTCAGAGCTTGACAACATATATATATATATAATATTTTACATAGTATGAAACTTTTATTTAATTCGACACTTAATTTCATTTGCCTGTTTTAGGAAAACAGCACCATAGTAAATGTTAATTATACAAGTATACCCGAGGTTTGACTAATAGTGCTGTCTTCCACATGCGTTAAATTGTATAACAAAACATGATATTATTGAAATCGTATATCCTATTAATAATTATGATTTCGTAATCTATTATACGTTACACATTTATTATATTGCCCCCAACAGCTAACTATAAAACATTTCAGGTCATTGCGTAATAGCTTATGGTGGAGTTTGCAGTTTTATCTTGAAAGGAGGATGGAATTGGTCAACATCCCTATCAAAATGTACTAACGTAGGTGCTCATCCAGCTGATATATTGGACAACGAGCATTTGAACTTACTGAAGAACTATATAAGAAAAATCGCAATGTTGAAAACTGATAGCTGGGTGGTGTATTACACTGGGATGCAGTACAACGTGCAGGTATATAAATATGGTGTTTTCGTATTAACATAATGAATGCTCACTGCAACGAATTACTTCTAATTTAAAAAATAAACAAAAATTCGAAAAATTATAGCTTGTTTCATTTGCCACAAATTGAAGGAGGAATATTAAATCTTTTGCATAACTTCCTATACGACTTTGAAAGCGAGGCTTGTAATTGTGAATGTGCTGACATGAAGTGAACTCTGTTTTACTTACAAGAATGTCTTTCATGTTTGATAATTCATAATTGAAAAACTACTTTAGGCGCCTATAATGTAAATTTTCTCTAAAATGGTTGTGCATGACTATATGTAGAAACTCAAAAACGCACTTGATAAACAAACACCGACCACAATTTTGCATGCTTTCAGGCAAAACAATCAACGCTTTACAATGGAACTAACGGTGGTTATGTAGAATGGTATCCAGATGGCAATGAACCACAACAATCATCGCAAAACATGCACGTTGTTCTTGGAGTTCGCAAAGATGAAAATCAGAGCGAAGGAATGTTCACCCGCAGAGAAACGAATAGCTATCATGGAGTTATTTGCCAGTTTGAGATATAATATATACATGAATATAATAATGCCAGCTACACTATACGTCCCGAGTATGCATAAAATGAAACTCAGAAATATATATTATCATACAGATTCCTATTTCTCAAAGTATGATGTGACTGGAGCTAGTTCACCAAATAGATAACGTCCCTGTTGTGTCACATATGGCTATGGTTATATAGCCCACAAACACCCAGTGAATAATAAGGTAGCACAAATAGTATACATGTACAAAAATAAACTCGTGATCAAGAGTGAAAGTTTTCGACTTTTCTTACGTCAGTATCATTGCGCCAATAGTTGCAATGCTTTTTTGTTTTGAAAAACAAGCATTTTTCATTTTGGTTCAATTTTGCAGAGGAAGTTATGACAGTATGACATAGCAAATTTTATAGGAAACGCCAAAACCAAAACCATAGTTAACCTAATATCATAGTCTACTGAATATAGTTCGCTCATGGCCGGTTCGCTACGCATGAGTGATGCGTTACTACGTGACCAGTTTGCTATATTTTGAAGCTTACGGAAGAGGATTTCCGTTCGAATTTATTTGCGTATTTGCAAGATTTTTGTTGGTTGAAATAACTGAAAATATATATTGAGGCATTAGGATAAAGTAGGGGGTCTGGCTACTGCCACGACGAGCGTTATAGGCTCGCGACGAAATCTCGGTCTCGTGTGATTACACTTGTGTTTTCTCCCAAAGAGCCCTCAATAGCATTCGCGGCAGACATCAAACACCGTAAACTCAGCTTGAATATTCAGAAAGCGAAGACGGCGTTATTGCACCATTTTATTATTGGTGCCGACTGCCATCTTACAGGCGATTTTTCGATTGCAACAATCTTGATTTTTTGAAATAGTGAAACATTCTTTATTTTAAATTAGATGACTTTTCGAGTTCTCCCGGAAAATGCTGAGTACCCGACGTTGGACGATGAAACATTATTTGCGATTAATTTAGATAAAATTTTACCTTTCGCTACACCCGGTTTCCGAAAATACGAAGTTATAACGCAAAATAATGCGTTTTGTTACATTTATTTTGCGCTGCAAATAAAATACATATATATATCTTGGATTTCGAGTCGCTGATAAAACCGTTCTGATTAGCTCCATGATGTTTAAAATGCATTGATTTGATGAATGAAATTACAAGTTGTTGATGAAACATACTTAAATCAACTCTTATATGAGACATGTTAGTTGTTCACAAATAATCATCAACATGTTCTAACGAGCGAGAAAAATTGACGTTGCAGCAGATGTTGCAAGAATGACTGCTTTCGACCACCCTTGTTTTATAACGGACCTTATTTAAAATTAACTCATGCAAAAGAGGTTAGCTAAGTATTTAATATCCCTGTTATGTATGTTCGCGTTATAATGATAATTACCAACTGAAGTGTGATACTTGTAAAGTCTTTTGGTATGACGACCCGGAACGACAATGGCAGGCAGGTCTTGAACAAAACCATACTTCTCACGCGATGTTTCGTGAATGAGTTTAAATCTATGAGCGCTTTTCATACCTCGGATAATGCCGCAGCCCGCAAGTATGCACATTTTCAGAGCTTTAATATTCATGGTTCTCGTGCTATTCTTGGCAATAAGTTAGTTACGTTATAGTATGTACGTTGTGTTCGAATTGCACAGCATATTTTGTGTTGAAGATATATATGGCCCCAATTCAGTCGTATGATTTTTTTCAGAAAGTCACAGTTGCGCTCGTAGTGCAGTTTCACCAGTTTGTATCGTCGAATCAAGTTGAAATGGAAAACTTTAATACTCAGGTATTGGTGTCTGATATATCACTGTTTCATCGATAGGTCCAAAATAATATTTTGCTTTATTTAATAAGAAGAAATTATACTGACTTAATTAAACATTTCAGGTCAGTTCAACTTATTATTTTTTTGGTTTAACCAAAACGATAGTTATGATGTTAAAGAAAATGCTGGTCCTTTGTGCTTACTTACTGAATTCATTTGGTGATTCTTCGGGCGAAAGTGAGCATATGATCTGCAAAAAAATCAAAAACGTCTTTGAGAGCGATATTAATCAACCCTCCGACAATTCACCATTACGTATTCAGCAGGGTCGCCCTGGTAAAATTGGACCGAAAGGTGAAGTGGGACCACTGGGCCCCTCAGGAAATCGTGGACCGATTGGCGTCGTCGACTACGAACGTGTAAACTCAACTACAAGAGAAATAGTTTCTAAAGGTATGCACAGTATAAATTGTTATACGTGTAGGCCACCTGATTTTTTCAATTCTAATAATAAGTTATAACAAGTCTTTTGCTCGTTCATTTTGTTTTGAAGGTAAACAATTGAATGACCACATACTATTCGTATCATCGTAAAACAATTCTTTTTATTCATTTCATCTTAATATTCAAAGCTATTTCGGACTCACAAGAAGAAATGGAACGAGAATGGAATGAAAAACTTGGAAGACTAGATGTAAAATACCAATCTATTGTGGCAAGTTTGAAACAATCATTAGGTGTTTATATAGTTAAACTTATTCTACTTATATTGTCATTAATTTTTCAATGATTTCAGACTTTTTGCTGATAAAGTTATAATATATTTTAGATTTTCCACGCCTTTTCAGATTCGAAATATATACCCATAAAAAATATTGCACCCAAAGCTTGACAATATATATATATATATATTGCATAGTAAGCTATTTTTATTTAATTCGACACTTAATTTCATTTGCCTGTTTTGGAAATATGCCACCACAATAAAGCTTAATTATGCAAGTATACCAGAGGTTCGACAAATAGTGCAAAAAAATTATGATTTCGTAATTTATTATACGTTACACATTTATTATATTGCTCCCAACAATTGATTATAAAACATTTTAGGTCACTGCGTAATAGCGTATGGTGGAGTTTGCAGTTTTATCTTGAAAGGAGGATGGAATTGGTCAACATCCCTATCAACATGTACTAACGTAGGCGCTCACCCAGCTGATATTTTTGATAAAGAGCATTTGAACTTACTGAAGAATTATATAAGAAAAATCGCGATGTTGAAAACTGACAGCTGGGTGGTGTATTACACCGGGATGCAGTACAGCGTGCAGGTATATAAATACAGTGTTTTCGTATTAACATGATGAATGAAGTCGCGCACACTGCAACAAATTTTAATGCTTGGTTTCTTCCTATACGGCTTGGAAAGTGAGGCATGTAATTGTAAACGTGCTGAAACGAAGTGAATTCTGTTTTACTGTCGAGCAATTATTTTACCCGTATAATAATTCATAATTGAAAAACAATTTTAGGTGCCTTCAATGTAAATTGTCTCTAATAGACCAGTAGCTCTCAAAGACTCAAAGACATCTTTGATGAACAAATCCCAACGACAATTTTTCATGCTTTCAGACAAAACAATCAACACTTTACAATGGGGCCAACGGTGGTTATGTAGAATGGTATCCAAATGGCCATGAACCACTACAATCATCGCAAAACAAGCATGTTGTTCTTGGAGTTCGCAAAGATGAAAATCAGAACGAAGGAATGTTCACGCGCAAAGAAACGGATAGCTATCATGGAGTTATTTGCCAGTTTGAGATATAATATATACAAGAATATAATAATGCCAGCTGTACTATACGTCCCAAGTATGCATAAAATGAAACCCAGAAATATATATTATCACACAGATTCCTATTTCTCAAAGTATGATGTGACTGGAGCTAGTTCACCAAATAGATAACGTCCCTGTTGTGTCACATATGGCTATGGTTGTTCTATAGCAATATTTAGGCAAACAATCTGACAAATTGGAGCTGTTTGTAAATATATATATATTCACCATTAAGAGTGAAAACTTCTATTGAACTTATTTTCTGCGTCTGAAAAACTTTCGCCGTCCGACAAACCTCCTGGTATATGGCAAATTTGGACGTTATAGTTATACATTTATTATTGGACGAATCTATACTGAAACCCAGTTAACAAGATTAAAAGCTGTGTGCTGTATGATAACGTGTGCCCTAAGTTAATAGACTCAAGTAAAATGTATTGAATATAGGAGTATTTTGTGGTTTTATCGCCCACAAACACCCAGTGAATAATAAGGTAATACAAATATTATGTACAAAAATAAACTCGTGATCAAGAGTGAAAGTTTTCGTCTTTTCCTACGTCAGTGTCATTGCGCGAATAGTTACAATGCTTGTTTTGTTTTGAAAAGAAGCATTTCTCGTTCCGGTTTAATTTAGCAGAGAAGGTTATGACAAAGCAAATTTTATAGGAAAAGCCAAAACAGAAACATATAACAAAATAGAAAATACTGCGTCACGATTAAGACGTCACAATAACTATGAAAACAATCACGCTATGTGTTCAACAACATAAATGTTGGATGTTAGTATTTTCATTTTTTTTCTCCATTCCCAATTGTAAATAACTTTTCATTTTATACTTATTCAATACAAAATTATTTTTTGTAGCAGTTAAGCGGCATGCTTGATTAGTCTAACGGCATAATATTACTTGGCCTATGGTAGTTAAAGAGAAAGAATTTGTAAAATATGTGTAAATCTTTTGACTGTTTTCGTCATCGTAGTCGAATCTGGTAAACACTTTCGATTCAGACATCGTTAGCTGTGATGTCATGCTCGGCTTTCAAATAATCCATGATTTTTGAAGATATTTTTAAATATTTTTGAACTTTGGCTTGAGCAATATAGTGACATTCAAATCTAATTCCAGGGGAATTTTGTTTCTATTTGCAGCAGTTTTACTAATACTATTTTCATTATTACTATACCACTTGATTATGCACACATGATAAACTCAACTACTTAAGCTGTGCAAGAACGGGAGCTAAGTTTACTTAAAAAATAAATAAGTTACTTTTTATTCATAATGAGGGGAAAATAAGTTCCAAAATAGACGAAGGGGGAATTTAATAAAAAGATTGAGAATCATTTCAATAATTCCTCCAATTTAAAATTGCATTGATAAAATTAGAAAAAATTCTAGCAGTAATTGCTAGCAATCAGTTTCATAACAACGGTTATCAACATATTGAAAGCCTACAAATTTCAAAACAACTCTGCAGCCTCGGAATGAAACCACTGATACAGAATATCGGCTATTAATTTCTACATTTATGTCTTAAATTTTAAACAATATTCAAAAATAAGAAAACAGAGTGGTAAAAAATGATTTTCTTACTTTTGTCTTTAGCTATAATTACAATATACAAGAGTCCAGTACTTCTTCATGTATTTCTCGTAATCAATCCGGCACGCTTATTTTCAGGCGTGGGAATTCTGCGTGATATTCCTCAAAAAGTAAGCGAAAGTTTTTTCACTGACGTAAACAAAAGTGCATTCATAAACAGCAAAGACGCTTGTAAACATTTGTTTTAACATATTTTACAAGCATGAACTGTGACAAAACAATTTCGACAAAAAACGAGAACCGCGAGACGATCAATCAATTGACCCTAACATGAAAATTGATTAGTTAAAATATGAATTTATATAATTAATCGATGTTTGGAGAAAAACTTAACCAGTACAAGCTTCTCGTAATTCTGTAGGGCATACTCGTATCTCTGTTTGATCGACATTGAACTGATTTTATGTAAACCATTTAGTTTTTCCACCAATTCCAATTTATTTGAAAGGGCTTTTTTTCGCTACTCTCGGTTGGACGACAGGCGGTCTTTTCATATTGGGATGAGGTCGAAATTGTCTTTTGTTTAAACTATACTATAACAAAAATTTACCGCATTTAAATATATAGTCGCTATTATAATGTAAAAGATAAGTTGCGCTATGGTAATTATCAAATTAATTTTTTGACGTTTCGTGTCCAGGGCAGTTTACGTTTTTTAAGGCCTTCTAATAAGTTGTTGTGGATAAGTGTAAACAACTGATTCCGCTTTATGCCTAATTTTTTTCCTGTTTTATGTTTAGATTTAGAAAACAACAATCGGAGTCACGTACGATTCTGGCGAAATCCAAATACGTGAATACTGTTTTTTTTTCAAATTTTAATTATCAGGAAAGGGGAGGAGGGATTGTATTTTTTCCCCTTTTTCTGCAAATCTGCAAACATGAAAATATTTAACCGTATGAACTATAAATATAATAAAAAACCTTCAAATTAGGGTGTTTCAATTTGCTTCCAGTCTAACTTGTATCTTGTACACCATCTGCTACACTTTTGCTTGGTCACTTGCAACATTTGAGGACATGACATTTTGTTAAAATATTCCACTTTTAAAAAATATTTCCATTTCAACGCATTGATAGTTAAGAAACTAATTACAATTTTTTCCACTGACTAATTTTACGTGGCATAGAAAAGTTATAGATCCTGACATTCTGTTCATTTCTGTTGTACTGCATAAAATCATATGGTTTTAATTTACCACCAAATTCACAGTAAATTTATCATTATTTTTATAAGAGAGACCTATGCATGGTCGGAGAATATCACATGGCCTTAGGGCGATCTATTGTGTTAACATTGAAGCAACGTCACAACCGAAAGTGAGTAGAAAAACAAAACTAGAACTATTTACATCTTTTAGGTACGAAAGAATAATTAAAATAAATTAATGTGATCCGAAGCACGCGCTCAAACAAATGATCACTCAAAGTGATGCCATTTGCGGAAATGATACCGCTTACGTAAACTGTTTTGAAAACAACGTTACAAAGAAAATACGTGCCGTTCCTATATTATTATTCCATTTTTAAAATAAGATAAACAATGCGGATTGATACATTTGAAAATGTATATAAGATCACCTATCAGAAAACGAGACAAACAGTTTACTTGACTCTCTCTAGTAAAGATCTACAAATAAGACAACTTCGAAATGGGCTACTCTATGCTAGTTCTTGCTGCTCTATGCTCCGTAGCATTTTGTCAAAGCTGCAATTTTACAAACCCAGCAAAAAACATTAATTGGTTGAAGGTAAGTTTATTGCAATGTTTTTATTAATAATCTAAATCTGTTATTTCCAATCTTTTTGTTAAATTTCTACTTTGCCTATTTTGCAATTCCTAATTCCTCACTGTGCATAAAACTACTTGATTTGTTCAAATTTAATGAATCCTTTGCTAGAGATATGCGCAAGTCGCAATCCCGTTTTTGTACTTTTCAAGTATAGTTTGTTAAATATGTGTTCATGAGTGAGTTATAAATACAATAATATTATCAATACTACGGCGAATACAAAGCAAATCCCCTTCCCCAAAACCCCGATTCTTCCCAGGTTGAGAAACGTTGATTCAAATGGAATTACCTTCTAATTACCTTGAAAAAAAAATGGGATAACATATTGACATGGTGTCGCATTATATGAATAAACCTTTACACCTACGTTCAAAACAAGTTTTACAGGATATTCTAAATCTAGCAAAGTGATTGAATGATAACTTATTGGTCTTATTTTATCAAAGGTTAGAAACGGACCATGGAAATGGGCAGCTTACACGGATGACGAATTCACACAACCTCTCTTATGTTCCGATGTTTCAATTGAATCACAAGATGATCTCGCCTTCATAGACATGCAATACGGGTAAGGATTTTTTCCACCGACGTCATTTTATGTGTAGGGAGTTAGCGCTAAGTAGACCTTTTTCAAATCTACACTTCAATTATACACTATTGTTGTCTGATGTAGTCGACATTGTGTAAAAGAATCGGAATTTTGACCTTATTAGATCTGCGATTTATTTAGGCGCTGTAAAAGTGATTATGAGTAACTCTACCAGAATATACTGATTTTGCCATATTTTCATTCATTTCTTTGTCTCATTTTAGAGCCATGAGACATCAAATTTACACACTGCGGGGACAACGTATTGGCACAGGAGAATACATTCTTGATGACTTCAGTAAGTATTTATAGCGATGAAGCATATTTTATAGTCGAGATAGTTCATTGCATTCAAGATAAACTTAAATATTATATCAATGGAGGAAACCTCTTGATGATGTTAAGATTAATAATATTGTTTATTTATTACAATTGTAATATTTTTTCAATCAGGTCAATCGTGGAGAAGCATTGTAAAATACACAGTCAAAGGATCAGAACGAACAAAACTTCTTAACAGCGGTAAGAAAATTAAAAAAAAAAAATTTTTGAAATGAAGTTTACTCACAGTCTATTTTTTCTCCCTCCTACATTTTAACGCATAAGTACCGTCACTAAAAAAGTAAAGGCTGGGATAACAATAGGCGACCATAAGATGAATAATGAATTCTCTGTTGCTCTAGCTAAGCACTATATTGATCAAAGCATCATGGTTTTATTTTATACTCATTAACTTACAGAAACCGAGGAGCCAAAGAAAGACCATGCTGTTTTCTATACTGACTACAGAAACTACTTTATCGCAGCTATTTGCATGCCGAACGGTGAGTATTTTAGTTCCTTAGTTCCTGATTTGCTTCTCTCTGTGGGCATCGCTATATATATATATATATATATGCTGGCTTATATATGGCTGGTTTTTGCTACGACCCATTTATTCATGACTCGTGGCAACTGTATAGAATACCTCTAACTAAAAGGATTCCGGTTCAATTTGGACCTATCAGTTTAATAGATGAAGTCACACAATGTCATGCAAGCAACATGTTCAACATTGAAATGTGAAATCTAAATCTAAAATCATTTTATTAATTCATATTCGAACCCATTAATACAAAATAAGTTCATTTCAATATTGTACAATCATGAACTATTTTTTATATCCCAGGACGAGTTTCAGTGAGCGCTTTCACCATGCACAGAAGAGTAACGCCATATTTGTTCAGTCGAATCCAGGATGTTCTGGCTGACAACAACGTCGACCAGGCTGTAATTCGAGTTAACTGCAAACAGATCAAGAAACAAAAGAATCGTCCTTCATTGAAATAGATCTAGAAATCAAATTTATTTTTATAGCTATATCCTTTCCTATAATGAATTGGTAAAAAAATAATTAAAAAAAAGTTATGCGAGGCAAATCTTTAGCAAATACCTCGATTTACAATGAATCAGGGCATGATCATATGATTTCAACATAAAATAAATAAATTATATGATTTTTGTACAGTGTCGAAAGAGATCAACTTTTTTGTATTCGCTATTGTTGATATTTTTATTAGTTCGCTATGCTCAATGTCTTCAATATATTGTGATAAAGTTGAAATATATCATATTGATACATAACAAGTTGTATTTATCGTTAAACTAAGAAGGTGTACAAGACGCAGAAATATCTTAATCAATCTGCTTCATATTATTTGTCGACTTGATTAGATGATCGATCGTAGTGCACAGCAAACTTATGCAAGTACGGAAGATACCACTCATTCGTACGCTTTAGTTTTGACATGGGCAATTTACGGCCCGCGGGTCAAATCCGGCCCGTGGGGTAGTTCCCGTCTGATGTTACCACAACCCAACTAAAACCAATTTTGATTTTTTTAGCTGAAAAATTGCTCGAGGAATTTGTTGAGATTGCGATTAAATTTAATTTTAACACTGTAAATATTGTTAATAAAATGTAACTTTGTTCGTCACACTTACATGATCCGGGTGTCCAGGCGGCAACATTTTTGGCTCCTAGTCAAAAAACCTTGCCCACCCCTGCTTTAGTTTAACAAAGTTTTGCATATCTATATATAGTTATTGAAAACTTGCAAAGAATAAAAGGAAAAAAGTGGTGCCATAAGTTCAGTTACTATGTCCGTAAAAAGATACTAAGAAAATTTAAAATGAGCTACGGATATTAGATATACATTGCCTCTTAAATGAACAGATTCAAATATATACGTATCGGGCATTATATGAGTTGTCCTAATTTAACGCGTCTTGTACTTCTTTGGTTAGTTTTTTTTAAATCTGTAAAAATTGACATTATTAATATCAGTCACTTTCGCCGGTGTTGTCAACAACTGTTTGAATAACATCGTCCGTTACTAAATTTCAACCACTTGAGGAAAGCCTTATATTTCTAAGGTTAAACCAATCATGATATTAACCAAAAACTACAAGCCGAGCTTGATAGTATATATCTATATAGTCTGATGAAAAATCGACATCCTAAATATTGTTGGAAATGACAATACCAAACAACAGGCGTCCATTCTTCCTTCTACAAACGAGAAACCTGATCAGGAAGCTAAAATGACGTCACTTCCTGTATGAGTATAGACCGCGTATTATCATTCGGCAACACTGTCAATGATCCACAGCTAGCACAGACATCGCACAAGCTTCGATTTCCAAATCGAACCGGCTGTACAGCAGGAATAGCCTCATTTATATTCAGCAAAGCAAAAGTTCTCTGAGTGCAGTTGGTCATAACAGGAATAATATACTGTGCAGGAATTCAAAACAAAATGGAGTGACTTTAAACTATAGTTTCATGAGCGGTAATATTGTATATTCTTACTGTAAGTAGGGTGCTAATCATAAACGACAATATTCAGGTATTTAAACGTTTCACCAGTTGCTTTTTGAAAACATTTTATCATAGTTAGTTTAAGTCGTATTAAATTAGTACTGAGGGTGCCATGATAATATGAAAATGGCATTAAACGATGAACCAATAAAAAACGATTTCTGGCACAAAAAATATGTTTCGTTGGGAAATATTTAACATTTGTTTCAAGTGAGCCAAGATGGTGAATTCAACATTAAACTTACTTTTCAAATATCTAATACAAAACCTCAGCAAGTTCTTTGTGAAATTATAAAATTTAAGCGATATTAAAATATGCTTGGTGAACAAAGTGTTTTTATAATTTTCATGGCCAACTTCTAATATGAAACACTGAACGTAATAGTACAAGTCTGCAATCGAAAATCATATATTTGAAGGCCTGAATGTGTTTTAAAGCTAAACTATCATAATCAATCATCTTTGACGACCTTTGACGTATAGATTCGCCCTCGACATATTGGAGTCATTTTTACGGTATACATGCAGACAGCATCAACTCAGTTCTCGGAAGTATTTGATTCCGCTGCCACCGACCTGCCAATATTTTACTATTTTATGCTATTGCAGTATTCCTACTTATTTATATTTAACATCCCCGCTCTACCAACATGGAGTAGAAATATCTTCCATAATTACTTTTCTAAAAAACAGTATAAGAACACTTACCATGGATAAAAGCAAAAAAGACAGTGATGCATGGAGGAAAAAGTCACGTGTTGTTCGGAAAGCTTCGTTTGAAAGAGTGCCAAAAGGATTTTTCTCTGTAATTCGAACATTGACAGTAGATTTCAACTTACCAAATGGAAGAGTGATGACGCTGAAATGTATTGGAAATCACACAGTTGAACAAATCAAAGAGCAAGCTTTGGTGAGAGCAAGATTTTGATATATTAGAGCAGTAGAATATTTTAAAAATTCACTGAATTCGACAGTAATATATCAACTGTACGATAAATGAACCTATAGATTACCAACTTGACTATTATGGGATGCAGATGGATTGCGTATGAAACACGCTTTTTCGATAGCCAAATGTTCAAAATTACACAAAATTTGAAGGATTTTATTAAAATTAATTACCAGTTGGATAAAAATATTGCAAAAAATAGTCAACCCAAATATTAACTTGAGTTCAGCAAGTGGTTTTTTGATTTCTGTATTAAAAAATAACAATAATTTGTATCATCAAAACCGAACCAGAGGATGGGTGCTTATAGGAGCAATATAAAATATGATAATTATAAGACATTGATGTACGTATGTACGAGTTAGATATAGGTTTATAGTATTAGCAGTACTATGAATCGCTTCGCTGAGACCAATAATGTCCTGTTCAAATCCAGTTAGCCGTTGAATTCATCGGACCTATCGATAAGATGTATGGGACTTTTCTCAATATCAAATTAACGGTACTCCCGAAGTATGTGAACCCAGATGGTGGACACCGGAACGTATGTGTACCAGGTCAGGGTTAGGCCATAATTTTAAGTTCGGGGACTAGCCAAGTGACTCCCGTAGTATTTGTACCTGAAATTATTGCCTAACCCTAACCTGGTACAAATACTACGTTCCGGTGTCCGCCATACTGGTTCACATACTTCGGGAGTATTAAATAAACCGCTAACAATGTTCTAGAACCCCGATTTTTCAATTACCTAACGTCACTCGTCGAAAGCGCCATTTATCCAAGATTTAGATACATCCGAGAGAAAAAATGTCATATAATAAATCCCCTAATGCAGTGGTCGCCAAACTTTTTAAGAAGCGACCCCATTTCAAAAGTTATGACGTATGATAAGCACTTGTGACCCCAAGGTGTATAAATACGACAAACAAGGAAAAAATATTTATTAAAATTATTCAAACCACTACACTACTAAAAACTAAACTACAACCACTAAAAACTAATCACAGTAAAATCTCATTCTCGAAAATTTTATCACACACTCTAGATTTTGTGCTACAATTATTGTCGTAACAGAGTAGCCTTATTAAAAAATATATCACTCCAATTCAGAATATCCAAACTTGCTATATAGTGCTAGTCAGCTTGGTGTAGAATGCACGCAATAGAATAATAAAATATAAAACAAGAATACAACACTGGCCACTCGGCGACCCCCGTAATATTTAAGGCGACCCAACTTGGGGTCGCGACCCACACTTTGGTGACCACTGCCCTAATGAATGTGGCATCAATCCGATATTTCTACACCAAACTGAAAAAAGCAAAGACGAATCCAAATCATTATCGCTTATTTTTAGACCAAGATGTTCGACACATACCCGGGCATGGAAGATGGTATCGAATATATTCTAACATATATCTTGGATGGACACGTGATAGAAATCTGCGATTTGCAACAAACTTTTCAGACCCTACGTGTCGTATCGATGTGGTCGAAATCGGGAATGAAAGGGTCTCTCAACTTATCACCTGTTCGGTAAGAACCACCAAGTTTTACTGTCGTTTATTTCATATCAGTCCTACCAAATCTAGTATTTATGAAACGGGTCGTAAAGAATTAAGTTCAATCCAGTATAAAACAGGTGTCCATAAAGTCTTCTCACAATTAGAAATATGATCATTATATCAATAGCTGTTATGGACACACTATATACTTTCAACTACATAAATAAAACAAGCCAAATGGAAACTGGATGGGTGTTTCATGTCTTTGATCTGAACAATATTCTATTACGCCAGAAACTTAGCCGTACAAATCCATAATATAGGTTTGAAAAATCTTCGCAGTTAGACGTAGGTCGTCCATATTTTGCACATGGTTTAATTTAGTGGCCTGAGCGCATGGGATTTCGAAATAGAACAAACATCAAGTATATTACTTGTACATATATTTTGGAATTACCAATCAACTTGTTTGACAGTATTTGTTCTATTTAGACTGGAAACAAGTCAAGAAAGAATGTTTAACATAAAGTTGGGGTCATTAATGGGAGTAATTTGGGGGAATTTCCAATCAATTGCAAACGATGAATTATACATGACAAGAAGGAAACTCACAAACGTAAGGAGACTAGCCATATCTGGCAGAATGTCACTTGAATATGCAATGGAACCATCGCTAGAGACTTGCACTTTACCTCCCAACATAATATCAAAGCTTGAGGATGAAAGGTAAATTCGTATTTCTCCTAAATGTAATTGTTATGAAATGTTTTATACACATGAGGTTTGGAAATAATAATTCATCCATGATTTAGATTTTAGAATACAACACACGACTAATTCAATAACTAGTGTTGACACTTTTAAAAAAAAGTGAAATTGTATTATGTCTTTTCTTACTATACATATATACTGACACATTGCTGTGAGTTTGTTCTTTCACCTAATAACTCTTAGCTCGTCTGTGGTCGTATTCTTTTTTCAAAAATCTTTTCACTTTTGAAGTTTCGTTATTTTGCATCAAATAAAGTATCTCGATATTTTATCAGAAATCCGAAAAATAAGAAATAATTTAGGCACAGTGAACTAGTGAAATTCTAGCTTTTTCAAAATGTCGGAATAGCATTGTTTTTTTTATTTACCTTTGAACTTATGTCACCCCCAGAAAGCGTAACGTTTAATCTGAAGTATTCACCTGAATTAACACACAAGATGTCATCTAGGTTCGAACGTGTGACTTTTGGATAAAATAGTTTCATTTTATTTTTCACAGGTTTATGATATGCATATTCGGACCAAATAAAAACAGTACGAAAGTGGCAGTGAAGTTGGACGATTATCCAGCGGCAATATTGAAAAGATTTTTTGCAAGGTTGCTTCACTAATTTCTACAATTTATTTAAATGTACATTGAATGATTGATCACCTCATTCTACTTAATATGAAACACATGATTAGAACACCCTAATTTTATCTAATATCAAAGTTATATTTATAGGGAATGAATACATATTCAGAACAGATTCGTGCTTAACCTAATAGGCTAGTTTGTATTTAGTTAGCCAATATCGTCTCATTGTGCTTATACGTTTGGATAAAAAAAACTCCATATTTTCCAGCCTGGCACCAGCTCTACGCACAGCATTTCAAATTCCAGAAGATGCAACGTACTCTGAATACGTGATGAAAGTTTGTGGATTGAACGATTATATTTGGGGAAATTACAGAATCATCGACTTTGTTTATATCAGAGAATGCCTATCGAGGGTACGAAAACATGAGTCATGTACACATCAGAAAATCATACATAAAAATTTACCCTTTCTATTCCAAATTAACACATTAGTCCTAGTACTTTTGAAATATACAATATTAGTTCCAAGTGTATGTTCCGGTAAATTCATTTAGTCATTTGTCACTTATTTCATGTGGAAATTAATCAGATAATTTTTAATAAGCCTACCTGTCAGTTGAATAAACCTTGACGGCTAAAAAGTGAGCAATAAATGCGTAAGATATCTTTGTATTACAAAAAATAATGAGATAATGATTTAATAGGTATTTATAGTCTTATATACTAAAATTTCTACACAGGACGTTGAGCCAAACCTTGCTCTCTGTCCACCACTCATGGAATCAGAGGACGCGATTCCCGATGATCATGACCCTTGGTATCTTGTCGACGAATCAACAGGGGTAACCGAAGAACATCAGCAACTCACAATAATAAATAAAAATCACAACGAAATTGTAGCACTATCTTTGTGGGACATGACAAGAAAATTTCAAATTAAAATATTAGGTAAGAAACCACATGGTAGATATTAGTACACTAAACAAAAAGCTGATAGAAAATAAAGAACTCAAGTTTCGTTTGATTTTTTAATCTTTTCGTTTTTTTTTTTTTTTTTTTTTTCGTTTTTTAATCTTTTCGCTTTGCCGTATTCCTCTGAGCACACGGTTTGATTCATGTTTCTGCGTTTCCGTAATTGTTTCATTTACGCGCTATCGAAATCCGATCGTAATTGTCCTCGAACTAACTACAAACAAGTGCACGATGCTCAAATATATTGAAAACGAAGGCCAAACCAGAATAGTAGGGGTATGCAATCTATCATAGTAGACAACCAGTACCGCAGCCTTCACAACTTCACCTCACTAGATCGCGAACGCGGGACCGCCACAGAATGCGGGACCGCCACAGAATGCGTCATCGCACAGACAAAAAAACGAATTCGTCAGCACACACAAAAAAACGAATCCATCAGAGACAACGGAAATTTTTGGAATATATAAAGTAATAGCCTTCTGGCGGAAAATACAATCTTCATCCACTGAAAATTTCAAATCCATAACTCCAATTTTTTCTTAAGAACATTGATAGGAATAAAAAATGACCCATAGGGTTTACTTTGTGACCAATAATGCATGTTCTCATTTTGAAAACTGGATTAACAGTTTATTTCATTTTTAGGACTTGATTATCTTTCCATTGAAGACGAGATTGTGGAAGAACCAGACGAAGTTTATGTAGAAGCCTGCTTATATCATGGTCAATTTCAACTTGCTCCACCGATTAAAACCGATCCAATAAAATTTACGGAATCTTTGAGGTATGAAAGCCCAATGTAGCAATTAAACGCAATGTACTCTAATGAGGAATGAACATTATCTGAAGAAAAACTCAATTTAACGTTTGACGTTGTTTTCTGATTGAGATTGCTCAGCTGGTGTACACTTACAATTCATTGTTAGCATAATTAGGCTTCCCGCTGCTTGTCAGCAGGGAACCTATTGTATTCCTGTGTTTTATTATTATTATTATTATTATTATTTATTTATTTATTTATTTATTTTTATTATTTTTTTTTCAAATTGGTCCTACAAACTTGAAATTCACCTCAAATGTGCAGAAGTTCTTAGCTAGCAATAAAATGCAAATTTTATGCATGACTGACCAGGCTTTCACGCTCCAGTGAGCAAAACGCGTTTTCAGTTTTTTTGCGATTTCTCAAAATTGATACATGCTATTGGGTTGAAATTCATAACAATGATTGATGGACATGTTCCGGATACGATATGTCAAGGATACGCATGAGTGACTCCGGCGATACGCTCCATTGAGCAATATATATGATTTTACATTTTCATCTTCTCCTCGAGAACGACAATACTCAGAGACTTGAAATTTACATCACATGCAGATAATAAGTCCCCCATAATAAATTGCAAATTTTATGCATGACTGACCACGCTTTCACGCTCCAGTGAGCAAAACGCGTTTTCAGTTTTTTCGCGATTTCTCAAAATTGATACATGCTATTGGGTTGAAATTCATAACAATGATTAATGGACATGTTCCGGATACGATATGTCAAGGATACGCATGAGTGACCTCGGCGATACGCTCCAGTGAGCAATATAGGATTTTACATTTTCATCTTCTTCTCGAGAACGACACTACCTAGAGACTTGAAATTTACATCACATGCAGATAATAAGTCCAACATCATAAATTGCAAATTTTATGCATGAATGATCACGTTTTCACGCTCCAGTGAGCAAAACGCGTTTTCAGTTTTTTTGCGATTCCTCAAAATTGATACGTGCTATTGGGTTGAAATTCCTAACAATGATTAATGGACATGTTCCGGATACGATATGTCAAGGATACGCATGAGTGACCTCGGCGATACGCTCCAGTGAGCAATATAGGATTTCACACTTTCATCTTCTTCTCGAGAACGATACTACTTAGAGACTTGAAATTTACATCACATGCAGATAATAAGTCCCCAATCATAAATTGCAAATTTTATGCATGACTGATCACGCTTTCACGCTCCAGTGAGCAAAACGCGTTTTAAGTCTTTTTGCGATTTCTCAATATTGATACATGCTATTGGGTTGAAATTCATAACAATGATTAATGAACATGTTCCGGATACGACATATCGAGGATACGCATGAGTGACCTCGGCGATACGCTCCAGTGAGCCATATAGGATTTTACATTTTCATCTTCTTCTCGAGAACGACACTACTTAGAGACTTGAAATTTACATCACATGCAGATAATAAGTCCCCCATCATAAACTGCAAATTTTATGCATGACTGACCACGCTTTCACGCTCCAGTGAGCAAAACGCGTCTTCAGCTTTTTTTACGCGGGAAGCCTGTTAAAGCTGCACGCAGCTCTAGTTTAAAATAAATTCTTGCTAAATTTTGGAAAGATTTGAAACAATTTCAGTCAGTGTTTATTGAACATTTCTCCGCCCTAATGAGATGCCCATAATATATATGTGTGTATTCTTATATTTTACGACTGATCAATTTTAACATTTGTGGAAACTACCTTTTGCTCAATCTTTTGCAAACAAAATTATATCTTTATTTTTTTAGGTGGTTTTGCTGGTTGAAATTTGACATTCAAATAAGAAATATTCCAAAAGAAGCGAGAATCAACGTTAATGTTGTTGGAGTTTATAAAACCAAATCAGTAAAAGTAAAAATCGGATTAAAACCAACAGACAACGATGGAGAACAGCACCTTGTACTTAGATGGTCAAACATGCAATTGCTGAACCACAGGTGAATGCGCATATGAATACTACACTATTGTTTAAAGCTGAAAGCGAGCACATTTTTAATCGCATCCTGAACTCAGCCCAAAACATATTCCAAATATATTTTTTTTCGTATTTATAAAAATCAAAGTAACCTAATTAACGAAAATTAACGCCTTCTATCATTGACCACATTTATGTGTTTTAATAGGATTAAGCGTGATGCCCTGCAAAAAATGTTTGTTTACCAAATTAAATTCAAGTCCACTGTAGGAACCGAATTCCATTCTAGAAATATGCGCGGCTTACAATGATTGGACGCTTATATAAGTTCCACTGATATATAAGTTCCACCTTTAAAACCATTTGTCATTAATTCAAATTTTACTGAAGGCTCGGAGAAATCATTTTACTATCTTTCATTTCTACGTTTTGTATGGATTTTGTGTAAATTGTGAATAATGTGACATATGTTCTATTTCAATAGTAAATACTTCAGCCAGTGTTAAATCCAAATATTATAAGTAAAACAAATACCACAGATCTGTACTTCTCACTGGAAATCAAGTATTTTGCATGTGGCCGATGTCACAAAATGAAGACATTTCTTTCGAAACTCATACTGCAACATCGGCCCCAAATGAAGGAGGTGGAAATAATACAACAGTAACAAAGTTACATATTGAGGTAAATTATGTATTATGGTTGTACATCTCTCTGAAGAGGACTATCGTAACAAATTTTGTATCTATCCAATAATAGAAAAGGTGGTGATGCAGATGAAAAGTTAAAATGTTTTTATGTTATATTTAAAAAATTTTCATATTTTTGCCCTTGATTTTTAAAAAATAAATTGACATTTCTCTGAAGAGCATTATTGTAATAAATTTTATATTTATACAAAATAATATAAGAGGCTGTGATGACGATAAAAGTCGAGAAGTTTTCATCTTATATTTGAAATTTTTTTCATATATTCGCACTTGTATGACCTTGATGTGTAAAAGAGATCCGAAAATATTATTCTTAGTTGGAGTTATTTAGTTTTAGTTATTATTTTTAGTTGGAAACTTACATGCACCCTGTTGCATTTCCTCGTGGTGCACCGAGTTCAATAACAGCCTCGGAAGATACGACAGCAGAAAAAGAGCCGGTGCATGGATCCCCTGAGTGGGGACAATTAGAAGAAATATTAAAACAAGATAAATTGCATGATCTGGACAAAAAGAGCAAAGATTTATTGTTCAAATATAGGTATATTTTATTCTATAAGGTTATATTTTTGCAGAAGATGTATTGAACTTCCTTCATGTTATGAACTTGTATCTGTGTTTACAAACACATTCGAGAACTTTCACAATATTATTTGAATGTAACAATATCATGTATAAGCCCAAGAACCCCATTTATTGTTTAAAAAAAATGTTACGCTTATGACAACAGTTGTCGTGTACACCTCCTTATCTTGTAACCTAAAAACACGTGACCGAGGTATATCTTTATATATATATATTATCTTACCTATATTTCCGTATTCATTTAGACTGTATTGTAGAAATCGCCCGAATACACTACCTAAGTTACTTATATCAGTCAATGCAGCAAATTTGGAAAGCATGTGTAAGATGAGAAATTTGCTGGAAACATGGCCTGCAATATCTGTTGAAGTACGTGATCTACATGAATATAGTTTTTTTTTTCGTTAGTTCATTGACTATAAATTAAAGTGTATACTTGTAAAACCTATACTATACAGATACTGATCAAATCATAGCGAATGGAGTTCACGATTTCGTATAAATTAACAAAGTTATCCGAGTATTTTCAGCTAGCTGTTTATATAAAAAAAAAATTAAAAAGAACAGAATATGTCACACGAATTGACTTTATCTAATATTGTTTTTTCGTGTGTGGTATATTAGTATAATTGTTGTATTTATTGAATAATATTATTCGATTTCAAGGTTGCATTGGAGTTACTGGATTCGCAATTTGTCGATGAAAAAATTCGAGCTTTTGCCACAAATACACTCAAAAAATTGACGAATAAAAAGTTGCTTGCTTATTTATTACAACTCACACAGGTAGGACCCTTTAATATATAGAATATCCGATTGAATATAAATTTTAATATTACCATTAAGCATTCAATTTATGAAATAGCATGTAATGTTTCTGAATGTTACAGAAATACTTCATTTGAATCAACTAATTCATGTTCAAAAACAATGACAACTTAGAACATCGCTTAACAAATTCTTTCATGTATGTTGTATATAGTAATGTATGAAATGTTTTAGGCATTTGCCTTGTAATATGGTAAGGGTCAAGTCAAATACCCGTTTGTATCATTAATTCAATCGTTTTATCCAACTGTTGCAACGAAATTCGCGGTCTCGCGCGAGCATTTCTCAGTGTTTTTATCTTGTGCACGTCAGGTTACCACCAGATGGATGTTTCTCGATGTGTCGGGATATGCATCTTGAAATGTCACAGTAATTCACAATCAATATAGTAATATCTACTCTATTCTATTGTAACTGGTCAACTTGAGAATTATGAATCATAAATAAAATATAAATTCTATTAAATATATATGCATTAATAAAAATTTACCTTTACAGGCTTTAAAGTTTGAACCATACCACGATAGCGCTCTGGCAAGATTTCTATTGACCAGAAGTCTTAAAAGCAAACGAATCGGACATTACTTTTTCTGGTTTCTGAGATCGGAAATGGAAAATCCTCATGTCAGTCATCGATACTCAGTCCTTCTTGAAGCATATTTACGTGGATGTGGAAAAGATATGATCATCAAATTATCTGACCAAGCTAAAGCTATTGGATGCCTGAAGACTATTTCTCTTAATGTAAGTGTTTTATTGGACACGTAGTGGACATAGCGATCGTTTCAATATTATGTTGTTGTTGTTGTTGTTCTTGTTCTTTGACACGTTTCTAAAAGGTAGCTTTTCTCTTTGATTACTGGACCAATAACTTTGAAATTTTCAGTGGTTAAGGATAAAAATTTTCTTCAGAAGGCTATTACTTTTTTGTTGTTGCTATGACGTCATCAAAATTATTGCCAATAGGTGGCGCTACGTGTCCATATATTTGAGCATAGCTCTCTTGTTATAGATGATAAATGTTTCACTTTATTTGATACTTCATAAATTTGGAATTACCACTTCGTAGTACTTGATTATATTCAATACCGTTGGAGACCTTATTTGATCATATTCTGACCTAAGGTATAGTTATTGTACTTCGTGATAACGATATTTTAAGTGCGTTGTAATTTTTTTTTTTTTCAGGTTGTTTCCAAGTTGAGACACGGACTTGGGGGCAGCAAAATGGCCGAATTGTTACGTGAGGAGTTACGAAATGTTGGTGATTTTCCTGACAGCTTCCAGGCTCCTTATGACCCACGTATAACTCTCGGTAGACTAATTGTAGAGAAATCGAAAGTTATGGATTCGAAAAAGAAACCATTGTGGCTGGAGTTTGAAAATTTTGACAAAAACGTTATTCATGAACAAGATAAAACTATAAGGTAATCACAGTATCTAAATATATGCATTGTTTTATCTAGCATGGTTATCAAAGTATAATCAAAACTAAATATACAAGCCAGTGTCTCGTAATTATTAAGATTATTAGAGACGTCGCTATGGACAAACGACGACTCGGTATCTAAGAACACAATTTGTCGGGGTGAAGCAAAAAACCTCCCACATTTAAATTAAAATTTCCCCTCCCTTATTTAAATGACAGTATTGATAGAGCAGCATGCATCGTAAACTCACGGACTAATTGGCAAGTTGGGCTACGCTTAAATGAATATGACGTCATAGAACAACAGCCAAAACACCAATACGAGACGTCAGCACGATACAGTTTTAAATATGAATCATGAAAATCATCAAAAGAAGATAAAATCAGAATAAATTTCATGATGTACATTCAGAATAATGTTCAAGCAAGGGGATGATCTTCGACAAGACATGTTAACGTTACAAATGCTACAATTGATGAATCAGCTATGGCAAGAAGAAGGACTAGATTTGTATTTGCTTCCATATGGTTGTATCAGCACAGGTGAGGTATTTAGTCACATAGTATATAGTATATAAAATCACAAAAGTAGAACATTAATTGAATTACCAAAAGTACTTATTCTCAATTACGTATATATATGTATCCTCAAATATACAAAATATGGAGCTATAGACTTTCACAAATCTGCTTTGTATTTTAATTCGAATCACGTTTGGGGTCTCGTGTAGTATATTACATCAGTGGTTCCCAACCTTTTATGGCTCGAGTCTCCATTTCGGAGGCTTTTGGCACTCATGGCCCCTGTTTATCATTCCAATGGTATTTCTATTGTTATTTTAATTGGTAAATTCCAAATCCCATTATTTTCAAACGATTCATGCTCAACGAAGTGTAAACAGTATGTGAAACAACCTTATACAGCAATGAAACTGGGAAGAACTGGGAGTTTTCTTTTAAAGTGAGAAGTAAAATCAGTTTTGCGCCTAGCATTGTGACCGCCACTCTGCTCTGTGGTCCCTTTGAAGGCCCACGGGCCTCCGGCTGGGAACCGCTGCCATACATACTTCTAGTGGGCGTGGCCTTTTTCAATATGTTTTTCTGACCCCCACCTAACTTCGTCATTCGCGAGATCAAATAATAGTTTTTATTCGAGTATAAGCCATGTCGATATATGGTTTGAATCTCTCTCTGTGCGCACTGTATGCCTGTATATCTAATGCGATTGCAACACGTATTTCAGGTTTACTTCATGGCTTAATTCAAGTTGTTCCAAATGCCACAACTGTAGCGTCAATTCAAAAAGAATTTGGAGGGTTAATTAGAGGTTCGTTCAAAGATGAGGTACTCAAGAAGTGGATGGAAGACAAAAATCCAACCCCATCAAAAATGCAGGAAGCAGTCAACATATTTATGTTATCATGCGCAGGCTATTGTGTAGCAACCTATGTTTTGGGTAAATTTCGATTGATTTTAACCAATAACGGCGGTGCAGTTACGGTCAACGCACTAAGGCTAAATCGCTAACCTGGTCATAACTTCCAGAAAATCGTCAATTGACAATAGCATTTTCGATATCATTGGTAAACGTTTGCCGGGTATATTGCTAGCGATGAACGGCAGAGCGTGTTTTGCGTAAGATTTACATGTGTGTAGCCTACATGTGGAGGAAATATACTTTAATTTTTAAGTTTTATAACATTGACATTTTTAGGTATTGGCGACAGACATAATGACAACATAATGGTAACCACAACTGGCAATCTTTTCCACATCGATTTCGGACATTTTCTCGGGAATACCAAAAGATTTTATGGAATTCAACGAGAACGTGTCCCGTTTGTGTTGACGCCTGACTTCGTACACGTGATGGGCACTGAACAAGGAGCCATGTTTCAAAAGTTTAAGGTAGGCCTACGTTTTGCATGTACTCTTTGATGTCAAATGTGTGAAAAGCAACTCAAAATTTAGCTTATATTTGTATGTTGGGTGCATTTCATCATCTTCAAGTGACTTATTATTTGGATTTTTATTAATTACTCAGGTATTCGTGAACGCTAGCGTTGACCTTTGTCTCATGTTTGGCAATTTTTACCGCCAAATTGTTTCATTGAGAGTTTTGACTAGCACACTTTCCCGTTTAGGGCCAACAGATATTTGCGTGCCTGTTTTTCTCACAAACAGCCTACTAGGCAATTTTGTTGTCGATATTTAACGAGTTTTCTTAATTAAATCTTAGTAAAAATTCACTTTTTAACAGGACTCGTGTGTGCATGCATTCCTTATCATTCGAAGACATGCAGCATTGTTCATAAACTTATTTCATATGATGAAAGCGACAGGTATTCCAGAGCTAACTTCTGTACGAGACATTCATTATTTGAGAAAGGTAATTCCTTTGATTGCAATAAATTGTGATTTATTTTTCCTCAAATTTCATTTTCGTCTTTATAGAGGTGAATATTTATCACAATTTTGCAAATTGCAATATATAAATGTTGGGCCTGTAAGAAGTTTGATTAGGCAATTCACCGGAAAGTTCTTGTTACCTTGTGTTCACAATCAATATGTATAAGCCATTGTTCATAGTAAAGTTCACCTATATTCACGTCTCTGTTATTCTACAGGTTCTAATTCTTTCACAAAGTGAAAAAGAAGCAAGGGAACACTTTCTCAACGAAATCAGTGGCGTCATAAAAAAGAGTTGGACTGTTCAAGTTAACTGGTTTATGCATTCAATTATGCATTCAGGAAATTCATGAATGGTATTTTGTTCAAAAAAGCAAAACATGTTGAAATTTGGCTATGCAAAACGTTTGTCGCGACCTTGCAAAGTGTATTTTATCAGATAGAATGTGAATGAAAAACGAAATTACTCCAACTTTGCACTTAATTGGTGTTTTACATCAGCTACGTATAATTTAATATTATACTTGAAATGCAAATTTCATTGCTGCCGTACATTTAGGAATTCCGTTCGACTTGCCCTGTGGTGTTGCTATGTTCCGTAGTTTTTAGTTCGTTTTTTTTTCAAGTTTGCCAGACATGTGTTACACACAACGGACCTTCAGTGAAATAATGAAAAAATCCACTTTCTTACGGATGTTTGACATATACTATATTTTGTCACAAAAATGAGTACAGTATTGAAGTACATTTGTTTCACAGCGAATATATTTTGGAGATTGTATAGTTGAATTACGAAATATAAGACCTACATACTTGAGTTTGATGCCTTTATATTTCAATAGTTTTTTTATACAACAGCACAAAAATTTATTCACAAAACAAACATGTTGATATGAATTTTGGGAGAATTTAGATAGTTCCATTTACTCTATCATTCCAACTTTCAAATTTTTAATTCTTTCAAATATACGAGTTTTAAAATAAATGTAACCTTTTTATTGTATTTTCAACCTTTGTCCTTATCTTCTGAACACAACATAACCTTTTACATACTAGTCATCCTAAAATGCAGATTTAATACATGAACTTCAGACGGTTTTGTATATATTTGGAAATCTTTTATTGCAGATATTGATAAAGTTTGTCAAATCGCAGCATCTCGGTTTTATTTTGTATATTGTGCACTCTTGCTACTTTCTCGTCAATGACTTGATAACTTTCTTGTGTTTAGGATACATTGTAATCAATTCTTCAGCCGTTGGTTCATAATTATCTTTCATTTCAAACCCAGGAGAGACCGTAACTCCGAGAAGAGAATATTTTCCCTCGCCGGGATATGTCAAGCGTGCGGCGTACCAGTCACCTTCAAAATGTAAAGAAAATTTATCATATCAATATCGTGACTGAAAAGAATCTGTCAATGGACATAGATATCGTGTTGTTTAAAAATCGTCGACTATTTAATATGTAACAAAAGACATACCTCGTTTTACTGCAACTACAAAGTTTTTGGCCGATTTTCCTAGGTAATGACGCGTAACTTCGCCAGTCACATGATCAATGACGAAAAGAGTTAGTTTCGCTCCGTGATAAAAATGCCACAGCTCATCCGAATTTAGTCGATGGAACAGAGAAAAGTCTTTATCCTGATTAAAAAAAGAAAGGCAATCTACAACGAAAGTATTATTCATGTTTAGTATTCAACCTCTTTGAATTTTTATCATCGTGGATTAAATTTTCTATCAGTTCGTACTAATCATCTTAACAAACTATATAAACTTGATAAGGCAGAAACATTGTCTATGTTTGTTCTTTTCTCAGCAAACTTTACCTCCAGTAGGTAGTAAGTATGTGTGCCAAAGACTCTAGTTGCGTTTGCTCCATATCTTTCTGGAAGATGACTTATTTTTTCCGTACTTCTGTATATTTCAGTGTACCAACCTCCCTGGATATTAATACCCATGTTGAATTTGTCAATCCAGTAATTTGCGGTCTGAAAATAATAAATCATCCGCAAGTAAATTATTCGATATTTTCTGTTGTCATATTTCATTTAGATATTATGGATTTTGTAACGACTCTTAAGCTAACATTTAACCGTTAATAAACCACTCGGTCGACAATCATAAACCATGTTGCTTAATTGCAATAACACTGGCCGAGGCTTAGTCAATTGACTCAATAAAAAAATATTTATATTTAAGTATAATAACTTTAACGCTATTGTAAAGTAATTAATGTGCTTCGTAGTAAGCAAATATATACCATAGAAAAGATTCCATTTTCTGTATATGAATTTCAAATGAAGAAAAGTTTGCGCTTATTTTTCTAGGTACATGTTCATTGCTTACAATTTTCACAAACTAATCCAGGGCAATGTTCAAGTAATAAAATATCTCAATAAGGAAACAGGTTTACGGAAGTAGCCATAGATCCATTTGATCAATAAATCTCGACTGTTTCAACATATGAATTGCATGCTGAACGCTCAATAAAGTTTGGGTAAATTTGCTTCCTTTGGTGTTACTTGCATCGAAAGATTGCAACAATAGGAATATATTACTTCTTAGAGTAGACGACCGCGGATGGCTATGAACTTCGTCCATCAGACAAAGATTGCGTGAGTTCCGCCCCCTGGACCAAAAAAAACGTTCTCTTATTTATACAATTATCATTTAAACCGAATTCAATGTTAACGTCATGATGGTTTTTGAATGCATTATGATGTCATATTAAACAACGTCACAGGTGACATTTTGAAAATCTGCATAACCTATAAAATTGTAGTTATAAGCAAGTATATTTGATAATAGCTTGCTAAAATACCCGTTAATGTTCCGCGGGAGTGGGATATACATAGCTGAGCAGCTGCCCTACCCGCTCGGAAGGCTTGAGGGTAATCGCTCACTATATTATTGAATAAACTAGAGTTAAACGAGGCCGTGCCACGAGTAAATGCCATATACCGATACCGATGGCGATACCGTGCAAATGGCCTATATTGCCAATACCGATATATCGGTACATTTCTAACTCGTAGTCCATGCCAGAGAAATACTGCGATCGTGCACCACCAACCACCACACTGTACTATATTTTTTTTTTATTTCTAGAGTATAGTCAACATTTATTTTGCCAAGACCGTTCGCTATCTGGTTTATAAAATATTCGGTGTCTTATTTCAAATTTAAAAAAGGAGGGAACCACACAGAAATTTTAATCAATCCATAGCAAAATCTAACAAACTTCCAACGCTTTGTAACTATTTAGGGTATATGAAACATTGAATTACAATTCTGGTAGCTTTAGTACAAGTCTCCCACCACAAATGTAAAAATTTGGAGAAAACACCCCACCACGTTCTTGAATAAAAAATTAGTAATTATCCAATTAAAGTTAAGAATGATTTGGAAGTTTGAATTCTCAGCGCAATCTGTGTTTATAACGCTAACTAAATAAATCATAATTTTCTTATTTTATGCGTTGGCTGTGGTGTTTGCAAAAGATACAAAAGATCCGAATTCTGGACTGAAAACATAAATCTCTCACCAGTTTTTGTCCTGTACCTTCATGAACATTGATCGCTAGAACAACCAAACAAACAATTGTGAATAACTTCGGCAGCATCATCCTCGTCGACCGAAAATATTGTGCTTGTCTATTTCAAAAATTCTCTTTTTTATGGCTGCGATCTTTACGTACTATTTATCCCGAAGGCAAGTCTTCATGAAAATTCTAATATTACGGGTTTTAAAGTGACCGGTCTAAAAGCACGTCATTTTGAATCGGGGTGATTCCAGTGGGGTTTCGTATTCAGTTTAGAATTTTAAAAGCAATATTTTGCATGGAATAAGATTGCAAGTTACAAATGTAGTAGATACTACCAGACCAGTGTTATTTCAAACATTTTAGGGGTTTTAATAATATTTTTTTGCTGGACTCAAATCTTGCGCATGAGAAGGATGCGGTAAAAACCCACAGACGTTTGGTACGCGACGTATCCACGTCAACGCATAGGTAAACCAGCTTTATAGCGATCGTATGATGAACCATTATGTGACCTTCTCGCTAGTTCACCGAAACTAAAGACAAGTGATTATCATCGACTCGATGACTAAAATACAGTCGTTTTAAAGCAATGAGAAATCCCTGATAACGACATAATTATAAATATCCAAGCTAATTTAGAACGTCGTAATTGTAACCGTGCAAAATGACCTCCCCTAAATCCTATCAGGGTGTGCCAAACTTTTGGGGCCTTAGGTGGTGCAGTGTACAGTGGTGGTGTCTGAACAGCAGCTTTGAAGGTCGCAAGCTAGTTTAGTTCAACCTATCTTGTAAATTAACCTTTTCTGACGAGAACTTCATTGAGAACAAACACAGAACACGACATTTTGATGAACATATGCAAAACTCACTCAAAGTTGCGGTGTCAAGTTACACACCAGAGAACAACATACTGGCGGAGAGCATACAACGTCATGTTTCCCAATAACTGACGCGGGAATGGCCCAGATTTGGTTCCGGTTGAAAATAAGATATTAATGATATTAGTTATTTGCAAAATGTAACATTTAATAACACAACTGTTGATTCCGTTTTATCTTAGGCATCTGCAGGGTGTATTGTGATTTCCTAGGCTGTTATAGAAGTAGTATCATTTTAAAACGTTCAATTTAAAAAACACTAAACTTGAAAACTTGAGTGTTGTTATTTACTAATTTTTTTCTATATGTTATTATATTTGGTGATAATTTCATGGAAAATCTTTAACATTATCAGTCTCCTCGTGGCTAAATACCATAAACAGTAATAGGTGAAGCTTGATCGAGCATATTGGCCTTTCGGAAGTGTGCATCCAACCGATAGCCCTTAGCTTAATTGGTATCCAGGAAGTCGCCCTCGGCTTCATGAAGGCTGGCGACCCCTGAATAAGAGTATTGGCGAACAAGAAAGGTTCCGGTCATTCGAAAAAAATATTTTTTAGCTTGTCCGCTATATTTCCTCTTATGTTAAAGTCATGACCAGATTTCTTCAAAGAATCCCATTTTTTAATCCAAATCAGTTAACCATTCATTTCTTATTGACATCAATTTGAAAACCTTATAGAGTAAAACTACAAGACATAGTACGTATAGCAGGAAAGGGATTGATGCTACCCTCAACCCAACTCCGTCAGTGGTCAAACTATGACGCAGTGTTTGTGCTGTCAAACCTTAAAATACAGTATTACAAAGTTGTACAAATTCCACGAAAGGAATGAATAAAACTACACTTATAACCTCAATACAAGTATACGAGGTAAATACCAAATTATAACTACATCAAAGCACAATAGAAAAAATACCAAATTTGAGTTGGATGAGGTGATCAGACTTCATTTCGTACGTCAGAACACCTGCATAGAAAGCATGTTATAATGAGTCATACAAGGAAAATATTCGTGCTTAGACCTCGTTTCAGTACGTTTGCATGGACCGTACCGGCGGCTATCGTTCTTTCTTCCCTTTATTAACGTCTTAGTATACGGTGTGCTATACTTTCTTCCCTTTACCGTCTTAGCACGGTGTGCTATATTTCCTTTAATAATTCTTCTTTGTGAGATACAGTGCCACAGTCTTAAGTTATGAGGTATTTATTAACAACAGTATACTATTAAGTCACAGTCTTCTCTCTCTCACAGTTTTTTTTTTCGTTCAAGCGGCGATTCGCCGACTTATATATTTGCGAATCAAGTGCTTTTGCCCACACTCAGACAAAATACACTCTACAAAAATTGCAGAAAAGCATTTGCTATGATCATGCGGCTATATATTT